TTTTCTAGTATCCTGGCTTCGATCTTAACTACATGCTCTAGCATCTCGATAGCCTTCTTTGTCTGACCATCTGCAAGGTATGCTCCTGCAAGTTCATTCTCTGATGCCAGTCGATCTGGGTGATCTTCTGCTGATATCCTCTCTCGGGTCTTAACCACATGCTCTAGCATCTCGACTGCCTTCTTCGTCTGGCCATTGTAAAGGTATGCTCCTGCAAGCTCGTGCTCTGATGTCAGTCGATCTGGATGATCTTCTTCCAGTATCCTCTCTCGGATCTCAACCACATGCTTAAGTGCAGATACTGCCTCCATCATCCGCCCGTCGACGAGCAAGCATCGGCCCACCGATAATCCCAGTTTATGTCCTCCTTCGTTCTCCATGCACCCCGCAGCTCCCAATAGCCTCAGCGCATGTGGTAAATATTGCTGCCACAGATCACGGTTTCTCCAGTCATCAGTTGGAAATATCTCAGCAACATGTGCCAATGTCTTCTGTTGCATTTCTCTCTCACGGCCCTCGTTTTTATTCCATATTCGCGTTGCCAAGTGCACTAGACTATGCATGTCGAACGTCGCCTTGCCTTCTCGTCGACTAAGGAAACCATGTCCTGTAAGTGTACCAATAGCTTGTGTCATTTGCTGTTCAGTCTTCAACTTCGGAAGAATAGATCGAGGAATCCCTTTCGGCTCAACGCAAGCCATGAATGAAAGAAGGTCTGCCGCTGCCGGAGCAGTTCGGCGTATCCGGTCGAACGACACAATCCACGTAGTAGCGACAGCGCCTTGCGACCTATCGTAATGAACCTCGTCATCGTATCCTTCCTCAAGAAGCTCGATAATATTTTGTGCGTCAGTATCGTTGAATACTCGAATGTATTCCGCGATAGAAGTCTCATAAACGTTCATATACGCTGCTGCCTGTGCAATCGCTAGAGGCAGGTAGGTAAGAGCATCAAGGAGCTGAGACACGTTCTCAATATCTTCTAATTCGTCCTTGTTGATCAAGGACTTCTTGAGTAGACCTGTTGCCTCTTCTGGATGCATCCGTAGCAACGTTTCTACCGTAGTCTTCGCTGCAACAGAGGCAACTTTCCTGGATCGCGTTGTAAAAAGGGTCCGCCCGTTGTCACTGGAAGGAAGAAAATCGAGGATCCCACTACCCGAGTGCGTTGACTTGTGGAAAATCTCCACATCATCAGCATTATCAACGACGAGAAACCAACTTCCTGCATCTTTCGAGCTGAGATGCTGTCGCACTGCATCTTTCGCATCTTCACCTTCGGGGCATCGGATACCAAGCGCTCTGACGAGCTTCACGCACTCCTGCTCAAAACCAGCCATGCTAAAAGCAGGCATCCAAAACACTGAGTAGTCTGGCTTGTTTTCCTTGACCCAGAAAGCGAGCTGCAGAGCGATCTGAGTTTTGCCGAGACCTCCGAGTCCGACCAGAGTGACTTTTTGCCGCTCTCGTTCGAACAGTAGACCTCGTAACTTCGCAAGAACATCCTCCCGGCCCACGAAGAGGTCGTTTTTCGAAAACGGAACTAAAAAGACAGGTTGCATTTGACGTTCATAAACAGCACGTGCAGTTCTGCTCTGGTCAAAAGACTCTCGATTTCCTAAAGAGCAGCAGCTCTCTGAGTTTGCAGCTAGGCATGAAATATCTTCAACCACGATTAATTACGACCGTCAGAGGCATGCCGCGACGAACCTTGAGTAAGCGAAGGGATCCAAAAGCCAAGAAAAGCCTTGGCACAAGCCGCTGCCGTAGCCGCAGCATATCGCTGCCAGACCTTACTTTTGTGGCTGTCGGCATAGTCACAAGCGCCTTTGATAATGATACATGGGAAACTATCCCAGACCCCAGCGCCTTCCATCTCGAAGGCAATAACACCTTCCGCCGCGGCAATTCGGTCGCGGCCTTCGCCAGACTTCATAACTGCGTCTCCAGAGGCCATCAAGCCAAAGTGGATAGCAGGCGTAGGGTAGACATCTGCAATCGCTAAGCGGCTTCGCGACACAAGATCACCGTTGCATCCGAGCTGCTCGCATGACTTTTGATCATCTGTATGACGATAGGACGCCTCAAATAATCTGTCTTCCGTAGAACCAGGATACTCAGCATAAAGGTCTTGATCCTGACGTAGAACATCTAAGTAGTCTGCTATCTTAGCGCTCAACTGTCGGCGATGCCGAAGTCCTTTGAGCTTTGCTAGGACTCCTCGTATCTCCAGGTTCGGTCTACCCGGTACGTCTGATAGCGTATCTTTGCGGAAAAAGTGATCAGGCAGTTGCCGTCCAAAGTCATACTGGATGACGCCGTTACTGATGATGACATCTCCGAGGACGATTTCGTCGTTAGTAGGGACAAAGGGAACGACACCACAAATACCAACCACTAGGGCAAGTTTGATGCATGGAAAACTCTTTCCGCAGTTGGAGGCTACGGTAGCCGCATTAACCTTGCCCATCCCTGGCATATATGCGAGGACAACGTTGAAGCGGCCGATCACGCCTGTGGAGTAGGCATTAGGGTCGCCTAGCTCTTTGTCGAAAGGCGGACCGTCATCGTCCCAGTGATGGTCGAACAAGGCTTCGATAACATCAGCTTCGAGAGTTAGAGCGCAAATAACAGCTATCTCGAAGCCACGACGATCGCTTGGGCGGGTTGGCCGGGGCGGCCAGGGTGATAGGGTTGACATTATAAAGTTGTCGCTCAATCAGCCGATGAGATCGGATAAACATTAGGTTGGGAAGCAATGGGCTTCATTCGGCAAGGCACTCCAAGAAACCGTATTTCCAAGCAAGAAAAAGACGTGAGTATCTGCAATTGAGTTCAGGATGGGATGACCGAGTGAATGAAATGCAATGAGGATAAAGCAAAAGCCAGGAGTGTAATGAACCTCTGCGATGGCGCCCATCGGTAGATCGGCTTTGGTAGATTAGGAAGGAAAAGAAATCTTGGGCACTCGATATTGAGCGGGGAAACGTCAAAAGCACGGCCCCGCTAGGCATATCTTGTTGGCTCGTGATGATCGATTATCCTTATCATGGCTGGGCTCACCACCACTCATACGTCCTAGACCCCTGTAAAGACTGTCATCTACAAGGCTAATTTACCGGAAGATCTAATAATTCCTGCGACCCTAGGGTAAGGAAAGGTTTAGATGCATTATCGCAGTTATTCCCGCTGATTCTTCATGCACTCGACAGATTGAATAGCAAGGGGATGAGCATAGATCACTGCATAATACTTGGTTATAATACAATGTCTCATCCTTTTAAGCTTCTTCGTTGTTCTCATATAGCTTTCAAAAATACATGACCATCGAATTCCTGTGTTGGAAAGTTTAGCTCCAAAGGTTAAAGTGCCATTTCAATGCCTCCATCAGACCAGCGTCCGGCCCGCTCCTAGCGTCATAGTCTAGCGTCATAGTCTGAACCAGAATCTGCACTACCACGACAGCTTTAGTAGAAGGGGCCACAAAAAAAATATTAGCTCGTAAAACCGATGAAGTTACATTCCCTAGTTCTTCTCGAGATGATGTAATGCAACCTCATCTGGGTAGAGACAGACGTTTCGATCCGTCAAAGGATCCACAAGCTATGCAACTCAACCGTATGTAGTGGAGCACCTCCACGTCATAAAGAGCTTTTTGTGGAGAGGTTTCCTTTGACTGTCCTTTGACTGCCCCTCCTCGAGAAACAAGGTCGCTCTTTCGCATCCTCCAGGGGAATTTTCCTCTCCCACTCTTCCCTTTTTCTTGCAGATTGCGGATTCGAGGCAATACAGCACAATAAAAGAGGGTAGTAGTAATCTTTTCAGCTGGGCGACAGACGACGAAAGTACCAATCGTGATCTGAGATCGCAATCGTTAGCGACCCGTGATGCAAACCCCGTTTAGCCAGATCCAGAACGCTTACTCCATCGTAGGTGACCGTCTTGTCCTGTTCGGTGAGTTGCAACCAGGGTAAGCTGAACAGCCTCCGACTTGTGTACGTTACTTGATAGAATGGAAGGTGAAGCTGAATAATAGGTGCATTAGTAAAGATACTGAGCCTGACGTTGTCCTGGCTCCTGGCGCGCACTGGACTAAATTTCTCTGGTCTAAGCTAGATAAACTTGCAAAGAAGAAGATACCCTTAAATAGGTCCTTTCACATCGATAATGCGGATATTGCCGTTTATATTAACTACAGAGACGAAGCAGACCTAACTACGAGATCTGACGGCCTTGATATTAGCTGGAAGATGATAGAGAGTAAGCTGCGAGCTTGGGAACAGCTTTCTCAACTTTCATTGTAAAAAAAAAAAAACACGAGCAGAGTCACGCTCAAGCTATTTAAGTATTGTTTTTGTATAGTTGAATAGTTAGACTGGGCATCTTATCCATTTTATTAAGGCCGTGAGGTCAGATTCTGGACATTCTCCTAACAACACTATAGCGCCCATTTCTGGAAGTTGTACGGAAGGTCAGCATCTGGGGGTAATAAAGGTCGATGACAATCTGCTGTGAAGCCGCATTACGCTGTTTGAACATGCGGGTAAGCTGTCAAGAGTTACTGTGTAAGCAACACGCCCCGGCCTAAAACGTCCGTGCGGTATAAATCAAAGAGAGTCAAAAATGGACAACCGATTTCGATCTTTACTGTATATAATACAATCTGCTCGAGTTACACTCTGGCTATACTTAACACAGACTACAGCTAATGCCATGCTTGGTCATTATATATGACAAGCCTCTTGGGCCAAATGCCCGCGGGTCCGGGTCATTCCATAACAGCTCGACAATCCGCGCTCCTGTCTTTACTGCACCAGGCGTCCCTGATGCCCTTGCTTTAAATCCTGCCTGGAAACCTGCAATATGCTTGTCGCTTCGTGCACAAGAACCCATGATGACGCCTGGCCAAAGAAGCATACGTCGATATGGTGATTCGCTGACAAACAGAGTGTAGAAATTGGGCATCATTTGATCAATCCGTCCTTCAATCTCTGACATTAGTTCTGGGTCGGCGAGCATGTTCCGGTGAAAGGCCGACTGTAAATACACAATCAACGCGTTCTGGTATATCATTGTCGCACCAGCACGCTCTTTGTGAGGCCGGAGACCATTGCTGTCGTCCGCGGCTTCGGTGACGCTATGCAATCTCTGAAGCAGATACTCGTACTCCTTTGTGAAGGCCGTTGGCCTCTCAGCGTTTTGCTGCTCCTCGTTGCGTCGGGCCTCAACAAGTTTTGCAACCTTTGGCACCAGCTCGAATAAAGGCTTTCCGAAACCAAGCAGATATCCTCGAGATTTATACCCATCAAGGACATCAAGCGAATGTACGGACGCGTCGATCTCGACAAACTCTTTTGACGTGAGGCTGCGAGGAGTAATTGCGAGCTTCATTGTGTGATACGCGTATAGCTCCAGGATGAACCCTCTCAAGTTTCGCAACTCATCAGGCGCATTGGGGTCGGATGTTATGAGCGTGATGTACTCCTGACTTGCTTTGAGGTGGTGATAGATTGAACTACGGGAGCTGCCCTGGACGTGCTGAAATTGTCCTGTTAATATTTGCGCATTAAAGATTGTTTCGATTTTACTTACATCGAAGACGCAGAGGAGCAACAAAATAAGCAGGATACGGGAAGGACTTGGTGGCGTTGTGTCGGCTTCTGGTGTGTGGATGGTCTGTCCAGTTCGATAATACAAAAGCTTTTGTATTCCAGATAGCACGTTGGCATAATGACCACGAGCAGCTACCTCCAAGCCACGAGCGTCCTCATGACTAGAGGACGTATCATTAATGACGACATGAGCTCCTCCAATGGCCAGGACACAGTTCAGCACCAGTGCATCATGTGACGCCAGTGGCAGCAAGTACTGTATAAACGGGTTCCCGTCCAGGCTTGGTCCACGTGTCAGCATCTCGGCTGTGACGTTTATGTAGTGCTGATAAAGTTTCCGGGAGTTGTCGCTTAGATAGGCGAGATTTCCATATGTTGGAGCGGCTCTTGGGGATGAAGTGGCTGCGGCTCTCAATCCTGATTGAACGTTGGGAGCACCATATGCCGCAAGGCTGATGTTTTGTGGTGGGTTGGAACTGCTAGCTTGTGTTGTGTTCTCGCCGAGCTGCATGTCTGATTGTTGGGTTTCTTCCGACTTTGGCCAGAGGCAATCTTGCTGAGACCTCTCACACGCTGTGCATATCGGTTTAACCTCGTCGCACTTCTTACGTTTTGTGCGACAGGTAAGGCATCCATTCTTTGAACGTGGATGGTTTCGACGCCATTTCTTTGGGAAGGGCGCGCCGCGATATGGGGAAACCTCCTGTTCTTCCATCATGATATTTGCAAACGAATTGTCAAGCAAAGCAGAACTATCCTACTTGCACATACATGTTGATATAAGAACGAGGGAGGCAGCCTTCCAGTCCTTCCTACGCCGTGCCGGAATCGTCATCCTTGTAGGGCTGAGCATAAGGAACTACAACCAATACTACATACTAAGCACAACTATACTCAATCTGCATTAGCGTGGGATCAATCCTTTATCTAAGCGCTTATCTAAACGCCGTATATTGTGGGTTATAATGGCCAGCACGCCAATCAATGGGCCATAAGGTGTGCACATGGACTACACGTCAAGAGAGCAAAGTTTTCGTTATGGGTGATATACACTGAACTTGAATTACTATAGGTCCATCAGCCTGGTGTGCCTATCCATTGGTTGTGTCCCTGGCACTGGTTGGGTCTCGGCATGTAATATCCAAGGTGCTCGTGTCAATGTTCTGACAGTCGTAGACCGGTGGCTTCTTGCTTGGAACCTGGACTTTAATATCCTCAGCCACGATGTTACTGCAACGCTGTAATGATGTCAGTCAACTCCACTGTATATTTGGCATTGCGTTCTTACATCGGGTGCACTGCAAACAAGAGATCCAGCTCGTGGGTCGTATTTCGTTGAAACTGTTCCCCAGAAGTTCTTCATCGTGACGTCCTCAATAGTCAAGTTTGCCTGGTATTAATTGTCAGTGACAGGTAGTTCATTTATGTTATTCGAACTTACTGGAAACTCGTTGCACAGAGTCTGGTTCTTCTGGCCATAACACTGAGTAATGGTAATAGCGTTATCGTTATTCTCGTGGTAGAACGTATCGTATGTCACGTTTCTGACACGGCCGAGACCGCCGCCGCCGTTCAACAGGCTCTGGAAGGCAGTCTCAACGCCAGGCCACACCTTGATTCGAGCACCATCGCTGGCGTTGGACATGGAAATGTTGTAGATGTAAAGATTCTCCACGATGTCGGTTTCACCCTTATACTGGCCCAGGGAGCCAACACTGATGCCGTGAGAGCCATTGCACACAAGGTTCTGAACAACCACGTTTGTACTATTTGGCTTGAAAGATACACAATCTACTGTTGTGAGAAGGTGAATAGAACCTGATCAAGTGGGCACTTACCGTCGGTATTGTCAATAACGGAGTTTTGGATAACAATGCGGTCGGAACGGTATGTATCCCAACCATCAGAGTTGGCGATTTTGACCCCATTCAAGCTCTTGGCTTCAAGGTCCAAATCACTGATCAACACGTCCGTGCTGTTGATGATAATGTTGAACCACTGATTCATGTGAGTACAGGGCTATGCTTGATGTAACTGAGACTTACATTGGGCGGGTTTCTCATTCGCAGGTTTGACATGGTGAGACCATGGGCGTCTTCAATTGTCAATAGAATTGGTCTCAGTAACTTTATAACAATTAGTATCGACTGGAAACGGAGTAGTGCTGGGATATATCACGACTTACAGTCTTGTTGACAGCCATCTCTTCCCAGTAAGCTTGCCCATGACCATCAAGCAGAGACTCCCCCTTTGTCAGATCGCCATAAATATGGATGTCCTTGCCTCCAATCTTCCAGAACGAGGACATGTTCTGGAAGTCATATTTGAAGCTGTGGTCTGCCCAGTAGTACGGGTCGGATTTGAAGTTGACCTCCCCAGTAATGATAACATCGACATGGGCAAGCCAGGTCAAGTCGAGTGGCGAGGCAATGCTGTACTTCTGATCAAGAACAATTGTGCCTCCTTTGTTGCACTTCTTGAATGCTTTCAAAATGCTAGGAGCATCGTCGACATTCTTACCCTTGCCAGGGTTGACATAACAGAAGTCCTTGCGAGATCGCGCGGGGGAGGCAGGAAAGGCTTTGCCTGTACCATAGGGTGCAGCCTCAACATGGGGCCTCTTGGGTAACGCCGAGTTGCGAGACGAGGTGCCAACAACTGACGACACAAGAGCAGACACGGCGACCGCCGAAAGAACGTTATTGAACAACATGTTGATTCTCGAATGAGCTGCTGATGGCGAAACATATTGTCAACGCCAAACTCACGCCTTTATATTATACCAGACCTTTGGATATCTTTCATAGTAGACATTGCTATTGGTGGAACAACTATGTCTGATATTCTGGCTAAAGTTCAGGTGAGATCCACAGGCACCGATCGCTATCGTTTCCAAACCACGCTTTACCCCACGATGCCATTTACTTAAATTGCGGGGTAGGATTCAATATCGCTTTCTCCGCAAATTGGCCAATGAACATCATTACCATGATTTTGAGTTTCCCCTTGCTACTGGTTCATTTCCGGAGATCCCCCAAACCCCCAAACTACCCCAAGATTGAACGAGCCGGATTGCCAGCTTGGCAGCCAAATTTTAACGTCTTCTCGGTTGAATCGGATGTTACGGGCATGACATTGAGTAGTATGCAAGGCCCTGCTTGCTCAAATCATGTCTAGGTCTACAGTCAGGCTTGTTCCTCGTCCCAACTCGCTTGAAGAGGATGCTAAAATACCCCCACTTCATCATCTTCCACCGAAGTTCATGATGGACTGACAAGAGGTTTTTGATGTTCTCCAACCAATTGTCACAACACGGTCGAGAACTTGATTGCATGAGAGAATTCAAAGTGCCGAAGTATACAATTTTCTCTAGCTCCTGCTTCTTCTTTTGCAGTACTCTATATTTTATCTGGAGTTCCTCTTAAGATCTGTTGCTCTTGAAACCTTGTTTACACCAGAGCCGTACGTCTTCGCCCTTATGACATTTCTCTCAACGCACTGCCGCTAATGTTAAACCAGTGCATTTAGGTAATCGCCCGGATGCATGTCTAGACTTGGCGGCGAGTGCGCCCAGGGTAGAGATCATAGAAAGTCCCCCAAGCGCCGACTTCACTATACGTTCATTATTGGTACTCAATTTATCCAAGATTCTTTAACTACTGTACTGAGGAGATGTATCAACAAGCTACTAATCGTGATATTTTCCAATGGTCAGATCCCTGTCCTTTGTATGAGATGTCGTATTCGAGAGAGTCGCTCGAAGAACTTGGTCACGAGGCTCATCTGCCGTATTATGAACAAGCACTCTCGACAACGAACGGTCACTGGAGCCGGCATTTTTCAAGCGGATAGGTGTCATCTTGACGGTGGTTTCTCTGAAGTGCGTGCTAAAGCTGTGGCCATCGGCTGTCCTCGAAAAAAGCTATTTTGTTTCGTAGTCTGTTTTCCATGGGTCAATGGATACAGCATCTCATGCTTGTAGAAGCCGACTCGCTTGATTTCTGCTTTAACCATCGCAACTTATTGGCTTAACATAAGAATGTTAGACTCTTAAAGGGGTTGAACTTTTGGATATGTTCTTAAACACTCCGTTTACATATGTGTCGGATTACTCTTCCGAGTTATCCATATAGATGCACTGAAATGAACTTCAGGATAAAAGCAATATAATCCCTGATGTTTTAGAGTCACCGTTAATCTTCAAGGAACCGAGGCAAATTTATCTGTGGCGGTGATGTAAATCTTTTCGAACCCATGATACCGATCTCGATATTTATCGAAAGCAACGAACTAGAGATAATGTACAGACAAGACAACATAAAAGCTGCTATGATGTTGACTGACCTATATTTCAAGATATGCGTAGATATTCATGGGGCATGTGATTCCGAACTTCTCTTGAAAAGCTTACATGACTAGGAGCTTTTCTGGACAAATGAGACAGACGTGGGGACGTACAGCTGGGAACAGCTGGGAGATTGAGGCTGTTTATGTCAGGTCGACCATTAGGGTGGGCTTTTTGTAATGCATTTAAGTTGTATATAATTCACGGTGTTCAAGTTTTCTTATCTTCATAGTTTTGTGAATGTTATTATACATTAAAACGAGACAGGTCGGCGCAATGAATGAGGCTGAAGTAGTCGGTCTAGCCATTAGTCTCTCCTGTCCCAGCAGTCCTGCTGGCTCCTTTGATGTCATGAAAGCGGCCCTTTCGCCCCTGCGCTTGTCTGATTTGTGAAGATCGGAAATCTAACTCGAAGCAGCATTCAAGTTAAGGATTTTGGCGGCAAGATTGTTTCAAAAGTGCTGCGTTCGGGGCGTCCATGGCTTAGGTTCTTCAGATCATCCTCGTCATTGTCATGATTGGCCTTTTACGGACCCGGGATACATAAACCTGAGCCCAAATTTCATGAGATAGGAGGAGAGAATAAACAGCATAAACTCTTTTTCATCAATAGATCACGTTGAAAAGTAATTGGTACCGATAGAGTAGAATATCTCGTGGCGGTTGTGTGCAGTGTCAAGCCGGTCACACAAGGTCTGGCCTTGTGGGGTAACTTATTCTTCCTTCAACCTTTTTCTCTGCTCACAATTCAATCTCTTAACTCACCTTCACTCTCCTCAAAAGTGAGCTTCTTCTTCTCATTGCAAAAGAAAGAGTCTGCTAACCCGACAAGGAATTCGAGACCTCTAGTTATACACAACAAATATGTGTTGTACCAACACCCTGCGAATCTCTTCTTCTCTCCACAAAGCCGCGCTTGCTGTGTCTAAGATCACAGAACGCAACAGCCGGATCCAACAATGCCAACTCGATCAGGCGCTGGATATCAGACAGGTCGCCGATTCTTTCGATCAAACCGTTGACGAGTTTGAGGTGTTGACCATGCACCTTGGCTGTGCAACCGCCACCGAGTCGTACTTCTATCAAGCCCAGCAGCATGTTCACTCAGTCCGCCTTATGCAAAACGATCTCAGAAACACTCTCGCATCCATCACCGACGCCGACATCAAATTTGGTCAAGAAATGCGGTCTAGTTATGCCCAATTTCTGAGTCATATCTCTTGCTACGCTGGCGATGACACTCAAGCTCTCGCATCACTCAGCACTATTACCGGAAACTTTGACGAATTCAACTTGCAACAACATCAGAGACTTGCAACCATGCACGATCAGCTCGATAGCTACATCCTCGTCTTGAGCAAGATAGCGGCCTTGAAACATGGGTTGGAGGAACAGGGGCTGATCTGACGGGACATTAATTGGGCGTAGAGCTTCGTCGTCGCCTGGGATTGTCCATCAAGGCCCCGTTATGAACGATGGAAGACTTGCTCAACTCTTCGACAGTGTTGGAAGATAGTTAAGTCTCTTCATACCAATTGATCACATCATGATCGAATCTCGCTCGCCACCAAGCGTCCTTCAAGTCATATCCACTTGCTGATTCATTTGAACCCAGCTGTAATATAGTGTAATGATGGCTTTAAATTTGGATTTTTAAAATGCAGTGACTTTAGAAACTGCTTTGGACGATAGTTCAAACTATCAACAAGGTGGTATTGAACCATGTGCAGTCAATACTTTTGCTCCCGAATAGTGAACCATTCTGTAGACACTCATGACATTTTGACTGTCTGCCTCCTCGCTTTTCTTTTTCCTCCTTGTTGTAGTGGTTAAATTTCACCTGAGTTTGATCTTCAACTTGGGCGGTATGGTCTAATCCAGCTATCGCCTGATAAATCAGCGACCTCGACTTTCATCGCTTTTACTCAATATATTTATCCAGCTTCTAGTGGGGTAAGTCCATATCCTGATATGCCTTGACTTCTACGGAGCTTTACAGTAGAAGGTCTCTTCCGTATCCCCTACTCGATGCCTCCTCCTCCTCTGATATCCGACGAGGCTACTCCTTGGTGTTGTCACAGATCCTTGCACATAGACCGACGGATGTTCCGATTTCCATTTTGTAGTTGCTGGAGACTGAACAGTCTTTGGTGTAGTCTTTGAACTAGGCTTCCAGTTGTCGGCCATGTTGTCGGCCGTTTCATTGACTTGAGCATACTTGGCTTTGGATTAGACTTCCTTTTCGTCATTTCAAGCATGGAGAGTCTTGATTCTGTTTCTGGCTTCCCTCCTTTCGTACATTTTGTCGTTGTAGGGACAGCCGTGGGGAATATTGTAAACTTGGACTTTGATGACTTATTGGATTCGATTGCTGTAGTAGTTTTTAACTCGGCATCGTCAACCTTGATTGACGAGACAGATGCTTTTGGAGGAACCATCGACGCTTTTAGGGCGGAGAAGGGGCGACTGATTCCATTCTTTGGACTGGCTTTGCAGGTCTACAGTTTCGGAAAGCCAGCCTAGAGATTCTCCTGGATATATGCTAGACTGATGCCAACGAGAGTGTTCTTTCATTTCTTCTCCTATCATCTTGTTCTTTTAATCAGCTTTTAATATCTCTAGCTTCTGTATCGGTAGGTGAGATCATGTTGCCAACGTCAACTAAACGGCTCCAGACAACGCACCAAATACGATGTATTATTTTCACTTGCCGTCAAAGGCAGCACAGGCATTAACTGGTATCCAATAAGCTGTCGAACAGCTGTACCAACAATAGCATGCAATACCGCAAGGCGACTATCTTAATTGAGACGGAAGTTCAGCATAGCTTCAATTAAAAGTTCATATTAATCATGCAGCGTGGTCATATATAAAAGTGACCCAGCTAAAGGTACGTTAAATAAGGTATTCAAGTCCCCCTCAAGGGCTCATCTGCCTCCCTGCCTTGGTCTTCTCACAGTAAATCTTTGCGTTGTGGCAGCGGACCTAGTCTTTGAGACTCTGGCGAGCCGGTAGACGTTTAACCTCTTACTGGCACCGCACTTCTGGGACTTGTTTCCCTTGCAGGCAACACTACACTGCGATGCTGGAGCTTCAACACTACCATTAGAGGGCCCCTTCTTACTGCAGTAACAGTCCTCTCCGTTCTCGAGTCCCAAGTAAGGATATCCTTTGCTGGAACAAAACTTTGAGCAGACATTGAGAGTCATCTTCTTGTTTGTTGTCTTGGCACCTCCTAAGGCGCTCGCGCCTTTCCCTTCCGTATAGCACCCGAGATATTTTGGTGGGGTGTTAAGAGCCTCGAGGTTGACAGTGGGAGTATAAAGTGTATTGTTCCAAATGGATATGCGATTACCGGCACCACATTTCTGGGAAGAATCTCCCGCACATGGCATTCTGCAGTCGCCATCTGGCGCAACAGTGGCCTGCGTCTTGGGCGAGTAACCGCAGTAACATTCCTGTCCATATTCCATTCCAAATAGGGGGTAGTTGAGTTTGCTGCAGAATGAAAAGCAGGTATCGAGAGAGACGGCAGAGCCTGTGAAGGAGGCACTAGGAAGTGTCCGGCCCCCTGACCCTCCATCCGTGTAGCAGCCTGTCCATAGGGCAGCACCATCAAGTGCCGTGATTGGTCCTGTGGGTTGATCGGGTTGCTTGATTTTCCATACACTCAATCTATTTCCGGCACCACAGTAGCTGAATATGTTCCCCTTGCACTGCATCGAACACTGAGATATATCGGTTATGTTGGAGCCGCCATTGACAATATCGTTGCCACAGTAGCATTCTTGGGAGTATTCTGTGCCGGCATATTTATACCCGCCTGCCTGGCAGAATGCAACGCACTTCTCGTTTGTCATGCCAGTCACGTCCGCCGTGCTGTCAGATGAGAGTGCCCTCCCAGTGTTGCCTTCGGCGTAGCATCCATAGTATGTAGCCATGCCTTTTGAGATTTGAGTCTGGCCAACGATGAGCTCTGCAGGCGGTGTGTATGAGGTGTCATTCCATACTGTGAGAAAGCCTGGTCCTCCACAATACTGTGTCATGTTGCCTGCACAAGTCATTTTGCGTGTTGACGTACATACTGAAGCCTTGGTGTACGAGGCACCCGATGTGAGCGATCCCGCACAATAACACTCCCGGCCATTCTCCATTCCAGCGAGTGGATAGCCCTTCGCTTTACAGGTCGTTGTGCAATACTCAATAGACATGCTATTTGAGGTCACAGCAAACTTGTTCAAGGTTCTGCGACTGCCTTCAAGAGCGCAGCCAACGAAAGACCAGGAGCCAACCTTGTCCCCTATAGCAGGATCAGACATAGATCCGATACCAGCATCTCCAAGGTTGTTGATGGATGGCTTTGCGTCGCATGCTACCGGTGAAGCTCTGCCAGGTCCACTGAAAGGTTTGTTGCACCCAGGAAGAGCATCAATTACGCCTCGAATGGGTTCATCAATCAGGGGCGCCATCTCTGGGCAATTGTCGCTAAAGTATGGTGTTTGTGAAGCGGCAAGTATAGGGCATTTCGAAATTGCTCCTCCGATGCTATCATTGTTGATGCATTTTTTGATAGCAGTCGCAAGAACAGTCGAATTCCAGCCGTTTAGGAAGTCGCCGTGAAACGCATAGCCAGTAGTGTCTCCATTAGCAAAGACAAATCGGCCACCTTTGCTTTTGTCGATGTTGTTGACCCCATAGATGACCTCGAAGAACAGATGAGGAAGCTGGCGTGGATGAGTCGGGGGACAGATGCCATTGTCTATTTGGGACATGTAGGCGACGTGGCTTTGATCAGACTGGTAATCCTGTCCATTCCAACATGATTGGAAATGGATCTGGGCTCTCATGCCGTTATCACAATCTGTCTTCCACATGTAGTTACGCTCCTTTGAAGGCCCTGAGCTATCCAAGCATGCGAAACTGACTCGGTCGGCCACTGGGCGACCTGAGAATCTTGAATTACTGTATGTTTTTGTCTTCGAATCATAAGATCGAACAAAGTTGTCTCCAGATAGCATCTTGAACCCCGGAGGGAATGGCTCGATGTTTGTCTTGTTCTCTCCACGCCCGAGGTAGTATATCACAGTCCCGCCGTTTGGAACCATCTGGAAGCTCCCATTCGCGTGCTGATAGAAGAGCTGGGGTGTCCAGTAGGCCGATTTATCGTCCTGGACCTCGCAGGAAGTACACCTTGAGGCCTGAAGGCTGTCAAAGGTGGAGTCAACGTTGATGTTGCTGGCCCCAGAGAGCTTGTGGACATGTGCTGAGAAGGTTCCGGGGGCAATGATGGGATCAACTCGGCCAGTCTGTATGATACTGCACGACATGCGCCAGTATCCCTCGACCCAGGCAGCGAGAGCCAGCAGCCCGAGGAAGCTATTTGTGTGGTTGACCATCTTGGATGTACAAGTAGTGGGTGAGGTGGAACAAGGAAAGGATATTGGCAAGCCCTTGTTCAACACCCGTGAGACGATAATGTTGAGGTTCGAGATGACTACTGGGAATGAACTGATCGGGACATGATCGTCTCAAATATAACGCTCGAAACAAATTTAGCCAGGAACAACGCCCTGGTAAACTGACTTTGCTAACGGGAAGGCATTCGGATTATACCCGTTTTGGGTGTCCCTGAGCCTCAATCAAGGAAACATAAAGAGCCATGCGCCGTAGTATGAGATACAATGTCACCAATGGGGTCGATAGTGGACAAGCATTCTCAATTCCTTGGTTTTGATAGCCTACATTCCAGTGGTAGCCTCTTGTGAGTCGTGGGTATGAGAGACTAAGCTTTATTGAAGCTGGCTGGCCGAGTCTGGATAGCTTCAGAAACCTTAAATCCCGAGTCGTGGATAGGCGCTACTGGCGCAGGCACCCGCGGTCGCATGATGGCTGCGCTTGGCTGCGCCAAAATCGAAAGCCCAAAAAACCTTATTGCGACGATGCGCTTGTGGTCTTTGGCAGTTGGTGTGGGTACCTTTGTCCATAACCCCATTTTCTTCACCTTTTGCATACCAGTTGTGATTTGAGTTCCATCGGCCAAACGACTTTTCTCCGGCTCAAACTCAGAGGAGGCAACTGAGGAGCCACTCCGATATTATGCAGACATTACAAATGGTTGGACAGAGTTATCTGATATCTAGTGGTGAGCTTGTCATATTCTCTCAATGCTCACCATTTTTAGAGAGGCGTTCCGCCATGGACCGGAGGCGTTCTCGTGGCCCGTTGACGTGAATCCGCTACAGGTCTTTTGGCACGCTTCATATCAGTCAAATCTGCGTCCTACTCACTTGGTTAAGGTGCAGGGTCATGAACTCGTACGTAGCCAAGTGACTGGTAGTTTATGTCAAACGTCATCGTGTCATTGCTAAGTTAATAGCTCCGAAAGTTGTCACTGCGTGGTAAACAGCAGTCTTGCCGCACGGGGACTAGTATGATCGCCTATCTTATCTAGCTTCGTTCGTCGGATTGTTACTAGCGATACCCGGGTCTCGGCCATGTCATGTCACTTGATAGACGTAGCATTTTATTGATATGTCAAGGACTGTCATCGACGTCAGATATCCTTACCTTAAGGTATGAGACATGCACCGCGAGGGAAGCAATTAATCCCGCGCAGCTTCAGTCAGAGAAAAATGTGATTTGACAGACAGCCACGAAGGTAAAGGGAATCTCAGTTATTGATAGATACCTATATAGGTTCATTCATGTGCCAGTAGTAGTTTGCCGTTCGTAAGTTTCAAGCATACAGTAGGTGTCTGTGAAAGGATCATTGAGATGTTCTGCTATTCGTCACCTTGACTGCTATTACGGAGTATGAGGACAGAATTGATGGCAATCCAAAAAAGCATCAATCAGGTGATACAAGCTTTTCCAATGCACTCGATGGTTGGGGATCATATCACTATTTAACCGATGACAACCCGCTGTTCTCTTGAAGGAATTGTTTCAACTCTGAAAGGTAAGAAACATGCTCGCATTGTAAAAAATATCCAATAACGTGACGCGGTGATGTCCCCTGCATGTTTTGATTAAAGGGCCTCAATCCCATTGTCAGACGAATGGATATCCCCTGTTCGTGCTTATCCCCTGGTCCAAGGTCGTAGCTATCCGCTTCAAGGAGTTGACCGTTGGATGAGAAACATGTTGCATCGTGCGAAGAATTCCAGTCTCTGAGGTTGTGAAGAATTCTTCGATTATATAGGAGCTGGAGATGGTCAAGGGTATTATCTTCGTGTTGGAGTTGTTGTCGTGATTTTCCGCGCCCGCGCCCTTGAATCCAGCAATTTGGGGAACGTTTGGGTAAGGTACTTGCTGACTGGTGAACTGATGCTGGCGTCACAAGTACCCCTGCTCCAACCAACATCCAATCTCCAGCTCCCAAAATATTTCCCCAAACCTTAACTTGCTCCGTACAACAACAGTTGTCACATCACCTCACCTGCAAGAGTTTCTTCTTCCCCTTCTTTCCGCTTGTTATGTTTATTTCCCGTGTCATTCTCTCGACTACATCCTGAAACCTCTCTCCGTCGCCGCGGCGGTGCATTGTTTGACGACTTGCGAATTGATTTGACTCCGTTGGCCGTCCCCGTATCTCACCGCAACCAAATGATTGAGCAGCGAACGAAACGAAACGAAACGTTTATCACGACCTCATTGAACGCAGCGAGTTGAAAGATACGCAATCCTTGATGGCCTCCTCAGAATACGACTATTAATCCACTTACGAGTCTGTCCTTACCATACTTAATTTGCAGCTTCGGTCATTCTGCATGTGCCACCACAGTTTACAATTGATACGTCACTGCCAACGGGACTCCTTCCCGTCAGCCTTCCGCTACCGTTCGACGTAAACCGTTAACTGCGTGTTCCTCACCGGACGTACACGGCCCATACTCGGTCTCCCTCCACGCGGCGTGGCCAGGCGGCATCCGGCGCGGAGGGATGCAGGCCTTGAAAGGACAAGCCGAGCTCGTGCGCAAGGCGAAGGTATGTTGCTTAGGCGGATCCTATTGCGTCTTCAACATGCAGCCTAACACGTAATAGCTTGCTCGCTCGTATCAGGAGCTTCTCGAGTACGACCCTCGCCTTCCCCAAACGTTGATTTGCTAATCTCTCCTCGCAGCGAATTCGCAAGCCATGACCTCAAATCCGTTGGCAACTACGCGCTTGGGAGACTGATCGGGAAGGGATCTTTCGGAAAAGTCTACCTGGCGTCGCATAAACTGACCAATGGCTCCAAGGTACTTCAAGTCTAGCACAATGCCGGCTTATCCTCGATGATAGCTAACCCAAATAAGGTCGTTCTCAAGTCTGCCAACAAGGGCGACTCGAACCTCGCACGAGAAATTCACCATCACCGGCAGTTCATACATCCACATATAGCAAGATTATACGAAGTTATTGTCACTGAAAACATGGTCTGGATGGTTCTCGAGTACTGTTCTGGTAACTATTTGCTCGCCTCTTCTTTGACTAACCTACTGACTTCTACAAGGCGATGAACTCTACAACCACCTGCTCGAGCACGGTCCACTCCCCGTTCTAAAAGTACAAAAGATCTTTACACAACTCGTCGGCGCAGTTAGCTATGTTCACAATCAGTCCTGTGTCCATCGAGACCTCAAGCTTGAGAACATCCTCTTCGACAAACACGAAAACGTCAAACTGGTCGACTTCGGTTTCACAAGAGAGTATGAGGGAAGGACGAACCACCTACAAACATTTTGCGGCACGATCTGCTATTCTGCACCCGAGATGCTCAAGGGCGAAAAGTACGCTGGTGAAAAGGTTGATGTTTGGAGTTTAGGCATCATCCTTTATGCGCTACTGTGCGGTGAACTTCCATTCGATGACGATGACGATAATATTACCCGGACCAAGATTCTGAGCGAGGATCCCAAGTTTCCTGATAATATGCCCCCCGAGGCCATTCCTTTGATCAAGTCATTATTATCGAAAAGGCCATTGTTACGTCCATCGTTGCCTGAGATTCTCTCGAATTCATTCTTGGCTGAACATGCCCCGACACAGAGAGCCATTCTGGATGTTCAGCAACCGCCCCCTTTCTCGACGCCCTTGGAGAAGGATTGCTTGCAGAGAATGCGAAGTTCTGGTGTCAATATTGACGGAGTGATTGAAAGCGTCTTGGCACAGAAGTGCGATGCTTTGGCTGGCTGGTGGGCTCTGTTATTGGAAAAGGAACAACGCAAGATGCAGCGCAGGGAGAAGAAGAGAAGAGAAAGAGAGATCGACAGCCGCAGCATTCGACGACTATCCGCGGCATCTAGTCGGCTAGAAAGAATGGCTCCAATCCTGCACGAAGTTGACGAGGCAAACGGCACCGGGCGGCATTTGAGACTTGAACCGTCAAACTCCCGGAACAGGGGGAGGAGCGAGCGACGAAGCGCGCATTACCTCGACTATGTTGTGACAGATCTTCCACAGCTTCCAGAAATTGGTAGGGACTCAGGAGGAATGAATGAAGATGGCGATCGTCCTCCACCGCCTGTTGACAAAGACTCGATAAGGTCCGTGTCGACATCTCGCCAGCGCAGGCCTATTCCGCCACCTAAGGAGGGTATGATACGCAGTGCTCGGTCTCGAGGCTCTACTCTTCACCTTGTCACGACTTCGGACGCACTGGCTTCGAATGCCAGTGACGAGCATCATCAGCAGAACGGCCATGAGAGGCCACGAAGGAGACCTAGTCAGCCGCTGATATCCCACTGGAAGAACATGACACATTGGCTTGTTGAAAGTGCGACAAGGAGGAGACGTGGCCACGCCAGACGAACCAGCCAGAGCACCCCTGACCTACACAAGAAGGAGGGGAGCACGGCCAGCAGTAAAGATGGAAGTTCGCGACCACAAACAAGCAAATATCCTAACTCAACTTCGCCAGGAACACAACCAACTGCTTCACTACCGAAGGGAGTTGTGGCTAACGGCCAGAAGGCCTATCAGGCTGGGAGCAGTACCCAACGAACGGCGTCAGGAAGTCTAGGGTCACCAACAATCCCGCCACCTCGGATCACGACGTCGTACAAACGACAGTCATTGTCCCCTTCTCCTCTTACACCGAGATCGACTGTTAGGCGGTCGTCAGCTGGACTTCGGGGCCGAAAGTCGACATCATCCTCAGTATCCTCTGTTCGATCTATCCATCATCACCACCACTCCCATTCCAAGGCGTCGTCTACGAGCTCAGCTGCTTCATTCTCTACTTCGATGTCCAAGACACCTCTGCAGCGAGGGCATTCACCACACCACTCAGTCAAGGTGCTTCCAGCAACACCCACGTCAGTCGCATTCCCATCCAATATTCGTCTCGTGCGAGCCACTCCGCCGACTCTGAATATGTTCAATGAAGGCATGCCATCCGAAGGTCCCCCACAAGCTCCAGGTTCGCCTAACCCTTTTGCATCAGGCATCATGTTTGCCAAGCGAAAACGGAATTTGTTCAAGGGCCCGACGCTAAACAATTTTGGTGGGCCCTCTCAAGGCCAACGCAACAGTGGCTCCGGTTCGCATTCCCGCAGTGCTAGTGCCTCTGGCCTGGGACGCCGATCTGGAGAAATCACGATACAAGAAGAAGACGAGGGATCAGAAGACGACGACGATGTTGAAGAAGTTGATGTTTTTAGCCCGGTAATAGGCGGACCGGGGGAGCGGATCGAGGAGCAGATCTTTGAAGAGAATGAGCCTCAGCCGAGCCTAGAACCAGCGCCTACCATTATTCAAAACAAGTCAGAAGGCCCGTCCACGACCACTGCGGGGAAGGCACCTGCGACTTGATGAAAATTCTCCGTTAGAAAGCAGTTCAACGACTTGACGAATTATACTAGATAATTTCCTGGACGACGGTGGTGGAATCGCTTCATTACATGGTCCAAAAGCTCTGCGATACAAGGCTGTTTGTGTTTCTGTTTTTATTCGTCTCTCCGATTCACCAGCTTTGCGATCATTCATTAAAACATTGAATGGTGCATAGCCCCTTATGGATACCTCTTTTTGTTATATACGATCATGGAACGATAGAGCTTAACAGACTATTATTTATGCGTTTGCAAATCAGCCAGCCTTGCTTATCTCAGACACTCGTTCTAAATGAGAATCTGTCAGCCATTCATTTTGTTTCTTGACTTGTTCGGTCTCTCTACAAGATCCACAGCCCTTGCGTGGGCCGCTTGCAAATAATCTTGAGTATCTGGTTCTTTCGTGCATTTCGTTGTCTCGTCCCAAGAACACCGTACGCCAATTGCTTCGTGATACCAAATATTTGTGAAAACAGCCGGTCTCCTAGAAAGAATGCGAGTGGCTTCGTCTTCGAGACTTCTTGCTCAGTATCGCATCTCGCTCTTCACGCAACGTGATCCAAACCCAGAACCATGTCATTGTTTCGATAAAGATGAATGTAAAGAATAGGCGGTTCTTTAGCATGTCACCGCCCCAGCCAGCAGGGCGATATGATGGGTTATACGAGCTCGGATGCGAGAGGTGACTGCGAGAGGACTTGTCGTACATGGGAGATGATGGGCCAAAAAGGAATATGTAGACAACGAAACCGAGGGAGAGGAACGATCGCAAGGGAGCTGTGTGGCAATTAGCGTCCATCATGAGCAGAAGTCGGGCATAGGATGCCAACCTTGTGTACCCCAGTGGAAAATCAGGCAGACTTCGTCGGGCATGGACAGGGATACCAGATCACTAAAGCCGACAAAGACGAGGACAGCGGCGAGGAATGCGAGGGGAGGGCTTTGCAGTTCAAACCCTCTTGCTAGAGGCTTCATGACGAGTCGGGTCAGCTTAAACAGGCTTCGGAGACGTCGCGACCAGCAGCCATGCTGTGATGGAGACTCACCATTCCCATGCTCTCTCCCAACATGAATACAAGCGCTTGCTCATTGATGGAGCTTGGATTGGTGATGAAGAAGTATGCGAGAGTTAGATGGAAAAGAGAGACAGATGTTATAATCGTTTTGGCAGATATGAGTGCCATGGTTGCGTTTTACTCCCTCTGGGGATGGTTGTCTCGATGTACTTCGCTCGTCCGTATCGCGTGCGTCGCAGGATGAAGCTTTCGCCAGTCGCAAAAGAAGGGGAAACTGGCAGCAAGAAAGGAGGGGCTCAACAGGCCAAAAAGAAGTGAGCTTGTGCTTAAAGGAATGGAAAACAGAAGACCCAGCTGAGAGGCGTACTAGCACTTGATCAACTTCCTGGTCACGCTGAATAGCTGTTGTGAAAACCAGCAGCAAGCCAGGGGTTATGCCATGCGTCACCCGCGCATGATGGGGATTTGCGGGCCGCTAATCGCGGCTAGCGAATCCGATTACAGGAGCGCCTCGTAGCGTCGCGGCACGGCATTTGTTGTGGCGGTGGTTGTGGCTGTTACCCTAATGCCCTTGTTCCAGTTGGTTTGGTCTCCACCTTCTCCCTCGAGCTGTGAGCTTTGTTGGTAGGACTCGAACATGCATGCACCATACCGAGCAGTGCTTTCACTTTGAGCAATTTTAACTAATGCATTCGCCTTGCTCACTGGGAAAATATACGACTTTTAGGCTTGGGAGTTTAGTTTTCTGAAATGTCGGAAGCGGGTAGTTCCTTGCTGGATAAGCAACAGCACATCAAATATTGGCAGCGCTGTCATAAATCTTATCTCCCATCCCCTTACACGGCCTACGACTCGACCCGCCTTACTTTCGCTTGCTTCATTATTTCGGCGCTTGACATTCTGTCTGTCCCGCTCACCCATACTGAACGTGGTGCTATCCGTCGGTGGGTTCTCAGTCTGCAGCATCCAGAAGGTGGCTTTTGTGGAAGTTCAACGCACGCATTACCAGGCCAAGAAGCGTACAAGGGCACAGCAAATATTGCAGCTACCTTCTTTGCGCTTGTCCTGTTGGGCCTGGCAGCCGATGGCGAGGATGAGGCGAGGTCAGCTTTCAACGGGGTGGACAGAGTACGGTTATTGAAGTGGCTGAATAGGCTCCAAAGAAAGGATGGGAGTTTCGGACAAAATTTATGGGACGGAGAGATTGTGGGTGGCAGAGATATGAGACACAGCTATCTAGCGAGCTGTATTCGGTGGATGCTAAGAGGAGATGTCAAAGAAGGCGATGAGGGCTGGGTGGAGGATTTGAACGTCGATGAAATGATTGCTCACATCAAGAGAGGCCAGGTACGTTATACTTGCTTGAGCGATGCCGTCTCACTAACACCTCTCAGACGTATGATGGTGGAGTAGCAGAATCGTCGCAGCACGAATCCCATGGTATGGTCTCTTGACTTATTGTATACTCGTATAGCTGACCTCTCTAGCTGGATATGCATACTGCGCGATAGGTGCGCTGTCACTCTTAGACAGACCACTAGACTCGACGTCGCCGCATCCTCCTGAGGAGGCGCTGAAACGGGGCGTCCCGGATCGTGAGGGACTCCTTCACTTTCTCGCCTCTCGCTCTTTCGCCTACCTCGCCAAGGAAGAAGAAGAGGATGAAGTGGAGGAAAACTTTCTTGAGTCAAAGACTGGTGAGTTCGATCTTGGCCATATTGGATTCAACGGTCGATGGAACAAGAAGGCCGATACGTGCTACTGTTGGTGGGTTGGCGGTACGCTTGCAGTAAGTTTCCCATGTCTCCTTGGACAGAGCATAGCTCTTACACGTCTTCCAGATGCTAGGTAATTCTACCATTATCAACGTCATGCCTTCGCGACGATATCTTCTTGATATCACACAACATCGCATTGGCGGGTTCTCGAAGTCCGTAGGAGGGCCTCCGGATATGTACCATTCGTACCTCGGCTTAGCTGCATTGGCGACCATGGGCGACGGTGATCTGAAAGAATTCGACGTGGGTCTATGCTGCAGTCAAGAGACGACGAGAAAAATACAAAAGGCAAGGGACGGACTAATAGATAGCACGAGAGGTAATAGGAAAGCCTGGTGTAACGATGGCTTCTGGTAGCTCTTGTATCGAACAAAGCCTATAGCATTGGCTATATAAAATGAAACCCACTGCTTCGATTGGCAAACGTGGACAGTGAATGCGAGTTCTAGTGTGTAAGACTTTGATGCTGCCTTCCTATCGCTTCATTACTCATAACTGTGAGTGCTTGTTATTGATGAGTTGGACATATCATCTACTGTCGCGACCATCCTTGGCCGGTTGTCCCGAAACCAAACCTGTTCCCAAGCTCAAATTTCGATACCGGCTTCATTGCAGTCTTTCGAAACCTGGACATGAACCTTTTTGTGACACAAGATCGCTGTTGGAGGAAATAGTCTCTATGTGCAGCTCAATGATGAGTTGGCTTCAGGGTAAGCGATTCATGAATATGACATCATGAGACAATGAAACAACATCCCGACCTAAGGGGCCTACTCAACGATACATTTGTTGATTTACTTATCTTCTTCCATTGCGACAACGAAGATGGCTAGATCTGCAACTCAACTCCTATAACTTGGGTGAACATTTGGCATTTGAATTCGGATTTTGTAGACTTCCTTTGACTACGTTTTGAACGCATTGGCGATCATCACTAACCGCTTTAGGGACCGTTCGGCCCCGCCCCAGCTTTGTCGGGTTGAATCATTAAAACCAGCGTCTCCATCCCGCGATTTCGAAGACTCCATCGCTTTTCCCCAAACGTCGCCGCCATGTCCTCTTCACCAAAAGACACAACTGAGGCCACCGAGCCTCCGAAGTCGAGCGACGTCGATACCCAACCTTGGAACGACGACAAACGCCGGAAGTTCGAAACGTTAGCGACCGCCCCGCCCGTAAACGATCGCGACACTGACGAGGTGTAGGAAATCGAAGAGCGAGTTCTACGATCCATGCCAAGAGGCTGCGCAACGGAGCTATAGATGCTTGTTCAGGAACGGAGGCGATAAGAATATGTGTGGAGAGTATTTCCAGTATGCCACTTTGGTTCGAGGAATCGGGGCAAGGCGCTGACAATTGAACAGGGCATATCGCGATTGCAAACAAGCATGGGTACGTTACTTATACACGATGCTACAGCTGAAGAGAATACCCGAGGCTTATCATTCCCGTAGACCGACAAACGGAAAAAGGAAGGCCGCGGCTGGTTCTAATGGGCCAATTCGCTCTCAACAGCCTGCGTTGACTTGCTATATCCAGCCTGGCTCAGCATCATGACTGACGACAGAGGTATCATTGTAACATTAAGGGGAGTTTATATACTGTACAATACGGAAGCGCGGTGCAACATTCTGCTATCTTTCTTAAACGAAAAGTCTGGTCTCCTGTCGGCGCCAGTGTCTTTAGATTACTCCAGTCCACCTCAACTGACAGGGCTTCAACTTTCGTTTCGGTCACGGCATCCTCGCCAATTGGTAAGGCAATGACTTTCTGATCTATATACCTGTATTCCAAGGCATCTTGAACTTCCACCGCTTTCCTACACCGACGGGAACACAGCTACTGTTGAGATACAAAGACGTCCTAGTCGCCGTTTGCTAGGTTTCACTATTTATGCCTGGATCAACAGCTGGTCTTACACGAGCTGAATGCATGGCATTCTGAGAGAGCTAAAGTAAATACCGAGCTGTCACCATATGGTAGGCAGTTGGATGATGGCTGTGTCATTGAGGAAGGAAGGACCAAGAGCTGCACAGAATGCATGGTTGTTCAATTTGGGAATTGCCTGAACACTCAAAGTACCAAAACGTCTACAGTAACCCCGTCATTCTGTCGAAACCCCCCAATTCGTGACAGTCATCAGTCATGTGGTCGTGAGATTTGTCGAAGGCGGGTTCCTAGAGTATAAAGACCAGTTGCACTATCCAACTGGGCGTCAAGCTCGTACTGGAACCGAGCCTCATCGGCACACTTGTTCAGCCTGGTGGCGTCCCAGGTTGGGCACTCTTCAAACACCTGCTTATCCAAAGCCACTCCAACATCAGCTGTCAATCGGATTGAATCCAACATTCTCCCACTTCTTAGCGAGTTTACCTTCCAAGAATCGAGCGTAAGCCCAATCGTCAACGCGCATGCTACTCCCAACATCCCAAGTCCAGACAGGAGAATCCATGGAACAAATGTCATTGTGTATTCATCGGTGTTGGACTGGACTTGATATCTCTCAGCCCTTACGGCTTGGTCATTGTCAAGGAGTACTTGGCGGGACTCCATTTCGTACCATAGGAAAGCATCAGCAAGAGTTTCTAGGTCCCAGCTCTGTCGACTTCCTTCAATCGCATCTCCAAGTACCGCTCGAAGCAAGTATCTACCGAGACCGGGCGGTCTGCCATCACGCCCATCGTCCAAGACATTAAGACTTGGCGTCAAGCTTAACACTGGCACATCGTACCCTGTATCACGCTTCTCATCGACAAGTGTGTTCTCGATCATCGACCAATCGCTCCCGTTCACTTTAAAAATGAGGCTCGCAGAGTTAGGGTTGTTCCATAAAGGCTGAAGCGGTATGACTATGCTTGTGTGTCTCGAGAGCATGACTGAGGTTGGCAAGATTCTTCCACATGATCACACAAGTGTCTCTGATGGCCTATTCCGTATAATCAGTAATACGGGTGAAACCAAGTGATGACAAATGATACTCGGCAGAACCGTCGTGACTATGGGCTCTTTCGAGCATCGCCTCATTGTTGTGACTTGATAGCATGCGGTACTGAAGCTGAGCAAGAGCCAGATCTCTAGTGCTTTAGGTATGATGAAAGTCTCAGTCGTCAGACAAAGACTTGCATCTCCTCTGTCTTTCCCTGTTGTTCTTGGATCGTTGTTCTGCGTCTGCCTCAGATAAAATATTCTTATTAATCTTGAACTCTCAATTGAGCAATGGGCATGTCAATCTGCATAAGGGCATGGGCACTTGCCAGAGTTAATATCGACAAACTGTCGCGGCGGTCACAGAGCGGGAGACCTCTAACTTTTGCATCTCAATCACCATCATGTTTTGAAAATGGCTCTAGTATAGACCGACGATCATATTCGCAGTGCACTACCTCAGGCTGGCAACATACGCAGTCTCATGCGGTGGCCCCGGGTACCAATTGCAGACGTCTGGATGGAACAGGTAATAACAACTGAGGGAACTTGATGATTGAACTGACAATGGCACCCCAAATGATTCTGACAGATGCAAGCGTCGTGATATTGAGAGCACACCTGAGTATAATGCTTGAGTTCTGGAAACACGCAGTGTTATTTCACTTGATGCTGTAACAGCACCAAAGCTTTGGGCTACGGGCGACAAACTAGGCGGTGATGTGGCGCAAGCTGCACCGCCACGCTTCCACCGCCCCTCCACCTTTCTGTAGCATCCCACTTCAATTTGAGCCCCTCCAAACTCTCACGCACTCACTCTCAATAATTCAGTCAACTTTAGTCAGTTGGGGCGGGAAAGCGTCGCGAAGCTTGACACTCATGAATCGTCAACAGCGACCCAACCTCAAGAACGGCGTAGACCTCCAGCTCCAGTCTGCCTTCAACGATGGCAACTGGGCTGCTGTGATCCGTCTTGCAGAGAAGCGGGCCCGAACATTCAACGACCAATATTATGAGGTGCGAATTGATGGGATTTGTACTTGAGCCATCCGTAGACTGACCTGTATGAGTAGATTGTGAAAATATGTGCTGAAAGCCAACTGGATGACCCTAGCTCCAAGTTCGCAGCCATAACCGCCATTGACAAGTACGTCAGAGAAGGAACCGTGGTCAAAGATGTCGATGCCATAGACCTCCTTGAATGGGCCAGCCAAGGTCTGAACAGCGAAGAAGATTTTCCCGAGACACTTGGGCCATTGAGGGCACGTCTCGTGAAGGCTACACCCAAGGATAAAATTGGCGCCAGCCGCTGTTTGGAGTCATGCTTATTGCACTGGGATCTTGTCAGCGCGCAACAGGTATGGAAGGCTTTGTTACTGAGAAGAGATATCGATTGACATATTTACAGATCGCGGCAATTTTGGACAGGACATTTCCTCAGGAGCGGAGCTTTATGTTTTGGAATATTGTGATCACACATTTATTGGCGGTTCGTACAGCAATCTTCTGTTTCATTCCTCACTAACTCCCATCAGACCAGCCCTCAATCACCTTCAGAGAAGAAGAAGCTGTATGGGATGCTCGCATTGAAACAGATACAACGTGCTGCACAATTGGCGGAAGAGGTAGTACCCCTTTCGTTAATAATAAGCCCCTAAACTCACCATCCTAGGCTGCGACTACCGGGGGCGAAGACGCCAAACCACATCCACGAAGTATCCAAACAGAAGAGGAGATCCTACTGTTATACGATGTAACTGAAAAGCATGGTTCTAAAGATGACTTGGCGAAACTCGTCTCAAGTCCCGTCTTCAGTCCCCTTGTTCAGTTCCGAAAGGGCAGGAAGGAGTTGATGCTACGGACCATTTCTCGCTACCAACAGGAACAACAGTTCGGAGCCATTTTCGAGTTGTGCAAGGATTGTTTGTCAATTGAGGACGAAAACGGTCAACCGAGTCTCATGGCGGCAGACTGGAAAGTCTGGCGGCAATTCATTGAAGCCGCTGCCGAGATCAAGAATACCAAGCCAGAGTATGTAGAAACTCAACAGCAGACGAAGCCCCGACTGACAAGATCTAGTATTGAAGAAACTGTCCAACAACTCCTATTGAAGTTCATCAAGTCACCAAATCTGCGACCGATCTACAAGCGCATTATTCTATTGGCCCGTGTCTCGGCAGCCTTTAATCTTGCATCAAATGACGAGGATGATGTTGTTGAGAACGAGCCTGCGTCATTCCGAGTCAAGGAACTGATCAGCTACGTGAAAAGCCAAGGAACAAATGCTGCGTGTTTCGATGATATAAAAGCCTTTGCAGAGAGACTCGGTCCATCTGCATTAAAGTATATGGCATACGAGTTTGTTCCAAAGTTGGCTCAGACTACAGAGGACGAGATTCAGTCGGCTAGAATAAGCAACCTTGCATTCAAGCTACAGTACTTTGCAGCCACATGCCCCTGTATGTACAGCACGATACCTGGCGAAAAGCCTCTGCGCAAATGTCTTGTCTCTGGTGTTGAAGTTGACGCTAGCTCACCCGGGCCTGCTTTCTCAACCATCGCCGAGACTGCCCTCAAGGCTCACCAGTCGCTGGCTGGCCTGGCTCCGAAAAGCTCTGCTGTCGAGGCCGAGATCAGACCGGAACTGGCTGTCATCATCGGTCTCTGCATGATCCAAACTGCATTTCCTCCATCAACCGATCTCTCGAACATCCCTGCCTCTTACACCCCCCTCCTGCGAGCTCTGTTGTTGCTCGAACACCAGCTCACTTTGACACCGAAACATAGCATTATCTCCCTTCTTCTAGTACAACTGCATCTTCGAGTCGGCTCGTCGCCTCGTGCCAGGGAAATATGGGATACACTGGGCGTCAAGCGCACCATCATGGACTCTCTCGCCCCTATTTTCTACGACCGCCTCTCGACAATCTCACCTGCCCTTATTTCACCGTCCGACGAGACCGGCTGGGAACTTCTAGAGTTGCTGAGTTCTCACTTCAACGTGTCGCTGAAGCTTCGAATGCCTAGACGGCTAATAGATGCTTTCGAGTCGGGCAGTTACAGCAGTGTAATTGATATCCCCGAATACATGGAGAACCTGCGCTGGAGCTGCACACGAGCGATGAGTCTGGTCGAGGAGACTAGAACCGATCGTATTATGGGAGAACACTTCTCAGAGGTGTTTACCGATCCTCGATTCAGTGAGTCTTTCAATCGTCCACCATTCTTGACAAGTACTAACAAAAGCAGCTGAAGTGGCTGACGATATGAAACTGGTTGAGACCGTAGACTATGGATCTTTCCCGTCATGGGATTGCAGTTCTCAATCGCCTGTCTACACCCGTTTGCGGATTGGACCACCATCAACAGTATGTCTCCTCCTCTCTATGAAGCAAAACTAACATGTACAGAATCGTCGCGCCCATCTATCACTCCTCTCGGAAGCATTCCATGAACTCTTGGGTTACAGGCCTCCCCCCATTTACAAGGCTTCTGCGACAGCCGCCATTCCCGACCAAGTCTTCGTCCTCGAATCACTCGGTCAACTTAGCAATTCTTTCATGAAGTTCTCTAACGGTCCCAGAGGCGACCTCACTCCACAGGAGGCAATCTACTTTGAGGTCATCAGCCTACTCAGCACCCTCATTCCTTTCGCAACAGGCATCAATAGGGCCAAACCCATCCCCGAGGAGTTTTTCCAGATCGTGGACACTCTGAAAATTGCCATAGATACGCTCAAGCTAGAGCTCCTGCCCCTCACAAACGCCTCAGAGCAAGTCACAACTCTGAGCACGCTTCATTCCCTCGCCATCCTCCGCGATACTTCCGTCGCTATAAAGAACTCAGCCCAATGGGTTATCGCTTTCAATGACCGCGAAAAGGAGCGTGATCGCTCTGGGAAGAGTAACCTTCCAAAAGAGGTCATGGCACAGATCAAGGAGCTTGTGACGGTATCTGAGACTACACTCAAGGAGGGCAAGGCCACCGTGGCGAAGATGAAAGAACAAGTATTTGGAAGAGACTTTGAGCCCGCGGTGAGAGCGTGGATTTTTGAAGACGCAGATAACATTTTGGGTGTCGTTGGAGAGGCAGCGACGAAGAAACTCGTCAAAAGCTGGGAATCCAACGTTAAGGGATGGACTCAGGTAGTGTGGAGTTAGGAGTTGTCGATTGTCAACGCACACCTGAATAGATCGATGTCCTCGAAGGAACTTAATCCTTTAGACACACACTCTCATGGCACTGCACTGACCAATGCGTGACTGGCCTCCATCAATTGGAGGTTCACTATGAGCTTCGGCTGGGAGCCAGATGGGCTCGTTTCGTCAGGCTCCGGTCCGAGATCAATGTGAAACCTCTGCCGCAGCTCCCGCAATCTTATGCTAGTGGGGTGAATGACAAAAGTCATGGGTTCGCCACTGATAGTGGTGTCCAATGTCGTACCGACTGCACTGCTTTCATGCAGTTTCTGGTCAATGTAGTCTTGACCCTTTCGAGCTGCCAGCATAAGCTCACCGTATCGAGCTCTGTCAAATTCTTTTATAGCCGCATTGTTTTCCCATAGCATCTCTGCTAATCTTGCACAGTCGACGAGAAGACCGAGTACCATTTCTCTATGTAATTCGATAGCAGAGAGCTGCTGTGAATACATCCGTAGAGTGCGTGATGCCTCGTGCATGTTCTCCATATAAACTGACGAGTAACCCTGAGATTCTCGTATATTGACCTTGACCTCGGATATCATTGCCTGAACAAAAGGCCTGGCGCCATCTAGAGCTTGATCGTATAGCGATTCATCCAAGTTATCTATTAGGACACGCTTCTCACTCATGCGACTGAGAAATGAGCCGATCAGGGGCTCATACTCCCATTCCATTCGTATTTGCATCGCGTCCAGGTGTTCTTCCATAGATGCGATACTTGGAGGTCGGCGTGATGGCCAGGCTGAAGAAACCAAAGACCTAAAAAGCGCCAACTCATGAATGGTGATCAAGGGGTATTCCTCAAAAACCATCTGCGGCTTATCTTTTACCATCGTGGGCTTTAGAGAATTACTAGCGGCTGCCGCCGAGTGGGTTTTGTGAGTTGCACCATGGGCATTTGTGCTTTCTCCGCGACCAATAAGACTCTGGACGAGACAATCGAAAGTAGAGGCCATAGCTAGATGGAGGACTGAAAGTCCATGTTTATCTTGCAAGTTGGCATTGGCACCGTGGTCGATCAGCAATTGCACGATGGGATCGATATCACGCCCAGCGGCATGATAAAGTGGCGTGTGACCTTGATCATCTTGCGCGTTAACTTCGGCTCCACGATCCACGAGGAGTCGCACTAATGACTCCATTTCAGAGTCGACCGCCAAGTGTAGTGCTGTTCGTCCTTCCTTGTCTCGTCCGTTCACATCGGCCGCGTGGTCAAGTAGAAGCTGGACGAGAGGCTCGACCTTGTCCGAGGTGGCATGGTGTAAAGGTCGCGACGTTTCGTCAATCAATATGTTGGGGCCAGCGCCGTGTTCCAACAGTGTTTGAAACATGGGCACCTTGTCGACTGATATCTTGGAATCCTTGAAATGTCTGAAAGCCGCCTCTAGTGCGCCTGGTTCCAGTGGCGCGCCATATTGGAAAAGGTATGTTACGATAGCATCTTGCCCTCGTCGAGCTGCATATGTAATTGGCGTCCCGCGTAGATTTGCGCCCTTTTTGAGGAGTGTTTCGGCGAGCGAAAGGTGGCCAAGGCCACATGCCATCTCCAGAACCGATACATTATATGAGTCAAGTGCGTCGATCGAGCATCTCTCCAACATCCATTCTACGGCCTCTTCGAACCCAAGTACGCCGCCTCATGAAGGCCAGTGGTCCCAGGGTTGAATCCACCAGCATACCTCAGGCGCTCAGTCACCTTGACAAGTTTCTCTGATGACAAAAAATTCTTCACAATATCAGGCATTTCTGAGACGTTGCGAGCGTGGTAACCCCAATGGCATGATGCATATCGACACAGCGGATAATCTTGGAGCATCTTCTTAACATCATAGTCTTCGTCGCTCTCCGCAACGCTATTTTTGATCTTCCAGTCTTGGCTTTTCGATCGACCAAGACCGGGATTTGGGGACCCTGGCTTTTCGTCTTTCGATTGATCGACAACCGAATCCGACTTTTCTGCATCTTTTTGTACCGCAATGCCAGGTTTTGGACCTCTAACAGTTCTGACTTGATCAACGATAAGATCGTAAGATAAGTATGTCAGAGTTTTAACGGATATTTCCAGAGCAGCATCTGGGAACCACTGGTCCTGTGTTCGCTCAAAATATTCTTGTGTCGTGAAATGTGCTAGTCGGACAGTGTTGCTCTGTTCGTCGACGGTCACCAGGCCAGCGCAAGCAGAAACGATGTCGGGGATCTCGCTAAGGTTTTCCTCATCAAACTCCGTAGAGTCTATTTCGATACCAAGGGCATGTTGAAGTTCCGCAGGACTAAGCAACCGTCTGGCACACGAAATCCACATGAGTGCTTCTTTAGCCAGTATCGCTTGATCTGTCAACTGGTCTTCTATTCGCTTCATAGCATCGCCGTACGCTTTGTCGTAGGCTTTCGATGTGCTTGAGTTACTCGGCAAAGCTTTGAGAATAGCTCGGACAGCTTTCGGTGATCTCTTGCCGACAAGAGAATCGAGATGCAGCTGCGCGAGAAGAAACCTAACTTGAGATTAGCATTGATGTTTGTTCCAAGGAGGTGCCGCCTTACATCCCCTGGACTGATTCCAGTATTCTTGTCTTGATTTCCTCTTGAAGCTCAGGCTTGTTCTGAACAAAAACTGGGAGTTGAGACATTCGACCAGCCAGGTATCTTCTTACATCCGGCTCACTGGCGCGGATTTTAAGAGAGACAGCTTTCCTGAACTTCTCCTTGATCTCTGGAATATACCTAGAGGTTGCTAGAATATTTGTACTTGTTGCACTTTGAAGGTCAAGTACTTGTTGGATGAAGTTGGGTAGTGTACCGTCAGTGGTCTCGCATTCGTCCAAAGCGTCGAGGACGATGTACACGCGAGAATATGTCGCAGCAACCTCTTGCAGAACACGACCAAGCTCCTGTAGGGATGGGCGTGTGCGAGATGCCTTGCGCTTATTGTATAGGTCGTCCACCGGCTTAAATAGTGATGGCTGGCTCTCACTCAGTTGCTTTAAAAGATTCGCAATGAGGTCACTGGCTTTCTGTTCGTGGCGCCGACGGAAGTTGCAGTAGATATATGCAACTCCAATATTGCTCTCGGAATGGAAGGAGTCGAGTAATGAATTGACCACAACGGATGCCATGATCGTTTTCCCGGCACCTGGAATCCCAGGACAAAACAGTGTTTGTTTGTCGCCTTTTACCCAGGAATTGTACTCGTCTGATTCTAATAGCCACTCACCAGTTCCTGGCTCTCGCCGGCTGAATATGTCGCTCTGTTGGGGAGCATAATCCACGGGTGAGATCCAGTCGAGGACTTCTTTCTGGTGGGCGCTCATCTGACTGTTTTGAAGGTGCCCAATCCCTTCTGCTATGTTGAGGTTGGACAGCTGTATGTCAGTCAGGATGCGGTCAAGTCGTGCAACTCGATGCTCATCCTCAGTCGATTTGTTCTTGATAAGTCTGACCAAATCGGCCAATTGTCTGCTGTTGTCGTCTGAGGTTGCCTTGATGTGCTTCACCAGCTGTCTATGTAGATGTAAGCCATCGATGCTAGTAATGGATAAAATGATACCTACGTTCTTTCGTGTGTCATGGCGAAATGCAAAAGTGATCTTTCACGCTGGAATGCATCGACGAGCTTTGCCACTTCCTTCTCATCGAATGGCCATTTCAAGGCGGCCTTGACTTTTTGAATGCCGCTCCCGTGGCCTGGTTGCAGCTTTGTTTTGATAGCATCGAGAATCTTATACAGGCGGTACAAAGGTGCATTATCACTCTCCAAGGCCTTGACCTTGACCGACCACGTCTGGGCGCTATGAGTCTTTGCCTGATCAGCGTCCCAATCCTCAATCTCTGGTCCGTCAGTTCCTTTGGAATAGTCGCGGAGTCGCATGAGGAGAGCCTCGCAGGCTAAAATCTCGTCAAGCAGTCGCTGTCGATCTTTCGAAGCTCCAGCGACACCGATGATGTATTTCGTAACCTCAGCCGTGAGTTGCACCACAGCGATAATACTCGCAGCAGCAGAGAGACCATCCATGTTGCTTCAATCGGTTGAGACACGATAGATGGATGAATCCGAGCCCTGGGCTGCCCATTTAAATAGCAAATCGCTCAGCCTACTTGGTAGCGACCACATCGCATCCGCAACAGCTCAGCCGCATTCTGCATGTTCCTTTGCGAGGATGGCCAGCAATGAGCCAATTATGTTGCTGGGAAGTATTCAACCTCGAAGTCCGTAGGAGTAAGCCATCGTAGTGGTACCTGATGCGAGCACCCTTCATTTGTTGCCGGTGAGGCAGCATTTTCTCTACCATCTCTTTCCCAACATGAGGGTGTGATATATCGGCGTCTTCATCGTGAATAGGTACGTGAAGAATGTCTCTTTTTGGCTTGTTGGTTGAGTCAGTATCAGGCGTGTCGCACGAGAGTTAGGTTTCTCTTGCGCAAGACCAGGATGACAATAGCATATAGCTGGTGAGTTTGACAAACGGGATAGTGGCACTGTAGAGCATACTCCTTTTGCTTCGCGAGTCCTCCGTATCCCGCCCTTAAACTGTTGAAGGCGACAATCTCTCATCCATTTTAAAAGTGAACAGGGGTCAATTTACTCGCGGGACTCTGTTAGCAGTTGGACTCTCCTGTAATTGTTGGCCCCACCGGTCTAAATTTAGTGGGCAGCCCCTAACATTTTGATCTCCCAAGATTTCTTTATCTCGGATCTGCATCCCCCCATTTAATGGCATCTTCTTTGCTTTTGTTTCCGTGGCGTCTGCGTCGCTATCTTAGACTCTTCGATTTCAGGAGTACATATTACAGTTTCTCTATATATTTTATCCGTATATCCGTACTTTCTTTTATGTCGCATGTATACCTATCATCGTCATTATACCTACTATCCTAATCTGCGCCAAGCTTTGTCTAAACTCTTTAGCTGCATCTGATCGCGACAACTTCTGATCGACAAAGTTGGTTCTCGTCCTTCACACACATGAGATTGCGGCTTCTTACGACCAGGCTTTGAGACAAGTTTCTTCGATACAAGCCACCGAACCGGCACTCCGCGAAGTACCCTACGAAGAGGATTATCGATGCTATCAACGACGTCATATCATTTTTCTTGATCATAGATTGCGATATTTGTAACATCAGTCATGATTTCTCGAAATCGCTCCAGTCGGCGCAGAAGTGCTGCTCTAGCCTTCATCGTCATCACTGTTCTCGTCCTCAACTACGGAGGCCTTTTGTCATTACCGTTTAGCTTCGAAGAACCCCCACAACCCGATCGCCCAGATTTTGATCTTGCACCACCATGTGCCTCAACTCTCGATCATCTGCGACGCTCCTCGTACGGCCTAACGAGGGACATCATATACCAAAAACGCTGCATCCGCCCTGTCGTAGACAAGAAACTTGATAGTCAGGTTGTATCGCAGAACCCGGATGCCTTGATCAAGAGCGGCCAAACCGTTCAACTTGACCAGGCTTGTGAAGGATGGACCGAATCGACTTGCGAACCAGTCACTCTTAGGGTGCCTCCGCCTTACCCTCAGCAGGACTACTCTGGATTTTTGTTTGGTGTTGCGACAAGTCTTGATCGATTGAACGAATCTATGTCACAGTTTGAGAGCTGGCTCGGCAATACACATGCGCAATTACTTGCGGTTATCACTGATGCCGGCGACGAGTCCAAGTATAAACAAGTCACTGAGCAGTTTCGCCAGCGCGGGATCGAACTCAGCATCAAGGATCCATGGAACAAGGCCATCACCTCCAACGAGCAGCACTTTGCAATCGTCCGTGATCTTCTTGCGCACGTTACCCCGAAGACGCAGTGGACTGCCATTGTCGACGATGACACCTTCTTTCCTTCTCTTTATCCCATGAGCAAGATTCTAGGCAAATACGATCACAAGCTTCCAGCATACGTGGGTGGGTTGTCGGAGAACTACGATGCAGTCAAGCACCATGGCTACATGGCTTTTGGAGGAGCAGGAATCTTCCTCAGCCCAGCCCTGCTTCGCGAGCTTGACCCTCATCTGGAGGAATGCCTCAAAGTTGATCATGTGCCTCAAGGCGATGGTCTTCTCAAGCAATGCATCTACAGCAAGACCAAGACGAAGCTCACTGTTGTAAAAGGGCTTCACCAGCTGGACATGGGTGGAGATATGAGCGGTTTCTATGAGTCCGGCCGTCTGCCAATGAGTTTACATCACTGGAAGTCGTGGCACCAGGCCCCTGTTGACAAGATGGTCAAGATCTCCGAATTTTGTGGAAGTTGTTTCCTGCAACGCTTCGCTTTTGGCGCCGACACTGTCTTGACAAACGGATATAGCATAGCCCAATACTCTGCAGGCCTGGAAAGCGTGGACTTGAACAAGATGGAAGGAAGCTGGGAGGGCGCTGAAGGGTTCGACTGGAGTCTGAGCCCAATGAGATCCAAGATGGATCGACGTTTGAAGAAGAGCTATCATCTAGTCGACACAGAAGTGGTTGGCAAGAATATCCGGCAAATTTACATTCACCGTCTTGAGGATGACATCCCCGGCCCGGACGAGAAGTCGAAGGACACCAAGAAGACGCCACCACCCAAGATAGAAGAGATGAAGGATGAAGTGATAGAATTGTTGTGGGAATTATGATAAGACACGAGATTGGACTAGACATATTGGTGTTCCCGGTCGGGCCGGATTTGTATATACGACGAATGATACCAGATGACATATGGGATGGATAGATAGACTGGTTTTGTAGATAATAATGCTAATGAGCCTTTCCTTATCCCGGCATTAATATGAGAGCAAGAGGGGTCTTCTGATCTCTACCCCAAAAGGTACCACACCCTCCATCACAGAGAGCTAATGATTGAGAGTTTATCAGGCTAGAGCTCCACGCGACATCGGCGTGCGGAGAACAATAGACTCCAAATATTCAGTGACTATACAAGGGGCGTTCGTTTGGAACAAGATAAAAAGGGTCTTTGTTGCCGTCAAGGCCCTTCAAATCACCAGCTCTGTCACTCAATTCCACCCCAGTCCAAAAGATGACTTCCTTGTATCAGCTCAATGGCTCTCTGCAGCCTTTTGCGAAACTACTCTTTCTTCCCGTCGCCGTTTTGATATCAATTTGGGTCGTCAACACCACTGTGAGTTCAACCAGCTTTGACTACATCATGAACTTTCGTAGTTGATCAACAAACAACAGGCAAAGAGATGGATGCGCCATCGCAGACAGCACTTGCAAGCTGCCAAGGCTGAGATAGTACCGCCTGAAAAAGTGGCAGCTATTGAACCTTTACATGACTTTAACTGGAAAACTGCACCTAGGCGTCAGTTACGGCCATTCAAACCAACATATCACATAACGATGGGTATGGTCTCCGACGTACAAGAACGTCCTTTTTTCTGACTGTCTTCGTAGCTATTCGAGCAGATACGCCATCAGAACTCATCACAATTGACGAAGATTACCTCGACCGCGTTACACATCGACGAAGTATTATTGCCACTCATGGGTCTACCGTTCATGGCTGCACTCCCGAAGGTGATGCCGCTGTGCGTGAGCTTTACACTTATCTCCTATCTGAACAGCTGCCTAAGCGCTTCCCGACCATCTTCAAACTCTCAAAGGACAACTCCATGTGCGAGAATCTCGCTACGGGAATGTCCTTCCCCACACTGCCCGAAGGCAACATGGATGCGGCGCTGCGCGTACTCGGTGAGACTGTCGAAGAAGATCTCTTCTTGTTGCAAGAGACTCCAGAAGGCCACCGCTCGGTTGCATTTATGTGTTGCTTTCCATCGGGCTTCGACCCCTCGTCTAAGCTGGGTAAAACACTTGTGGAGATCCATGCACCTGTGCCGTCATATGAGAAAATCGGTTCTAGTATGGAGAAGTTCTTTACAAAGCTGGAAGTTGGAAAGAGTGTTAAACGAACAAACGTGAGGGCTCTCGAAAGCCAGCGTGCCGAATTGTTACTGACAAGCTGCAGTGGTCCGTCCAAACTCATACAGAGCTGTTCAACTGCCAGGGCAACCACATAACTGGCGATGACAAGTACGAAAATGATGAAGATGTCGACATTGAAAAGGTAGGACGCTATCCCATGATCAGATTTCCTCACTAACACATGCACACAGACTTTCCTTCGCATAGAGCTCCAAACCCTGACTCGTCTGCCCAAGACACGAGCCATCCTTTTCTCTTTCAAGACTTATCTCTACCCTGTCCGTCAGATCAAGGACGAGGGTCTCGGGCCTGCCTTTGCCGATGCTATTGAGGGACTTGCCAAGGGTAATGCTCCCGGCATGTGGACTTACAAGAGCGCGGTACGATGGGGAAGTAGTGTAATTACTTATCTGAGATCATGAGAGGAGCTGAAGGGTCGATGAGTGGGATGCTACATTGACTGGCCGTTCATGTGGGCTCTATGTGACTCATTGCAATAATGCCAAGAGAACGCTGAATCAATCAAGAAAGACATTTTTTGTTCTGTGCCACTTCCCCAATCCCCCACTTTCATGGCCATGCTTTGTCGTTCGTGATAGCATTTTCTTGCAGTGAAGTACAAGCTCGAAGTTCATGATTGCTCCCTGGGATGGTCTCGTAGCAAGTCATTCTGGCTAGAGATGTGCTATTTGGTGAAGTCGATTTATTGTTTTCTGCATTGGGGCTTTGTATAATCGACATCAAGCTTCTGGGGAAAACAATTTGTTCTTCTCTTGTCGATTTTTCTGGCCATGGAAACTCGTCCGGTCAAGATATGTGTTATTCTCTATCAGATAACCATTCTCAACCGGGCCGGTGCTTCTCTGACTAGACCTTGTTTTATTAAGTCTAGAACGTTATCATCATGAGTGCGTCTACCCCGCAGGATAACCTTCTCAAACTTGGTTTCCAGAATGTGGGGTGAATCGTATTGATCTCGGTGCTCTCTTTTTAGCTGCCGTATCAGGTAAAGTTAACCCACATCAATCATCTTGACTACTTCTCCTTTGGAAAAGTGCCTAGAGATTACAACATGTCTTCTATAATTCCAGACGCATATTGAATCATCAAGGATGACTGGCTGCTCGAGCTCCAAGTGACGATACAGCTGCCTGAACTCATAACCCAGGGCTGCTCTATCTAATGGTTCCCATGGAGAAAAACAATCTTGAACCTTCCGTCGTGGGACATGATCGTCGCAGTGTAGCTCTTGTCGATAGACACCTTCTGGTTGTCCAGTTGTCGTTTCGTGAATTCCCGCGTTGCTTCGTCGTATCCATCCTTGTCGGTTGGCTTCAGCGCCATGCCTCCACTGTCCTTTTTGACCCGGCATTCTTTTGGAGCTCGAGGGATAATATCTTCAGTGAAGCCCATGGAAGGGGTGTTGGGATCTTCTGATTGTAAGCGGATGGGCCCGTCATTGCCTGAGTAGCGTTAGCTTCCTCTATCAATTATTTGGTGTGGTATATCACCTTCAATGACAGACACCCCACCGTACACGAGTGGATAACTCTGCCAGTTCATCTCTGCCCATGTACCGAGATTGTGCGTGCCGCCATCGAAATCGATATCGTTACCACGAACGAGTCTTCCGGAAAATGTTGAGCACGATGCTGTCAAGTCAACAAATACAGTTGTGTTGGAAGAAACCTTGGAGACAGTTAGTTGAATACTTGCCTTGTAAGTAAGTCATGGGCCAGCAGATATACCTTCATCGCGCGATACGGCTTCGCGTCTATTCCGTTTTGGTACACCATGAACCAGCGAGGACTTCCTTCACCATAAGCGGTTTCAAAGGTGATACCTGGTTGGCCATGGTCGATGTCGCCGAGGAAAGGATCTGTGAATTCAGATCAGATCACCACCACAACTGCATCTTTGAGGGCTTGTCGTACCTTGGATGAGTGTATAGTCACTCTTATCCGGCTCACCGCAGAAGTCCAAGGTCTGCGCTGCGATATCCCCGATAGATGCCGCATATACAGCCAGGGTAAAAAGGAGGAGGCAAAGGTGTATCATAGTCCCAGGCTTCTCCTTTCACTCACCTTTCAGTAGAAAAGGCTTCAAGGCAAAAAAGAGGTTGGCAAAGAATGAAAACAGCGAACACTTCTTTGAAGCTTTAGGCTGGCAGATTGTTTCCGCACGAGACATCCTTCATGGATGTTACAGTCTCCTTCCTTCCTTCCTTCCTCATAGTTGGTGATCGGACTACCCAAGAAGGTCATGTGGGAAAGTGACATCTGCACCTTCTCTGCAGTTCCTTTTATGGAACGGGAGGATGCATGTCGCTCGCCTTTCAGATCCCGATTCATAGAAACACAAATGCAGGCACCCCGTGGTTTGTCTCGCTTCAGGGTAAGTGACCGTTTTACTGCTTTCTTAACAGTATGATCCATAAGGAGTATTCGGAGTTTTCTCCGACTTCCTCATTCGGTGATGCTGTGATGTATGAAGACCTGCCATTGGCTGTACTCTATCATTGACTCGCAGTACTTGATTTCGACTTTAAATTTCACCGCATTTTGTGCAGGCATAGAAATATAAAGACACTTGATTTAAATGGCCAGATTCTCGGTACAATAGAAACTTAAGAGTGAATGGTAAACATATCGCTACCCGTTGTTTGCCTCTATATGTGAGGCTCGTTAAGGCGACTATGTACACGTTCGGCATCCTTTTCGCACGTTTGACAGCTCCAAAGGCCTTTGTCAGTATAATCAGGGACTTAATATCGCACAATGACACAGTCCGTAACATTTCATGCTCGAGCTATTGATACCATAGCCTTATGTCTTGCTGTGCCTGGTTGGGTTTCCGCTGATGACAAATGTTCATAGGATGCACTAATATCCATGTTCCTGACTCATCCATGCTCAGCCCTGGCCCAGCAATTCGGTACGCAGACTGCCGGAGTCCAACATACAACAGCCATCACCCTCGTACTAAAACATATCCATTGCTTTCGGGATCTCAATGTTCACCACTTTTGACATAACAACTTCGAATTCCCTGTCAAGCGGGAAGCCTCCTTCTCCGCCAACCTCACAACCCCGCCCCAAGAGGGCTCAAGTCTCACGCGCCTGCGACTGGTGTCGCTTGACCCGAGTGAAATGCGATTCTACCCGACCTTGTCGGAACTGCAAACAAGCCAATAGAGAATGTGTAAACTCAGGTCGCGATGATTTCAAAAGTGTTGCCGCAGCCACAAGGTGAGTCGAACCTGAATCTGTCGAAGGGCGCAAAGCTGACAAGGACATAGAGAGGTTCAACGGCTGAGAAGTCAGGTGCAGCAACTTGAGAACAAGCTACTGAGTCCATCTCCTTTACCTCAGAATATTGATGCTGTGTGTAAGCGTTCATTAAGGTGGAAAGGGGTTCGAGTGAATGGCATTCAGTACGGTCCATCCTCGCTGGCGTACTTCACTCATCGATTATCGACTTTCACCAAATCGAGCTTTGAGACAAATGTCCTGTCAAGTCCCAAACTACCAGCTACTTCATCTCCGCTTAATTGCGACCGACTGCAGCGTGAACAACAAGACGCTCTCCTCGACCTTTACTGGCAGGGCTATCATGCGATTTATCCGGTGATCGAGGAGGCTGCTTTTCGACAACTTTACGACTCACTCTGGAGTGACAACACGACGAGACAGGCAGGTCCTCTGGTAGACATTGTGATCGCCTTATGCATACAGTTTGGCTCCTCATACACAACTTGTGACAATGTCGTTGTGCCTGATCAGCCTGGTTTCGATTTCTACCTGCAGGCTCAGCAGGCGCTGGTTCAAGATTTGGATTATCCGTCTTTACAGTCGGCGCAATGCTATTTCCTCAGCGCCGTATATCTCTTGGCCTTGAATAAAGAGAATTCGGCCTACATGATGATTCGATCTGCCGTCGCCGCAGCAGAATCACTTGGACTGCAATTCGATGGCGACGGTAATGAGACCCAAGACAACGAAGGCTCAACTTGTACAAAAACAGGGTCCCGGTTATGGAGATGCCTTGTCACATTGGACACACAGGTTTCTCTGCATTTGGGCCGCCCCTTCGCAATTTCAGAGCCCCATCTGTACGAGCGCGAACACCCAGAATCTGACAGTATCGCTCAACTTGCCGGTCCAAATTTCACCCTTTCGCAGTCCTCAGGCATCAACTGGCTTCGCTTTCAGCATGAGAGACAAGGCCTCTTTCAGATCATTCGTGAGATTCATACTGAATTAGCGAGGGTAATGGAGAATGTTCTTTCGGAGATTGATCAGCCCGACTTTTATCAGCACCCTTCATCACGGGAGAAGTGCGCAAAGTATCTCTATGAGCAGCTCAAGCGTCTCAAGGCCTGGGTTGAGAAACTGCCGGGGAGTTTAAAGACACCACGGGTACAAGGTGTACCCTTCTCAGTTGATCGCTCGCCGCTCGATCTCAGCCAGGCCGATCCCCTTTGGCTACAAAGACAACGGCTAGTGCTGGAATTTGACTACCATTCCTTAGTCATTATGCTCACTCGAACGTTCAACTCATTTCTACCAACGCCAGCACTGGGCACTTTCAATAGTGATAACCACTGCATAACTTGTGTGAACTCTGGCATTATGATAACAAATATGTTGCACCAGCTCAGCAGGGATTCCGGTATTCTTGCTGGGTGCTTTCAAGTCTTTGACTGGCAGCGTACCGCCACATTTGCTTTAGCTGGCTTCTCTTGCGGATATCCCATTTGTCCAATGTCCCCCACAGCGCGGAAGACGTTGACACTAGCTGCGAGGGTTTTTGAGATATTTGGATCCAAAGGAGGTGTGCAATTGACCAACAGTCTCAAGATCAAATGTCTAGAACTCGTGGAAGCATTCAGAGCAAGGCTTGGTCTCGCTACACCCGCGACAACACCAGCCAGTAACCAGAAAAGCCCAGAAACGTTGGATACGGTGGTGGAGCCGAGTAGCTATCAGATTATGAGTGTTGGTGAGGAAGCTTTGTACAATGCAGGTTTTGATGCGACACTTAATGAGGATATGTGGACTGTCGACACACCAAGTGGACTGCTCTGGGGCGACTTGTTAAAAGATTTGGATTCAGGCCTAGTTTCATCTCTTGGACAGGTTGGGGTTGACGATTGATATCGCCATCATATTAAATAGTGCCTTAGCCTTCCGAAATGCTTCAGTCAGCATTATTGCCGTTGTTGTCAAAGACCTTTGATCAGAACAAGTAGTCCAGCTTAGGGACCTGGGTAACTGATCATCCTCATCCTCAGACGCATTGAAGAAAGGAGCCTCTGTTCAGTCGTGAAGCGAGACAGTGGACCCTCTCAAGGAAAACAAGACCAAAGACAAACGGCATACCCCACGTGACCTTAATGAAAAACACAATGGGTAGGGCCAATGTGGATGAAGCACGCTTCCTCCCGTCTCAGGTCTTAAACCTTACCTCTTTGGGTTGGTGACCTAGCACTACGCAAGGTTCATTGGCCAAACCCCTGGTCACCAGCCACGGCAACGAGAGCCTCAGCAGCCTCATCGGACTGAGATCGGTGGCTTGCTTGCTTTCCATGACTTCCAAGGTTGCGGGTGAACATTGACTTCATCCATACACAACAAATTGACGTAAGCCCGCGATAGCTTCATTAGGCCTATCCAAATATCGCTCTTTTTCTAGAAACCCCTTATTTCCCATTCACTTCTTTGTAGGCCACATTCACCTGGGCTATACTCCATCGATTTCCTTCACTATTCATCGTTTCATGCCGCGGTTCGTCCACTGCAATCGACCGACCGCGGGACCTAGGCGACCAACCATCACGCATATTTGACCGCGTTGACTTAACAAAACAATCGCCATAGCACCGGGAGCACGCACGCGCAATCAATTTGGGACATGCTTTGATACAGGCAACCCAGGGCGCATTCTTCACCATTGCCGCGATCGCATTCCATCATCCTTCTTGACAGACGGACGGCTGCAGGTGTCGCTGTTTGTATGCACATAACCCCCCGCCGTTTGGGACCCCCTCTCGTCTTGTAGCTGCAACCGAGCCGCCTCTCCTGCCGACCTTTTCCTGTACGACTCTACAAAACTGAGCGGCCGTGCTGCGAACAACAACATCATCATCATGAGCGTCCCTTGTAAGTTGCCCTGCCACCCCTTGGCACAGACCCCCTTCATCGCGACTTTGGCCCTTGAATAACACCATATAACGACAGTGACTACCGAAGAGCTTGAGCGCTATACCGCTATCATTGATGACATCCTTGAGACGTCCGACCTTGAGACCATCTCACGAAAGAAGATTCGGCAGGGGTTGGAGAACAAGCTTGGCGGCCAGGATCTGAGCGACCAGAAGGTATGCCGACAAACAACACAAGCATTGCCTCGCCGTTCCATTTGGCATTGTCCTATATTTTTCCCCTGCTGACTTGCTAGAACGCCATCAAACGACTTATCGAAGCTCGGTTCGACGCCGTATCTGGGGCCAACAATGGAATCGAACCTCCCTCCACTGTCGACTATGCGGCCAACGGTACATCAGATGTAGGCGAGACCGAGCAATCCGCCACCCCGGAACCTTCACGAAAGAAAGTTAAGCGATCGTCCTCGGCTGAAGATGCGGACGCCAAGTTGGCCGCGCAACTACAGGCGCAGGAAAATAGCTTGGCCAGAGGGCGCAAGACTCGAGGGGGCGACAAAGCAAAGCCTACCAAGAAGAAGGCGGCGCCGCGCAAGAAAAGTGCGAAGAAGGTCAAAGCCGACGATGATAGCGACCTCGAACCAGCCGATGGTGAGGTTGGCAAGAAGAGAAAGGCTGGTGGTGGTTTCCAGAAACCTTTCAACTTGAGCGAAACCCTCTCTGAACTTGTTGGCGAGACGCAGGTATGTGAACCACTTCTTTATGTACTACACAAGGCTTTATCCTAGATCTCTCGCGAAGGTCAGGCCGTGGCCTTGTCCATTCAGCCCATATCTTTACGGGGATCAGATTATTGCCTGAAGGGTTTGGATGCCTCTATCCTGCTTCGGACTATCTGGTCTATGTCTTTTGCAACTAGTCTTGCCTTTTGGGAATTTCTTTGGATGATTACATGCAGCATGCTTGGGCAAAGCCTACGCTAACACAATTCTAGCTGTCACGACCTCAAGTCGTCAAGAAGCTCTGGGAACACATCAAAGCAAATGACCTTCAAGACCCGAACGACAAACGTCAAATCATTTGCGACGACAAGATGCAAGCAGTCTTTAAACAGGCAAGGGTTGACATGTTTCGGATGAACAAGGATATCGGTAGTCATCTTTACCCGGTTGGCGAGGAATAAACAGAAGAGCGATTGCATCTGCAGAACGCAGGCCCTCTGCGAAAGTTTCGATGACAGCGTTTGGGCGCGCGGCGGCGTACCGGTAAATTGTTTCTTGTCTAGCTATTGACAATTGGGCTAGGTGCTATATAATGAATCCCAAAGAATTCCGAAAGGCTCTAGATTGTATCTTTTGTACCACTTGGGCGGTGATTCAGGATCATTATGATGGGGATAAAGACTACCCTATAATGGGAGGATATTACTTGCAAAACTCGGTCTATGTGAGGGTGGGATTGCTCTAGAACTACAGTATTTGATGATAATACCTACCTGCCTTGAAGTATGCACCTCTTAAATAAAATGTTGATTACGTCCTGATTGAAAGTGGATTGTCTTCCCTGTGATACTCCCCACCTAATCTGTGTTGCACCCAAGTGGTCCCCAGCAGCGTAAGCACTTGCATAAATGGGGTATTGTCACATTTTTGTGAGACCTTGTTGTTTGTAAGTCAGAATACAGCTTCTCTGCTGTTGATATGTTACATCTACATCTCATGTCTGCCTTTTGAGAGCTTCGAATTATGCATTCATCTCTTCAAAGCACGGATTTGAACTCAGGCTCCGGTTTTCGGGCATTCGATTGCTCCGCGTTACCGGTTGCTACCCCGTGATTTGTGAGATCATGGAAGTTATCTTCGTGTCATTGATTCTACCATCCAGCTTCTGCAAGACTTGTTGTCCTCTCTGCTATTGACTACTTCTTTGTGATCCTTCATTATGCCGCTGCCTGCGAGACCTTTGGATGCCCTGAGCCAGGCATTCCCTCCCAAGCCCAAATTCACTGAGGCAAATGTTCCCGATCTCACAGGAAAGGTGACCATTGTTACCGGAGCAAACACTGGAGTCGGTCGCGAGATTGCCCAGGTTCTCTACAGCAAGAATGCTACTGTCTGGGTCGCTGCTCGTAGTACAGAGAAGGGTGAGGCTGCCATTGAGGGCATCAAGAAGCAGCACCCTGAGTCGAAGGGCACCCTCAAGTTTCTCAAGCTCGACCTTGCAGATCTAACAACAATTGGGACTTCAGCCAAGTCGTTCCTTGAAGCTGAGAGCAGACTCGACATTCTATTCAACAATGCGGGAGTTATGACACCACCAGAGGGATCTAAGACTGTGCAGGGGTATGAGCTTCAGCTTGGAGTTAATTGCCTTGGTCATTTCTTGTTCACAAAGTACCTCACTCCTCTTCTTCAAAAGACGGCGAAGTCGGCGCCGAAGAACTCGGTCCGCGTGATCTGGGTGTCTAGTTCAGCTGCGGATGTTCTCGCACCAAAGAATGGATTCGAACGTGATAACCTCGATTACCATGAGCCACGAAACCTGGTGTTCAAGTACGCAACAAGCAAGGCCGGCAACTTCTACCACAACACAGAGTTCGCCAGGAGGTTCAAAGATGATGGCATCGTGAGCGTGGTACGTTCTGTATGACAACCGAGCGATCCATAAACTAACATTGAACCCAGTCTCTAAACCCTGGCAATCTGTCAAGCGAACTCGATCGCACCTCACCCTGGTATATGTACTATCCTAGAACCATTACCACCTATGCTCCTATCTATGGTGCGTACACAGAGCTATTTGCTGCCTTTTCTGAGGATATCACAATCGATAAATCCGGTATTTGGGGTAAGCATTTCCTTTTCCTTACACGGAACCGAGCCTAGGTAGTTACTGACAACTTCAAGTGGTTCCATGGGGTCGGTTCATGCCCATCCGCCCAGATCTTGAGAAGGGCGCTTTGTCCGAATCCGAAGGTGGAACAGGTATGGCAGAGTTCTTCTGGAATTGGTCTGAAGAGCAGGTCAAGCCCTACTATCAGGCTTGATCGGATTTCTATAAAATGCTATGATTTGTGATCAATCTTTTCTTCAGTTCATAATACCTTGGCTTTAAATCACCTGTTGCGCAGCGAATTGAGAACTTATGATGGGAAGGCTTATACTTTGACTTACTTTATGCTACTTCAATATGTTCGGGGATTACCAGTGCCTCAACTGTACAAATCTATTAAACAAGATACCTTGCGCCCTGTTAATACCCATGCTTGCTGTTGTTGCTTTATCTTCCTGACCAACTGTGCCGGGTCTCTCTTCTTCACACGCCTGTGCAAAAGGAAGCAATTTTGGGATCAGGATCTTCTGCTGATCTCGCCACTAGTCAATACCTCGTCTTCTGAAATCCTGAAGAGACTAGCATCTGATAGACGGCTGATGTAGAGATTTCTATTTCTGCTTCACTAAGCTCGCCGGCGAGATCAGCATAGGCTTTTTCCCTTCTAAAGTGATTGCCCTATACCTTGCTAATAAGAAGCTCTTTGTTTTCCTCTGTTACCTTTGTCGGCCGCCCTGATCGAGGGCGATCTTTAAGATATTCGTCTTTAAGAATCAGTGGTCGGATATTAGGGTCAAACCCGTTCTCGATTGCACGAGCATATATTCGATCAACCTGACGGATCGAAAGTCCTGAGAGTTCTGCTACCTCAGGAGAAGTCTTGCCGCTGCAAGGTGCCTTAAGGGAAACAACAAAAGCGCGAGTCGCGATATCCGTATTTGGGGCCATAATGCAAGGACCTGCCGGATTATCAGAAACTTCAAAAAATCAGTCAACAGCTTACAGAGGGGTTACAGAAGGTTTATAGGTCAGGAAGTCTCATACCACCTTTTTTTGCTTTTTCTGACTTTACTAGGATCCCTTGTCACGAGCCGGGGGTCGAGACAAAACTTTTGACCGCTTCCTCCGTAGGTCCAGCTTTGATGAGCCTTAATGAGTCAATAGATGCCAATGCAAGTCTTTGTCACTCTAGGCTGGGATCTTTCTGGCCGGTGACTCCCAATATTGAATGACGGTTTCAGAGCCAATCAAGGAACTCAATTTGAGCATCGCCCCAATGCTTGTGAGTATTAGGCGAGATTACTCAGCCACAGATGCCGATGGAAGTGGCTTTGTGCCACACAACAGGGCAGTTCCGTCACTGTTTGCGAGGTTCTGCCCCGCCATTTCAGAGATAGAAACCTAAATAAAATCTGGTCGACATCATCATCTCGCCTTCGCGATTCACCTTGAAACTACAACCATTTTGCATTCATACAATAGCACGCCAGTACGGCTTCACCAGAAGATCGCTCATATTTTCCATTTACCTGTAGTTCTACTCGTGCACCTGACAGCTTTCTATTTCGATAAAGCGACTACCCCTCTACCGAGCGATATAATCATAGCTCTAGCCCCCTTGGCTTCTACGTTAACCGAATTCGCAAATATTTCAGCTTCTGGAAGCTCGGGACAGCCCAAAATGGCTTCACCGGAAGGGGACAGCAATACTGGAGCGACAGCTTCCGAGTCTCAACCACAAGGCGACGGTCAGCGCAACAGAGGACGAGGCCGAGGAAAGGGGAATCAGAACCGACGAGGTGGCCAACGGCGTGGCCGTGGCGGTAACAACTCCAACATACCCAACGTTCCCGCAAACCCGGCTGCTCAAGATGTTGCAGCTGCAGCTTCCAGAGCCCATGCCATGGCTGCGGGCAAAGCAGCTGAAGCTGCCGAGGATGATGACGGCGAGGTGTGCTTCATCTGCGCGAACCCAGTCGCTCACCACTCTATTGCGCCTTGTAACCATACAACATGCCATATTTGCGGCCTGCGCATGAGAGCCCTTTATAAGACAAAGGACTGCGCTCACTGTCGTGTATGTTTCTCTTCTCTGTACCCCTGGCAAGGGCTTTATCGTTAATAGTGTTCTAGACCCCAGCTCCCTATGTCATCTTTACCGACGACCCCGAGAAACGTTTCGAGGATTACTCAGAAAAGGATATCACAACCACCGACAGCAACATCGGAATCAAGTACACAAAAGAGGATATTGTGGGCGACACCGTTCTCCTCCTGCGATATAACTGCCCCGACGCATCCTGCGATTTCGCTGGCCTCGGTTGGCCTGACTTGCACCGCCATGTCAAGTCCGCTCACCGCAAGCGTATGTGCGATCTATGCACTCGTAACAAGAGGGTATTCACACATGAACATGAGCTATTTGCGGATAAGGAACTGGAGAAGCACATGCGTCATGGAGACGACAAGCCCGGCGCGGCAGACCAAACAGGCTTCAAGGGTCACCCCTTGTGTGGGTTCTGTGGAGAGCGGTTTTACGACGACGACAAGTTGTACGAGCATTGCCGGATGAAGCACGAGCGCTGTTTTATCTGCGATAGGCGAGACTCGCGACATCCCCACTACTACCTCGACTACAATGCACTCGAAGAGCATTTCAAGAAGGACCATTACCTCTGCAGCGACCGAGAATGTTTGGAAAAGAAATTTGTAGTCTTTGAGTCGGAGCTGGACTTGCAGGCTCACCAATTGAGTGATCACGGTGGTAAAGCAACAGGCAGAGACGCGCGAGTAGTCAACATCTCAGGATTCGACATTCGGACACCATACCAGCAAGAGAGAGGCGGTGGCGGTAGTGGGAGAGAAGAAGGACGACGGGGAGGCAGAGATGGGCGAAGAGGAGGGAACAGAGGCCGCGACCCTAATATGGAACCGGTTCCTGCGAGCTCTGCCCAGCCATTACGGCGAGATGAGATTGCCTTCCAGCGGCAAATGGCTATCCATTCTGCGCAATCAGTGTCCAATCGCACATTTGGTGGTTCACTCTCTGCGCCTTCACCCACACCCGCTCAAGCCTCATCACAATCTCGTGGCGGCAGCTCATCAAACACTCCCCGTGCCAGTCAGACAAACCTTGCTAATCCCATCGAATCTGCTACTGTCCCGGATCCTGCCAACCTCAGCCCTGAGGAGCGTGCCCGACTTGTGCGCCACGGTGCTGTAGTCGAACGAGCATCAAACCTCCTCGGCAACGATGCGCAGCGCATGGCAACATTCCGAAACCACATCTCTTCATATCGCCAAGGCGGACTTACTGCACCTCAACTCATCGACGCTTTCTTCACTCTCTTCGCCGATACTTCCTCAAACGCTCTTGGTACGATGGTCCGAGAGGTTGCGGATCTATATGAGGACAAGAACAAGGCCGATGCCCTCCGCAAAGCCTGGCAGGACTGGCGTGCCATCAACGAAGACTATCCTAGCTTACCCGGTCTAAGTGGTATGCATGGTGCAACCTCGAGTTCAAGTGGTTGGGCCAATGCAGCATCTGCCAACCCAGCAGTTCCCAATGCGAAGGCCACACAAAAGTACTCGAACCGTGTATTGAAGCTCAAGAACAGCACAAGACTCGGTGGCCCTGCGCCTGTGTCCTCTAGCGGAGCCTCATCGTGGACCGCTCGTCCTGCTGTCAGTGCTCCTCCATCGTCCTCCAATGCATTCCCTTCTCTTCCCTCAGCCGGCAACTCCTCATCCTCTGCCTCCCGCTCTAACTGGACAACCCCCACTCCATCATCCTCACAATCCACAACCCTCGACCGCCCCCGTCCTGCTCCTCGTCCTACCGGCGAGGATGCGTTCCCTGCTCTTCCCACAGCGCCAAAGCCTACCACTACAATTTTTGGCTATGGAAACGGCCGGGCCGTCAGACGCGACTATGGAAGTCGTGAAACCGGTTTCCAATGGGGCGGCAGCGGCTCGAGTACACCAGCTGGTGAAGAGCCCGCCGAGGATGACGAGGCTGGTGGTAAGAAAAAGGGTGGAAAGAAGGGCAAGAAGGTCCTTGTGCAGTGGGGTTAAAGTCATTATTTGATAGAGTCGATGTGTAAATATTGGCAGGTCATTTTGTACCATTTGGTTGGTGTTGGTATCCCGAGGATGTCAGGCATTGGACTGGGAATATGAAGCGGCATAGCGATCAGGGTGCTTGGGTCTTGAGGTAGCGAGCGTAGTTAGGCGTAGCAATGTACACCATTCTGCCATGTCGTTTCCCCTAAAGGCACAGTTGCAGGTGTCTTGGGGACGAAGGTGTTGCTCAACACGTTCATCTCAATCACTTGTCCATTTACGAAGCACAATGACATCTTCTGGCCCAAGGCAGGAGCTGAAAGTCTTGGCTATCCCGAAACGGCATTGTTGTCAACGCGCGCTCTCTAAGACAAACTTGTTTGTTCTAGTATCTACCCTGCTACCCAAGGCAACTCAATCTTCATATTCGAATGATCGCCGAGAGAACAGGAGCAGCTGTATCAACAATGCCATGCATCCTAAGAATCTCTTGGTGTCAGTCCTTGATGTTCGCTTTCGTACATATCTGCGTCTCCCTGATGTTCAGCCTCTCCTCTTGGCGATGTCCTCAATATGCTTGATGCCAAGATATTACAAAAGCAAATCTGCCGTCCGAAATCCCTACCACAGACCGTGATATCCGTCGCATCTTGGCGAGGACTTCGGAACGGCATACAGGTCTCGGGTATTGGTCGCACGCAGCCTGCCTTAATGGGTCTGCAACCGCTATGGACCATACATTTCCGCCACTTCATATTAAATGTCCTCGGAATAATCCATAGAAATCTCAATTATTAACATTTCCACGTGTGAGCTGCTAGCAGCTCATAAGAAAGGGGCAGGCCTCGATATGATTTGGGATATTTAATCTGTCAAGCGGTCTGCTTGCAGCTGGGCTCAACACTTCAAAACCCAGCTCTCCGTATTTGCCAGTACTCGTACATCAGATCGCTTTTACGATATCGTGTCTTCAGATAGTAACCGGTCGTTTCTCGAGCGAATACGACTTTGTTTGTGTCATCATTAACTCAAACTCCTGCCCGAACCATTGCTCAGTTCTCCTTGCATGATGCGCAACGCCCTCCTTATTCTCAGTGGCATTACTGCCATAGCCACAACATATGCCTCTCCGATAGCTTCGTCAACGACTTCTGTAATTACTTCACCTGTCGCCACATCAATACCTGTTCCAGTTGCGCCTCCAGTTTTCGCAGCTGTTGCAACTCCAGAGGATATAAACGCGGTCATTCGGGAGGTCAGCAGTTTAGCATCTGATATATATTCCACTGCCAGTAATATTGGAGGCCGTGGTGTAGAAGTTCAAATCATCGGGGTATTGCACGTTTTCCCTTCTTACTTGACCTGTACTGACCTTCTGGAAGAATACATACCTCCGGTGTCGAGATATGATTGAAGGGGTCCAGCAGGCGTTCGACAAGATCGGCGGTCGGCCCCAGACCCCTTTCTCGTATGAGGATCAAAAGGGTATTTGTTCCATGTTCGACTTGGTACGTAACATATCTGCCATGCTCGTTGCGAGACACGATGGATGGTTTTGAGCGACCCTTGATCGACTTATACTAACATTCTTCTCCAGTTCGGCATCGACCAATCAAAGCTCATTACAATGTTGGTGAGAAATCTAGAGAGTATGGCGAGGGACGGCTTTATCGACCACTTTGGGGATTGCTTCAATCGACTTCAACCCGCACTGAGCATGTTTGTTGAAGAACTGACATCTTATGCGCCTGATTGTGAGTTTGAGATGTTGAGGAGAAAGGACCAGCTTGAGGTTGGGCTGAGTAGTGCACTGGCAAGGGTGCTGGACTATCGGGCGGGACATGCCCCAGACCGCATTCCTTTGTCATTAGACTGAGGTCATCATCGTGGCTCTTTTTGTACAATTATGACTTATCGACTTGATCTTGATGGCTACTGGGCTTCTATCTGATTTGACGACCATCTCCCTCAGTAATGGACCAAAACCCAGTGTAGGTACTTTGTGGCTCAAGCAGGGTTGACGTTCACAATGCATGGATTGCAACCAGTCACACTTTGATAAGGGAGTGAACCCTATCTGGGAGCACACAGATGAATAAATAATGTAGGGAGACTATGCTATATAACAACGAAATATATGAGACATTTGAGAGGAGCTATGGCATCCGAGAGTCCAAGGTATAGTTCACGTAGAGCGGTCAAGAATTACACAATATTGAGATACTTGCTTGGAACAGTACACAAAACCGCGAGTTTCTATGACAGCTGACTTCCAATTTCTTCCTGCTATTGCTCTATCTGCCGTGATTGAAATTGCCAATTTAGAAAACATAACAGACTCGAATATGTAATTGATGAATTACGCGTCGTGATGAAATCAATTTGACAAACCTTGCTACCCTAGAGAAATTCAAAGTTCATGGTCCTCGTTTTCAAGTGTCAAGGGAGGACCGGGGCGGAAGTGAGAGGGTCCCCGAAGCACAGACCATCCGATCCCGGGTGCTCACAAGCGAAGCCCACAAAAAGAGAAAGTCAGGACAGAACAGTGTGAAGAGTCAACTCAGGTTGGCGATTATCATCACCGATACGGAGTACCAACAGCTTTGAAACTGTAACTGATGAATTGCGAATGTCTATTGGAGGATAAAGCTTCCAGCATAACTCCCAGCGGGGAACGCAGCACCTCGTCTTCCTCTATCCATTTCTCGCAAGAATTACTTTCTCCCTGCATCGCTCTTTGACCCTAGATGACACAGCTTCAGCCTTCACATGCTTAACAATGCAAGGGAACCTCGATTTAACCACAGCTAGACATTTGAGATCGAGTTTTTATCAATACAGCCCCCAAAAACTCGGATGTAGTCTGTGCGGCGCTGTCTTACACTCGAGTCTTGGTCCTTGATCAATCGTCGTATGGCGGGATGCTCTGGATCGCCTACAGTAAGAACTAACTGACTGGCAACACGGCCTGCATACCTGGCGCAAGCCATAACCCCTCTCCCCTCGACTGATATACTTCCTCGTCAGTCTCTGGCCTTCTGCACCGCCCGTGCCATGCTGGTTTGCCCGCCCGTGTCAGCAATGGCTGGAGGGTGAAAGAAAAAGAGAAAGTCATCACAATTCTACTTCAAAACCATGTAATTCTATTATGATCTTAAATAAAATTTCTAAAAACTCATCATAAGTTTTAAAAGATACTAAAAGCTTAGGATAGGGAATGCAATTTTTAGGATGAATTAACATAGAATCATCATAATGTATACGATTCCTGCATACGTATTTTTCTTACCCTCCAAGGGTATCAGTTCCAGGGCAGGGCAAAAAGAAGGGGTCACTGGTAAAACCCGGGCTCCTACCCCAACCTTTCCTCCATATTCCATTTCCAACCTGCCCTCCATTCCATCTCGAATCACATTTTATCAGTATCTTTATCAATATCGTTGTTAGCTGCGGTTGAATCGTCAGCGCGTGAGGTCTGCTTCAACTTTAACCTTCTGCGCTCCCCTCCTACCGCGTCGCCTCCGCACCTTCCTACGAACGAACGACGGCCAATCTTGTGGTGTGACGTGACTGCCCAACCAAGATATCGAATCTCGTCCCTTCCATCCCTTCTATGGCCTTTGCCGCTTCACGTCCGCCGCACTAAGCTTCTCACCGTATCTAATGGGTTCCATGTGATCATTCACATCGTAATACTTGATCGAAAATGCTGCGACGACCTCCGGGCGAGGGGCGTCGGGCCTCACAGCAACAGAGACTCTTCATCGCCTTTGCTATCATCCTTCTACCCTGGCTACAGCTTGTTGATGCTCAGCAGCAGCATCGACCAGTCGAACCAGCTTTACCACAACTGCAACGCCCCGGCGGCCGCAGTCAGCAGTTAGCCGATGATGCCGTACATCAATGGGCCGCGACCCCCGTTGACGTGACTAAGTCGGCCCGCGAGACTGTCAAGAATGTAAAGCGGGCTTCCGTTCCCAATCAGCGACAGCGACAGCAGCAGCAGAAGAAGATCGAGCCTGTCCGCAAGAACCGCAAGAGAGAATACGAAAACGACCATTTAATTATCCCTGACGATGCGAGCGCCCTCGCAACTTTGGCTCCGGCTCAGTCCGTAGGAGCACCAAACCCTTCACGATATCAACGGTCCAGCAGCATTCCTGCTTCTGGGCTTGCCTCGCCGCAGATTGCGCGGAGTCTGAAGGATTGGGAAGTGGAAGACTTTGTTCTTCTGGCGACCGTCGATGGAGACCTATACGCCAACGACCGGCGAACCGGAAAAGAACGTTGGCATCTCGAAGTCGACCACCCTATGGTAGAGACCAAACACCACCGCTCGGAGAAGTCCATCCTCGATGAAAATTATCACCAAGTCGACCATTATGTTTGGGCTGTTGAGCCTAACCGTGATGGCGGAATCTACCTCTGGGCCCCCGATTCTAATCGTGGATTTGTCAAAACAGGCTTCACCATGAAGAAGCTTGTCGAAGAACTGGCCCCCTACGCCGACGAGAGCTCTCCCGTCGTCTATACTGGCGACAAAAAGACTACCATGATTACTCTTGATGCAGCCACAGGGAGAGTTCTGAAATGGTTCGGTGCTACAGGATCTCATGTTAATGAAGCCGAAAGCTGCGCACGCCCCGACACGTTGTACGACGAGAATAACCAGGAGTGTAGCTCTACTGGAACAATCACTTTGGGCAGGACCGAATATACTGTTGGTATCCAGCGGCGTGAGGACGGTCTTCCCATCGCTACCCTTAGGTACTCTGAGTGGAGCCCCAACAACTACGACAGCGACCTATTTCAACAGCACCAGTCTTCATTAGATAAGAAGTACATCACAAGCCAGCACGACGGCAAGGTCTATGCGTTTGACTACGCAAGGTCCGAAAAGGCAGAGCCACTTTTCAGCGAACACTTCGCAGCACCTGTAGCCCGAGTTTTTGATGTATGCCGACCAGGAGATGCTACATCCGACAGCAATCCCGATCTTGTGGTCCTTCCTCAACCGCCGATGCCCCCGCAAGATGAGACCCACGCCCGTATGCGCAGTAACAGTATCTTTCTCAACCAGACTCGGACTGGGGATTGGTATGTCATGTCTGGACGATCGTATCCTCTTATTATCCATGCCCCCATCGCTCAACTATCCCGCCCCGATTGGTGGGACATTGCTCCCTCTTGGGACACTATCAACCAAACTAAACTCTCGAAGGTCCTGGTAGGCACACATTTCCTCGACACTGTCAATAACAGAGGTGGCACACACACGCCAAGTTTGCCTGCCGGTGCAATAGAAGGACCAGAAGTGTATGACGTGTACGATGACAATGACGATTTGGAGAATAATGATTCAAAAACCACGGAGCTGACATTTTCGGATGAGCCTACCTTTTTTACCAACGTCAAAAAGGTGCCTCTAATTGCCGCCCAAAGTGTCAAGGATTTCATCACAAATCCCGTGGTCATCATCATATTTGTTTCATTACTCTATTTCAACAACAAGAACATCCGTCGTCACCTCCAGCGTGGGAAGCGACGGGGTTTCTGGAACGAATTGCAAAATATACTGGGTTTTGTTGAGGCCCCTGTCTACACGGAGCAACCGGATGAAGTCGATAGCAGCGACACTGACGGCAACGTTGACTACTTGGCCGGCTCAGTGAACGAAGAACCAAAGCCCGCAGCACCGAGAGACAATCTTGAGGAGAAGGTCAAAGAATCCGTGGTCCCTGCCCCTGAATCATCCAATTTGGAGCCCGGAACTTCCCCCCAAACACCTATCAAAGAGGTAGAGCTCAGCGATAGGGAAGCGACTCCGAAGCCCAAGAGGAAGACTCCCACCAAGAGGTCAGGTGATACTCCTGATACTCCTCAACCTCAACCTCAAACCAAGGCTACGGCCACAAATGAAAGTCAGGATGGTGGAGCCCCTGAGAAGAAGAAGAAGGCTCACAGAGGTAGACGTGGGGGTGTCAAGCATCGTAAGAGTCGTGCTCAAGAAGCTTCCCTATCTCGAGGCGATGACCCGGCCACGGCCACTGTCGAGGATGCGGTCAACAACGCAAAGAAGCTGGGTGAAAGGCCTAGCCTCGAGCCGGACGTAATGACCGTACATGACGACATGCAGTCTGTGACAGGCTCGACGATCCGTATGGGAAACATCGAGGTGAACACAGATGAGCAATTGGGCACAGGAAGCAATGGCACTCTAGTCTTTGCTGGCAAATTCGACGGAAGAGCGGTCGCCGTCAAACGCATGTTGATTCAGTTTTATGACATCGCGTCCCAAGAAACAAGGCTGTTAAGAGAGAGTGATGATCACCCGAATGGTAAGCTATTATACTATTGAAGAACAAACGCCCTAACATTTCCAGTCATTCGATATTACTCCCAACAGATCCGCGATGGATTTCTTTACATTGCCCTGGAGCGCTGCGCCGCTTCATTAGCAGACGTGGTCGAAAAGCCCAACTATTTCCGGGACCTTGCCAACGCCGGCCGACATGACTTGCCGAATATCCTTTATCAGATCACCAACGGCATCAGCCACTTACACGAGCTCCGAATCGTCCATCGTGACCTCAAGCCACAGAATATTCTGGTCAATATGGGCAAGGATGGCAAGCCTAGAATGCTGGTCTCTGATTTCGGACTTTGCAAGAAGTTGGAAGGCGGGCAATCGTCCTTCGGCGCCACTACGGGCCGTGCCGCTGGAACATCAGGCTGGCGTGCTCCCGAGCTTCTGCTCGACGACGACGCTCGAGAAGGTGCCATGATGGAGGCCAGCACCCAAAGCGGCTCTGGTTCGGTTTTGGTCGATGACAATATGATGCCTCGGCGTGCTACTCGTGCGATCGACATTTTCTCGCTTGGACTGGTCTTCTTCTATGTCTTGACCAACGGATCACATCCCTTTGATTGCGGCGATCGCTATATGCGAGAAGTCAACATTCGAAAAGGGCAGTATAACTTGGACCTTCTTGACTCTCTCGGCGACTTTGCCTACGAGGCTAAGGACCTTATCGCCTCTATGCTTGAAGCAGACCCCAAGAACCGTCCCAATGCCAAGGAGATCATGGCCCATCCCTTCTTCTGGTCCCCAAAGAAGAGGCTCGCGTTCCTCTGCGACGTCTCGGATCACTTTGAGAAGGAGCCAAGGGACCCACCCTCGCCCGCCCTGGCCGAGCTTGAGAGGCACGCAGGGGATGTGACTAGGAGTGACTTCTTGAGGGTCTTGCCGCGTGATTTCGTTGATTCCCTCGGCAAGCAACGCAAATATACCGGTTCCCGCCTTCTTGATCTGCTTCGGGCCCTACGAAATAAGAAGAATCACTACGAAGATATGCCTGAGGCACTCAAAAGGACCGTCGGACCTCTTCCCGAAGGCTACCTTGCATTTTGGACTGTTAGGTTCCCTATGCTATTGTTGACTTGTTGGAACGTTGTATGGAACGTGCAGTGGGAAAAGTCGGACCGCTTCCGCGAATACTATGAGCCTGCGCCCCTGTAGACAGGAAAGAAGGCACTTTGAGTTTTTTTTTTTTTAGGATGCTCTTACATATTTGCTGCTCAATCCTGACTCGTATTTCCATGAGACTATCCTAAGCCTTGCAAATATGCTCCTAAGCTTATGATAATGTAATCATGATACTCTCCTAAGCATATGACGATACGGTCATGTTGCAATAGTCCTACATAGTAGATATGCGACAACATGATCAAACCTTTTTCCAAGTAGCCGAAACACCACGTTTCACTCAGTGAACGATGGCGAGCAAGTGATATGTATGAGCAGAGAATACTCCGAAAAATGCTTTTAGAAAGTCCAAGGAAATGGACCTATCTTGCGTGTGAACATGACAAAGAATTTCATTACGTGACCCCTCGCCCTGACCAGTTTTTCTACCGAGATACAAGCAAATCACTCCCATGCAAATGCAGTGAAGACGTCTATGCGAGGATCTCCTCACTCTCCTCAAGAACCTCCTCCACAATCTCCTCAATCACCCGATCCGCCTCTGATGTTAAGCCCTCGAGAGACTTTGTGTAAGCCTCTAGCAGAGGAGCATGGGGATCTTTTGGTAGGCCAAGAGCCTCGCGCTCTTCCAGAATCTCAGCCTCGACGGACTCGCGCCAGTTGTACCACTCCTCGAGCATATGTCGGCGAGCCTCAACCACAGCCAAGTCAGCAGACGCACCACGGTCAGCATCTTCTTGCTCAAAGACGCGGCTGTATTCTCGAAGGTTCTTGCGCACAGCCTTCTGCTCCTCCTTGGTGAGCAGAGTCGGGGGCCGAGGGCGCCATGAGAACTGCTTGAACTTCTCAAGCGGCTCTTCTCGTAGAGCCTCGCCCTTGAAATCGTAAATGTGGTAGCCGTTTTCCATCTAAATCAGGTCAGTATAAATATCATAATAGGTTTGATACACGGAGCATACCGAGTGCTTCCAAGCAGAAGCCCATGAGGCAACGAATCGGCCTGAAGGGTCCCACTCAACATCTGTGACACCGTAGTGGTCGGCGGTGTTCATAGCCTGGAGGTTGGCGGTAAGGTCCTTGTCGGACTCGGGCTTCTCGCCCTCGAAATCAAGGTCGAAGAAGTCCAGATCGGAGCTCTGCTGGTTGGCAATGGTGGCAATAACAACAAAGCGACCGCGGGGTGACCAGTAGATGGCGTTGCTGTTCTTCTTGTCAAGCGTTCGGAGGTGCTTGAAGTTACCCACTTGTTGGCCCTTCTTAGCCTTCTCAGGGCAGAAGAAAGAAACTGCAGTCTTAGGGGGGACAGCAGTAACGCCCACGGGCTCGGTTGTGGAGATGATGGCAAACCTGTCACCCTTGGGCTCCCAGGCAAAGTTGATAACGGTATCCTTAATAGTGTCAACGACCTCAACAGGGACACCCTTCTCCTTGACACGGAAAATCTCGAGTGTGGTTGCTTGAGACTTCTTCGACTTGGAGTGTCGGTCGACCTTGACGCAAATGTAGGCGGCCTCGGATTGCCAGTGAAGCTTGGCGTCACTAACGCTGAAGAGGTTCAGGGATCGAACGACCTGTTTTGAGGGAATGCTCATCAAGCCGACCTTGGCGGGGTTGCTGCCGATTTCAGGGGTCCAGTAGCAGAACAGCTGCTCGTAGTTCTTGACACCATCGCGCTTGGGGGTAGCAGGAGCCCAGTCGAAGTCCACAACACCCTCGATCTTGATGGAGGTCTTGTCGAGAAGGTTCATGCGGGGAAGCTCGTATACGGAGATGGACTGGCCGGGGTTGAGACGGGCAACGTACTTGTCGTCAGCAGACCATTTGAAGGCGGGCCACTGCATCTTAGGCGGGGGCTTGCCATCCTCCACCTTGGGGGGTTCGAGGTTGGCGAAAGATCGCAGAGGAGTAGCGGTAGCGATGTCCCAGATCACATAGTTCTTGCCATGGTCGTCGATCGAAAGGGCGGGGTGGCCCTCGTCGGGGATGGAGATAGGGCGGTTAGACCAGGTGACGATGTACTTCTCACCGGGAGAGAAAGCAACCAGGTTCACGAAGGGGTGAGCGAATCGGGCCTGTCGTGTCCATGAAGGACCGCCCCAAAGCTGAACACCCTGGGCATGAACAGAGGTGAGGTATGTGCCGAGAGGAGACCACTGAACAAATGTCTCAGTCCAGTGCTGTCGCTCAACGATGTTCTCAGGTTGATCCTTCTCGTTGTTCCAGTAGACGCCGACGCTCTCGCCCTTGTACATAACGAACTGGTCTCGGCCGCGGCCTGAGGGATCCTTGAGGAACCATCGCAGATGCTCCTTCTCGGTGAACTCGTCGATGTGAGGGGGTTGGTAGGTCTCGTCGATACGACCTTCTCGTCCATATCGCTCGATATCGGTGAACTTGTTGACGCGGAGAGTGTGCTTCTTGTCGAGGGGGGTGAGGTCGAGCTCGCGAGTAGCGGCAGCAGCCTCAGCGGGCGAAGAGTATTCGACAAAGGCGAATCTTAAAAACGGGATCAGCTTCATGTTCGATGCATCTTCAGTTCCAAGCATGGCACCTACCGAAAAGACTTTCCGTCGTCACCCATGGGCATATGTATCAAGTCCTCGCGTGTCTTGCCGACTGTGTTGAGCTTCTTCAACAAGAACTTGACAAGCTTGGGCTTCTGATCCTCTGTGACTTGGGGCAGGCCATCGATAACCACGAAGCTGTCATAGCCTTGTTCCAGTGAAACCTCGAATCGTTCTCGCAGATCGGAGATATCAATATCATCCTCGTTGAACTCGTCATCGTCAAGGTCGGCCTCGCGGAGGTGGTCGAAAGAGGGCGCCATGATGGGCGATATTTGGTTGTTGGAGGGGTGCAAGAAAAAATGCCCCGCTCTCACTCGTTTCTGTACGGTTTTTTTCGAGGGTTTGGGAGGGTTCGGCTACCGAGCACAGGTTTGCGGAAATGGCCTTTTTGCGCGCGGGAGATATGACCTCTGGAAGACACGCAAAGGCTTGTCTAGAACGGCGCAGAATGTCGCTCGGGAACGTGCGGAGTCTTGATGTTGCGGTGCCAACCTAGTGCAGCACAAATTTGGTGTTCTGCTTCACTTTCCAACGAAAGTGTGCGTGATGCGGAGAAATGATAATACTGGCCCGAAGCTTGCGGCTCCCACCGCGGGGCAAATCACGTGTGGGCTTTGCTGGCCCCTGGAGTGGAGGGGCTGCGGTTTGCTAAGCTGGATGGGAGCTCCAGAAAAAAAGGCTGCAACGTCTACCCCAAGGCTGAAGCATATTGACGTTGACGACGACGATAACCTTTTACGTTTTTATAGGTTTCGCCGTGTACAAAGTCGTATTGTTAGCCCATCATGGTATGTTTCCTCTTCTGGTGAGGAATGTTTGTTGAAACACTTCGTCTTCTCATATCGAGTATGCCGTATGCTAACATGCCCCTCCTAGTCTTTCCAACCAACCCAAATTTTTGAGGAGGGCACTACTGAGGAAAAGGGTGAGAATGCTCGTCTCGCCGCCTTTGTCGGTGCCATCGCCGTCGGTGACCTCGTAAAGAGCACCCTTGGTCCTAAGGGTATGGACAAGATTCTCCAGTCAGCGTACGTTGCGCCCATCTTGCGGTCTCGACAACCCCCCTTTTAACATGATGCTAGCTCCACCGCCGAAATCATGGTTACCAACGACGGTGCCACAATCCTCAAGTCGATCGCCCTCGATAACGCCGCCGCAAAGGTTCTGGTCAATATTTCGAAGGTCCAAGACGACGAAGTCGGTGACGGTACCACCTCCGTTGCTGTTCTCGCTGCCGAGCTATTGAGAGAGGCGGAGAAGCTGGTCGACAAGAAGATCCACCCCCAGACTATTATTGAGGGCTACCGGATAGCCAGCCAGGCTGCGCTGAAGGCCTTGGAAGGATCAGCCGTTGATCACAGCAAGAACCCCGAAGCCTTCCGACAAGATCTGCTCGCCATTGCCCGAACAACACTCAGCTCCAAGGTCCTGGCCCAGGACCGCAAACAGTTCGCCGAATTGGCCGTTGATGCCGTCCTCCGACTCAAGTCGTCCGACCTCAACCACATCCAGATCATCAAGAAGGCCGGAGGCAAACTCAGTGACTCATACCTTGACGAAGGTTTCATTCTCGATAAGAAGATCGGTGTCAACCAGCCCAAGCGACTAGAGAAGGCCAAGATTCTGGTGGCCAACACCTCCATGGACACCGACAAGGTCAAGATCTTTGGTGCCCGTGTTAAGGTTGGTTCAACAAGCAAGCTTGCTGAACTTGAAAAGGCCGAGAAGGAGAAGATGAAGGCCAAGGTTGAGAAGATCAAGGCACACGGCATCAACTGCTTCATCAACCGACAGCTCATTTACAACTGGCCCGAGCAGCTGTTTACTGATGCCGGCATCATGTCAATTGAGCATGCTGACTTCGACGGTATTGAGCGTCTTGCCCTGGTCACAGGCGGTGAGATTGCCTCGACCTTTGACCATCCCGATCAAGTCAAGCTTGGCCACTGCGACGTTATCGAGGAGGTTATTATTGGAGAAGATACTCTCATCAAGTTCTCCGGTGTTGCTGGTGGTGAAGCTTGCACAATTGTCCTTCGAGGTGCCACAGAACAGCTCCTTGATGAGGCCGAGCGAAGTCTGCATGATGCCCTTGCTGTTCTGTCACAGACTGTCAAGGAACCCCGAACCACCCTTGGCGGTGGTTGTGCCGAGATGCTCATGGCCAAGGCGGTTGAAGGCGCTGCTACCCGAGTTGAGGGTAAGCGACAACTGGCTGTCTCTAGCTTTGCCGTCGCTCTTCGACAACTTCCCACTATCCTTGCCGACAACGCTGGTCTCGACTCTGGTGACCTTGTTGCCAGATTACGCAAGGCTCTCTACGATGGTCTTACCACTTACGGCCTGGACCTGATGACCCCTGGTGGTGGTATTACTGATATGCGAGATCTCGGTGTTATCGAGAGTTACAAGTTGAAGAAGGCTGTGGTGTCTTCGGCCAGCGAAGCCGCAGAGGTAAGTACTTACCAAAGACTTTTGAAAACAGAATTCTAACATTATCAACCAGCTTCTTCTTCGAGTGGACGATATCATCCGGGCAGCTCCTCGTCGACGAGAGCGTATGTAAGGCTGGTTTAGGTAGCCGTTGAGGACGAGTCAATATGCATAGACCATGATGATCTGTAATGATACCATAGATGCTGGAAAAATGGAAAAAAGGACCATCGTGAATGAGCCTTGCCTTATGACGAACAATGAGTTTCCCATAAATACGTGCTTTTGAATGAGCAGTGTCGTGCCAGTGCCAGCAGCCCGGGACTCCTCTTTGACGCTGCCTTGCCGTTGTCACTTGACGTTGACACTGGCAAACACTGGCGCGCATTATTTGTCGCTCGCCTCCATTGTTGTGTTTATTGAATGGCAATTTTCTTTGCATTCTCCTGTTAACTCTTCTCCCGCCTCTTTGTGCTCACGTTTTCGCATTCATTTACTGCGCCAGCATCATCACGCTCTTGCGAAATACTTCTACTTCAGCATCATCAGCATCCCAAAGGTCATATAGCTATCTGCTGCTTTATTATTTTCTTCTGAAAGCCTGTCATATCTCGTCAATCTCAGAAAATCAAGTCTTCCATTCGCCATCATTTATTGCTCCAGCAGGGTGTTTCTCGTCGCAGAGTTCTTCGCTCTATGAGTGACATCGCCAAACCAATGGAGCAATCCAAGATTGTCGACTTCTTTTCATCTTCACCGTCCTCTCAGCAATCCAAATTGCGCACCGAAAAGCGTCACAAACCGTCGCCAACCAAGGCCGCGAAAGGTGGCATCCAGTCGAGTTCACCCAACAAAAGTCGCGCAGAGTCACAACAGACCATGCCTAAGTCAAGCCAAAAGCCCAAGAGGCAGAGATCACAGGCATCAACCTTAGTGCCCCGTGCAGCATCTTTACATCCATCTATTCCCTCTACCCCAATCTCCAAAAATATGTCATCCCCCCAAATTACGAAGAAGCGTCGCTTGGAGGGACGCAATGAACGTGTCCCCGAAACTCCCCCTAAAAAACGAGTCGCCACGAGTAGTCAAGGCCAACAAATTCCAAAACGAGCAACTCAACTAGTGCAAGGAGACTCACCGCATACACCATTTGATATTTCATCTGGAGAGAGCTCTGATTCAGACTGTGTAATCGAAAAAGTTCAGCCGTCGCCAAAGCGCAAGCTTGTCGCCCCCAGCCCACGAGCTCGTCCTTCCAAGAAGCGCAGGACTGATCAACAGGAGTTAGTCAAGCGAGGGTATGCCTCTATCAAAGCATCTGTTCTCGCAAAAAGCGCAACATCGTCAGGACAGAACAAGAAACCAGCTGCTGGCCGGCGACAAGCAGCCTCTGTACCCTCTCACGCACCTTTGCCTAACCTCACCTCAAATGTTGCAGGCCCAAGCCGAAGCACTTCTGTCCCTCCAGCTCATAGGCCTCCTAATTCCAGCCAGAATGAGGATGCGATCCAAAATGATAATGAGTCGGGTTGCGACAATGAGAAGGTTCAGCTCTCTCCAAGAAAGCGCCATCAACTCGAACAACAGAAAGCCAACGTCAAGCGACGACGAGTTGGCGACTCAATCGATACCCCTGTGTCCATCGATGCAGACGACGAAGATCAACCCGACTCAGACTGTGAGGTTGTCAAGGTTCTGGTGTCCCCAAGGCGAAAGGCTGCCAAACATCGTGCTACAGCCGACAAAGATACCAAGGACGAGAACTCTCATGAGCAACGAAAGGTTGCAGCTCAGTGCAAGACCAAGTCTCGCTCTGTGACAAAGCAGCCGACGCCTGCCACTTCAGCTGTTGCACGCGACACCACACCAAGCACAACTTTGCACATCGATCTTACCCAGGAGTCCTCCGATAGTTCTGATTTCTCAGATGAAGAGACTACCAGTCCGGCCAAGCCAGCTCTGCAAACACCAGTCGAGCCCGCTCTCAACGTCCAGAATCCCCAAGCCACTACTATTGAGCGTATTACTAGTAGCAACACCTACAACCCCATTGTCGCTCCTGAGAACAATCTTCCCGTCCATGAACAGAGGGCGGCGTCCCCGGATGATATCATGGCTCCTTTGTGGAATTGGACTAAGTGCCCTGAGACGAAGAAAGCTCCTTCAACCTCCAGCAGCAATTGCCCGTCTCCCAGCCATGATGTGCCCTTCTCCACCGCGCCTGAATATCAGCACGATGATTCCGCGGCGAAGAAAATCAAGTTGGAAGCTCACGATAGTGACATGAAATTCATCAAGAAAGAGAGTATTGGGCGATACAACTCCGACGATGACGAAGGTAGCAATGACGAAGAGTCTCAGGATGGAGACATATACCCTATCAAGCAAGAGAGCAGCTCAGTATATGCCCAATCCTCAGACGATGAAGAAGACCCCGCCGAAGAAAGCATCAAGAACATCAAGCAGGAGAGTTACTCAAACCCCGTGAACATTTCTGCTTTGAAGCAATACGAGTCACATTCCGACGAAGACAGTGAGGAGGAATACCAAGGACTTCCTGACCTAAGTGACGATGAGGTTTCCCATGACGCCAATACCAACGAGGCGGAAGGTAATGAGGATGTTAGATCATCGCCACCTATGTCATATCAGCTACCACAGGAAGACGTCTCTCCGAAAACTGTCTCTGCAACACTTGAAGAAGAGGCCATATTTGATTCGGCCGATAAGGATTTGACCAATGCGTTCGGCAATTCGAAGAATAATTTCTCCACTCCGATCAAAACTGAGAATGGTCTTTCGCCATCAATCTATGAGCTGCAGCCAGTTTACAGTGGTGAGAAGCTTATGCAGAGCCACACTCCAGGTACACCATCGCCGTTCCGACCTCACCATCGGGAGTCGCTTATCGGCTTGAAGAGTATCCTTAAGGGCTCGGGTGGACGAGGTCGTGCGAGTGATAACGAGACTGTGTACTCTCCATTCCCTGATATTTCTCCCCTTTCTGGAGACGAGCACGACGTTTCATCACCTACAGAACGAATAAAGCAGAGCAAAGAGCAAGCCAAGGCTGTCCGGCCTTCTGAACGCAGAGTCTCATAGAATGGGACTGCCGCCAAGGTAAGCTCTTTCAAAAAGAAGCTTTACTCAACACCTCCTCACCGGGTTGTTATGCCCAAGGCGATGACATTGCCGAGGCTTCTGCCCAAGAACTGGACGCCGCCACTTCCAAAGGGAGCTCGATGGCTTCAACAAAGTAGGTCACATCTCTTGTGTCAAGGTGTATATACTGACATCAATCTAAGAAAAAGAATTCACGCCTTTGCCATCTATCCCTGACGATACTGCTGCCAGCAATGCAGCCTCACGACAAGAAACACCCACGAAGGTTGTCGCAAAGCGACATCCCCGCGTCAACGACACGACAGACATAGAAGAGTCTGAAGATGAACTCGAGAAGAAGCTTCAGGAGCAACAGTTGGAGCCAGGGACCGACAAGCACTGGATCAAGCCTTCTGAGAAAGAAATCAAGCCCCCGATAATCCGAGATGGCGTCTCAGAACACGCTATCAAGCCCACAGTTGCTTTGTTCAAGAAGAAAATCGCCGCTAGGCAAGGCTTCAATCACGATACAAGCGACGAGTCCAATCAAAAGTACAACTGGGAAATCGACTGGAGCACGCCGGCGTCCCTAAGTGAGCGCGAATCACAAGCCGTAGCAGTGGAACTAGAACATAGAGGAATCAAGACCAGCAAGCAATACAGCAACTTTTGGTACAACCTTACAATGAAGTTTTCAAGACTTGCAGGCTCGCCGATTCCGCTTTTTACAGCAAAGAAAAAGGCACTCGACACGTTTGTTGAGGAGGCCATGCAGAACCAGGAAATCAGACGGCGGAACAGAAACAAGGCCGCCCTAACGCAAAAGAAAGCGAGGCGCCGAGAGAAGAAGAAGACGCAGCCCAAAGATGTGGATGCATTTCTCATTCCGGGGGATACAGACGCTGAGAGTGAATCCGAGGATTCCGATTCCGATCTCAACGGGGCCGGTCTGATCGCCAAAATGCGGGCGGATACCGAGAAACGGCAGAGGACATATGGAGGCGGAACGAGCTGTGGACGTCGAAGCAAGTAAGGAAGTTCAACGCCATGTGTGAGATTGGGCATTTGGGGATATGAATCGATGTACGGTCAAAATGTAATAATGCACACGTACGGATGAAGTCACATTTTTGGAGATAGCGCAGGACAAGGGGGCAGGGGTAAGCAAGCCTCAGCACGGTTGATTGACAAGGTCCCTCGATATGAGAGTTTATTAAGAAGCTTGGAGTCATCACCCGCAAACCCCAGCAGAGGGGCTTCGAGGGGTCATTATAAATAAATCGCGAAATTGCTTGTTTTTTCAACGTTTGAGATTCCATGTTGACATGCGAGCTGAAAATCTTGGAGTTGTGAGACATGATTGGCTGTGCTTGTTCATTAGCCGCGCATATGCCGCCGAGATTAATTGACAAGGGCCCGCTTCCATTTAGCACTGTAGACACAACTCGATGAATATCGAGATGGTTGATGGTGTAAGAAAAGAGGATATGTCATGAATTGTTGATCGTTTTTACGGGTTGGACAGAGACCATCGTTAACCTGAGTGCTACAATTGTAGGCTCTTATAAGAATCAATGATCATGATAGCACCTGTAGTTGCAAAGAAATGGTAGCTTGACTTCATCGCATGAAATCATAAATTACAGAAATTGATTGCTTGTCTGCATTTCTTTCGAGTCCTGTATCAATTAGCGGTCTTACACAGTCTCCCAAAAAGATTCACGGTGCAAGCCCCTGGAGTGGCTTGATCCGATAAGGCCATGTCCACATCCATGACAGCCCACACCTTGAAAAATAAGGCAAAGGTCACGAGCTTGCTATTTTAGTATGACGGGGTACAAGCATTCCATCGTTTTCCCATCAACAGTGTGGGTGGGATCATCTCCTTGGCTGCGTTGGCGTTGTCCTCGTTTCTCGTTTGGGGATCGTCATCCACTTCCCGGTTTATCTTGACTTCTTGTTCTTGAACTTCCTTGCCTTGCTGCTTGAATCTCACTCGTTTTCCGTCGTCTCCTTGTCATCTCCCCATCTTTTTCCCTTTTCTTCTTGTCTCTACTCTCGGCACTGCATCATTTCTTCATTCTTCAATCGTCTTCTTGTCTCAAACCCTTCAACTTTAGACTAATCACCCCCTTTGTTTTGGAGGCCACTTCTTCTCAACTCCGCGCTTAATATTGGGTAATATCTCGTCATCCCGGCCGCGACCGCTTACCATTGTCCGGGGTTACAAAATCTTGTTCCCTCCTTCGAGTTCGGTCGTTTCCCTATGAGAGTGGGAGTCTCTCTTATCCATCCTCTTTAAGCTATTCAACCCTAGTCTCTCGTTGATCGATTGATACCATTATATCGCTCTTACCAGCACAGCAAAACAACTTTCGGCCTCAGCCTCCTTTCACTTCGTTCCCTCGCTATTTCGTATCCCTTTTCCATACCAGACTTCCTTAGTACGACTTCATTTTGGCCCTATTATTTGGTTCTCGCAAACCCCGGCATTTTTGAAACGGCTCCCTCCAACCCCGATATTCAGTGCCCATAACAACGGTTACCGCCAAAACCGACAAAGCAAAGCATCCTAGCACAGCGCCGCCGAACAAAACAGAAGAGCCGTCCAAGCCAAACAACGACTACATCGCAAGCCACGATCTCGAACCAATTCACTCTTAATTGACGAACAAAAGACCCAAATCAGAAGAGGTCTAGTTGCTTGAGATCCTCCGGGCGAGTCGACAGAGTCCTCTCGTCCAGCCATTTGTCCTTCCCCTGGAGATGCGACAATGATCCGTACTCTTGATATCGGCAGTGTTCTCCCCAGCCCCGACTCTCCGCCAGGGATGACGACTTCAAAGAGCTCCAAGACTTCCTCCTTTCAATCTTTCGACAGTGACGATGGCAGTGTCTTGGCCGACGTTGGTCATTTTGAGGAAATTGGTCTCGACGACGACACCGTGACCCTGAAGAGCCCATCGAAGGTCGATGTCCGTCCCACTCTAGTCAAAGCCCCCTCGAGCCGAACCCTCGCAGCAGGCAAAACTGCCTCCAAAGCCCGACCACCATTCCCAACCCTCGAGACCAATGTATATACCTCCAACCCCAGAAGCACCAATTTGAGCGCGTTGACCGAGCCTCTTTCTGCTACACGACCAAAGACATTGACAAGCCCATCCTCGGCATCTCTCCCATTTCCTCGACGGCGAAGCCCAAGCCCTGCCTATTCGCTCAACCCGAGGGATCCGAGAGACCCGAGTTTCCCTCAAAAGCCTCGCCGAGGCAGCTGGCAGGCCGGCCGCGATCGCAAATCTTTTACCGACCTTGAGCGAGAATGTGATGAAGACGATGGCGATGATATCCCCGACGGCATGTTCCTGGACAATGTGCCACTCTCCCCCCGGCCCATGCAAGAGCGCACGCCTAGTCGGCCATCCTCCGTTTCTCCGTCCCCCAATCGATCCAAAGAACGAGTTAGAAGTGTCGGTAATGGAACACCCGCGGTCGCGCAAGCTCAAGGCTCTCTTCGATCGCCAACTTGGAAGACTGATGACAATCCTCGCAGCCCAGCCAAGCAACGGGCACACAGCTGGAACGCTGCGTTGGCGGAATTGAACGCAGAGGCCAAGACGTTAACAGAGAAGCTCGAGGAACACGCCAACGAAATGGAGGAACAGCAGGCCAAGCGCCCCGCGAATCAGCGCCCCAACACCTGGAATGCTACTCAACGATCTGTCGACACGTTTGACAAGAAGCAGCGTGTCAAATCAACTCCCGAACTACCACCTCTTCGCAAGACAAATATCATGATCGACCCTCTTCCCGTTTCGAAGGAGAAGGAGGCTGTTCTTAGCCGGACACGACCCTCGTGGCTGCCACCCAAAGACCCCGCCGAGGAGCGCCGGCATCTGAAGGAATATCAAAAGATGATGGCAGCAAGTGCCAAGGCTGAGGAGCGACGCGAAGCCTCACGAAAGGCCAAGATCGAGGGACGAGACAGCACAGCTGACAACCTGATGCAAATTTGGGAGAGAGACGTGATCCCACGTTGGAGCGATGCCATTCGCGAGCGTAGGACAAGAGAACTATGGTGGAAGGGAATCGCACCCCGAAGCCGAGGTCAAATCTGGGGTCGAGCAATCGGCAATGAACTGGGACTGTCAGAAACGTCATTCAAAGCAGCACTTGCTAGAGCTCAAGAGATTGAAGGCAGAGTCAAGGACGATAAGGGCGACGCGGAGGATGCCAGAAGGGCAAGATGGTTCCAAGATATCCGAAGGGATGCTGCACAGAAGACGTGGGAGGATCTCCGGATTTTTGAAGTTGAAGGACCATTGCACCAAAGTCTTGTTGATGTGTTGAGTGCATATGCCATGTACAGAAGCGACATTGGCTATGTCCGTGGTTGCAATGTAAGTACAACAGCCACCTCGTGCCACCTGAGTTGCTAACCAAGTCCGTCAGACCATCGCTGCCTTACTGCTCCTGAACTTGCCCGATGCCGCGTCTGCATTCGTCGCACTTGCCAACGTCCTCAACCGCCCATTGCCTCTATCCTTTTACACTGGAGATCCGGGTGCACAAGCGTCCGCATTCAACCTCATCATGCAGACACTTTCTCTCAAGTCTGCCCCTCTTCATGCGCACCTCACCAAGAAGATCCCTACTGCCGAATTGGAACGATCTTTTTCAGGAATTTTGACAGCCATTTTCACACAACACTTGGCGATAGATGAAGCAGCCCGTCTTTGGGACGTATATGTCTTTGAAGGAGATGCACTCCTAATTCGAGCTGCTGTTGCACTTCTTCTCAGCAGGGAGATGACGCTTCTCGGCGCTAAGACTGCCGACGAAGTGAAGACAATTCTTGATGGAAGAAACGCCAAGGTCTCTTCGGCCAGAGTCGCCGGAGAGGTGGGTGCCGAGGACAAGTTTATGATGTCAGTCCGTGAGGCAGGAAAAGCTTAGGCGTTTGATCGGGCCACCCGTTTGGAAAGGCTCCTGGGGCTTGAGAATCAAGCTGTACATTTGGGATAGATGGTGGACATATCTGCTCCATTTCACGGCGTTTACTACATGGAATGTGCGGGTATTTGGTTGGACGTAGAAGGCATGCTTATGAGAGGTCTCGTGAGACTATAGAGCGGTTTTATCTTCGTAATTTACCGTCATCCACGGTTGGATGACGAGATTTTGAATCAACACATCTGATGATCATTCATCCGGTCCTTGTGCATCTTGCCCTTGATGTTGGAAAAGGCAAAACATCCAAGCTTAATGGAGCCATGAACGTGTTAAGAAGCTTTAAGGGCGTAACAACCGTAATAGTTGACCATGAATTAACAATCACTTCTTGTTACAAACACGCATGATGGTAAGTCCGAATTCGACAGCCGTCATTTGATAACAAGTTACTCAGTCATATCACAGGTACTTTGGCCTGTTTTATCTGTTGAATTGTTGGTTCGGTTGGATTTTTGATAGATCTGTTTTGGTACAGGGTAAACCATTTGACAGATTTTCAGCCTCGTGCTGTAAAACAATTTGCAATGCAAGTAAACTGGCCACTAGGCCTTGGGTGGAGGTAAAGATGCGAAGTTATTATTAATTATTATTTTAATTAAACTGGAAACTCTTTATCACCTTGATTGTGTATCTTACAATGAAGTGTCATGACCGTTTGCTTGAGCTTTGGGAATACGCTGCTTTTACACTCATCATAAGACACGGCGAAAAATATCCCTGCTCCAATAGCGTCTGTGTGCATGCAAACCGTCAATGAAAGTAATTGACACGTTTCTACACGTATTCCCAACCACCGATTCAAATCTATTTGCTTCATCAAACGCCATTGTGACGATGAAAGAAGAGCTGGCGTGTTGTGAAACAAGCCATGCCACGTGATCACCGCCAACTTTTGACCCCTCACCACTTGCCGCGCGAAGAATGAGAGCAGACAAAAACATCCAAACACCACCGTCCCAATCATTCTCTCCACCCACTTACACCGCAAGAACCCCTCTATAACGGGCAACGCGACCCTCAGTATGCCGTCCGGATATAAGCATGGCGACACGCCAAAGAAGGCCATGGTTCGAGGCACCATCTCGTACCTCGAGTCTCAGGGCCTGCCTGTCAACAAGTCAGCCATCTTTCGGCACTTTGATCTGTCGCGATCTCAAGGTTATGCCGCGTTGAGCGTCCCCGCGTCTAAGCGCAATGATCCCGAATGGGAGGAAACGCGTGGGAGACCCCTCAAAATCTCTGAAGAAGATCAGCAGAAGATGGAGAAGATTCTCTGGAATGATGCCTACATCAATGTTAACTTGAACTGGCATGGATTGGCCAAGGAAGCTGGTGTTGAGGTTGATGTGAACCCCAGGACGCTGCACAGAACAATGGGAACGTTGGGTTACCGACGATGCCTGGGATGTCCGAGGACCTGGGTGCACAAGAAGGCTCGTGAGAAGAGAGTCGAATATGCCAGACGCATGCTTGAAGCGTACCCCCATCCACAGGACTGGAGAGCCATCCGGTTCAGTATTGAGCTCCACTTTGGGTTTGGCCTTGATGGAAAGATGCGTCTTATTCCCCGACCTGGTGAACGGTTCTGTGAGACATGCGCAACTACTCCCGAGGCTGAATGGCCACGCGACTTGCGAAAGGCCCACGCTTGGGTTGCTGTAGGTTACGGGTTCAAGAGTGAAGCCGTCTTTTACGAAGATTCTACCAGCCCGAACTGCACAGGCGTCATGACCATGCAAGAGTACAAAGACCACATCCTCGAGAAGACGGTCAAGCCATGGCTCACAACCACCGGCCCCCAGAGCTTCATCCTCGAAGAAGACTGCGAGGCTTTTGCCCATGGCGCTGCAAGCAAGGTTAATCTGGTTCAGCAATGGAAAGATGAGCACGGCCTACGATACTACTACAACTGCGGCGATAGCCCCGACCTCAACCCGCTCGACAGCCTGTGGCCCCAGCGCAAGCAGTGGAATCTGGATGCGCCCAAGGACTGGGAGGACGAGACTCTCCAGAAGATGGTCAGAGAGGTGTGGACAGGGTTCGATATCGAGAGAGTCAATATGTGGGTCGACTTCATGCCGCAGCGACTACAGCAGGTTATCGACTCAGATGGAGCGCTGGTGCCTTGGTGATTGTTATGAGTTTGGCGTTGTATTGTTTGTGATGCTGTTACGAAGCGTTGAATTAAAAGAAAATATGGAAGAGGTTGTCTCCGGTGTCATGGTCGGACCTTCGATGTTTCTTCGACTTGGCCAAGGGGATGTCGTTGGTATGGAGTAGTTGTGGGTTAATTTTGACGAAGGGTGAATGGAAAACAAGTGAGGCATGATCATCGGCCAGCAGTAGAATTTGACATAGATGAAAAGAGAGTTCCTCATGGCAGACACCTAGTTGCTGAGTTGATGTTCGACGATGTTGAAGATGAACTACATGGGGAGCACGTTGAATACAGCCCTTTTATATGTCACAAACCAAAGGCAAACTGGCCAATTATAGGCAGCCGATTCCACAGAGGCCTTGTCTCTTCTAGCATCGTTTTGGCCTTGTAGCTTGACTTCCATACCAACAGGGGGTTCCCTCCAATCCTCGACCATCCAGATAACATGATTCATTATGTGAAAGAGTATAAGGTGCAAGCCTTAGCTTAAGCGCCCCAGTGCTTGGCACAATGCCCGCCATCTTTGGTCTTACCGTGGCAAACCATGTCATCCTGAGCGTTACAGGCTATCCCTTAGACTATGTACCTGCCAAGGGCCGCGAAAAGATGTACAAGAGCATGCTGGCAACATTACAGAGCTTGGAGCAATAATGAAACCCTCTGGATGTAGATAAGGGAACCACCGAAGTGAGATCCTCAATACTCACATGAGTTCGTCAAGAATCCTCAAGTCTTGAGGAGGCACCTAGGTATAATCTCGTTGTCAAGCCCTAAACACATGCCCATGGCATGCTATTTCTCACAGGGCATATTCCCAAGAACGCCTAGAATTCTCTTATTTTCACTGGATCGCAGCTCTGAATCACGCTCACTATCTTCTCGGCTCTTCGGCTGCATGCCCACCGCCGCCAGTTGCCTCGCACCGCGAGCTTCAATGCTAGCAATCTCCTCCAATTTCCACCACCACAAATATTTCACTTCTCTCTTCTTCATTCTCTTTCCTTACTCATTGAGATTTTTAAATTGGTTCCCACTATTATTTTCAGCTCTTCTTTTGCTTCCATTTCCCCTCTTGCACACTCTTCAGCACCTTTGACTACCAGCCCAGCTTCTTTCACTCGCTCCTGAACATGAGTTCCTACAAGAAGAAGAAAAGTTCTTCTCGCAAGGATTTTGAAGCACCTCTCGTTCAGAGATCTAGAGAAGAGCGCGAGGAGTCATCCTATTCCTGGATAAATGATTGCCTCCCGACCGCCACTTCAACTGCAGGCCTTGGTAGTCACCTCGCGAGCAACACCCATACCAAGGCATCGAACAAATTACCTGAGGAAGTTAGGAGCGTTATCAGTGACCCAAGTATTGATATCAAGGACGCGGGAACCGGTCACCACGATAATCGGATGACCAAACTTCCTCCAGGTCAGTTCCGTGAGCCGTCTTTGAGACGGGGCTATGGCATGCCGTACCAGACACCAAAAGCACTTGAAAGCGTGTCGGCCCAGGGAACGAAACAAGTTGGGCAATGCGACGCTGGAACTTTAGAATCGCAGACGCCCCTTTCAAGCAGTCGGCAACTACAACCGCCAACCAATAATGAAACTAGCAACATGGTAAGTTTTGACATGGGCACAGTTTTTGGTCTAAATGTGGACTAATAGCTCTTAATAGTATGATCTCAGTCAACGTAAACGTATACGCAGTGATCTTCAACCTGCCGGTTACCGCCCCATTGCTATGCGCCATCCCGAGACCCATGGACAAGAAACCAACAAACAGCAGTCATCAGACATAGTGATTAATCTAGGTCACAATAAGGAAGATGAACAGAAGGCTCTTCTTAGGAGATGTCTGGAGCTCAAAGACTTATATCTTCGTTCCGATGGCGAAGCCCAACAGTTCTAGGAGACTATTGGGCACAAAGTTCATTTTTCACAGCAAATCAGAGGGAAGGCCTTACGACGAGAGAAGTGGAAACTTGTGAAAGGCTGCGTGGAAAAATGGTGCGAACCACGCAGATTCCAACTTGCGAAGGATGGACCTGCGGCATCAGGCTCCGAGCTCGTTGCACTGCTTGACCAATGGAACAAATTATATGCTGCAAAGTTTTGTTCTGAAAACCGAAATCTCTTGGAGGCAGCAGGATGGAAAAAGGCTGCTGAGCAAAGTCGAAACAGTTCCCGCTTAGATGCCCCCCACAACCCTCAGGCCAGCCATGAGAGCAATTCCCAGAGCGAGAAAGTAGCAGAAGCATTGGACTTTGAAGTTTCTATTTGGCCTACTGTCAAAGATGAACTGATGGAGTTCGCAGAGTCGAGGATTCTCCGTTGGGCTGAAGACAAGCTACGGGAAAGGCTACAGGCACTCGAGTCTCTGACCCGGCCGCCCCTTTTGAAGGCCAACAGCTCTCCGGAGTCGTACCAGCTATATTTGAGATACCTCATGAATCGTACAGAGGCTTCTGGAAAGAATTCTAACGCAATCCGAAATACCGAGGCTGTCATGTCTATGGTACTGGACCTTCTACCAGGTCTAGAGAAGCGCCTGCGGGATCAGCTCGGACATGTGGTCGATAAGCAAGAAGATCGTTCCGAAGCTGGTATTAGGCATGGCCAGACTAATGACGCGGATAATGACGTGGGCAATGATGATTCTGGAAGTGCTCATGAGAATCTTGAAGAAGCTGATCATGACATTGATCACAAAGTTCAAGAAGCCCAGGAAGAGATTGATAATGAGGACGAAGTCAAGACGAGACTTGAAGATGGCTCTGAAGAGGATGAAGGCGAAGACGAAGTTGTCGATGATTTCGAGGAGTTATATGAAGATGAAAACGAGGACCATACCTACAAAGATCCCGATGAACCCAACCGGCAGCATAGAGGGTCGGTCCTCGAGTCCATTGAGCCTCGTACTCCGATTGTCACTCCAAGGACAATGGCTCAACTCCGTCACTACGAGCAGAGGTACCGGGGCATGATTAGAGCTGCTAAAGGTCAAAAAGAGACAGCGGCCGCCGTACTTCGTTCTGTGGATGAAGAAGAACGAGAAGTGGCATCACGAAAACGAAAAGCATCAGATTCCGTGGAGCCTGCTCTTGCTATCCGAAGCAAGTCGATGGAGCAGAGGCTCGCTGCGATGGGCACCCCGACTCCCTTAGGCAGGAAAAGGCAACGACTCAACGAACATCTGTGTAGTCCAGCGTCGACAGCTTGTTCGTCTGAGCTTCCGTCTCTTGAGGACATTTTTAGCTCGAGCATTGGTCGTGCATCTTCCGCGACAACGCAACCACTTCCCAACTCCTCGAGCCCTGCAGTTCGAGTGAGTAAGAAGAGTAGCACAAGAAAGGACAGGAATAAAAGCAAGAGTAAAGTATTCCCTGAACTCGGAGATACTCCTACCGGCGCTGCTACTGCTCCTAAACTTGAAGAGTTGACAGGAGTGTCACCTGGCCTCTTTGTGACGCCTGATCCTGTAGCGCAACAGGTCAATACGCCCTTCGGATTTAAGAAAAGTGCCTCGTGTCGTCCTATCCAAGAGGAAAGATTTCGGGAAGAAACAGCCGAGTTCCATGCCATGACGCCTGGTGCTCGGGAATCCATGCTCTACACCGCGCTTCGGGAGATGCGCCGGCGACAAGGTTAGACGCAGCAAGTAACGAGAACTCACCCACCATAACATCATCCCGACCTCACTATCCGACTTGGATGCGGAACAGGATCTTTGTGTGTTTTGATATCGATTGCATCTCTTCTTCACCCGCCACAACGTCATTCCGACTTCACTATCCAACTTGGATGTGATCTTTGGGGTTTGATCTCAGTCACATTTCTTCTTTCCTTTGTTGCTATTAAGTTTGCTTCAAACTTGTCAAGGGTTTGATTACGCTGCTTGGAACTATTTTCTGGAAGTCAGCGGGAGAGGGAGCCTCAAGGTTGAGGAGCATAAGAGGATTGATTGGTAGCTTTGAACTTTGTAGTATAAGTGTTTGGGAAGAACCACTTGCTCATAGAGATGCGATGGAAGGAATAAGATGCTGAGAAAACTAGAAGTCGCTATTGGTACAGATACGTTGCGCTTAGCTATAATGCTACTCGAGTTCTAGATATTGAGAGATGCTGCAGGCAATGCTTCACAGACAAATGCTTCCCTATAAACATGAACTGAGCCTTTATCTGTCCGGCATAACGAAAAGCGAAATGATGATTTGCATGGTTTGACTTGATTGTTTGGGAGGTTGCGGTGAAGGTTGTATGTTTAGCAGTGCCACAGCATTGTCAAAGATTTAACACTCGCCCAGCCGTCGCAACAACCCAGCCTCAGGATGATTTTAGGATGAGTTTTAGGACAATTAACTTTCCTTTTCCCACTTTTTCTTCTCACACCTCAACTGTCCTTGAAGCTGCATACCAGACACACAAACTACTTTTGGCAACGCAGCTTGGCCGCCTGCAACAATGAAGTCACGCAGACATTGGAAACATAGAAGTCCCAAAGGTAAAGAACCTGCGGAAAGCAACATGATCGACTTGAGCGAACCCCCCGTCAAGAACGTACCCCAGAGCAACGCCTCATCAAGCAGGCGAGAGTCTCAGAATGACACAAACATGACTAACGAACTCACGATCACCGGAGCCAACACAATCCCCCTAGGAGCAGGATCCCCTGCTGGCAGGGCTGGCGCACCACCCAAAACACCAAACCCATTTTCACCCTCATCGCTATCAATAGGCCCCAGACCCAAGCGAGGTTGGCAGCCACACCTCCCATTGTTCTCATCGGACGACTTTGAGCCGCCACGAACAGGCGAAAACCCCAGTGCTAACAATGTTTGTGTCTTTGCCCTTCAAATGTGCTTTTGCTGACCTTGTGTAGAATGGGAATAATGCCCAGACGCAAATCACAACTGCCCGAAATGAAGGCATTACCACACCGCAAACACCTCAAGATGCTCCTAGACGCTCTTTTACCATCATTCAAAAATGCAAAGTATTGGAGACGTGCTTGTCCATTAAGGATGAGTATCTTTCTATGCCCCCAGCCTTCCATCATGACCAAGAACCGTTTTGGTCGAAGATTCTGAACGAGAAGCTCTCGCCGGACCTGGTTTTCAAGTTCAAAGTTTGGAAGGACATTAAAGAATCTGTCGAGCACTGGTGTTATGCACGAAGGACCTTACTCCGAGAAGGCAACCTGCCTCCAGTTTCTCCGGCTCAGCCAGAGCTGGATACTTTGATTGACCAGTGGAATACGGTGTTTGTTACACGTTTTTGTCAAGTGCACCGCGGGTATTTTGAGAACGGCCTTTGGGCCATGAATGAGAACAGAGTGTCATGGATGGTATCAGAGCACGTCGACAAATCGATATCGAGCATGTTGCAAACCAGAAGAGATGAGCTGGAAAGCTCTGTCCGACCAAGACTTCTCGCCAACAACAGCTCGTTAACAGAGTATGACAACGCTGTGAAAATTATTCAGGACGGTTTTACCATAAGCCGGCGGGAGCATACCCAAAGAATGGAGAGTGAAGCCGTGCTGTCGATGATCATGGAGCTTCGCCCGGTTCTGGAGAAAGCAATTTCACAGCATTTCAATGGTGCAAGGCAAACCCATCAAGAACGAAGTTCCGGACCTCACACTGAGCCAGCCATACCTATGGAACCAGTTGCTTCGCGAGGGGGTCCACGATCCAACGATACCCAGCGTTTAACAATTCCTTCCTTTGGACATTCGGCTTCAGCTTCCTCGACGCCACAGCACCCTATCACTCGTGTTGTCCCCTCACCAATGGCAAGCAGTAATCAACGTTCATTGCCAGAATCGAACGAGAATGAGTTAAGAAGGAAAAGAAAGAGTGCTGAGCCTGTTCCTAGAATCACGCCTACCCATAATTCCACTCATCTCGGCCCGGGCACACCCAACAATTATGATAACAGGAACCTATCCAATAATCAGCCGAAGCGGCCGCGCTTGGATAGCGGAATCTCTTCAGATGTTTCTCCCCGAATTGGGAGCAGAGAAGAAGCCAGCAGACCTCAGCAAAGACAACTTTCGCCACTAAGGTATGAATATACTTGGAGTGAGGCAAATGTCGGATACTAACAGCTTAACAGAAGGCCTCCAGCATCACGAACTCCAGGGAGACCATCTTCGCCCCCAACTCAAGAACGACAAAGTAGGCCCGCGGGCAGCTTCCCCAGGGGTCACGATTCACAGTATCCAGACAAATGGGTGGGTGATGGTGAACCCCACCGCCCTTGCCAACCACGAGGGTTCCGGGAAGACACTGTCGAGTTTGACAACATGTCAACTCGACGCCAGAACCAACTTATCAGGACACAAAATCGTACGCTGCTCGAAAAGCTCGAGGAGTTAGGACCTCGATCAGAGCGGGGGCCAAGGAACAACCATGACTCCTACCACAGGCCTTGACTAGGAGATTCAGAAGCAATTGGTACTTTGAAAGTGAATAAAATGCGAGTTACCGCCACCTATAGGTCTCCTGATTTGGTGAAGAAGGAACAACAACCAACGGGGGACTCTTTGGACCCTGACTTTGGACTTGGTGGAGTAAACACTTTGTACAGTACATCAGTAGCTGGGTGATAGGAACAGCAGGGAAGCTATTCAACAAATGCAGATTGCGAAGAATTGATGATCCCGGTGGTTGAAACGAAAACAGGAACCGACCTAAATTCGTGATATCGAACCATCATGATCTGACTCCGGAAGATGCTCTGGGAGATTATCTCGATAAAGGCCAGGCAGTTATTCTGTTCTATGTTGTAAGGAAAGTGTTGATGTTACTTCTCTCACTTAAGGGTAATTCAGTCATACAATTTGCATTATCCAATAGGCCTTGCCTTGAGGTATAGCTTGTATAATGATCATAGCAGCCATTGAAAGTGATGCTTGCTCTGTATGTTGCTTGGGCTCTGAGTATCAAGGCGGGGTTGACAGAGCCGCCGCAACAACGGGAAACAAGCGAGCGACACGTGGGGCTGTTGGACCCTGGAGACAAGGGGCAAACACCTAAAATTGTTCCCTTCTTCTTTGAATCATGACTACGCTGCACCATAAGGTTCAGTCTTGTCAAGAAAAGGAAATTGGTCAATCGTCAATGCTTTCTCTTCTCATCTTGACTTCCTTTCAAACACCATCAAGCACGTCAAACAAGCAATCATACTGGCCATTTACTCCCCCCTGTCTACGCCACAGCCATCCGGTCGTATCGGGAGCCCCCCCACTTGCTCCACCCTCTGAACCCTGGACTGTGATGCCAAGACCAAGGGTCCCGCCCGTGGAACTCAACAAAATTCCCAACAGAACGGAAGACGAGAAAAAAATTCGAACATTTCCCAGATTCTACCAATTGACATGGTTCCTACTTTTGCTCCTTACCAGAATGGATCGGAACATCCGTTTTCTCCACCAAAAGGAAAACAGAGAAATGCTCCGGATAATTCAGTAGAGTTTCACGGCGAGAAAAAGCTTGAATTCGGGTGACCCCTGAATGGCCATTGCCTAACATGTCAAGCGAACATCAGGTTAGCCGGTCGACTCCCGGTAATGCACTCTGCTGCTGTGCCGCATTTCAATATTCCCCAGGTTTGTGCAAAAGACATGACATCTTGGCCTACGACATGTAAATGAAGCTGTACAGAAACCTGACCAGACACAATTTCCTGACCCCAATCGAGATTCACAAGTACTCTGTACCTTCATCCCCAATGGACGGATAGCCGTTCCGTACAACTAAGGTTATCTTAGCACGAGCTGACCTCTCACCTCGGTTGCTCCCCCAAACAACGACATTTTCACATGTCGATAGTCGTAAACTCTTTAGCCATCTATGCGATAATTCGTTATTCGTATCAAGAGGCCGCCAGCCATGACTTCAACGATCTCGATACCTTCGAGAGGCGATTTATCTTGCCTGAGCTCTCTCTATCACTGCTATCAAAAGCTCCACAAACAACCGGGGTCGGGCTTGACCAGATTTATCTCCCTTGCCCGCTGTCTGAGCTTTTCTCCCGCCTTTTGTAACCAATCGACTCGTATCCAATTCACATCGTCAACAAAATCAGAGACAGCCACGATCGGGGACCTTGTCTCTTGGCCTGAGCCGCTAAGCGTGCCCCCCCCTTCGAACGTGGTCGACGTCGACGTCGTCCCTCCCGGTTCCCCCCGTTCACCCAAAAGGGATCGATTCACATGTCGATGATCTCCAGCCCTAAGCCAGCTTGGAGCCACTTTGGCCCGCATAAGCTTGCAGCCGATTCGAGAGGGGCGAACAATTCGAGTGTGAAAGGGCCCGGTGAATCGTGAGGCTCGTCTAGGTCACACGCTTTTATTTGGACACCGTCAGTCGCCAATGAAGGCCTAAATGCGTGATAAGACACTGCCAACCCTCAAATGGATGACGGGTTTTGTGTATCAGATACACAGATCTAAGCCACCCTTTGTGTATCAGTCGGACATGTCCCGTTAGCGGAGGCAGATCCATTCTTCAGGCGGTGTGAAGATCTAGACTAAGAGGCTGAAGAGGCAGCGGCAATGATAGGCAGGTATTGAGCACTGTAGCTAGCATCTTGCATATCCATCGATGGCAAAATCTCAAGGCTTTTTTGGAGGCGACAGCTTTTGTTGTCCAGAGTCATGCCACTGCGGTTATCCAAGCCCACAGCTCCGCCGGCCGAAGTTGGGGAGCGGGGCCGGGTCTCGGCAGCTTACTGTGTATTTCACGGATAGATATCGGCGAGTAGAATCAACGACAGCAGAAGAAAAGAACATTGCGGGCTCTATTGGGAACGGCAATTTATCCGATAGTCCTCCAGAAGCTTAATTGTAATAGTGACAATACTAATCACGGGCTTGGTGATGGTTCAGCCAGCCCCCTCCGCAAAAAATACCAAGCCTTCTGCAAGCCTCATCAACTCGCAGGTGAAATAGGACACATCACAGGCTCGTGAATGCTGTTCAGCTGCTGTACGACCAAGACATAAGACACACATCAGACGGCCACCCCGTCACTGTCTCGTCGGGAGCTATTGCCACATTTCAGGGGTGGGTTAGAAGCACGACCCGTTTTCTAGCGTATTTTTCTGGGGTAGGGATTTTTGGTCGCGACTCAAGTCAAGGTGAAGATGCTTCCCTTGAAGCGGCCGTTTCATGGAGCAATTGTATCGTACTGTAAGTTTATGTGAAGATGGAAATTCAGATGTGAATAAACACTGCAGTTGATAATTTACGTTACTGTGAAAACATTAGATTTGATGTTATCAAAGTAATTCATTACATTAAACTTTCTCTGTGGCAGCATGGTACCTGTCTCCCTCTGAGATTGTCGATCTTTTTGCCAAAGACAGGGAAAAGCGGTAAACTGTATCGGACTGCACAGTAAAAGGAATGGACCTGTCAGTTTCATTTCCATTATCGTTCCACCTTGTATTGCCCGCTTTCGCCGCATTTTCTGCTTTGTGTTGCCGCTGCGCTGAGAGGCCAGAGGTTTTGGGTTGCTTGTCCGTTGTCCCGCCCGCGGCAGCTAAAAGGTACAGTACAGTACCTGCCTTTTTCCAGGCTCCACGCCCCAACAAAACGCTTGCCGAGCAAGCATCCACGCATTAAAGTAAGGTACCTTTACAGTTGAAGGGACACACTTTAAAACTTCAGCCCCCCTTGGCCGTCTCGTAACTCTTTTTTCCTTTTCACCTCCCTTTCTCTTTTTCTTTGACAGTTCTTCTTCGGCATCTCGACTTCTTGACTCTTTTGTCTATTGTCGGCCGTGAACCCTTCTTCCCACAATGGCGTCCGTTTCGACTTCGGCTCTGCCCAAGCAGAACCCTGCGCTTAGACGCACCGTCACCTCAACTACTGTGACGGATTCTGAGTCTGCCGCCGTCTCTCCTTCAGACTCTCCCCGGCACTCAGCTTCTTCCACATCGCTCTCGTCCATGTCCGAGGTCGATATCGCCAAGCCTAAGTCCGAGTATGGTGTTATGCTCGACACCTACGGCAACCAGTTCGAGGTCCCCGACTTTACCATCAAGGACATCTACAATGCCATCCCTAAGCACTGCTTCAAGCGCTCTGCTCTCAAGGGATACGCTTATATCCTCCGCGACATTGTCCTCCTGACCACCACTTTCAGCATTTGGTACAACTTCGTGACCCCCGAATACATCCCATCCACTCCCGCCCGCGCTGGTCTGTGGGCCGTATACACCGTTCTTCAGGGTCTTTTCGGTACCGGTCTCTGGGTCATTGCTCATGAGTGTGGTCACGGTGCTTTCTCCGATTCTCGCCTCGTCAACGACATTACTGGCTGGGTTCTTCACTCTTCCCTCCTCGTCCCCTACTTCAGCTGGCAAATCTCCCACCGAAAGCACCACAAGGCCACCGGCAACATGGAGCGTGACATGGTCTTCGTACCCCGAACCCGCGAGCAGCAGGCTACTCGTCTCGGAAAGATGGCCCACGAGCTTGCCCATCTTACTGAGGAGACCCCCGCTTTCACTCTTCTTATGCTCGTCCTCCAGCAGCTCGTCGGCTGGCCCAACTACCTCCTCACCAACGTTACCGGCCACAACTACCACGAGCGCCAGCGTGAGGGTCGCGGCAAGGGCAAGAAGAACGGCCTCGGTGGTGGTGTCAACCACTTCGACCCCCGCAGCCCTCTGTACGAGAACAAGGATGCTAAGCTCATCGTCCTCAGCGATATTGGTATTGGTCTGATGGCCACTGCTCTGTACTTCCTCGTCCAGAAGTTCGGATTCTACAACATGGCCATCTGGTACTTTGTTCCCTACCTCTGGGTTAACCACTGGCTCGGTAAGCTTTTCTCCATGCAATTGCAATTCAATGCATACTGACCTTTATAGTTGCCATCACCTTCCTCCAGCACACCGACCCTACCCTTCCTCACTACACCAATGACGAGTGGGACTTTGTCCGCGGTGCCGCTGCTACCATTGATCGTGAGATGGGCTTCATCGGCCGCCACCTTCTCCACGGCATTATCGAGACTCACGTTCTTCACCACTACGTCAGCAACATCCCCTTCTATAACGCCGACGAGGCTACCGAGGCCATCAAGCCTGTCATGGGCAAGCACTACCGCGCCGATGTCCAGGATGGTCCTCGTGGCTTCATCCGTGCCATGTACCGAAGCGCCCGTATGTGCCAGTGGGTTGAGCCCAGTGCTGGTGCCGAGGGCGCTGGTAAGGGTGTTCTGTTCTTCCGCAACCGCAACAACGTGGGCACTCCCCCCGCTGTCATCAAGCCCGTTGCTTAAGCAACATTACGGCGTCGGATCGGTTATGGAATCTAAAATTGTTTCTGTCAGCGTTGATTGTTCCAAGTTGGTTTCTGGTTTAGAGAGCTGGACATGCTCGTTCATGGGAGTTCTCGCTATGGCAATGGCTGAGATGAGGTGGAGGTTGAAAATAATCTGACATAACATTCAAAGATTGATGAGCAATATGATAGAGAAAGATAGACGAAGCTCAATGAAAAAGAACAAACCATACTGATTTCCTTGGACGTTTATGTCTTCTTTTGACTTGATTTGTTTCAAGACGATTGTGTTTGGTCGACGTTGACTTTGACCACGGGACCCTCGGATCTGGCAAGTAACCTGATATGATCAGAATGCGGGGAAATGTCAACACACGTGCCCATTGACCAGACTTGGTGTCGGCATTTGCTAAGATTGTCGTAATTCTGTATTTAGCAGATCATAATTATCGAATTGGTTCTAGGTTTGGTGGTTTGCCAGGATGTGTAGATAATTCTCCGAGTGGTGGTGGCTTGTGAGGTGTTACTTGAAGCGTCTCGAGTTCACATGCAGCTGCAGTGGCACTTACCATACGAAGGGCGATTGTGAATTCGAGATTCCTACCATTACTACGAATATCTCTTATTTTACAAAGGCTCTCTCAAAAGCAAACCAGTCCCTCTCGAGTGTTTCTCTCCAATACTAGCACAGAAGTTCACTGACGTGAAGAGCGACAACGCAAACGGCGACTTATCCTAAGGATCCACCCAAATTGACGACCAAAACGTGGAACAGTCTCGTTGTTACACAGCGTTCATTATTCCCGCCGTTATCAAACTTTCACGTCAGACAGGCTCCGGCCCCAATGGTGTTGCGCGTTTGAACGTAGACGAGACCCGATGTTGCTACTCGCGATTCTCCATAGCATTCTTTACGTTCAAGACCTGGGATTGATATGACAAGAGAGTGGATAGAGCCGGTGGAAGACTGTATAGATCACAAATTGCAGGATGACTAACATCCAAACATCCGGTGTGGTGTATCGGTTATCATTCCGCGTTTTCAATTGTTCTGCAATTAAGCGCCGCGGCGAGCGGGGTTCGACTCCCCGCACCGGAGATTCCTTTTGCCCTTCTGATAAAGATAGTGCTCTTTTTTTGTCTGATTTAAAAGCTCAAATCGTGAGATTCGTGGTGTTTGAGCCGGTCCCGTGAAGTCTAACATGGGCATATTGACTGAGTTCTCCTTCCTCGAAAGTGAATTTGAGATGTGGGGCCGCATAGAAATGCGGCGTCTTTAATTGGCTAGATCTCGATCCCCCGGGACCGCCCGCGGGGTAGATCTTGATAAGTGAGTGTAGGGCTGCCTTGGGGAAGCAGGAGGCAAGAGGTTAGACACCTTGGGACCTCTATCTTAAATTACAAAAAGATTTAGGTAAACTTAGGATAGACCTAGGCAAATTTGGAATAGATTTAGTGGAATTTAGTATAGATTTGATGGACTTTAAACTACTTATTTCTCGCACCTCTCTATTCTCTCCCGGACGATGAGGAGTGGTTGGCTGGCCCTCGATGTTGTTGGAGTGTCTGCATAATAGCCTTCTTTCCCTGGACTTTCTGGTCTCGTAACTTCTTACTGAAACCGTTGTAGAGAGAGATCACTCGACCCCTCTCCAGAGACTGGAGGCGGGCAAGAGTACCGTCTGTGTGAATTTCAGCAAAAAGAGAAAGGGAGGGAATGTGAATGACTGACCGAGAGTCTCCGGATTCCAAGATTCCTTGAGAATTTCACCTGCGGTGCCCTAGAGTTTCCCCCGTACTCGAAGGTTCTCTTTTACTCGTCGAACGTTGAGGGCTGGTTGCTCCTTGCGAGGAAGGCTTCGAAGATAGTGAAGAAATCAGCTTCATTGATGAAGGCATCGGCTGCGTCATTGGCGATAGTGTTGGTGAGATCCGAATCCTACTTCGTGGACCGACCTTCAGCTCGGCGACCATCGCAGTCAATTTGGCCACTTGCGTAGAGATGGCTCCAAGGACTGGGCACGTTGGGCTTTGGGCAGACGTCCAGGGGTCAGGCTGCCAGTAAGAGAGCTCCTTATGTTAGTGGACTTGGGCTCAGGGGGTAATACTACAACTGTCATGTTCTTGGGAAGTTATTGAGGAGTGTAAACATGGCTGGCAATGCCTCGTCGGCATTATCGAGCATTATCCGTGGACAGGGCAACAATCGGATTGGCGATAACCTCTGCAGGTGTAGTCTGGCTGGCCTGGTGATCCTAGACCCTCAGACACGGAGTAATTGTTTGTTTGGCTAAGGACTGTGGTATCGGAGGGTTTGCTCGGATTCTACTGATCATTTATGAAAAGGAGTCTCAACAAAATAAAATTCCACTACTTCTTCAGATTCTCTGGGGTTGCGTACTTTGGGCACACATTCTCCTTTCTAACAATATTCGGAAGTGTTATTCAGTGCCAATGTCACTCCCAGTATCACTGCTAGTGCCAGGTGAATCACTACCTAGTAACGAGAGCAGTGAATAAGGTAGGTACCCAAGCAATCAAACAGTAACCTTCTCGCTCTTCATATTTCTCTTCCTCCATTTCTACATTCCTCTCTTTTGACGGCCATCATCTCCTCCAAAATAACTCCCATTAACTTCACCAGACCCCTGATCAATCAACAGCTTGACGTATCCTTGCCTTGGTACTTGCCCACCCACCATGCGAGGTAGCCAATCGACTGAGTTTCCGTCACTCGACGATGAACGCCTGCCATCAACAGCGGCTGACAAAGAGCTTCTCAAAGAGCTTCAACTTGCTTGGGAACGACACTCAGATAAATGGGACGAAGAAACAAAGAGTGAGTTCGTCGACCATATTCCCAAAGGTCACACAAAAGTCACAAAGACAAACCGCACCCAACCGAGTGGCCATCGACTCTGGAAATCTGGCCGTATGACCTTCGCCGTATGGATAATCTTTCGGGTCACCTACGACTACGACAAACTGATAAAGCCCAGAGGATGGCTTCGAAGTCGATACAGGAATATCGACCCGCAGTCTTGGGCGAGCCCCAACTACAAGAAGTCTGTAAAGTCTAAGGGGACCAAGGAACTCTGTGACAACAAAGGCAATTGCGAAGACAACTATGGCGATGATAGCGATGATAGCGACGATAGCGACGACAGCGATGACCAAGGCCGAATAGATGCGAGTTATCCTGAAGATAAAACCGACTTCCTCTAACAATCTTAGGACAAGGCAACTACCCGAAGCACATTCAAGGCGGTGAACGTTACCGAGCCAAATGGAGGTTCGTCACGAAAGCGTGGAAGTTCTGATGCTTCCATTCATTTCCGTGCGAAGCTCCAGAAGACAGACAGACACAGAACTTCATCATCGGCTGAAGGAGTCCATCCGTGTCAGTTAACACACTCTGAAGTAATGTATGATCTCTAATCTCTAGATAGTCGAGGCTCACAGTCGACCAACGGTACCCGCGGGCAATAGCCGACCTCTCTCTAGTCCCTCCACTCATAGATCTCGTCCTTTGAGTTGGCAAATTAAGCTCCAGGAGATCAGAGATGCAAGAGAATCGAGGCGTATCCTGCATCATAATCGAACTGTACTTAATCGCACGGCCTCGACCGATAATCAGACCTCTCTACCATTTACCCGGACTGCGTCCACATTCATGCAATCGGCAGAGTATCAGGAATATCGCCAACCCGTAGTTCCTGCAGTCGCATCCACGCAAGATGCTGGTGATCGCAATGCCTTCCGCTTGTCTGTAACTTCTTCAGACCACGCGGGCAACCATGGGCCAGCAACCCGGCCTGGCAATGCTTCGGTTTTTTCTTATGGGGACAGGGCAGATGATCTGAGTATTTTGAGCGATCCTATGGGATACCGTAACTTAACGACCCATTTTCAAGGACGCTCAACTCAAAAGGACCAGATGAGAGCCAAGTTAGGGTTAGCAGACCGCCGTTCTGAGGCGTCTGGCAAACGTCCGCCGAAATCATCTCAGTGCAGGGACAACAACCCCTCGATTACGGCCCAGGATTCCTCCGACCCTTTTGTGTTCTCATCAGGTTTACGTGAGGAGGAACAATTTCACACTGAAGATCCGTTTCCTCTCCGTTTCACCAATCGGGAGACTCTCGAATGCTATCAGCCTGTCACGCCCAGCAATGCTTTCGCTCAGCAGCCATCAGGACTTCAGCAACTCCCGGTTGGGGAACCCGATGAACCATCATGGTTCTGGCAATTCAGAAGACAATGTTTTTCTGATCAGAAGGAAATGCGCCAAAGAATGGCAAACGGAGTAACAAAGAGTTTTACCGGTCTTTCGTCCCAGTCAGTTCAAGGTTCAATCGAACCGTTAAGCAATTCTGTCATCCAACGTGCGGAAACTATGGCAAGTCACCATACCCAAACCACAGGAAGAACAGAGAAGATCGACCAGGCCGGGGCAACGGTCCAGAATCTTCGAGAAATAAAGAAGGTCCTCGCAGAAATCGCAGCTACGAATCGAGAGCAGCTAGACGCCTTCCAGAAGGAGAGAGCCGAAATACTGGTTGCTGCCGACCATCACTGGGCACCAGGAGGATATCGCTGATCTCAAGATTCGCATAGCATCAGTCGAGGAACGCACGTCGAGGTTGAGGAATACTTAGAGCTTCGGCTCACCAATAACGGCGGCGATTCACCCAACATGCTCTTTAGGTCAATGATAGCTATCGTTGCACTTTTCACAATCTTGAGAATGCGCAAGAAGATTGAAACTATCATCTTTTCGTATGAGCTGGCTCAAATGCTACTAAGCATACTGTTTACCCATCGCTATTGTCGTGTCGCCTATCTCTTGCATCTCCCGGAGATGCCACACAACGAATACAATGTTCTCTTATATTATTCCTTTCGGCTATTGTAGGAATTACTCATCATCCTTCGCCCGAAGTTCTCACATGCATTCAATGTTTTCTTATCGCTCTTCCTTCATCTTTCGTCTACTGTCCGAAGATCGCACAGAACACCTGCACTGGTCACTTCAATCCATAGGCAGGCCTACATCGCTTCTCCCGATCTGTGTCTCTGCAAATCCCCTTTAGTTCATTTTCGACATTCAGCGTCCTTTGTTCATCGGCTTATGACGGGAGGATGATATGGTGGTCTCCTTTTAGCCTTGGTGTCATACGGTTAGCTAGTGACGATATTGGGTTGCTTGTGGATATTTCGATCCTCTTCTTCAGGCAATAAGATAGCTTTCGTCGCAATACAATTTTTATTCAGGACTGATATCGATAGAAGACGTTTAGTAGAGACCCAGCCTTCTTCGGGCAGAAAAGATAGCAACCAGAGAAAACATCCCCGCAATGTAGAGACAAAACGCTTGATGATAACTCCTAGTTCAAAGGAACCGATCACACGACGCCCCCCTTCAAAAAGTCGTCCTACGTTTTGAACTTCGCTGTTTGTTCTATAATTTCACAAACGCCGCCCATTAAAACTGCAATAAAATCAACGCAAGGTGGTGAATGCGAATATAAAAGAATTAATTTCGTGCCACCCCTGGAGGGTCCCAAAGTCACGACCTTCCCATGTCTCTTGCGGTCGTTATTTTCCCCGGGGGCCTCCACAGATATGTGGGAAGGTTCCAAACAGCGCGGCTTCAAAGATGGCTGATATGCATGCCGGGGGGTGCGGCCTATATTATGCTTTTTAACTATAGCTATAAGCTATTAGCATGGGTATATTTACACTATATAAATAATAAAAGCAACTGTGTTATTAATGTGCCCTTGGCTAAAATGTCCGTGCGATGTGTGTAAATCAAAGAGAGTAAAAAATGGACAACTGATTTTGATCTTTGTTGTATAGCATGGTATTGTTGAATGAGTTCTTGCAAACGATTCTGTGATGGCAGTGGGCCTGCATGAGATTAACACCTATGATTGGCCAGATCTCGATTCCGCGGGCTGTCCCGTGGTAGATCTCGATAATGGGAATAACAACACTGAAACCTGCTTTCGCCTGAGGAACCTGATCACCACTTGAACGTCAAAATTCCCAACCCAGCGAGCGAGGCTGTCTGACCACTTGGGGGGCAAATGACACTTAGACTAGATAGTCCAAGACTTTAACAAACTCATCCTAAGTTATCCTAAAACTGTCTAAATTTATTTGTAACTTGTGATTGAAGTCATAAATTTTAAGTCTGGCTCCTCACTTCTGTGATGTCACCCTTCTTTGCGCTAGGTTCACTTTGTCAAGGAATGTGATTCAGGGCCACCACCAGCGAGACAAATGCCATTGGTTTACCAGAAAACTTAATCACACTGTTTTTCAAATTGGTGAAGCGTTTATTACCGGGAGACAGGATCATGGACGGACATGATTATTCCCATGGGTTTGGATATATCGTCTTGATCGACATACCAGCTTCGCAGTCAGGCACAGCAAGAGTAGTCCAAATTAGCCAGAACGTAAAGGATACAAGCATGGAATTGCAAATCAGATCAGAGAATATAACTATTTCTTCTGAACTATGAGGTCTTCGGAAGTGCTTTTAGGACAACAAACTATGAACATGAATGCTCTGTTCTTTATGTGACAATCCTACTACAGACGAAACCTATTGGCGCTCTGAAAACAATATCGTAGTCAAGATAACTCCTACCATGTCTCCTTGACGAGTCTTGTGTTACTCAATCTTGTCATACGTCATTAAATTCCAGCCTCCCTGAACAGTCCCAACTGGGCACATGATACAATTACGGCAACCCAACATCCGAGAGAACGGATATCAACCTATTTAACTTGATGAATAACAGAACTTGAACATGAATTAGAAATTTGAAGCCAGCTGTCTTATTGGGCATTGCTCACTTGATTGGGAATATCGCTCACGGGAACTTCCGCCGGTCCTGGAAGCCGGATATCCATCCTTGAGAGGGCACAAGACGAACAAGGATCTACATTCTCGAGATTCTCTGGAGCCATCACTAAGCTCTCTTTGTCGACCTTTCAACATGATCTGATAATGTCGATCTTGGCCTTGAGTCTCGAACATGACGTTGGGAGCGGTTATCGTGATGGTTGAGGCTTTGCAAGCTAGTCCTAGGACGGCGTTGGCGTCTTGGAGAAAACGACCTGTCAAAAAGGAATCTGGATTCATACCCTAGCAATCCCCTGATTACTGTGCCTGATCGTCATAGCAAATAGTTCTTATGTCAGTGTGGGGTGGCATGTAAAGCTTGACAATCACCGTTGAGAGTGTCTTGTCACATAACCTGTAAGGCACGGATCTACCAAGCTTATTCCCACAAACGGTCCCTTGCAAGTCGCTTATTTTGGCCGATTTCAGCTTAAAGCTGTCCAATAAGATGCCGCCGCCGAAGATGATATACTTTATACTTATAATGAATGCGAAAAACCCCTGGCATGAGGCTGCGCCAAGACAAGCCACCGGAAACAAGAACCGGAAAAAGTGTCAAAAGACAGTGACAGATACGCGAGCAGGCCAAGATTCAAGTGGGTGACATCCGTGAAGTCAATATGAGGGCTTGAGATATCGAAAGGATACCTTTGATTACAGTAGTGTTTGCCTGGATTCAAAAACATGTTGAATGTTAGGTCTGCAAGGCAGCAAACCAAAAATGAAAATCAAAGAAACAGAATGTATCCGTGGACTCTTTGCCACGAATTTGATCTGATTCTGAGGTATGCTCCCGTTCTACTAGCCTATAAAAGATATCTGCTCCGAGGAGTAAATATGAACCTGCATCTGTTGTCATACAGACTAGATCTAGATCAAGAATGCGGACCCCATCCCCCATACATAGTAACAGCCAGCCGTTGATGTCGTTCCATACTTAGTAACAGGAGAGTATCACATCTCATATTCTGATGTTGACCTTCACTTTGTTTGATTAGGCCAAGAGCGGCCATCTGGAGATAGCCTCAAAGATCAACTCACAAGATCCGATGAAGATCACCAATTTAGTTTTTAGAATGACACATAAAGATTTCCCAGCACTGGGTGGAGGTCTTTCCATTTTCACACTTAATCACTAATTTCCAAGGCAACCACTGTATCAAGGTAGCACAACGTAATCAAAATTCTCATGAGCTGTAGTATTCCTGGCTTCTTCACATTTAGACAACCAAGGACCTGATTGCTAACATATTGGACATTATACGGCAAGGGTTTCTTTTGATTCAAACCGTCCCGCAATGATAACTCCACAGCCGCGCTGGTTAGTGTTAGCCTACCCGTTTTGTGCTGCCGAAAACAGCACCTCGCCTGAGCAACCAAACAAAGTCCGGGGAATTGAGGCGCTCGTTGGACGCAGGCCCCAATCTTGTGCCCGGCACCGAGACATTCCCGCGCCCCAACGATCTACATCAGGCGCCAAGTCTTTAGAGATCTTCAGCAGTTCACCCCGACTCATCATGTCGTCAAAGCTCATCCGGAGCGTTCATCGCGAGTTTAAGTTGTCAACGGGGCGCTAGTTCCTGCTGAGCCCGCTGTGAACGTTGGCGGGAGGGTCGCAAGGTTTACCCCGTGACCGGAAACATGACAGTTCCGCGAGCTAATGGTGACAGGACTTGAGGCTATCCCTAGATTCTTGTGGGCGAGTATGGTGGTGCGATGGAGTCCATTTGAGTAGCCCTCTTCAAGCCTGGTAGGTTTACCAGTACTGAATTGGTCTTGTCCGCCGATAACACTGACCGTGACAGGTATGCTCAAGGCGGTTGGGAGCCTCTGGGCGGATTAAACTTTCGCTCATGATGTCGTTGCATATTACAACCTGGAACACAGGGTCCTCTTTCCAGGAGTCCCTGAACCCTTGATATGACGACATGTTATCACGGTGGAAGCCCTGTCGGTGACGAGGGCGTGAAGGCGTCGCTCATAGTAGCCTGTGCGCCTGGCTCTTGTTCAATCGCTATATAGTTGAAGGATCATCTCGTTGGCATTCTATGATCATCGAAGTTGATCAATGCCAAGTTAAACAATACCAAACATCAATCATGGCTCCCAACATGAGCTGGCGAGCCGTGATGGCTTCACTCTTACTTCTCTCACCTACCCCATCCCATACCCTCCCCTGCGACAGTGAGCCCAACCAGCAAACTGGCATGCTCTATGCTGGAGGCTGTCCACTCCCTGGCGTATGTACATGGGGAAGCTGTACAAGCGTCACGATCGGACTCGACCCTACACAATGCGGCAAACGTGGCAACTCATGCAAAGCCGGAGAGCTCTGCGTTGCTGGTGGATGCTATCCTCTTGATGGGTCAAATACCAACAGCTGCACCCCCTCATCAGGTTCCAATAGCTCTGGGCCATGTCGGCCGGGCCAATGGTGCGATGATGGGAAGTGTTCCCCAATCCAGGTGACGGCAAACTCTCGTCGCTGTGGCAGTACCAACACACAATGCGGACCTGGATCTCTTTGTGTCAACGACCGATGCCAAAGGTTGGCCATTGGCTCAGACCCCAACTCCTGCGGTACTTCAAATACGACCTGTGCCTCAGGCAACTGGTGCCTTGACGGATCATGTGTGCCCTTTCAACTTGGTACCAACGTCCAGTCCTGTAAGAGCAGCAGCGAATGCTCACTTGGCGCATCATGCCGAGGCGGTTACTGTCGTCAGGCCTTCATCTCGACTGACACTTATAACTGCGGTCTGGGAGCCAACCCGAAGAACTGCACCGACGGTCAACTCTGTGTTTCTGGACAATGCCTTTCACTCAACATTACTTCAGGGACACCTACCGATTGTGGCTCTAATGGAAAATGCCAACCAGGATCTTACTGCTTGGATAACGAGTGCCTACCTATCAAGATCTCAACCGACCTATCGCAATGCGGAAGCAGCTCGGAATCCTGCGGAAGCAACCAGGTGTGCGTCTCGGACCAATGTATCAGCAACCTGGTCCATCAATCCAACACTGCTAGGGTCGCATGTGGTGCTGGGTCTGGAGGTCCCGGAGCACGTATTCCCGGTGCAGATGAGGATGGAGATACACAGTCGGGTGATGGAGGCAGTTCCTCTGGAGGAAGCGGCAGCCCTGGCGACGGTGAGTCGAATGGCAATGGCTCGGGAGATAATGCCGACGGCCAAGAAGGAGGATCTTCTGATGGAAATGGATCATCGGGCCAAGACAATGATGCATCCGGTAATGGAGATGCACAATCGCCAGATGGTTCCAACGATGGAGACGCCTCTGGCAATGGGGGCTCATCGGAAGGAAACGGCGCAACCTCAGCTCGGCCAGAGGGAACCTCAGGCGATGCTGGGCGCGGGGGAGATGACTCAGCTTCTGGCTCAGGAAACGGGGATGGACAAGCAGACCAAGATGGATCCGATCAAAATGGCGCTGACGGAGCATCGTCGGACCAGAATGGAGGAGATACTGGCTCCGGGTCACCAGCTTCAACTTGTGACCCAGCTTGTACTGGCAATACTGTCTGTATCAACAACCAATGCGCTTCAGTTCAGGACCCGTCATCCTGCGGTACCTCCTCCAGCCGTCTCCTACGTCTTCTGCGGAGACAAGCGACATCAACCTGCCAGCCAGGCTTTGCTTGTATTAACAACGAGTGCGTACCGGCCGATGGTCCGGTCAACTGCGGCGCATCAGGTGTCAATTGCCCCATCAACTATGCTTGTATCCAAGATTCCTGCGTGGCTCTTGGTGATCCAACCTCATGCGGTGGCGAAACTTGCCGCAGTGATGAAGTTTGCATCGGCAACATTTGCACGCCAAGTCCCGGTTTAGCTAGCTGCAATGGAGTTGCTTGCCCTACTGGTGAGACTTGCCAGAACGGATCTTGTGTCCCCATCGACGGCACAGGCTCAGGTTCAAGCGGAGGTGCAGGAACCCAAGGAAGCGGTACAAATAATGGGGCCGATGATGGATCTTCCTCTTCAAGTGGTGGCAACGGGAACGGCGACAACACAGGCGGGGAAGGACAGGGCAGCGGAGATTCCTCGGATGGGGCCTCTCCTAACGACGGCTCTTCTGGCGATGGGTCACAGACTGGCAGTACACAAGGACAAGGCTCTGGTGGTGATGGTTCAGGGGATTCTGGCTCAGGATCTGGCTCAGGATCTGGCTCAGGTTCCAGCCGTGGCTCTTCTGGCGGCTCAAATGACGGTGGAAGCTCAGGATCTGGGACGAGTCCAGGAAGCGGAAATGGCTCAGGCAACGGATCAAATTCAGGATCAGATTCACCCTCAGGCAGTGGTTCAGGTTCTGGATCTCAGGGAGGTAGTGGTTCAGGATCAAATGGTGGAGATGGTGACGGTAATGGCTCTGGATCCGGGCCCGACTCTGGCTCATCATCAGGCAATGGTTCAGATGGCAGTGGAAATGGTTCACCAACAACACGTCAACCAGCACTTACGGCCAGACCACAGGGTAATGTTCCTGGTGGTGTTGATCCTGATACCGACAATACCTCTGGTGTTGCTAATACAGGGTCAAATGGCCGACAGACCTCGAGTACACAAGCTGGAACCCGTCCAAGCCAAACTGGTAGCCAAGGAAATGGATCTGGAGGTGATGGACCTGGAGGCGACAACGGGTCCAGCAGTCGGTCGCAATCAGCGTCCTCTCCGAATCAGACTGGGGGTACAGAGGGAGGTGGTACAGGTGGCGATGGCGACCCTGCCTCGAGCAACCCTGTGTCCAATGGCGGCCCAGAGGCAACATCGGGAGCTTCTGTATCCGGCGGTTCTTCGCCCTCAGGGTCAGGTGGATCGGGAGCTACGGGCTCAACAGGCCAGACATCGCCAACCTCCATCTTATCTGATGGGGCACCAATTGTCAATCCTGGCCCAGGTTCAACGGGGGCATCTGGAAGATTGGTAACATCAACTTCGAGGCAGATTGGAAGCCCCGAAGGAAACCCTACGGGTGGCGGAGATGGCGAGCCATCACCAACAGATAGCAACGGTGGTGGTAACACAGACACTCAAGGGCCAGAAGGGTCAGGCAGCCTCTCAACGAACAACGGGGGCGCGTCGGCTACAGGCGGTAATGGAGGCGGCACTGGCACTGCAACTCAAGGTTCAGGCACTTCAAATACTGTTGCCAGTCAGTCTAGCTCTCGAAACCCAGCTGGATCTGGCACAGGTGGTGGACAACCTTCAAACACTGACGGCGGCCCTAACGCTGGAGGTCAGACAAGTGCAAGTGGCAGTCAACCTTCAGCGACCAATTCGCAGGGAACCAACCCAAGCCAAGGGGCTGGAACGACTGGTTCTTCAAATGGCCAGCTAACTGGTGGACAGTCTTCCTCTGCCACAACCACAGGCCAAGGCTCGTCACCCACTGATGGAACTCCCACATCCTGCTTAGACGATATTGATTGTGTCGTCGATACCGAGCTCTGCGTTTCTGGAGGGCTCAATATCTGCACTTGCGTGAATGCAGTATGTGTCCCGACCACTGACCCAGATGGTGCTTCTACAGCAGGCAGCGCCAGCTCTGCTGTGGCATCTGGAACCCAGGGCACCAACCCATCAACGCCGACAGAGAGTGGCGAAGGTACACCATGTACTGACGACGATGACTGCTTGGCTGATGTCTCGTTGTGCTTGAGCGGCGCACTCAATCTATGCACTTGCGTTAACGCAGTCTGTGTTAGAGAAACGACAACGAGTGGCTCTCAAGTCTCAAGCACGGCTTCTGGCAATAACCCAGGATCTAGTGCCGGCGGATCAGGAACTACAACAGCCGGTGAGTCGGCTACACAAACAGGGTCGGCATGTTCTACCAGCGACGACTGCGTGGCCGACGTAGCATTATGCCTGGTCGCAGGGCTCAACTTATGTGTCTGTGTAGATGCTGTATGCCAACTTGGACCCGACTCGAGCAATGGTGGAGGTGGCGATGATGACCCAACCACAACAGCTGGGGCACCAGCAGCACAAACATCAGTACCGTGCGCAAATGCTGAAGACTGTACAGCCGCCCTCGGACTGTCTGTCTTAGGAATCTACGTCTGTGTGGACCTCATTTGTCAGCTTCAACCAACTGCCAACCCGACGAATGGAGGTACTACAGCTTCGCAAACAGGCTCCATCGCGGTTCCCACCATCACTGAACCTATCGATTGTGCGACAGATCAAGACTGCGTGGCGGCGTTGGGAGCTAACGCGTTAGGAATCTTCGCATGCATAGATCTCTTATGTGAACAGACGGCTACAGCTTCTGGAGCTGGTGCCTCTGCTACTCAGCCTGCCGCGTCTGTGCAAGGAACTGACGTCGAGTGCTCGACGGATCAAGACTGTGTGGCTGCCATTGGAGTTGGGGCTCTTGGTATCTTTGCATGTGTCAATCTTCTTTGTCAACAGACAGCAACAGCCAGCGTTGTGACGACAGCAACTAACACTGGGGTCTCTGCTTCGGCTTCTACAACTGACGTTGAGTGTGCAACTGACCAAGACTGTGTCGCCGCTCTGGGCGCCCAGGCATTGGGATTATTTGTCTGCATTAACGCTCTCTGTCAGGAGACTACTTCAACTGCAGGCGCTGGACCTTCGACAACTCAGCCGCCTTCTCCGGGAGCCACCACCGATATCGAGTGCTCGACAAACCAGGACTGCGTCGCAGCAATTGGCGCAAATGCTTTGGGGATTTTTGCCTGCATAGACCTGATTTGTCAACAGACTGCAAACCCGAGCAGCGGCTTTGTCACTGTCACATCTGATAATACACCAGCCCCAACTAACTCGGAAACACCATGCTCTGACGACAGCGACTGTACTATTACAGGCCAGACATGCGCTGCAGATGGCTTTTGCAGGGCATCATCCCCCAGTACTGGCAACGGAGGCGCCTCATCTTGTTCCGACAGTGTGGATTGTCTCTTATCTCTGCAACCTCTTTGTGCCCTTGGCCTCTGCGTTTGCTTGAATGCGGTTTGCAGTCCACCGTCAGACGTCGACCCATGCACGACGAACTCGCAGTGCAATTCTGGTCAAACTTGCCAACAAGAAGTCTGCGTCGATGATGTCTCTTGTTCTACAGAAAATGACTGCGTGGCAAACCTCGACTTGTGTACGTCGCTGGGAATCTGTGCTTGTGTCAATGGATTGTGTACTCTGTAGCGCAATCATGGCCATTTCTTCTTTTGTGTGATAGGTTATTCTACTTATGGGGTTTGAGCTTGATGCTTACTATTTACTTATTTCTTTATTTTGATTTGCCGTTTTAACCACTTGATCCTTTTGTACAATGTGTGTGGAATGAAGGTTAAGGTCGGATCATGTATAACAATTTGTCGCTTTACGTCACACAATACCCCTTCGCAGCTCTTTCGCTCTCATTATGTGTACTATTTCATTATAATAATAATATATTATGTTCGATTTACTAGCTATATTTACATCAAATAATGGTATGTTCTCCGTAATGACTTCACGAACCTTGCTGCAGATGAATCAGCCCTCGCACATGCAAAGGAGAGGATAAATTGTGTCCTGTATGAGGCAGTCCTGCGTGTAAAACAAAGATACTAAACATACGTCCTAAAATTTAAAACGTTTGTATCGTTGATTGAGAACACGGACCTTTATCTTTGATTGTTTATTGTCATTATATTTTATTCGGGCTGAAGATAAAAATAAATTTGTTCTAAGTATTACGCATCGTTCCTGGTAACCGATTCCTTTTTCTTGGCCGCATTTACCTGCCAGAAAGCCGCTCCCTTTAAACAGTCTTAACAACCTATCGCATGCTCAAGCCTGTGTATATAATATTCTGTCACCATCTCAGTAAGGCCGATCATATGGCCGATGGAGCTCAACGGCAATATCTACTGCGACATGCACCAACCCCCGGCCACTGACAGCCCAACCCCCTGGATTATCTGAAGATCGTTGCCATAGCTTTGGAACAGGGTCTTTGAGATTAGGGTTGGCTGCTTGCCACGCCATTGGGTCCAGTATGGATGTGTTTGGGTTGAACAAGGTGCCGTTATGGTAAGTAGATAAGTCAAGCAAGATCGTGTGACGCATGAAGGTGAGAGAGAACTTCTTGAGTTCAGAGTTCGATACTGGGGGCACTGTTGGATGAGCTCTCATAGTTTTGTAAAGTGCCACCGCGCAGTTGATCTCTTGATAACCTTTGGCGACCTCGATGATAGCTGATAAATTCTGATCCCATTCTCGAAAAGGATTTGGAGTGTCCGGTCTAAAAAGAGGATTGAGAAATGCCGAAACTTTATCTCCGATCTCTGACAAGGTAAGGCCAGGCGTTTTGTACAACACTTTTATAACCCTGGCTGCGGACAATAGAAGAGCAATAATGTCAGCGTCGAAGATGGGGTGGTTGTTAAGCCTGGTGACGAAGGGCCGTAGGATATAGCTTTTGCCACCTTGAAAGTAGCCATAGGCGATAGGCGAAGCAGAAATTAAGGACCGCATATTCTGTGGTACAACAAGATCCTCGAAAATCTGAATCCAGATCTCCAGTGGGAGTCTGGGTAGGTCATTTGAGAGTGGGGGAGTTGAAATGATTGATGATGAAGCCATTGTGAAGCATCAATGGGTTGCAGAAGAACAAAGAATGTTGGGAATGTAAAAACAATGCAGATAAATAGAATTCGAAGAGAAGGGAGTTTTTACCCTTATTTAAAATTTACAATTGTTTACTTAAGCGCTGTAATATGGTGGAAGTTGAGGATGAAAGTTCTGATTTAAGTTTAGCTTTATGATATCTTGCCGAGAAGTCTTTGACTTATACCGGTAGAGGAAACTATAATTGTGATATTTCAGTGACAAAATAAGTCAATATACTAAGAGAAACATATATTCATGCCATGATGATAGTTAATAGAAAGTTCTTCCCAACCTTTGCAGAATCAGATAACATAAAATGGCAATTATCTCCAACCCTTTGGTGCCGGGACCTACTCAGACAATACTCAGAAAATCTTCTCTAAGATTTATCATCATTGTAGCGCCATTCAAAGAATTTGTGCTGACATCCGATACTGCTCGAGGGTTATCGTGCTGGCCCCAGGGACTGAAGTTGAACCACCAATCATGTTGGAGTCTTTACCTTGGAATTGTTGCTCCACTAAGGATCTGGCTGACGCCAGCCAGACTCACCATCCTGGAAGCATTGCCTGCAGATCATATGAGATCCACAAATGTTGCAGTTGTAAGAAGAATATAAAAGGAATGAACTATTCCTCAGAATAACTAACCTCATTATCTTTTACCTTTCGATCTTATACATTGCTTCCATTCAAAACCTTTTAATCATTATCATGGTACAGCACGCTCCCAAGACTACGGTTCACCAGCTCGCACAAGAGTATGCACCCATCATCAAGGGCAAGACTATCCTTACGACAGGTGCAAGCCCAGGAGGTCTCGGTGCACTCTTTGTCGAGGCTATTGCAATCGCAGAACCTGGACTGGCTATTCTAGCTGGCCGTAGTGTTAGTAAACTCCAGCAAACTGCAGACAACCTTGCTGCCAAGTACCCCAACCTCAAGACGAAACTTCTGACTATTGATCTTGGTTCTCTTCATTCAGTTCGTGCGGCTGCAGAAGAGGTCAATGGATGGTCAGATGTTTCCAAGATCGATGTCTTGGTCAACAATGCAGGGATTATGGCGACAGACTTCAAGCTGACGGAAGACGGCTTCGAAAATCAATTCGCTTCGAATCATCTGGGTCACTTCTTGTTTACAAATCTGATCATAGATAAGATCCTTGCTTCAGAGACGCCTCGAGTGGTCAGTGTTTCCAGCAATGGCCACCGGCTGGGGCCTATCCGATGGGGTGACCCCAATTTCAGCGTAAGCTTTTACGACACTTCATTATGGAATTACTGCTAACCCGCATATAGAATGGTGAAAGATACAACAAGTGGAGTGCATACGGGCAGTCAAAGACAGCAAACATGTTGTTTGCCATCTCTCTTGCTGAGAAGCTCGGCAGTCGCGGACTCCAAGCGTTCTCCCTCCATCCTGGCGCAATCCTTGATACTTCTTTGGCTAAACATCTAGATACTTTGGATAGTCTGGGTAAGTGCTCAACGGATGACTTATAAAGACTGTCAAGCTAACGAGCGTAGTCGAAGCGGATCGTGCAATGGGGGACCCCTGGGGTTGGGTGGATTGGTCTACTGTCCCAGTTTCCTCCGAGGTCGGTGCTGCAACACACGCGTTTGCTGCTTTTGATCCCGATCTCAAGGGTAAGTAGGACTCCAAATAGTCTCAGATTTACAAAGACTGATCTCGATAGAACATAACGGTGCATATCTGCTTGAATGCCGTCTAGCAGACCCTATGACTGATACAGTCAGACCGTGGGCGACAAGCTCAACAGAAGCAGAGTTACTTTGGAGGAAAAGTGAAGAGATGGTTGGCCAAAAGTTCTCTTTTTAGATTAGCCACGATCAACGAAGATATGGAGAAGCTAGACTGTGAAAGACAGCAGAGCTTTTACAGTAGTTACTTGTCTATTCAGTTGTTCTCTTAGTAAACATCTCTTATCCCCGGAGGTGAGTGCTGAAACAGAGGCTGAGCTGCTGTAGAGGCCAAGTGAGAAGATGGTTTATTAGACCAGCGGCGAGACTTAAGTCTGTTTGGATGTTTAAAATAACTATGATATCTTCGAACTAGTACGCTAAATATTGACAAGTCAACCTTCCAGTATCCTCCAGTATCCTTTGTACTTTATTCCATGTATAGGTTCCAAGGAATTCAGTCGAGAGGCTACCATGACTTCTGACTTTCTATGAAGTACCTTAAGATCACAATGACAGTCTTTCTGTAGACAACAGCCTCGTGTATCCAGAACTCATCCTGCAGTGTGTTCCCAATCCAAAGGGATAATTTCCTATTCACTCTTGGTGGCCTAATGTTTTTCAGACTCTCAAGTTATCTGGCGTTCAGTTTGTGAGGCTATGTCTGAGGAATCAAGCGATAAGCATTGCCATGATGTGCTGGATTCTGCGCGAGAGGTCGTTGACGGCAACTGATGGTTTGTTGTATCCCGTCGCTAGGAGTAAAGTCTGACTGACAGGGTGAAATGTATAAGATGTGCCCGACTAAAGTAGCCATCTCCTCTAAGAAGGCTGTCCAACTTGAGTCATGTCACAATCATCTAAGCACCGGACCATGTCTCGTGGTGGTTTCCTAGTAAGATTATGTTAGCTTCCAGGCTGATTATCTGACTCCATACCAAAGCGTAACTCACCCTTCAGAAGATGTCTAATGGGCTCTGACTTCAGATCAAACCCATGAGCTCCAAAGCTATCCAACTGAGCTTCTGAGAAGCAAGTAGGAAGATCAGTTCCTCCAATGTACTTGAGATATTCCAAAGTGGCACTCAAGCAAGGCAAGTGAGCATCAGCCTTCAGACCTTCAAGTACAATCGCTTTGAGCGAGGGCCAAGACTTCTTGATCTCGTTCGGCACCCCAGGTCTGCATAGCGGGTGCACGTCAGAACCCTCAGCATATGCAACGTCAAGGATGTCAAAGATGTAGTCAGACTTGATGATGCAGCCAGCTCTCCAGATATTCAAGACGCGTGTCATGTCAACACCCCAACCTTCCTGTCGGTTCTTGCGTTCCATGACATCAAATCCCTGGATGAAGCACGCAAGACTTGTGACATAGACGGCTTGTCGTAGTTGTTCAATAATATGGGCTCGCTTCTCGGGTGCAACTGTGAAGGGCTGTGGGGAGACGGTTCCGATGGAAGCCTTGACGGCACTCCTTTGCTCGACTTCGGCTGAGGCAAGTCGCAGGTAATGGGCGGCGGTCAAACTTGGTGCGGGGACGTGAGAGGCGACAGCTTCGATGTTGGCCCAAACTCCGGTGCCTTCGGAATCGTTGGCATCCTGGACAACGGCATCTCTGATCTGATGCAAGAGAGAGCCGCCGTCGACAGGGCTTCGGGTTCTGCAGATAGGACCGCTGATCGATACGAGGAAGTTGCCTTTCTGTATCATGGATGGTTAGCAAGCTTGTAGATAGTCAGCTTTGGAAAGCACTTACCAGTTCTCCCTTCTCACACCAAGAGTCAAATACGTCGCCAATCTCGTCGCCAGTCATCTTCAAGCACTTGTCCATAATCTCCCATGCTTCACAGAGACTGGACATGACTCCGTGCTCGATGCCATTATGGATCATCTTAACAAAATGACCACTTCCACCAGTGCCAATATTGGTTACACAAGGGCGACCTTGGTCATCTTTGGCCGCGATCCTAGAGAGAAGGGGGAGAACTTGCTCAACAGCCCATTTCTCCCCACCCGGCATAAGTGATGGACCATACCTAGCTCCAAAGCTACCGCCTGAGATGCCGAGTCCGATATATGCAACACCAAGAGGACGAAGAATCTCTTGTCTCGCTTGTGTGCGTTCGTAGTTTTCGTTCGAAGCGTCAATGAGGATGTCGCCCTTTGAGACACGTGATTTGAGTTGGGCGACGACACTATCACCAGGACGGCCATTCGGTAAGCTGAAGATAAAGACCTTGGGTGATCCAAGTCCTTGACAGAGGGTATCGTAGTCCTCGCAGATGTGAATACGTTTCGATAGCCCGGCGGCCTCCGCGTTCTTCGCGACTTTATCAAGACTTGCTCGTGATGTATCAACTATAGACACGTCTAGACCTTTTTCTGCGAAAAGGAGGGAGACGGCGCCCCCCATAGTGCCTGCTCCAATAATACCGACCTAGTGGATGCATGCGTTAGTGACATTGGAGACAGGTAGTGTTGGTCTGGGGTAATTACTTTGGTAATCTCCATTTTGAGTTGCTGATGTCAGAATATGTAGTTGATTAGGAGGAAGTGATTAAATCAGGAGGCTTGTCCGTTGAGGATACAGAACTATCTACATTTCATAACACGTCCAACCGAGGATTTAAATACACGAGGATTCCTCAAGAATCACCTGGAACAATCAAGCTGATGTGAGCCTTGATACTGCACTGCCTCAAGTTTCACATGATGAGGTTGACAGTCAACTATCTAAAAGGCGCATATGATCCTCGAAATCAGGGAAACCACAGACTATGAACGATAATAAAGAACGTTCTTGACGATTTCCCACGAAGAGGTCGACAGTCAACTTGAATAGCGCTCAATAAATCATGACTCGGCCATGCGGAGTCTCCGAATTTTCATGCCGTTCGAAGCCGGAGAACCCCCACGGGGATCGAGAACGACAGACCTGTAGCGTGGAGAAAGAGCCTCATTAAACTTCTCCCCCTACCAAGGCTCTAGTTACGTATCGTGTCCCACTGCCAGGCTGACTGTCGACCACGCACAAGCCAAGTACCGACACTAAAAGCCCCATCCTAGCAAAAATGCCAATGTTCCGATTGGTAGCTGACAGTCAGCCTTTCTCCATAGCTGACTTTTTCGCGACTAGTCTGAAATTGGTAAGTGGTCTCCGAATTTCTCCAAGTTCTGTTGAACATGGGGTTGAACTAGAGAATTGCTCGCGTGAAGCTGAAACTCCAGATAGATGGAGTTGGCCGATGAAGGGCACCTTATGAATTGACATAAATACTTTTCATCCATTCCCCATACCCCAGATAGTTTAATTCCCCAAACCCCAGAGGATCATCACTCATCTGGAGTTCCATCCAACTTTATCTTCTCTTCTTATCTTATCAGGACCTTGTGGTTTTTTCTCGCCATCATGACCAACGAGATCACCAACTCGACTGCCACCGGCGCAGCTCGAGCTGAGAAACCCTCCTTCGAGACAAAGGAGAACCTCGAGAGTTTTGTTCCTCACAGCGATCGTCTCGCCCTCGCCCGAACAATGGATCCCGAAACTCGTGCTCGAGTTGAGAAGCGTCTCAAACTCAAGCTCGATGCTCGTTGCGCTCTCTTCGTTCTGATTTACATCATGAACTATCTCGATCGAAACAACATTGCGGCTGCTCGCCTCAAGGGCTTGCAGGATGACCTTAAGCTGGACGATAATGAGTATGCCACATGTCTCAGTATCCTCTATGTTGGTTACATCCTTATGCAAGTCCCCTCCAACATGTTCATCAACAAGATCCAACGACCCTCATTGTATCTCGGTGCTATCATGCTCCTTTGGGGCCTGATTTCAACCCTCTCAGGAAACGTCCATAACTTTACCGGAATGGTTGTTATCCGTTTCTTCCTCGGTTTCACTGAAGCTGCCTTCCTGCCCGGAGCGTTGCTTATCCTTTCGAAGTGGTATACCCGCCGGGAACTCACAAAGAGAAATGCTGTCCTCTTTTGTGGTAACTTGATTTCCAATGCATTCTCAGCTTTGATTGCTGCTGGAGTATTATCTGAGATGGATGGCGTGCTCGGGCACGCTTCCTGGCGATGGCTCTTCTGGAGTAAGTCTTTCATCAGTCATAACAAAAGAACATGGCTAACAATAACATAGTTGAGGGTGCCATTACCATGTTCATCGCCATCCTGGCCGTCTTTATCCTTCCCGATCTTCCTAGCAACACCCGTGGTTTCTCTCAGGAGGAGCTTGCAGTAGCTCAACTTCGAATGATCGAGGATGTTGGTGAGGCTGATGAGGATGCTGAGGGTCAAGGAGCTGTTGCTGGATTGATGATGGCCCTCAAGGATGGCAAGATCTATGTCATGATGCTTACGTTTGCTGTCTACGTTGTCGGTCTGTCTTTCAACGCCTTCTTCGTAAGACTTCCTCCTATCCCTTGTATCGTTTCCAAATACTGACATTCTATAGCCATCTCTCACCAGCACCCTCGGTTTTGCTTACGTACCAACTCTCCTCATGAGCTCCCCACCCTGGCTCTTTGCATGCATCGTTTCTCTTATCGTTGCCTGGAGTTCTGATCGAACACAGGAGAAGGTATGCTCTCATAAACTCATATTACTTTTGGTCTCCATACTAACCATTTTAAAAGTTCTGGCACATTGTTGGTCCTATCTGCATTGGTTTAGTCGGATTCATCATCAGCATGTCAACACTCAACGTTGCTGCACGATACCTTGCTCTCTTCCTCCAAGCATCTTCTTACGCTGGGTATGTCGCTCTTGTAAAATTATCAACTTATCGAAAATTCCAACTAACATCAAAATTTAGATACATCGTCTTCTATTCTTGGATCAGCTCAACATTTCCTCGCCCTCCTGCCAAGCGAGCCGTGGCCATCGCCCTTATCAACGCCTTCGCACAACTGGGTAACATCGCTGGAAGTTACGTCTGGGGTCTCAAGGAGAATGGCTACCGCAAGAGCTATGGCATTGTCACAGCCATGTTTGGCTGCACCATCGTCGGTGCTCTTGTTCTTCGCATGATGCTTTCCAGGTTGAACAAGCGACTTGAGGAGCTTGAGAGGGAGGAAACACAAGCCTATGAGGCCGAGAAGGCTCGGGAGGCTCAGAATGATGAGGCTCTTCGTGTTCAAAAGGGCTTCCGTTATCTTGTCTAAGGTTTGGATAGGACAAGTAGCCAGTATTTTAGACTACCCTAAGCCTGTCTATTTAAAAAAGGCAATCTAAAATGAGATGCCGTTTTATCCAGTAGCTGTTTGGACAAGAACCAGATCTGAATATGTTAGTCCATAATTTCACTCGAGCTTATAGTACCATGTTCTCTCTATATTATAGCAGCTCATCACACGAGCAATTGCATGTAAAGTCGCTTATGTTACACAAGTGTTGACGCACGGTAGTGGGGGTTAGCTTGTGAGTGCTTTAGCGTGGATGGTCTGGTGGGGGTCCAAGAGGCGAGCAAAAAAAAGACAATAGGTAAATGTCCCATTCATAACTAGAAATGCAGGCAATAATTCATACTCTAATAGCAATGACCTATACCAGAGAATCTGCTGGAAGTGATATCCTCCACAAACATCATGGCTTCCAGTGGCCAGGCGTCCGTCAGCTTACTCTTTCCTGTTTAGATCCGAGTGTCTGGTCCCGTGTTTAAGTCGGGCCGAAAGCGTACTAATTGCGGGGCTAAATTGCGGGGATGGCAAGGGTTCCTGACGACGGGTTTACTAGCCACCGTACGTCGCAAATTCTAACCATCATCCCATCTTCTAAAGCATTCAGACTTTAGCCCTTCGATCCTCAACGGCTGGACGAATCATGGATCCAAGCTCAGTCAAGCCCTCTCCTCCTCAACAAGCCCCTACTGTAGAAGAGCCTACAACATGTCGAGAATGTCGACGCCGCAAAGTGAAATGCGATGGTGTCATGCCCGTCTGCTCAATCTGCCGAAAGTACAGAAGGCATTGTCTCTACGACAAGCACAGTAGAACCCGGTTGACCCGAAGGTACATACATGGGGCCGCGTCTCTGAGCGACTGGGGAACTTGTCGGACTAACAGTGACGTAGACAACTCACCCTCCTGGAGGAGCGTCTTGAGAAGGCTGAAACAGTCTTGAGGCGACATTACACCGATGGCCAGATTGCTGAAATGCTGGAAGGTCCAAAAGAAGGACTAGTAACCCAAAATCAACAAGTACCAGCGGCGACACCAGCAACTGCACCTGAATCGGCACCTACACCAGCACTAACCTTGGGAACAACGCCGGGGTTAGTCAGCTTGCCAAATACAACCCCAACCCCAGGCAATGTGGACAACCTCTTACAGCTGCCAAACCAGACATCCGACCCTAGTATTTATATGACAGGCACAGGAAATGCAGGAACATTCACTACGGATCCCCTGCTTCTAGCACCCATTGGTGAATTAGATGCAGCCCCTGGACTCTGGACTGCGTCACAAGACACAGCTTTCGAGGCCACTCCAGCTCCAGCCGACAACTTCGAGTGGAACGAACAAGAGACATCATGGGGGACATATGATCCCGCGACTTGGTCTATAACAAACCATGTTGACGGAAACCCCCAAGCAATCATGGACGGCATGGCCTCTCTAACCATTGGTGATCAAAAGAGAGGATACTATGGCGCCGCTTCTGGATCCGCCCTCTTGCGTCAGATCCTATCTGCCCGTCCAGATGGAGAAGAAGTTGATGCCGAAGTGGCACTACATGAGATTGAGTCTCTATTTCAACAACACTCGGATCATTCACAATGGTTTCGTTCTCAAGCTATGTTGACCAGAGTGGCTGTTGAGAACCTTATCGATGCCTTCTTTGTCTTCTATCATCCTACGTTTCCTATCGTGCATGAGCCCACTTTTCGAGCGCAGTATGCAGGCACGCTTCCTTGTGCCAACAAAGGCCACTGGAACACGCTGGCAAACATTCTCGCAGCCTTGGGATCATTTGCGAGCAGTAACGTTGCTGATGCTACAGACCTACCGATCTTCCAGGCCGCACAAAAGAGCTTGTTTTCAAACTACCTTGAGGTTGGAAACCTAACCCTTGTGCAAGCTTTCAGTTTGTCATCGAACTATATGCAAAAGCGAAACAAACCCAATACTGGCTTCAACTATGGTGGCTTAGCTATTCGACTGGCCATTGGTCTTGGACTTCATAAGGACTTGGAGGGGAACAGTCTTTCTCCCTTACAGACAGAGACTCGACGCAGGATATGGTGGTGTCTATGCGTGCTTGATGTTGGCGCCACTATCACGTATGGCAGACCTTTGAACTGGCCCCAGGCTGGTGTCGAGACTGCTTTCCCTCTGAATATTCACGAAAAGGTCAGTTGATAAGAACGAATCATGCGAACTTCTTATTGATTGTTACTATAGGATCTAACTCAAGACTCCACTCACTGCCCACCAGAAGTCGAGGGCATCACGATGTACACCTATATCCGAGTTCAGTCAGCTTATCATCTCAGCACCATGACCGTCTATAACCGTCTTATCACCAGCCCCTTCCCATCCGCCACGGAGCTAATCACTCTGGATGATGTCTGCATCGGCTCTTGGCTGGCCCAAGTACCATATTACTATCTTGCTGTACCCCCTCCAGACTCCGAGTTCGCGCTGGGCATGGGTATTTCTGAGTGGCGGTACCGAAATCTCAGAATCGTCATGTATCGCCCATTCTTGGTCCGCTGGGCACGATCATCCGCACAGAACGCGCAGCAAAACTTGACGAGTAGCGAGAACCTCGCTGTATTCAGATGTCTGGATGCTGCGAAAGAATCAATCACGCATATTCAAGGATACTGGACGTCTCGCTCACATTCAAGGCTCGCAGCATTTTATATTCTGTAGGCTATTCCCAAACCTCTGCCAACCGTCAACTAACAACGTCAGGTATTTCCTATTTCACGCTACACTAATTCCTGTCCACTGCTTAAGGCAGAACCCCCATCACGCACTAGCACCCGACTGGCGCGCGCAGATCCAGGCGTCCCTATCCATCATGGGCGCCATGGCAGAGCTCAACCCCAATAGCTCCAAGTGTCGCGATATTACTCTCAAGCTGTGCTGGCCACACTTGGATGAAGAGGGTGCCCGCACATACTGTGACAATGCCCCGTTCGTCCCGAGTGTAGGAGACAGCGAGGCAGCTTCAATAATCAACGGTTATAATACATGGTGCGAGTCGATGACGAACGCCGGGATATCGGTCCCATATGACTGGGCGGATGACAACGACTCGGCTCTCGGGTTCTTTTGATAGTAATTACTATTTGGGAAGCTGTTTCCTCAACGATCGGCCAAGATCCCCGCTAGATGCTGTGTAAAAACCTGCCTCTTGTCTATCAATGCAACCAAGCAAAAGCCTAATTCATCTTGTGCCAGGCACAAGACCAATGCGATGCTGTCTTTTGAGAACGAGGTGCAACTTGTGAAGGTATTAAACTGATGTTATAACTGCCGGAAGACTATTTAATTGCATAAAGTCATTAAACTTTCTTGACCGCACCAACGTTGCACTCTCATGCAACCTCCGCGACGGCCCAGCGATGATCCTTATGAATGAATAAACCTTCAACCGGTTCCAAATTATTCTAATTTCTTGTTTGAAAAGCCATCAAAGCATTTTATGCTCATAATTAGTCTTGAAATCCTCAAACAAATCTGTGCTACCACGTCCATGTGCTTTTTCAGTCCAGTGGTCTAAAAAGCATCGACCATCAAAGCGGTAGGACATCAAAGGATCATCAATTCATGCCTGTAGTGCCTGAGCGGCCAATGCCCTCCCCGAAGCATCCGAAAGACGCGCACGAGGCTGTAAAGTCAATCCTAATGGGTATACTCTGTAAAGCTATGAGAGAATTTGAGAAGCTGGCTCAGTGCTACCTTACCATCAAGAATGGAACGATACTTTCCGATTCGGCATGGCATATCTACCGTAGTCCCAAGAGACTCTTGACTATAAGTAAACGTAATGAATCCCCAAGAAATTGGTCTGGCTCATACCATCTCAGTGCAACCTCAAGACTCAAACCAATATTCAACATGAAGTGCACCTCTACCGCCTTTGCCCTCCTGGCCGCAGCCGCAGCCGGTGTCCAAGCAGCCAACATCCAACTTGTTGGCTCTGTCATGAACAGCGCTGCAAAAGAACCATTCGAAAAGAGTAAAACCCTCGTCTATGCCGGTGGCAAGACAAAGCGTGATGCACCCAAGGTTTATGAGCCAGATCCCAACCGGGATTACAACCTCGAAGACGGTTACATCTTTGTCCTTCAGTGTACCACTGTTGGATTCAGGCCTGAGTGCATCTCGTTTGGTTCTGAACCCGGAAAGTGCGGTATGTTGCACCCCATCCTCTCAACACGAGTGATACTGATGATGGGCAGTCTCTTACTTCGACTTTGACCCCAAGAAGGGCGATGATCCAACCTCAATCTCGGATGCATTTAACCACAATGTTACTTCTATTTCCACCAACACTGGTGGCGTATGCCAGTTCTACCAGTAAGTAGTCTCTTCCTCCGCAGGCGCAGCGATCTAACCGCATGAAAAGTTATACTGGCTGCGATGACAAGCTTGATGACCGTGGATTGAGCACTTCTTATAACTACAACCTTAACGTGTCTTTGCCAGAGGACCCTCGAACTGTGGAGTATTTCAGGAACATCACCAGCTGGAGATGTTGAATATCTCGACTCCCTTCTGCAAGACATGAACTTACATGACTTCCTTGAACTCAAATGTTAATAATTCGTATGAGAATATTGGAAACGCGAAAACACGACATTGATTGATGTGCTTCGTTGAGCTATCAAGATAACCTTCGTTCTGTATGGATGGTTACGCTGAAATGATCATTCTCACTGTCAATGGTCCAGCCGTACCTAACGTTGTTTCCACTCCATAGGAATTCCCTGATTCTCAATAGAAATGGTTATGCAATTTCATTGTCCCAGTGGTATCTAGGCCTTCAGTGCTCAATGCCACTTGTAGTTGGTTGTCGCACGGTTAGACGTGCTCGGTGGCTGTACTGACTCCGCCACGGTCAACAGGTAGGCCAACACACTCATGGAGCGGCTAAGAAACAAATCATAAACCGTTAATAATTTTATTTCATTGCCGCCCGTCGAGGGATGTGAACGAGGTGTTTGACCATCGGGTAGGCGCCACGACAGGCGCCTCCAGAATTGCTATGATTGGCCGGCTCGGGCGAGGTGGATTTGCGGCCACCATAGCCATTATCCGTCGCTCTGATGTAAATCGCTTTATTCAACATTTCATCTTTCTATCAAACGTTTGTTAAATCAAGAAAAATTACCGAACAAACGGAACTCTATTAAGCATGGAAGCCAACACCAGACCCCGCATCATCTCGATGGACTTCTCAACTGCCGGTCGAGATGATTGTTACTTTCGCATCTTGACTGGGCAGACCGTCAAATATGTCACGATCCAAGCCGGAGCCCTGGATGCGGAATCACTCATGGAAATGCCTCTGAACTTCGAAAACATTCTCCCTCCGTTGCAACTTGGAGACAATGACTGGAACACGGCCTATGTGTTTCGAGACAAAGACAACAAACTGGACTTCAAAACATCTATGAAAAGCCTTCCCAGCATCCAAACCTGGCACTACAAGAAAATAAGCTTCTTAGAGCTTGAAAGAAAACAGCAGTTAACACTCCTGGCCCAAGAGTGCTCATGGAAGAAAGATTTGAGAGAAAACCGAAGCTCTACTCAGGAACCCAGCCGCTCGACTATGGTGGCCAAGATGGCACGATTCCCATGGGAGATTGCGTATGTCGCAGCTGAAACGCGTGTTTATAAAATACTAGAGTCTTCTAGCATCGCACCGCAGTTTTTGGGGCATATCAACGAGGGCAGCAGAACGATTGGATTCCTTCTAGAGAAGTTTGAAGGGCGACACGCGGGCAAGGAAGACCTCAAGGCTTGCCAAAGCGTTTTGTCCCAGCTTCATGATTTGGGAATATTGCATGGAGATGTGAATCGGTACAACTTCATAATTGGTAGCGATGGAAAGGCAGTAATTATCGACTTCGAGAAAGCACGAGATAATCCAAGCGTCGAGGAGAAGGAGGCCGAGATGAGAAGTCTTCCGCAACAGCTAGCAGAAGAAAGTGGCCGTGGTGGGGGCTTCATATTTGATGCTGATGAATAACTCGAGTGAATATCTGAACTGATCCAGCCTATCATGGACGATTTCCATCACCATCTATGCTAACGATTCCCCCACGCTCTTGTACCAATTTTTCTAATCTGTTGAAATATATCTTCCGTTTATGTACTGATATTTCGAAGAACAGCAGCTTGCCAAATTCCTTCTGTGACATCTGTATTATATCGAGTTTTTGTGGAGGTGTATTTGTGTCCGTGCTGCTATGACTTGGTCTCGATTGCAAAGCATTTAAGTCGAGTTTTGCACGCAAGATGATGATGTTTCCAACAACATAGAAGTCCGGTGGAGGGAGCTCCCAAATAGCAATCTGCTTTCTATCTCCCTGCGCACTGGTAAATGTGCTACTATTGAATTCAGACAATGGCAACCCGTAAGCTGACCGGTACAAACTGATGATTGATGCAATGTAGCCTTGATCAACCCTCGGTACCAAGTCGTGTTCGTTGACAACAGCGTAGATATGCCGAGTTTGAGGAAGACTTTGAGCCAGTTCAGTGATGTTGGTTGAAGTAACAGGCGGGGCTCCGAATGTGATGAGCGAGAACTTTGCATTCGATACTTGTAAAGGCTATCAGCTCGTGAAACACGCAGTGTGACGACCTGTACTTACATTCACTTGGGCAATGGCAAGCAAAGTGAAGAAAGATCATGGCTGCAACCGCTCCACCAGCCGAGTGACCTGTGAATACTATGCCTTTCAAACTCTTGTCGGCTGTGACTTGACGGATGATCTCCTCAGTAAGCCAGGGAAGAAGAGTAGCTGCACAAGCTAAGAAACCACTATGGGCAAAGATTCTTTCATCACTACCCGGGAAAGCCTCAAAGTAACTGTTAGTGTTTGGAAGAAATCAAAAGCTCCTGGGACTTACAAAGACTGAGGCAGCGTCCTTCTGGTTCCTATTAAGGTTTACAAGATGGTCTGTCTTGCGAGATGTGCCTCTAATGGAAACAAACAGGGTATTTGTATCTTCTAATTTCCATATTGAAGTTGCTTTGGCTGTTCCAGTGATAGAAGGTGTCCGAGAGATCACTGGTACCAGGTCACCTCCGGGATGGACATCTGGTTTGTAGACGGAGCATGCGCATCTACAGGCGGCAAGCAGTAGCTCGAGTAAGTCAAGATCCCTGCCAAGATCCGACTGGATTAGAAGGCTCCTATTCTCTTGGGGCAGACAGACATACCCAGTCCACGGCTGTGAGATTTGTTCATCAACCTTTGAGTTTTCGTACTTCGATATCTCCTTGGCAAGCCGTGATAGATGAAATTGTAACAAGTCTCCATGTTCTCCTACTTTACGCGTTTATCAGCATGCTAAATATATCTCAAATGAATTTATTTACCTTGATCATCCAACTGATCAAGTACAAAGTCCAGGCATTCGAGCAGCTCAGTCACAGCTACAGAGAAAGCTTGTGAGTTGGCACTGAATTCCACTTGCGATGTTGGCGCTGAAGCAGCAGTTGCAATTGAAGTCTTTGTAATCGATCTTGCATTCCGACCTTTGAGAACTTTTGAAGCCCACATTGTACAAATATTTCTATCACTTGTGATCAAAGTCTCAAGTTTTCTACGATGGAAGGGAGGAAGCCAAGATAATGCCTTGCTGCGCCACGTGCTGCACTGCCACTCCTATGTCGATCAGCGCTTAGTAGCACTCAGACTAACCTTATCGGGCGGGGTACAGTTGACCATTAAGCTACCAGCCTACCACAAGAGTTCAATATTCTACAACCATCCCTTTTAGTGTGACACAGATACTATAAAAAACGTGGAGTCTAGAATGACTGACCCAGCTCTTAAGCAACCTAATATTCCAGGTGTCCCTTTGGACTTTTCCTCACCAATCATTAACCACTCATCCTATTTCACCTTCTTCTTCCCTCTTCATTCAATGCTCACTCCAAGAGTCACTCTCCTCTCACCTCTTTTTCATATTCTCACTTATTTAAAAGTTTCGAGGGAGGCATCGCGATATTATTTCTTTTCCACATCTCCCCTTCCCTTCGCAAGCAAGCCTTCCAGATGCCCCATCATCTTCCTTTCTCTTGGGAAATCCCACCTTGTCCAAATCTCTTCCAAGTAATATTCCAGCATACCTGGAAGACCAGAGTTCTCTGGAATAAGCCTAATTACTTGCTCAAATCCTTGTTCCAGTCCCAACTAGCAGGTAAATTATTCGAGCTTGGCCTGAGTGTTCAAACAACTAACCAGAGACACTAGCCCGTAACAAGAATCTTGATACACATCCATCCCGACCCTCGACCTGCTATTGTTTCGACTCGTTTCCAGGTACAGCTCTTGTCAGTGTCGAAGTATAGTAAGTACTCGTGCCTTGTCATTCTAGGTCACCGAAATATATAACTAATCGTGTGGTTTCCAGTTGACTCATCATCTCGAGACACGATAGTCAGTCAGACAGTCGCAACTTCTAGAGACTTAGAGCAACAAAATATCACCGATATCGGTAACGGCTCCGTTCTGATGAGCGGTCTAAGCGTCGGACACTGCCACAGCTCGAGACTGGAGACGTCACGATTGAACACCTCAAACGAGTCTATGCCACAATAGTGGACAGTATCCTCGAAACTGTTGATTTAGACAAGACCATGGCCACATAATGCCTCAGGAAGTGGGTTAAAAAACTCGCCCTCAGCGAGTTTCTACAGACGACAAGCATCGACGAGTACAAGGCCTGGAAAGCGGTCAAGAAGCTGCAGATCGCGTCGACGCATACCAGCACCACACCTCATTCATATCATTGTGCTGCCCACCATTCGTCAAATGAGCATCAGAACCATCAAGCTTGCCGAAAACCACCGATATTTTGTGCGGATCATTAGACGGTCCCAGATGTCGAAATGGCTACCCTTTGCCATCGGGCTCTATGAGCAGCTACACGTTGCTCTCTCGATTGTGGATAGCGACAGAAACGCCCGCGAGCCCGTGCTTACCAAGGAGAGCTGAAATAGCAACGAGGTTTGGGTTGTCTGCCCCAGAGGCCCCTCTGCTTACCTACTGTGAGCCCTACCCATGCCAATTGTGGAACGCAAAAAAAAGATGTCTGCACTCTCTGATGTCGCGATTGATGTTTTGAATGATGTCACCCAGATGAGCATGGCGAACTATCAGCTTGGCTGTTACAACCATCCGAGTTCAAGCGACTGAGAAGGCCGAGAATATTCTGCGCAAAGAGTGTAAGCCAAACGTTGACCAGGCGTCGCTCAAGCCATAATTGGATGTGTGGCCCAGTGAGCCACACATTCGTGTCCTGCTAGAGGAGATTAAAAATGATCTCTTTTTCTGGTGTGAGGATCACTCGCCAACATGGCGTGATCTCATCCGGTCGTGCCTTGATTACGAACGGGAGACCTGGGATTATCAGACATCGGTTCCCGTGAACTGTGAGCCTCATACTCCTAAATCTGGTGGCTCGCAGTTCTTGCGATACTGCGCTCGACTTGGTAAGAAGGCCTTGCGTCTTAGCCATTCTAACCCCGGAGAGGCTCACTAAATCATGGGTCGGTCTCGCGATGGACTCAAGTTGCTTTCTCTCCACTACGACGATGATATGCAGACCGAGAAGCGAATTCAAGAGATTGAAGACAATGTGGCTAGAATCGCCATCGCTGTGCAGAAGAATGTCGCTTCACGTCACAAAGACAAGGCTTACATCACAGAGCTTCGGTCTCTCTGTGTCCAGCAGCTTGGCAATGTCCCAGAGTGCCTCCGACGTCTTGCTGGTGCCGACTTGACGCCTCTAAGTTCTCTGTGCTGATATAAGCTCTCAGCCGCAAGTCTCAACTACAAATAACGCATCTGGCTCACAACTTTTACTTTCCATGCATTAAAATAACGAATCTTCTTCGATGTGCAACATGTGAAACTTATATCGCCAATTTTAAGCTTCATGAGCTTATGAGGAGATTCACTAACTTTACCTAAACTTTATATGAATTATTATAAAGTGGTAAGATCTCTTCTAAATCTCTTCCATGTTTAGACGGGATCAACTTCTGTCAGTCATACCTACAGACAAAGATCTCTCAATACTTCATTATCCTTGTCTACCTCAAACATGCCCGATAGATGGCGTCCACAACATATGAGCCTCGACCAGTTCGACACTGCATTGAAGCCAGCCTGTCACATCAACGCCAGTTTCAACTTTCAACAGAGACCTTACAAAAAAGCCCGAGTTCTCTGTGTCCACTTCGAGATAGAAACAAGTTGGAAACCTTGGGGCTAAAAGTACAACTGACCGCATCCGAGTTGTCTTCGTCGACATTTATGGCTATGATGCTGCCTCGTTCATGATCAAGGACGGCGATCTTGATCATGAAGCAGCCTGGGTCCGGCGCTCAAAGAACTCGTGGCAAACATGGACGAGGACTGTCTCGCCGTACTGCACAACATTGGTCACGGGGGGCGAATTGTAAACCCTTCCCGAAACCGTGAGGAACTCCATCTCAGTCAGTCACATGTACATATCAGACGCACCTCACTTATACAGGACCCGATGATTGATTTCAATCGTCTCAGACACAGAATCTTTGACCCCTCCCCATCAAATGTACTTATTCTTCTCGATTGCTGCCATGCGGCTAGTGGTAGCATGGGACAAAGACACGATCTCATCGCTGCCAGCAGATTCGTGGACGTTGACACCCAATATGTACCCCAGAGCTTCACAGAGAATGTCGTGCGGCAGCTAGAACATGCTTACAATCAAGAGAAAATCTTGATCATATTAAAGCTCTACAATTGATTAGCCACAAGACATTCTGTCGTGAAGAATGGGACGCCAGAGCTGGCAGCTATGTCAATCTTCCCCCAGCACCATGGCAGCCACTATCTTCCGATCTTCGTGCTGCCTGTGCGGCCCAACGATAACCAGTCCTGGCATCTAGCTCCTTCGGTAGGGTTACGGCTTCAAACAGTTAATGTAATTTTCTCAGTGAATCTCAACAGCACCGATATTCAAACACTGGGTGCTATTCAAAGTTGGAACGGCGGTCGCCTATATGGAGTGAGTCAGCACATCAGAGTTGACAAGGTTTACAAGTACGCTTCGTCGATCATTATCATTTTTGCAGTCACCTTTGCCATTTGGCATAGTCTACCCAAAGATCCCGCTATTAGCTTTATTGGCTTTGAGTATAATGAAGATGCTGCCTTAAGGGGGGTTTGGGCTCAGAGGTGATAAAACACAGCACCTTTATCCTGAGTGAGAAAAAGATTTAAGTATATTTAGTACAAGTCTAGTTTGCTACAATACTAAATCTTTTAACCCTTTCGCTCAATGTTACAACAGCCCTGATCCAGCTTAAGCAATACTTCCAAGAATTGTTATTCGCCGAAGGGGAATGGTCATGCCTTTGGCGACCAATATCACCAGTCAGAATTCCATCCCTTTGAAAACCAACCTCACATGTATAGCTGTATACAAACATCAAAAGTGGTCTGATTTTTCTGAACCTGATTTAAACTTCTGACTACCAAGTTGTTTTACTGCATACCCTAAGCGAACCCAAGAGGCCGAAGCAGCCCCCTGCCAAGAACGTCAGTGTCGTTTTCCGGATGGAGGACCAGGCTTGACTTTCATTAAGCGAGAGGTCCGAGTACCCGGTACGACTTTGAGTTTCACGCAGCCTCATTGAGATCCAAGTACACCGGGAGCAACAGCTCACGTAGCGTAGCTCTAATTCAGCCCAAACTCCAGCCTCTCGGATCATCCGTCGTCACAAGCCTTGGGTCTGTAAAACAGGACGGACTCGATATAGGATACATAAAATAACCAGTCAACGAAGTCTAAATATGGCCTACAACATTCTAACCCTATCGAGATATTTCTGTCACTCATGATCGATGTCTCAAGTGTTCTCATCCTAACGAGCTGGACAGTGGTGTTGTGGCTCAGCGCTAGCTATCAATGTCAAGCCACAAGATTCCTGATCTGCAACAAATATATACGGATTTGGAATTAGCTTGTTGAATCTTGGCAGGGGCTAGCCGATGCGATTTGTCAAACTAAGTAAGGACAAATCTTGGGGCAAAACTTTAAAGTTCCCCGAGAAACGGTCGCTTCTTCCCCCGTGCTGGAACCATGTCTTTCTTGGACTACTAGCTAAGTCAACTTCAGTTAGTCTGACCAGCACGAGAGAAAGTGGAACGACATGTACAGCCACAGATGGTCTCGATTGTGTCTTATTAGTAGTAATTATATCATTTTTAACGCTAGATACGAGAAGTTACTGTAGCTACACTAGCAACCTCAAAACGAACATGCCAGCAATATTCGCTAATACACATGTAAGAACATTTGTCTTGATATGGCCCGCACTATTAACAGTGATCGGGGAATCGGGACTCCAGCTATCATCGCCAGAGCCCTTCGTGGCTGGTTTTCCAGTAGAGGGGGTATCATTTTGAGAGGAGGGGGAATTGTTGTCAGATGAGCCGGATCCGTTGCTCGAGGCACCAGAAGTGTCACCTGCATATGGGTTGCCGGTTTTCTGGTTATGAGTGGGATATGAGGTATCATCTCCAGCGGCGGCCGTATCTGATGAGCCTGTGTCGTCTGCTGAAGACGAAGACTGACCATCGGAGCTAGGAGGGGAGGAGTTGGAGGGAGAAAAGTGATAACCAGCGGTAGGTGTCTCAGATAATGGCCGGGTTCCAGGAACAACGGTGTCTGTCTCACCGGAAGATTCTCCATTATTTGCAGAATCTCCGTTGTTTGATTGGGGCTGCATGGATCCAATGTTGGAAATATCTTGGCTCTCTTGACTTCCACTGCCGGAGTCTTGTGCAACCGAATCTCCAGAGCCTGGAGAATTATTTGTAGAAAGAGAAGCACCATGGTTATTCAGTGCATGACCAGCATCAGAGCCAGAAGAATCAGTCTCAGAAGTTGAACTGGTGTCGGATTGCTGGCTCTGGCCAAGTGGAATCTGCGTTGGTTGTGCAAGAGGTACAACAACATAACCGGAAGAGGAGTATGCTTCAACAGACTCAGTTGGAAATGTCAAAGTAGCAACTTTGGTCCCTGAGCCTCCGCACTTGTCACACTTGACCACCGCAGATGTGAAGCCAGGTGGAGGAGCGGTCTCAATGGGCAAGGGCTGACAATTTACACTTGAACATGATTGTGTAATGGTGTAAACCTTTGTTGTCAAGCCTTGGGGATAGAACTCTTGATATATGCGAGTATACTGGTTGTAATAGCCATTGGGGCCTTTTGTGACGGTGATGACAGGTAGAGTAGTGGTTGTAGCGCAAGGATCAGAGATCACTCGGGCGTATGCAGGTAATAGGAAGCTCAGGCCACAGCTTATTGTTGTTAATCTCGTCATAGTGACTTTGGTTTGGGTATTTAAAGAGTATGGGTATGTTAGTGGCAAGAGAGTGTTTGTATAGGTCAATGGGGATGAAAGGAGTGTTGTAAGGCTGAGTGTAAAGTCAAAGGAGTGTTAGAGACGTCTGGGTCCACTTGCTGATGGGTGAGACATTTCGAGTACTTATGGCATTTCATGAAATATCAAAGCATCACGATCTCTCTAATAAGTCCATGCACACTCGGCAACTCCACGGAAAGCCTCTAGAAAGAGATTCGACCATAAGGTTCAACCCATGAAATGGGTCTCGACCTTTCAGCGGCCATACCTAGCTCGCAGGTTGAACGCCTCCAAACGGTGGCCTCGTGGTCGACCTGGAATGTTCAGACATATTGAAGTTCTAGTGTAATGTATATTTCTTGGTCTGATAGCAGAAATCACGGAGGAACCAGGTAGGTGGGTGTCCACCGTCCGGCGATAAGCGAGTTCCCATCAAAACCGCAAGTGAGTTTGGCGGCCCAAGAGCTTGGGTCCTAGTGGCGGAAAGATACTGTTTTAGTCTTAAAGCAAGCCTCCTATTAGAACGCTAGGATCATCCAACTCTATTCACTCCACAGTTATCCTTCCAGAACGTAGATGGCGCTGGTGTTTGATCTTCATATCTGTCAGCGAGGCCTAGGCCAGAACCATCAACGCCACATTCAATCTGCACGCAATCGGAATGCCAAGGCTTCTCAGAACCGATCTTTCCATATTAATACCTATGAATTCTGCTTTCGGGTCGATCATTCTCTTCAGTTTATTATGTGTTCCTTCCGTAGTTAGCAATTAAATATATAGCAGGGCGTTCCTTCTTTGGTCGCTTTGTGACTGACACTCGCACGTGACCTTTCTCCTCCATATCTGTCTAGCAGCAGGTACAACAGCTTCTTTCAATTAAACATCATCTTGAAGCCATGCGTGCGCATGAATTCACGTGCTATGGAGTTCTTTTCGTCTTGTTTGCTGTCGCCTCTGCCTGGGATCCAATTGTGGATTGTCCCGATGGCGAGAAACGTGCTGAGGTCCAGCCAATCAAGGTTGTAGACGGCTCAAACACATTTGGCACAACATTAGCCAGGTTGGTAATTTATTTACTACGTGTTGACAAAAGACTGACAGCTACAGTACATTTCTGATACCTCATGAGGCCTCATACATCACCACCGCCGTCTTTGGCGTGGGACCTCCTTCAACGTACACAATAACACCGCAAGGGACACCACCGGTTGGCACCATCATAAAGAGAACACCTATAACCACAATTACTTCAATCATCTCTTCATTGACAGCCGCGCGGACTCGAACACTGACCCCTGATCGGCCTGGTGATCCTACTACTGTTATCGTTGAAGAGCCTGAGTACAGAACTCAAACAGAAAGCGTTGAAGTTGATCTCACAAGGACCGTCCAAGTGGGCGATCCCGAGACAATCACCGTTGGTCAGGAGTATTACACCACTATCACAGAGAAAGGGAGTAACGGAGACCCCGTTACCAAGGTCGTTCACGTCGACGACCGAACCACAGTAGTCGTGGGGCAACCAAAGGCGACAACAATCACTCAAACAAGGGACATTGAGTTCCCTGTCACGCGGACACTTCAGCCAGACGATCCAACAGGTGTCAGCACCATCATCGTTGAGGTCCCAGGGTCTACACCTGCATATACAACAGTCACCCGCACCGGTACTGTGAATGCCCCCGTTACGTCGACACAGCCTGCACGTAGCTCAGGGGGCACTGGCACTGTCTTCATAATCCTACCTTCAGACCCTGTCCTATATGCAACTGTCACTCGTGTTGGAACAGGGACAACGACCGTCACCTCAACGCAGCCACCCAAACATCCAGGAGATGTCGGAGTGGTTTTCGTGGACGTTCCTTCGCCGCTGGGCAGATATAACACTGTCACGCGGTTTTGGACTGGGACAGCTCCAAGGACGTTTACTCAGACTCAGAATGGGCCGGGAAAAGATGGAATCATCGTGGTGGAAATTCCTCTCACTGGCGCAGACTACAATACTGTCACTCAAGTGGGTACAGTCACTGCGCCGGTGACCAGAACCATTGCACCAAGCAGTCCTGATGGCACTGGCGTGGTGGTCGTCGAGATTCCTCCTGCACGTTGGGCTACTGTGTCTCGTGTTGGCACTGTAACCGAACCCGTCACTCACACAATATCCCCAACCCACGCAGGGGACGACTGGACCGTAGTAGTAGAGTTACCGCCTGTAAACACTCGCCTCATTTACACCACTCGATATGGGGAGGTGACGGCGCCAGCAACTACTACCCAGTTTCCAGACGGGTCCTCTAAGACAGGATGGGTCATCGTGAACCTCCCTAACCCCATGACGACTACAATCCGTGGCAGTGACATCGAATCTCCAACGACTATTACACAGGAGCCGGCAAATCCTGGAGAAACAGGAGTTGTGATCATATTGACGCCCTACAAGTATATAACCACGACGAGAACGTGGACTGGATCAGAAGCAACAACAATCACAGAAAAGCCCTCTGATCCGAATGAAGAAGGAACTGTAATTGTACAAGTCCCAGCTGACGCAACGACTTACGTTACAGTAACTAGTCACTGGACAGGATCAACCACTCGAACCTCAACTGTCCCTCCTGCGGATCAAGCCGCGGGAACAGTCATTGTGTATATTCCCCCAGATGTTACTCCTTTTGTTACTGTCACGGACTATTGGACAGGATCAACGACAAAAACGACAACTATACCTCCCTCCGGCCCCAGTGCGACGGGTACTGTCCTAATACAATATCCTGAAGATTCCTTGCACTACATTGTCACCAGCGAGTACTGGACAGGTTCTACAACACGTACCGTGGTCATCCCACCTACTGGGCCGGGAGGCACGGGCACAAAACACGTGTATTTCCCAACTGATGCTATTCGCTATGTTGATGTCAGCAGTGTCTGGACTGGGTCTACGACTCGTATGTGGACCGAGCCTCCGTCTGGTCCTGGAGAAACAGGAGTCATACACCATGATGTGCCAGCTATGCGCTATGTTACTATCACCAACTATGGATCCGGATCCATAACCCGAACATATACCCAGGAGCACTCCGGCTCGGATATAACCGATACGATTGTAGTCGAGATTCCCTGGATCACCTCCTGGACCACTGTTATCAGCACTGGGACAGACTCAACGACTCGGACGTCTACGCAAATGCCATCTGGCTCAGCAAGGGTTGGTACGGTGTTAATAGATCTACCGCCTATCGTTGATCATTACATCACCACAACGATCACTGGTACCGGCAGTTTAACAAGGACTATCACCCAGACCCCAACCCAGGCCGGCCAGACCGGGACCGTCATCGTTGAGAAGCCAGCTGCTCCTGCTAAATACATCACTTTGACAAGCACTTGGACAGGTGAGACCACCACGACCACTACTAGGCAACCAGATGAGCCTGATCAGACCAGAACGGTGGTTGTTTTCGTGCCCCCAAGCATCACACCATACGTTACCACTACGATCACAGGCACCGGGACAGGAACCGGAACCATTACGACAACTCAAACTCCAACTGAGCCTGGCGCTACAGGAACTGTGATCATTGTGCTGCCTTCTTCCGCCACACCATATGTGACAATCACTAGGACCGGCACAGGCACGGCTACATCAACTATTACCCAGACCGCTGCCGGACCAACTCAAACCGGGACCGTCATTATCGAGATACCTCCTGAAATAGTGCCATATATTACGACAACTTCTTTCGACAGTACAGTGTCTGCACCATATACTACTACGGTGTCACCGACTCGTACAGGTCAAACAGGCTCAGTGATCATCGTTAGGCCTCAACTGTATGTAACGACAACTCGTTATGGAAGCGTATCGGTTCCCTCCACGACTACACAAAGCCCTGAATTCCCCTGGGGAACAGGAACCGTGGTAATTGATCTTCCACAGCCGTTCACGACGGTGACTCGTTACGGTAGCTTTTCAGTCTCTTCCATCACAACGCAAAGTCCTCGTATCCCTGGCGATCCCGCAACGGTTCTCGTGGATTTACCACAGCCCTTCACAACAGTAACCCGCTGGGCAACTATCTCAGCTCCCTCAACAACAACACAAACTCCTGGGAACCCAGGTGATCCAATCAGCGTAATCGTGTTCTTGCCGCAGCCTTATACAACAATAACCCGTTGGGGAAGTGTCTCTATCGCTTCAACGGCTACACAAGGCCCCCAGAGTCCAGGAGAAACTGGCACCATCTTAATCGATTTACCTCAGCCTTGGACCACAACGGTTCGCTACGGCAGCGTTTCGGCTTCTTCGATAACGACTCAGAGTCCCAGAGTCCCAGGAGAGACCGGTACTGTAATTCTTGACTTGCCGCAGCCCTACCTCACTTCGACCCAGTACGGTAGCGTCACAGCAGCTATAACGAGGACACTTACAGTAGCTGTGCCAGGGCAAACCGGGACCATTCTTATTGACCTCCCCCAACCCTATACAACTATTATTCGATATGGGAGTGTATCGGTGTCTACTATAACCACGCAAACTCCGCAGAGTCCCGGACAGACAGGAACCGTCCTGATCGACCTCCCACAGCCTTACTTAACATCTACTCAATACGGCAGCGTAACAGCACCTACAACTAGGATACTGGGACCTTCCGTGCCAGGGCAGACCGGAACCATTCTCGTTGATCTTCCGCAACCGTATACAACTGTAACCCGCTATGGAGGTGTCTCAGTCTCTAGTATGACCACGCAGAGTGCACAGGGTCCAGGGCAGACATGGACCGTCCTGCTTGATCTTCCGCAGCCCTACACGACCTCCACGCAATACGGCAGTGTCACTCAAGCCACGACCAGAACACTTACAGTAGCAGTACCTGGTCAACTGGCCACTGTTTTGGTCGATATGCCTCAACCTTACACAACTGTTACCAGATTTGGCAGCGTGACTGTCGCCACTACCAGGACATTGACGTTGGCTAGCCCAGGATCAACAGCCACCATCTTAGTTGATCTTCCCGATCCATACACTACCACAACTCGTTACGGGAGCGTTTCGGTGAGCAGTATCATGACACAGACACCAAGTGCTCCCGGCCAGACGGGAACAATTATCGTCGATTTGCCACAACCTTACAAGACTATAACGAGGTATGGGAGCGTTACGGTCAGCAGTGTTACAACTGAGACGATTGCCAATCCTGGGGAGACTATTACGGTCCTTCTTGACCTTCCTCAACCTTACACGACGACAACCATATGGGGCAGCGTGACGATTAGCAGTGTTACTACACAGTCTCCCTCTGTCAATGGACAAACGGCAACAGTCATCATCAACCTCCCGCAACCTTATACCACAACAACGAGGTATGGCCGTGTGACACTTAGCTCTATGACCACTCTTGTCCCTGCGAGTATTGGAGAAACTGCAACAGTGATAGTCGACCTCGCCCAGCCATATACAACCGTGACTAGGTATGGAAGTGTCACAGCCAGTAGCATCACTACACAGATGCCAACCGTTGAAGGAGGGTTAGCGTCTGTCTATATTGACCTACCGCAGCCATACACAACGATAACCAGTTGGGGAAGTGTCTCGGTTCCTTCAACAGTAACTCAAACGCCTCAAAGCCCCGGGGATCCGGTCACGGTCCTTATTCAGTCCCCGCAACCCTACACAACCACCACTCGCTATGGTAGTGTTAGCGTGAGCGGAATCACCACAGAGTCAGCCATTAGACCCGGTGAGCCATACGTTGTCGTGATCAATATACCCTACGCGACGGTGACAGTCACAACGCTTTACACAGGCACGTCTATCTTAACAGGGCCAACTCCTATCTCGACAATTCCTGCCTCTGGATCAGTTCCGGGCACAGTCATAATCGCGACGGCGCCGCCACAACCCGTCACGATTACTCGACTGTATACTGGCACGGCAATTTTGACTGCACCCACTATTGTCACTACAATCCCGAATTCTGGGACAATTCCAGGCACGGTTGTAGTGGAAACACCACTTGTAACAATCACACGACCATACACAGGCACAGAGGTCCTGTCTGGTCCAACGATTGTGACTACTGTCTCCCCATCAGGCACGGCGCCGGGTACGGTGATTGTCGAGACGCCTCCAGTCTATCTAACACGATTCTATACTGGATCAAATATTCTCACAGGTCCGACTACGGTCTCAACGATCTCCCCTTCGGGCGATCTCCCTGGTACTATAATTATCGAGACACCTCCTATTAGAATCACCCGGTTTTATACTGGCACATCGATCTTGACAGGACCAATCGTGGTTACAACTGTCACACCTACCGGAACTGAAGCCGGTATTATATTTGTAGAAACACCTCCAATTACTAGTACTAGGTTTTACACGGGCACAGATATCTTAACTGGGCCTCGTACAGTCACGACCATTACACCTACAGGGACCGAACCGGGCGTCGTCATTCTTGAGACTCCGCCTGTCACCATCACGAGGTTCTACACAGGCACACAGATCCTGTCTGCTCCTATCACTGTCACCACAGTAACTCCCACAGGGACAGAGGCAGGCACCGTTGTTATTGAGAAACCGCCTGTAAGAGTCACACGGTTTTATACTGGTACATCAGTGATAACAGGCCCAATAACTATAACAACTATCACTCCAACTGGTACCGAGGACGGAACAATCATCATTGAGACGCCGCCTGTTACGGTAACCCAATTCTACACAGGAACAGAGGTACTAAGTGGTCCTATCACACTTACAACTGTTACGCCTACCGGAACTGAGCCAGGTACTGTTGTGGTGGCTACACCGCCAGTAACTATCACAAGATTCTATACTGGGACGGACATTCTAACTGGCCCAACCACGCTTACAACAGTAACACCAACGGGAACGGAATTAGGTACCGTGATTGTCGAGACCCCTGCTGTGACTATTACTCAACGCTATTCCGGGACTTCTGTTTTATCTGGCCCTATAACTCTAACAACTATCACACCCACTGGTACCGAGGAAGCAACGGTCATCATTGCCACTCCACCGCCGGTCGCTGTTATGAGCACCCGTCGGTATAGCGGCACATCTAGTTTGACTGGCGCCACCACAGTCACAACCATCACGCCAACAGGCACTGAGGCGCCGACCATTATTGTGGAAACACCTGCACCTCAGCCAGTCACCAGCTATCGCCAATACTCAGGAACATCCAGCATCAATGCAGCCAGAGCTGTAACCACCATTCAGCCCACGGGTACCGACGATGGAGGTATTGTGATCGTGGAGACCCCAGCACCACCGCCAGCTTTCAGTTGTGATGAAGGAGGATACTTGATCCAAGTCCGAACTCTCTATAGGCTGAATCTCGTCACAGGCATCAATTCATTAGTAGCACAGAATGTTGGGCCGGGGGGTGAGTCTTGTCATGCTTACTGTATTAGTCTCGAATACTGACAAAGGTTTTCTTAGCTCCTGCTGGCACAACCAACGGCGGAACCATCAACCCGATTGGCTATAACATCAAGGACAATCTCATCTACGGCATTGTCCAGATTGCAAACAGTAAAAGCCAAGTCATTCGAATAGGTTCCACTGGATCATATACACTGATGAACACCTTTATTGATGGAAGTAAGTACCCCCTCTAACATTTCATGATCTCACATGGGTCAAAGAACAGTAGCTAATGAGAGACAGCATGGAATACAGGAGATGTAGACGCTGATGGCATTTTCTGGATCTCGACTTATGGAAAAGCTTGGGCAAAGATCGATGTGAACCCAACGTCCGCGACCTACGGCAAGGTTCTTCAGCAAGGCACCGCAACATCCGCAAATAACTGCGCCGACTGGGTATCTGTCCCTGGAGGAGGGCGCTATCTTTATGCTCTTCAAGGAAACACATCGAAAACAGTCCTGGCAAGGTGGAGCCTCGACACCTTTACCTGGGAGATCATCAAGGACTTTGGCCACATCGCAGGCGACAACCTCTGGTAAGAGTTTGAGAATGAACGCCATGGCTTCAAACTAATTAGATGACTAGGGGAGCGGCTTATTCTGTCGGTAATAAGCTCATGTATGCTTCAGAGAATACTTCGGGAGTCATATACCGATTCAACGTTGAGGTAAGCCGCAAAGCAGTCGGGATTTCTGAGTTACTGACAAAAGCATATAGACTGGAGAGAAATCTCTTGTGATTAACGGTCCGAAAACATCTCAGAATGATGGAGCGCGTTGTGTCAACGCTTCGCCTCTAACATAGTTGAGGACATGCATTGAGGAGGGGAGGTTGGGCTGCATCTTGTTACAAACACAGGGAAGGTCCGAGGCGGGCTTTGCCAATCATCTGCACTATCATTTATAATCATATTTCGTACTTTGTCTTTCTTTCTTAGCGCAACCTTTCCTGTTTAATTTTGTACTTTATCTCATGACAATAACTATTCTTTATATACTCGGACTTTGAATGAGTCCAACCATTTGTCTTCAATAATTACCAGCTGTGATGCTTGGACCTTCTTCAGGTACTCATCTTCGGGTGTATCCTTATAGTCCTCTCTGTCAATATCTACGAAACCCTCCTTTGCAATGGAGCGGGGTGTGATCATCAAAGAGCGACCTGTGGTGGCCATTAGCATTCTTACCAACGCAACGACGTCTCTTGTACTCACCATTGATGCTCCTATCAGTTGCAATTCTCAACATGCAGCTGGAAACATCCTTCTGTTCACCAAACTCCACACCGCGGTCTACCAGCCACTTCTCGTATTCGGCTGTTCGAATAGCGCTCTTGATCCAGCAGGGTGCGACATAGTTTATGCGGATAGACTGCTCGTGGCTTGATCTTCGGACTGTTCTCATGAAGCCTCTCAGCGCATATTTCGTTCCAGTATATTCCCAGTTGCCCTGCCACATATCAGTCAGCTTTAAAGTCTGGTTGTTGTTGATGGGCGCCCTCAAAGTCTGGCAGGGCCTCATCAGGAACTTACTGGAGAGTCGATCCATGCTACCATGCTACCAGTAATAATGAAACACCGGTCTCGTTCTTCGCTCACTGGTTGCTTCCGGAAATAATGAACCGCAAGCTTCCATGTGTAAAATGTCCCGTCTATGTTGACACGAACAATGTTCAGGTCGGGCTTTGTCGGTTCACCGTTGGGGTCTGCGTGGTCAGTTCAGGGCTCCTCCACTAAGCTTCCAGGTGGTTCAGTGAGTACACACCATCTAGATTCCACAAGCTATCTCCAGAACTTCGAGAAATGCCAGCATTCGCGATGACAACATCAACCGAGTTACTTGGGCTTTGAGTTTTGGCCTTTTCGAACATGGCCTTTTGTTGATCCCAATCTCTGATGTCGCACTTGATGAAGGCACATTTTTGGCCGTCGGCGTTAAGCTCTGCTTCAACTGTTTTGCCGCGCTCTTCATTGACGTCGGCGAATGTTACCCAGGCACCAGCAGCGACGAAGTCTCGTACAAAGGCTTCACCCATGCCATTGGCGCCGCCTGTGATAATCACCGACTTGCCTCGAATATTCTCGAGTTGGGGCGCGATTGTGTGGTCGATTGGGCCATTGTAAGCATAGCGGTTCACAGTCATGGTGTAAGTGAGCTTGGTGGGCTTGGGATTGGTGGCGATGGTGTCTTGTGGAGCAATAAACAAGACGATAATTTAGGAGATCTTTACAAGTTTAGGTAAACCAGATAAACTTGAGCTAAAATTGACAAAATGCAATTCTTATTCCCTATCTCCCTCTAAGTATGTAGATACTGTCGCGCAGCTTGGCTTGGCCGGCTCGGGTACCTGTGCGATATCGCTGCAACCCCGCATTCAGCATCAGCTGGTCACTAACAGTCGGCAATACCGTTTCGGGATAGCCATTCATCAACAACACTAACAACTTTGCCGAACTTGCTTGGCGAGGGGGGAGATGACTTCGGCAATGACCACGCAAGAGGCACGATATGCTAACGCGATGGCCTGATTGAGGCTTTGCCGGCCCAGTGCTGGTAGAGCTGATGGGGCAAAGACAACACCAGCTATTTTACCTATTGTTAAGCATCATGAGTACTTCAACAACACTTTGAACTGACTTACAAGATCAATCTCATCCTCGCCATCGCTTCAATCTCACAAACATCTTGAGTAGCCTTGAAGATCAACCCCATCAACATCAGTCACAATGCCTGCCTTTGAGTCGCCAGAGACTAAGGCGCAATCCGCCGAGGACTTGTCTTCAATGCCAGCAACTGAGCTCCCAGAACTTGTCACAAAGCTAGGTGACATCAAGAATGGACTCAGTAACGGCCATACAAACGGTCATGCAACAGATCCGTTTACACTGAGCCAAGAATATGCCTACACACCACGCAAGATCAAGGTGTTCACCATTGGCGCGGGCTTCTCTGGTTTGTTGATGGCGCACAAGTTCCAACATCGCTTCCCTGAGATGGAGGACATTGTTGATCACACTATCTTTGAGGCGCGCAGCGATATTGGCGGCACGTGGTTGGCGAATAATTACCCTGGTGTTCAATGTGATGTACCAAGTCATATTTACGTGCGTCTACCCATGAGGGTTATCACGGCTTGTGCTTACAACCTTTAGGCATTCCCATTTGACCCCAATCCCAACTGGGAGAGATTTTATGCCAGCGGAGGGGATATCTTGTCTTATATGAAGGCGACAGTCAAGAAGTGGAATCTTGACCGTGACTTGCAGCTTAACACCCGAGTTGTCGGCGCTGAGTGGCTAGATGATCTAGGTCAATGGAAGGTCACAGTCGAGCATGAGGGTATTCAACGGGAAGAGTTCTGCCACGTGTTGATCTCGGCGCAAGGAGTTCTTGTGTAAGTCACAACTGAAACGTCTCTGAATGCAAGTACTAACTGCTCAGTCACGAATCATGGCCCAAGATCCCCGGTCTGAAGGACTTCGAAGGCCACACCACTCACTCAGCCAGTTGGGATCATTCCTACGACTACTCCAATAAGCGCATCGCTGTCGTTGGCAACGGTTCATCGGGAATCCAGATTGTTCCGCAAATGGCAAAGCTGCCCGGAACAGAAGTCACAAATTTCGTCCGTGGTCCAGCATGGGTCTACTACAGAGCCCCGCCCTCAAAGCATCTCGGCAGAGAGGACGATGACCCCAACCCTCGCTACTCAGAGCAAGACAAGGCGCGCTTCCAAGACCCAGAGCTTCATCTTCAACACCGCAAGGGTATTATCTCGCGCACAAATAAGTCCTTCTACATCTTCCGAAAGGGCGAGAATAATGAGCGGGGTATGAAGATGGCTGCTGAGCAAATGGCCGAGAAGCTTGGTCATGATCCTGTGCTGTGTTCCAAGCTTATTCCTAAGTGGGAGTTGGGTTGTCGTCGTATCACACCTGGCCCTGGATATCTCGAGTCATTCTTGCGACCGAACTGTCATTTGACGGATAGTGCGATTACGCAGGTTACGAAGAAGGGCCTCAAGACTGCTGATGGTAAGGAGCATGAGGTCGACGTCAGTAAGTAGCAGCGCTCCTCTCCAAGAACCAGTGGATACTAACAATTCGTCAGTCGTATATGCCACTGGGTTTGACGTCTCTTTCCGTCCTCGCTACCCCATCGTCGGCTTGAACAACATTGATCTCCGCGAGCAATGGAAGGAGGACCCAGAAGCCTACATCTCCGTCGCCGTCCCCTCCATGCCAAACTACTTCATGATGATGGGGCCCAACTGTCTCGGCGGCCACGGCTCCCTCGTCGAGTCCCTCAACTGGACAGGCGACTACTTCGTCAAGTGGATCAAGAAGATGTCAACTGAAGACATCAAGTACGTCGTCCCCAAGAAGGAAAAGGTCGACGCCTTCATCAAGTACTGCGATCAAGTCCACAAGACTCTTGTCTGGAGTGGTGGCTGTACAAGTTGGTACAAGCGAGGCAAAGTTGATGGACGTGTTACGGCGCTGTTTGGTGGAAGTGCTCATCTGTTTAATCGCATGCTTGGGGATATTCGTGCGGAGGACTTTGAGATCGAGTATAACACGGCGAATCCGTTTAGGTTCATGGGCAATGGGTTCACAGAGTTTGAGATGGATCCGGAGAGCGATTTGTCGTGGTATGTTGAGAAGGCGGAGACGCTTCGGTGTTGAGGCTTGATTGGGGAGTAGGATACCATTTACAGCAGTTCGGGTTAAGATAGCATTAGATCTTAAATTATGAGTTTTCATTTAGATCCCCGTATCAAGATTGCGATTTAGTTTGCATACATTCTGTTATTGGGATCGTGGGTGAACAAAGAGTTGTGATAACAGACCCCGCAAACAAAGCATAAGGACAAGGTACAGACCAATTTGCCATGCGATAATATTTGCTTGTGCCAAATGTCTTTCCATTACTATAGGATATCAAGATTAATGTTTGAAAAGTCAAAATTGTAATCAACAAATGGCTCCAGCAAGTCATGGTAGCGATTAAGCAGGTCCTCGTGAAACACGGCATTCTCGGGCGATGGCAGTGCCGTAGCTGTCGTTCCAAACTCATCATCAGCAAGCAAACAGTCCGCGATCCGACTTGTAGATCTAGTCACAAACGGAAACAGAAGCTTCCAGTCAAAGTCGTTCGATGGCGCGTCGCTGGACCCGTTGGGCGCCGTTGACCTGCCTCTACCAGCATGCATCATGGACCTAGGCAGCGCGCGCAGTCGTTCAAAGCCTTGTCTGATGACATTGGCAGAAGCCCACATTTGCTGAAGTTGGCCGACTGCTTGGTCCAGAATGTCCAGTCCCTCTTCCGCTTCTTGGGAGAATTGCTTGATCCGACTTGCTTGTAATAACGCGATGAAGGCCGTACCGCAGTACCAGCAGGTGATCGCCATGAGAAACCGTGCATTTCCACGCGACAGGATATCTCTGAGAATCCTTGCGATACATGAAGCAGCTAAGATAGCGGGCGGTAGAGCTTGCGGCAAGTCTGGTGTTGTTCTCTGTAAATGCATCACAATGATCGTTGTCAAGTATGGGAGATGCAATTGATGGACATCCCGATCGAACCCTTCTGTTCGACTTGAGCCTATTGGTAGTTGAAGGTCTGAAGGTAACGACTGGACCCACGCGACGAGTTCTTGCCTAAGCTCCGTCGGGAATGTCGCCGTTTCTGAGGGGGAGTCTACGGACTTCGATAGTGCTTTGGAAACTTTGCCCATTATACCAGAAAGGCGAACCCAGTACTTGAATATCCGGCCTTTCTTCTGTGATGCCGGATCGCTTGGGAAATCTGACGGTTGGACTTCTTGTATAGTCATATCTTCGGGGTTGATGATGCAGGGTTTGCTTTGGCATAGCGACGTCAATCGCTCTCGTGCCTGAAGACTAGTTAGCAATCATCGGCCAACACCAAACGCGTTAGAACTTACAAACACAGTCCACCATAATCGCCGACGCAAACTCAGGTGAAGTGCACTCGAAGCCACGCTACCTTGTTTCGGCTCACGGTGGATGTTCATCTGCTGTGCATGTCTTATTATGACGGAGGTCCACCACCAGCTGGCATGCCGATGTGCCGTCGACGGTGAACGAGGAGCCCACCAGTAGAACAGAGAGACAGCCTTCAGAGACGTGAGTATATCTGGCTCCTCATCCATATAAAACATCATCCTCGCTTTATCGTAGTAGGCGGCTGGGCCTTGGTGGGGTATCAGAGGCGGTTGTATGTGACTCGCAGCGAGTGCAAGGGCATTCGCAAGCATGGGCGATCGAGCCAGCTCAGAGTCGAGCGTGTCGTGGTCAAGGACGGGGCACCATGGGTAACAGTACTCAAAATATGTTTCTGAGAAGCTTTGTTGCAGCTCCTGTTGCCTGGGGTCCGATGCCGGATTGCGAAGCTCAAGGTTCGCAACAAGTTCCTGTTGTTCAGCTTCGAGCTGGTTCTCAGGCCCGTAGATCTGAAGGAAGCCTGTGTCAACGTCTCCTGCATGACTGCGGCCAGCGCCTTCTGTCGGCGACGTGCTTGACTTGGTCGGATGATTGACTGCAGCATCAGGAGCGCGCTCAGCTGTTGGTATGTTGAACGCGACGTGAATTGGTGTCGCATGCACAGGCGCTGGCGTGTCACCCATCCCTGGGTCAATTACATTCTCATCAAAGTCGATTTCTGTTGCATCGGGTGGCTCTGGATTGTTCTCGCCCACATCTTCACCTTGAATCTGAGTGTTACTACAGCTCAAGTGACGCCCGAGAGCTACCTACCTGCGGCAACAATAGTATCGCATTCAGTGCCACACTCAGCTTGCGTAGACGCTCTCCGACGCTGCTTGCCCCTTCGTGACGGCCGAAGATGACAATCTTGATCTTGGTTATCACAGTTAGAGCATTTCGCCTGCCCTTGCGACGTCCGGCTCTTGCGAACAGTCAGCTCAAAGCCCGGCACATCAACGCCCGAAGCGAGCGGGGAGACTGACCTGCAAATCGCACTTGATCTTCTTTGAATGACAAAAGAAACAAACAGCTTCAGCGCGCTTTCGTTTCGGCTGTCGTGCACTGAAGTGGAGCCAATTGCCGACGAGTTCTGTCATTGCCGGATGAGAGAGTGGTTATCGTGTTTCGGTGTGAGGCAGGAAGAGGTTGGATGCCGATGCAGGCCCAAGGCGAGATTGACTCCGGACCCCAGACTAACCCCAGATTTAGAAGCCGAGGTCGTGGTTCAGGTTGCAATGGGTGGGGGAGGTGCGTTGGTTTTAGCGGGAGTTAGCGCCTGTAGCGTCTTCGCTCCGCTGAGATTAAGTTCGGCGTATCTTTCACCCGCGGTTTGACGCGTTCCTTCCATAACTCTGGGGGGAAGAACACAGGCATTTCCTTCAGTTTTATGATGAGTTTATTCTATTTAGGTCTAAGCTTTAGTTTTGATCATAAATCGTATGGTTATTTAGGGAATTATAACACTAAGTCTAGGTCATTAACCAGATTTCAACGCTGCTTCAGGGTAAGCTTTCGCGACGACATTCATACCATTTTGTCACAAGAGATTGCAGCAGCATGCTGTGTACTATGTTATGAAAACATAGCCATATTGTTCAATATGTATCTCATTCGAACATTGAATTAAAACTCATAGACTACCTTACTAAATCAAGACTAGATTCATTCCGAGCCAAACTCGACAAAATTTACGAACCGTGACATTTAGAGGATGTAGCGGAATTGCATGTTCTGACTTGTTAGTGCGTAAGCCCCTGAGTGACAACGGACGACTTACCTTCTTATCAGTGAGGTCATCCTCATAGGCATGATCAAAACCTTCGGTGGTACCAGACTTGTCGCGCTTGCTGTTCGACCACATGCATAGAACGCGGTAAACAAGAGCAAGGAGGCCAGCTATAATGGAAGTAACGACGACAACAATAAAACCGGGCTCAAAGCGAGGTGCGTCTCCTTTCTTGAAGCAGAGAGGACCAACGAAGTTACCGAGACAGTAGCCGATATAGAGACCAGACGAGGCGACGGAGCGCTTGGTGTATCCCGCAGTATTGGCAATTTGCAGACCCATGAGAACAGCGTAGCCACCGCCCACGGATGGGAGGATGTAAACGGCAAATAGGAGAGCCCCAGTAGCCGAGAGTGGAAGAAGCCAAAGCAACAAAGCAGCGAGGACAGTGCCCATCTGAGCAATAAAGACCAGATAGGACCTGTTGTTCCTGTATTTATAGGCCAGGTAAGGGAACAGAAGCTGAAGTGTTCCAGCATATGCGCCGCAAGGCATCATAAGCAGCAGCGAGTTGAGGGTGCTGAAGCCGAAGCCATGGATGATGATAGGGACGAAAGTCGAGATAGGGGCATTGGCAATCATAGACAAGAAAGCAATAGAGAATACAATCCAGAACTTGGGATCAAGCAAGAGTTCCCAGATCTGAGCGACTTTGAGATGAGTGTTGCGGACACCAGAGTTATTGGTTTTAAGTCTCGCAACCAAGATATATCTTTCTCTCTCGTTGAAGCCCTTGGCGCGGACAGGATCGGGAGGGAGGACGAAGACGAGAATGATACCCCAGACGATGGTCAGGGCGCCGGAGAAGTAGTACATGTATCGCCAAGAGGATACTCCTCCGTTGATTTGGCCGAATCCGTAGTTGATGATAGGGGAGATGATCGAGACGTAACCGGTGCAGGAGTACCAGATACCCATGCGCATTGCTTGTTCATTCTTCTTATAGAAACTTCCCTGGAAAGACTAAGTAAGCACTCAACCGGTATGAGACAGGCAGACTTACGACAATCATCATAAACATAGGGCTGATACCACTCTCCAACAAGCCAAGGAAGAACCGTTGTGTATAGAGTGTCTTGTAATCCTTGCATACCACAGTCAGGATGAGGCAGATACCCCAAATTGTGACAATGCCGGAAGCAACTCGTTCGATAGGATATCGCTGAGCGAGCATCATTGCTGGATAAGCTCCAATGATGAAACCGAGATAGAAAATGGCAGCCGACATGGCATATCGATCTCCGGTGAGAAGACCGAGATCTTCTCTGAGTCCGAACAAAGCCTTAGAGAACATATGTTAGCAACGACATGAAGCTTGGAGATACAGGACATACTGCTTGGGAAAGCATGGCCTTGTCGTAGTACTGAAGTCCATCTGTATAGCATTAGCTTCTATCCCCTGCTCGGCGATCATGCAGCTTACATGTTGCACAGAGAACAGGCATAAGCTTCCAATCAATCTTGCGGCGCAACTTCTTCTCCTCCGCCTCAGTCCAGGCCTCATCACCCCCGTAGGCCTCGAGGACTTTCATGGCCTCATCCTGATGGACGGTGTCAACTTCAACGCCTTGCTTAGGAGTCATGTCTGCCTCCTCTCGATGATTGATAGCTGCGCCCTTTTCAGAATCAGACATTGTTGATTGAATGATGAATGATGGTGATGATGATGATGGAGCATTTCGAGTGGATCAGAGCACGATACTTATCTTGATTGAATCTTGCTTTGACGCTGGATGGTACGGGGTAAAATTCTGGGGTAGAGTCCGGGGTGGGTTGTTTGTGTTAGACGGGCTTGGCAAGCTTTTCTGCTTTTGGTTTGCCGATCTTTATGCCGATGGCCTGGACCCGACGCTATTGTTGCGGGGTGACAGCCTATGGACGCGTGAGCTTGTACAGTTCAAAATCTTCTAATCATCTGTGTCATTCTGATCTTAACTCAGGTTGGGGTTATCAGTCTAAGAACATTTAAGTTAAACTATTGGTAAAAGCAGCAAGTTTGTCTCGGCCTAGGCACCTTCCCAAGTCACATCCAACAAAGACAACATGGCTCCAGAGAAAGCACCGCACCTTGAGATCCCTCCTGGGGAGGCAATCAAAGCCGTCAAGCTCATTAATCCCGTCAATTTTGGTCCTGCAATTCTTGAGAGATTCATGGCACCAGCTGTACCTGGCCTTGAAACATTCAAGAGTTCTCCTTCATTATCGTTCCTCATTGAGCACCAGTCTGGGAGGAAACTTGTCTTTGACTTAGGAATTCGAAAAGATTACGACAATTACTCACCGTCTATTGTCAAGTACTTGCCGACTACTAAGTACACTATCGAAGTAGCGGGGAATGTGGCAGACATCTTGCAGGATAATGGTGTCCCCTTGACTGAGATTGAAGCCGTGATATGGAGGTTAGTCCAATCGACCGAAAGAATCTGTTGATGGCTGAAGTTACTAAACTCTCTAGTCATTGGCATTGGGATCACATCGGTGATCCTTCCAGCTTTCCTCATCTCACAGATCTTGTAGTTGGTCCGGGTTTTAAAGAAGCAATGCTACCAGGAGCCCCTGCGAACCCAGAGTCCCCCATACAAGAAAGCGACTACGCGTATGTATAGTTCTAAAACATGTGGACTATGAAAGCTTACCATTGGTAGGAATCGTAATCTGCGTGAGATTAGTTTCGAGGGTCCAGACTCTCTCAAGATTGGTCAGTTCCCCGCCTTTGACTATTTTGGAGATGGTTCATTCTATCTCCTCGACAGTCCCGGGCATGCTGTCGGTCACCTCTGTGGGCTAGCAAGGACTACAACCTCCCCAGACACTTTCATTCTCATGGGGGGAGATATCTGTCACTACGCAGGCATCTTCCGACCTTCCAAGTTTCTTCCAGTGCCAGATACCATCAGCCCTCATCCTTGTCATCCGCACGAGGATGGTGTTCTCTGCCCTGGAGAAGCTTTTGATCAACTGCAAAAATCACGAGGAAGGGCACCAACTGATACTCTCTTTGACTTGACGTTTGGCTTGGATCTAGAACTTGCCGCCAAGACTACGAAGCAGCTACAGGAACTAGACTGTAACGAGAACATCTTTGTGGTTGTTGCTCATGATTCCACGGTACGCGATGGCGTTCCTCACTTTCCGAAGAGTCTGAATGATTGGAAGGAAAGAGGATTTGGAAAAGGCTTGAAGTGGGCTTTCTTACGCGATCTGGAGAAATTCTGGGAATCTGAGGGGTTGCTGGAGCCAAAAGGAGTTGTTTGAGAAGGCTAGATGGTAACAGCTCAACTTAGTGAATAGATGAATTCAATTATATTTTGACCTATCTCCATTTGAGAAGTTACCGTTAGCTAGCTATTCACCTAAACTCGGGCAAATTGTAACAGGATTACCGGCCTGAAATCTACTAATTTTGACAGATGTCACAAGCTCCCTTTGGTCTATGACTCTAAAGGCTTGGCAAGCCATCAATTTCAACAACTTCGGTTTCTTATCAACCCCGTGTCCGAGTATCGGACGCCCTTTGGCTAGCGTTATGAGATGTCAAATGACTCGGCAATATCTGGTTATCCTATTTGGGAAAGGCGGGGATAGCCTCAAGTTTAACTCTCGGTTACACGATACCCCAGCCATCAACCCCCGGATGTGCGGGGTCGACAAGGACTCCCTGGAATGTGTACAGAGGAGAATAAACCCGCGGGCATAAATCGACACGCCGGACGTAACCCTCATGATACCAAATGTGCTGCAACCTTCAGATCTTTAAAACTTTGTCATACCTCAGTACAGCGCCACTTCTCTATCTGGCAACCACCCTATCATCATCGTTCCACAACTTCACAATGCCTTCAGCACAACCAATTCGCGGTGATGCGTTTGGATCACCAGAAAGCAACTTGGACTATGATGTTCTTATCATTGGTGCTGGACTCAGTGGTATTCTTAGCCTGTACCGCATGCGGGAACTTGGCTTGAAGACACGAGTTATCGAAGCAGGTTCCGCGGAGGGCGGAACTTGGTTCTGGAACAGGTATCCTGGTGCTCGTTTTGACTCGGAGAGCTACTCATACATCTTTTCATTTTCACAAGAAGTTCTCGATGAGTGGAACTGGACAGAACACTTTGCCCCTCAACCAGAAACCCTTCGGTACATCCAATATCTCACAGACAAATTCGACCTGAAGCGTGATATGCAGTTCAACACACGCGTCAAATCAGCGAAGTTCCAAGAAGATACATCATCCTGGCTTCTTGAGGATGAAGATGGCTCGCAGTACACTACCCGATACCTCATCACCGCTATGGGCATTCTCAACCAACCGACTTTACCAAACATTCCCGGTGTACAAAGTTTCAAGGGGCAAGCCTGGCATACAGCCAGATGGCCAGGTGATGCCTCCGCTCTGAATGGCAAGCGAGTGGGCATTGTTGGTACCGGTGCAACGGCGATTCAGACTATACAAGCCATCTCGGATAAGGTCGGCCACTTGACAGTGTTCCAAAGGACACCGAACTGGACAGCTCCACTTCGAAACAAGAAAATCAGCCCAGAGGAGATGGATGAGATCCGCAAAAGATACCCAGAAATCTTCCGCAAATGTGCTGAATCATACGCATGCTTCATTCATGTCGGTGATAGCAGGAGCGTCTTTTCTATGACAGAAGAGGAGCGTCAAGAGCAATGGGAGAAGCTCTATGCCGAACCTGGATTCGCCAAAGTTCTCAGTGTTTCTTCAGATGTCTTCACAGACCACAAGGCGAACGAGCTTTACAGCAAGTTCCACGCCGATAAGATCCGAGCAAGAATCAATGATCCAGAAGTGGCTGAGAAGTTGATCCCCAAGAATCATGGCTTCGGTACAAGGAGAGTTCCTCTTGAGAGCGGTTACTTCGAGGTTTTCAACCAGTCAAACGTCAAGTTGGTTGATATTAGAGAAGACCCGATTTCTCAGATCACAGAGACTGGCGTTCAGACAGGAGATGCATTTTATGAGCTTGATGTTCTGATCTATGCCACTGGATTCGATGCCGTGACTGGATCTTTCAACGCAGTTGATATTCAAGGACGAAACGGAACCAATCTGAAGGATGTCTGGGCTGAGGGTATCAGGACGTTCCTCGGACTTACTGTCCAGGACTTTCCTAACATGTTTATGATTATGGGTCCCCATCAGATGTTTGGAAACATTCCTAGGTATGGCCATCAACTTCTTTTACTACTATCAGTACTAACCAGCTGCCTTCAGGTCCATTGAGTATGCAGCAAACTGGGTTGCAGAGTTTATACGATATGCTCGTGACAATAAGATCATCAGTGCTGAAGCAACTGACAAGGGTATGGAGGAGTGGACGCAACATGTGCATGAATGCGGAAAGGGCTTACTGGCTAATGAAGTTGACTCATGGATGACTGGTGTCAACAAGAACTTGGCTCATAAGCAGAAGAGATCCATGACGAGATATAATGGCCCTGCACCAGGGTATCGAAAGAGATGTGATGAGGTCAAGGGGAGGGATTATTCGGACTTTGTATTGAGATACGCTTGAAGGATATAGTCTATTAGAATTTAAATGTTATTATGATATGATGCTTTGTGATGAAATTGGGGCCTGAGACGTACTACAGGGAGTCTGGTTGGTTAAAACAGCTTCATCTTGAAGTTGATGATAAGCAGATATCATGTGGAATCCTTAATAAGCTTAGGACAAATTATGATAGTTTATGATAATTTGGAGTATTTTAGGACATCATATGATGAGCTTAGAAGGCATTGGAATATCCTTTATTGTTTATCTTATCCATCTTGTAACGGTTGCACAAGCCGTTAAACCACAGGGCAAAAGATCGGGCCATAATCGCTATGCAAGCAATCATGGGTGTGCTACAGCTGCCTTATAGAAGCCTTACAGTGCTGTTACGGGCACGAATCGTAACACATCTAGTTCAGATTTCGAAGTCCTCTAGGACCTCAAGGTTATGGTGGATGAGATGTGTTCTAAGTGGTTTTGACTTCAAACTTCCTAGCCTCAGGGTTCGAGAGTGCCCAAATAATTCCCCCCTCCATGACTCTATCCCACCGTTTAGACTCAGTCAACTGATTCCCATACCTACGAAAGCCGTGAGGCAATCCTTTGAAGACATGAATATCCGTGGGGACTCTGTTGCCATTCCATGTCAGCTATTTCAGTGAGACCAAAACCAGTGACTGCTGACTTACCCTGCCTCAGCAAGCCTTTTGCCATACAAGAGGCCTTCATCACGCAGAGGATCGGCACCGGCAATGCCAAAGACAGTGGGAGGGAGACCTTTCACTTGAGAAGCCGATGCGTTCCCAGTGTTTGCTCGGAAATCATCAGCATCTGGAAAAGGAACTGGAAACTTCAGCATTCCAGTAAAGAAGTCGATGACCTTCTTGGGAAGAATCGGTGCATCTTCATTCTGGACATATGAAGACACCAATGGACTTTTAAGTTGGTCGAGTTGCGACTGATAATGGTTGAGGTGGATCAAAGCTGGGATCATCAGGATCTGTCCAGCAATCTTGGGATACTGGCGGATATCTGGCGCAGAGATGTTTTGTCTCAGAGTCAGGGCCGCTGCTAACTGGGCACCAGCGCTGATACCGCCAATGACAACCTGATCAGATTTGCCTTGAAGCTCATCGATGTGATCGTGTATCCAATAGAAGGCATCTTCGACGTCATTCCAAGCCGTTGGAAAAGTATGATCCGGCGTGTGACGGTAGTTCACATTGATAACGGTTACCTTCGCTCCAATTGCAATCCGCGAGGAGTTAGCATCTTCGGATGAGAGTGTCCCGAATAAATATCCTCCACCATGAAGGTGGATGTAGATCGGTAGGAGAGCACCTTCCGCAGAATCGGCAGGCTTATAGCTTCGCGCTTCTATGAAAGAATTGTCTCTCGTTGGAACCTTGTAGTCTTTCGTGCGGACCAAGTGACCCAGCTCCTTCATACCGTTTGCAGATATCTCCTCACGACCCCTGTTGACTACGGCCTGTCTCTCATAGATATCTGCGAAAGTTGGAGGGGGCGGTAGACTGGCCTCCACTGCAAGCCATTCTGCAGATTTGGGGCCATATTCCGAAAAGTCGCACATGGTGAAAGATTCGATGGTGTTTCAAAAGATATTTCTTGTTATTGTTTAGTCTCAATAAGTCACCCATCTCATCAAAATGCATACTTGAGGGGTATCGATGCTTCAGGTACGTAATTGGCTGTAGCCATGTGATTCCGTCCCCGTTCCTGCCGTCGTACCTCGGTGCGACCCCACAAAATGAGGTTGAATTAGAGTATTAAACTCTGGCAATTCCCGATTAGGAAAGCCGCCCAACAGTTCCGAAGGAAGGCTCACTCCATGTCGACCTCACGATTAAATATTGCGAAATAAGATGATTCATTGTATCGTTTCACAATACGAGGTTTACCAGTGATCCAAAAACAAACAGCGCCATGGCCGAGATACCCACTCAACCTCCGTCTCGTTCACTAAAAGACAAAGTCGCCATTGTCACAGGCGCCGGCTGCTTTGGTGATGGTATTGGCAATGGCAGGGCGATATCAATCATGTTGGCCAACGAGGGCTGTAATGTCATATGCCTTGATATGGATTTAGAATGGGCAACAAAGACGGCCGATATGGCCAACCAAAGCTCAGCTTCCAAAAAGGCGATACCGGCACAAGGAAATGTCACAGATGCAGACGATTGTGAGAAGGCTGTTGCCCTGGCATTGGAAGAATTCGGTCGCTTGGATATTCTTGTCAATAATGTCGGCATAGCAGGCGCTTCGGGGACAGCCATTGACGTGGATATGGCCAAGTGGACGATGGGTCTCGAGGTCAATGTGTCAAGCATGGTTTTGATGGCAAAGTATGCTATACCAGCAATGGCCAAGAACGATGGTGAGATCAAAGGATCTATCGTCAATATGGGGAGTGTAGCCGGCTTGAAGGGCGGTACACCTCATTTGCTCTATCCAACCGCCAAAGGAGCAGTGGTCAATATGACCAGAGCGATGGCCGCTCACCACGCCAAAGATGGTATCAGAGTGAACTGTGTCTGTCCTGGGGTAAGTGATGAAGCTTGAGAACAAGAAGAAATAGCTAATAATATTTAGATGCTTTATACCCCGATGATGTATGCTAAGGGCATGTCAGAAGAGGCCAGGGAAGCGAGGAAGGCGAGGAGTCTACTTGGGACTGAAGGTACAGCGTGGGATGCTGCTTGTGCTGTCGTGTTTCTGGCGAGTAACCATGCAAGATGGATCACAGGAGCTATTCTACCAGTTGATGCTGGAACAACTGCTGCCGTTGGAACTAGCTTGCCTGCTGGCGCAAGCGTTAATGGTTGAGATAGATTACCAAATACCTACATTTAGAATCAACTCTAAATCAATGACGAGACTTTAGTCTTCCACTAGAAACCTATTGCCTAAATAGGCTCCTCAACCGTCCAAACATGACATGATTTTGAGTGCTGCTAAGTTTTGAGTTTAGTAGTGTATGGCAACGAACCAACACAAACTACCAAAGAAATTAAATGGGAAATCTTGTTGTTCATAAAAGGCAATGGAATTTATGAATGAGACTAATCATGTAGTAATGCCACTCTCGCCTTGATCTTTCCTTCACCCAATGCCCCAAGAACTTCCTCAAAGTCCGGGAGCTTTCTGGTTTCAACTCGGGGACTAATATGGCCAGAAGCGATAAGTTCAAGAACCTTCTCCAAATCTCTGACTTGGCCACCATAAGAGAAGATGAAGGAAAGCCTCTTTCTGGTGCCAATCTTCATGTGAATGGTGTTTTCTGTGTCAAGACTGCCAATGCAAAGAAGTTTGCCGCCACGACGTACTAAAGCACAGATTAGTTTGGGTTCGACGAATTTCAAACAAAGGTATTTGCTTACCGATATGTTGAGCATCTTCAAATGTTTGATGGGTACCAACAAAGTCAAGAACGGTGTCGATCTTTCCTTCCAAGCCATTCTCTTTGATAAAGTCCTGGGGAGGGTTTCCTACTGGGACAATATCTTTCTCAGGTATGCCCAGAGCTTTGGCTTCATCAAGCAGTTCTTGTCGAATATCGGAAACTATCACTCTTGCCCCAATATAACGAACAATTTGAAGAGCATTGAAACCTAGCCCACCAAGACCGAATAGAAATACTGTCTCATGCTTTTTGACTTCTCCTCTCCTAGTGATGGCGTGAAATGCTGTGTTCACAGCGTCAGTGGCTACAGCAGCTTCTGCTGGGCTGACACCATCAGGGACTTTGACTGCAGCTCTGATATCAACTGCGGTATATGGTGCGTAAAAGCCATCTTGGCCAATGCCCGAGTGATGACCCCTTTCACACAGTTGAGCCAGATCACGAGAACATTCGGGGCAATCTTCTTGTCCACAGCCTGGGACCGCATGAAGAGCCACAATATCTCCCTGAAAGGTATAAGTACTAATTAATGCTAGTAGTGAAAGAGAATTTCTTACCACTTTCAGTCTGTTATCTTGAACATTACCGCCTATTTCAACAATCTGTCCGCAGCCTTCGTGGCCCAGGATATACTTTTCCTGGAACCAAGATGCTTGCTTCTCTATCGTGAGGAGCGAATGGTCGCTTCTACAAACTACAGTATTGGTCAGATTTTAGTTAACTACCAGGAGGGCTCTTCATACCGCCAGATGCCAGCATCTTACAAAGAATGCCATTTGGCGATACTTTGGGAACGGGCACTTCTTCGAAAACCTCGAATACGTTAATGTATTAATTTATGAAAATCGGCAGTTTGCATTACCGGCTTTGGACTTCCTTTGTGTTTCCTCCATGCAAACATGGTTGCTGGCACTCTTTCGGAATTTGTAACAGTCATGGTGAAATTTGGTCGATGATTTGAATGTGGTGATCAATGTTGACTTTTCTCACTGGAGTATAGGTAGCAGTAGTCCAGCCTAAATCACGATCTATTATTCGGCTTTCGGAAAGCTGTAGTCAGCTCGGTTTCCTTTCATAGACACGGAGGGGTTTCGGTAGGATTTTCTACCGAGGTTCTGCGAGGCAATAAGGACCTATGGTTGGCTTAGAAATCCACTCCTAGTAATCTGGAGAATGCGGGGGATTGGCCGCTATCTGAGATGGCAATGCTCTCGGTTTTCCTATAAGAGTGTAGCTCCGCCAAGAACTCCACCACAATTGTTTTCATGACGTTAGGTCGCTGACTCGCTGACTCGCTGATGTCCTTCAATAAGAAATTCACTCTGGCTGTCTCAATACTATTTTAACCTATCATAGTGCGAAACGCGTCTGAAGGTGCGAAAAACAAGGACCTCGTACCAACATGGTGTTTACTTCTCCAAGCTGGGTGCCTCAGCTCCCAGTTGGTGAGTCGCGTGCCTCCGATGATGGAACTTCCCGTTGCTGACATATTGAAGATCCTCCTGATTCGATACCTATTGCTGAGTTTATGAAGAATGAGGCGTATGGTCGCCGACCCATTGCCAAGAGCAGACATCCATTTACCTGCGGTATCACTGGTCGTTCATACTCAGCACCTGAATTGTTCGAGCGGTCAGAGTCCTTTGCAAGAGCTTTGGCAAAGCGCCTTCAATGGCAGCCAAATGAAGGAACGCCATGGGATAAGGTTTTTGCTATCTTCTCTCTCAACACAGTACGTATATGCCGGGTTTCTATAGAGGACAGCTATCTGATACATGACTCTAGATTGACTTTGTAACTGCCATCTATGGCGTTCACCGACTCAATGGGATTGCCACGCCAGCCAATGCCGCTTACTCCTCTGATGAACTGGCTCATCAGCTCAAGGCATCAGGAGCCAAGGCTCTAGTAACTTGTACACCACTACTCGAGGTAGCACTTGAGGCGGCCAAGAACGTTGGCATACCAGACGAAAACGTCTATCTGTTCGACATACCGCGAGCTGAACCTACCTCAAGTTTCAAACATGCTTCCGTAGAGGATCTTATCAACGAAGGTTCGAAACTTGAAGAGCTCGAGAAGCTCCAGTGGGTTCAGGGTCAGGGTGCACGTCAGACAGCCTTTTTATGCTTCTCAAGTGGAACATCAGGATTACCGGTAAGATCGTTCCCTTCCTAGCTATGATACATGCTAATGTCATGCAGAAAGCTGTGATGATATCTCATAGAAACGTCATCTCGAATGTGTTGCAGCATGTTACCTATGACTCTGTCGCCAGACGGAAGAAAGGCGTGGAAACACAAGCAGTGACAGGGTTTCTGCCCTTCTCTCATATTTACGGCCTTGTTATTGCTGCTCATACTTGCACGTGGCGAGGTGATCAGGTTATTGTTCTCCCAAAGTTTGACTTCAATGATTTCCTCAAGTCGATCCAAGAATTCAAGATTCGGCAGCTGCTAGTGGTCAGTGTATATATTTTCTTGGCGGCTGTCATTATCACTAACAATCACTCAAGGTACCACCAATCATCATCCAAGTCTTAAGATTCAAGGATATTTGCGCCAAGTATGACCTAAGCAGTGTTAAATTCGTCTACTGCGGCGCTGCACCGCTGGGTGAAGAGACTATCCAGGATATGAAGAATCTCTACCCTGATTGGACAATTGCCCAAGCCTATGGTGAGTCCTAGCACGCAATACATCCCAGAAACCCCTGACTAATTATACGAAGGAATGACTGAGACTGCCACCGTCGTCACGTCTTCAAGCGAGGATGATGTCTTTACAAAAGGCTCTGGGTCCTTATTGCCGGGTGCCAAAGCCAAGATCATTGACCTTGAAGGCAATGAGGTCACTGAGTATGACAAGCCAGGCGAGCTCCTCGTTCAAGCCCCGTCAGTTGTGCTGGGCTATCTGAACAACGAGAAGGCTACCTCTGAAACGTTTGTACATCACCAAGATGGAAGATATATCCGCACTGGAGACGAAGCCATCGTGACTTTGGCTCCGTCTGGTCACGAACATATTGTGATTGTCGATAGAATCAAGGAACTCATCAAGGTCAAGGTATGTGACCTACTTCCTGTCCGGTCGAGGCATTACTGACAATTAGCAGGGCCATCAGGTTGCACCCGCGGAACTCGAGGCTCATATTCTGACAAGCCCACATGTCTTTGACTGTGCTGTGATCCAGGTACCTGATGAGAGATCAGGAGAGGTACCAAAGGCTTTTGTAGTGAAGAGTTCTTTGGCTGAGTCCTTGGATGAAGAGCAAGTGGCGAATGATATCATGAAGCATGTTGCGGATAACAAGGCTTCCTATAAACAACTTAGAGGAGGTGTAGAGTTCCTGGAGGTTATACCCAAGAGTCCAAGCGGAAAGATCCTTCGTCGACTGCTCAGGGATAAGGAGCGAGAGAAGAGACGAGCTGAGGGAGCAAAGCTATAGATCTTAGAATACTTGAGCGCCTATTTTTGCATTTTCATTGTGGTATTTGTCATTTTCCGAGGACGACTAGTAGTTTACTCCGGCCTTTCTTCTTCATTCAATATGAGATTTCATCACGGCTATTTTCTTCTCCCAAGTGTTTTGTGGTGATTATGAGTTCCTAGCGACAGGCCGTTTTGGCAAGCTCGTCTTGTGCCTCCTCGACCACTCCACCGCCCTATAATAGAACACATCTTCTTTAACCTTTGCTGTGATCCTGTCCATATCCACATCTTGTCCGTCCTCCATAGCCCTTTCAAGTTCTGTCAACAGAGCTTGACAGTCCCAGCACCCGCAAGCACGATATTCTTGTCCAAAGTATACTCGATACAGTCTTCTCGTCTCGCCAAAGCCATCTCCCAACTGTGGCTTCTCAATGGTATCATCATGGTTGACGAACTTGCCTGTCAGGAGCTTCATTGCTTGTCCGTAATGTTTGGCCGTGCATTGATGGGTATGCCAGACCAGATCAATATCTAGCGTTGGTACAACAGTGGTTTTAGATATCTTAAGAAGCTTACAAAAATTCTGATACCGCGCAAGAGCTCGCCGAATTGTTCCCTCAAGAGCAGGGCTGCGTACCCACATGAAGGAATTCATCTTATCAATAAACGACGCCTGGCGAATAACAGCATCCCTGAGCTGTTTCGCCAATTCCGAGTCATAGTCTCGAAAGAGCTGTGAGTATTCTTTACATGGGCTCTCGTAGATGACGGGCATATAGCCAATGCCGCCCAACCCGGTGTTCGACATGTTGACAAGCGTGGAGTGCGTAAGGTCTTTCCATGACAGAATATCGTTGAAGAGATTTGGTGCAAAACCAGATGCTTCTTCATAGTTTGCTGCTGCAGCTGGTGGTAGCCCAAAAACCCATTCTGCGTTATCGATAGCGTTGTGAATATGATTCCAGGGAAACTTGACTGAGAAGAGAGGTTCTTCTGAACATGTGTTGGAGAATAGTCGCGGATTGAGAAGAAACGAGTGCCAGACCATGAGAATATCGAGAGGCGGAAGATTGTCTCGTGTGACTTCTCTTTCCGAAGATTTGTTGAAATGTTCTCGCCAGGCAAGAAATCGAACTGTAGCAAGCTCAACGAACTTCGGCCACTTTGCCTGTCGTCGTTCCCAGAGCTTCTCATCCTTGAATGTCTTCTCGTCCCCCTGAGTGCCAGTCTTAGTCTCCCTCACAGGATTAGTTCGCATCACATCATCCAACTCTTTCGAAACCAAGATCTTCTGCCTCAAGATGAAGAGCGTCTCAAGGAATTCGAGGTGAGCTGCACACTCGGAAACGATGGGGAGGGCCAAATCCGGGGTAGTCTGTCTTCTTGAAGGCTTATTGTTGACATTTGTTGCAGTCGGAAAGTTAAAGACACCGGGGTCGGGGATTATTGGAAAGTCCTCTGGTTTGACAGCGACTTCGTATGGCAGACCATTTGGATTTTTTGGACGCGATGAACCTGAGACCATATCCTTTCCCTGCTCGTGTAGGGAATGTTTGGTAAGCCGATGCTCCAAAGCCATTTCGCAACATAAAATTAGAAATCATCTCGTTTCTCAAGAAATAGGCTCCTCCTCGTGAACATCTTTATATCCCAGGCCTTATTGTTGAATGAGGCGATCCGGGCTGAATAGCCTATTGGCGCTGGGCAATCAGTCTGCCAGCAAATCTCCAGACTGCCTCGCCACGCCTCAAACAAAAAGCGTACCACATCTCACGCACCCTTGCTTGTCAGCTTCGCAATCTCACCAATCGCGCGCCTTGAAATAAAGACATCTTACGCCCGGTTAAAGAGAGGTCGATGCCCAGGCGTTCTCGACCTGTCGATCATCGCGGGGTTATTCCGCAGTGCCAACCGGCCACTGTAAGTCTACTGAGCCATGGACACTCACAACGCAACATCAATTTTCATGCTAAGAGCAACGATGCAATCATGGATACTCTACACAAAGCGTTCTTCTCGATTTTTATGATCACATGGGGTATTCTCATGATCGTCAACATTGCCAGCATTTGTGGCAGGACAGCAAGGACATTTGGGCGGCTTCGCTTCTGGTCATTTATTCCTCTGTGGTTGTACGGGCCATTGGTCGTGCTCAATCCATGGTGGCGGTTGGGACATTTAGATAGAGGACGTCAATTTCTCGTGAGTACTCCAGCTATTGTAGGGATATGGGTATTAACGATGGCAGGGCATCTGGTTGACATTATGGCCTATCCTCAGTTCAATGATTGCGACGACACGCAAGAGTCGAGGATCGATGGGCGCATGGGACTCATCCCAACGAAGTCGCGGCTGCTTTTACATCTTATGCGTCGATTGGGCGATCATTCTCTTCTCAATTGTGGAAGTCTGCCGGAACCCGATTCCCACAGGGTCGAAGGATTGGACGTTCGGGGCAAGCCTAGGGAAAATCATGACCATGTTCACGATTGTAGGTCGTTGCACACATTGGCCCTAATTACAATACTGACGGCGGAATAGATCCTCCTTGTTGGTCAAGACTTTCTATTGTTCCCCATTGCCGCGTTCCCTCGCTTCATCAGCGTTCCAGCGATCGTCCTTAGACGATGTTTCCTACCAATACAGCACAAACCGGTGAAGAGATGGCCGCATGACATCAATCGACTGTTATCGCAGAAGGCTTCTGGCCGAGAGAGGTCCTTGTCAATCATGCTACAGACCGACAGTATTGCTGAGCGAGTCGCGAGCCACCTTCATTACGATGACATGGTGAACTTATCGCTCACATCCAAATTGGTGCGTACCGCAGTATTCTATCCATCGATGGACCCAAACTCTCGTCGGGACCGAATAGAGTTGCTATGTGTGGCATCGTGTCTCAAAGGGAAGAAGAGCGAATGTTGGTCATGCGAACGTGTGATCTGCGATGTAAGTTACACCGCCACCTCTTGCTGATCAATTACTTACATTAACAACAGGCCTGCAAAGCCCCGAAACAACGTATTCGAGCTTCCCGTATAAAGGATCACTTCGCACATTGCTACGCGGTCTGCACATTCTGCTACCTGATCTCCGCACCCGGCGGTGCAGCACCCTTCAATGCGAAATGGAACATGCAAGATCTCGAGATGCAGCATGTCAATTGCTGTTCTTTCCGGGAGCCGCAATGGGAGGATGGTGGTGGATACTTGTGTCGATACTGTATCAAGCTTGACGGGGAGAAACTCACGGATATGAGGGAGAAGAGGGATGAGTTTTATCTCAGCAGAACATTGCCGAGGAATGTTGATTGCGCGATATGTATGTGGCCTATAGGGAGAAGGTCTACCCGGTGGTGGTTTTGCGGGAAGGGAAGACATGAGTGTCTTTGGGCGGGACATCATACGTAGTAAATGACTCAATGTATATGATTGATGTAGATTGCTATACTTCATCCTCCGCAACCACCACATCCACCATCTCCATCACCGCCACCGCAACTTGATACGCATCCACTTCCACAGGTATCCCCAGCCATTCCTGGAGATCCTACTGCACATCCCGCTGCTACCGCACCACAAGCGAAAGGACCTGTGCCGCATCCTCCTCCCCCACTACCATCATCCGCCGTGGTTGCACCAACATCGATCTTGGTTGCTCTCCAGTCCCTGAACTTCTCATACTCTTGAACTCGTAATGGTTGAGCGAGGAAGGCCCAGTCAGCGACAAAGTATTGATGGTAAGCACCTTTCTCAAAGTGGTGGCTGAACGGTTGTGCACGATGAATGCCGCCAAGCTTGAGTCTATCCATGGTCTCGTCCTCATGGTTGGTGAGCCATGTTGTTGATGCTTGGAATTGACTGGAATTTGCCATAGCGACCGCGGCTGTGAGGAGGGCGTCTTGGCCGAGTAGTACGGTGATGCGGTTTTTGAACCATTCGGTGTCTGTCATTATGCCTGGGTTTGCTCGCTTCTCTGCTGATTTGCCCACGGGAGGCTGTGCATTAGCGGGATACAGTTGCCGGCCTCGGGCAAGATGCAGAGACGCGATGGACCAAGAGTCAAACGGGAATGCCAGAACGTGTTTCGAAATTTTGCAATCACCACAGTTTCCGGGATACCGATCATATGCTTCTGTACAGTCCCATGGAAAGACATCTTGGTATGGATAAATGTGCCCTCCAAAAGCGCCCCAATCCGTCCAGTATTCGGCCAGTGTGTCAATTATGTCGGAGTCATCGTGGCGTCCATAACGGAACTTGAGGAGATATTCTTCTGTAAGGCCATTTGGAACGTCGTATTTAGAGAATGCCCGTGTAGGTACGTTTGACCCGGGTCGACATACAAAGCTCATCAAGTACAGTGGCATTGGTTGACTAACCGCTGTCTTGGAGGCGAACAGGGGACCAAATAAGCCGTGGTCAATCAATCTGTCACAGAATGCCTGGCAATTGTTCTCGTGATAATGCCATTTGAGTCGAACCTCTGGATCCAGGAGATGAGTGGTGATGCTCGTGATGTACGCCTGCACCCTCGAAGCGAGGTACTCTTTGACGTGTAGAAGCAGACGTTTGGTACTCTGTCCAAGCATAGCTTCTTGCTCTACAAAAGTCAATCCGTCCTCGGTCAGACAATTAGATTCATGTATGAAGGCGTCAATAAGCTCATCTTCAATACCAGACTCGAAGAAATCGCAGAAGGCACCTCCGACGACTTGCTTCATGAAGGCTTTGTATCGCTTCGGGTGCCTCGGTCTATCCTGTACATAGAGAATACGATCTCTCTCGCCTGTGAGAAGAAGGGATTTTGTGATTTCTTCTGGGGGATCACGGATGACTTGTAATGAAGGCGGATCTCGACTGGTGACAAGGACACCGCCCATGGTACTGAGTTGTCAGCTTCTGTCATGAATGATGAGTCGAGCGACTTACTTTGCGACGCCATTCTCTATGATCAGAGGGCCAAAGCGAAGAGCCATATGAACGTTCCCATACGGATACTTCTCGATAGTCGACCGCAAGTACATTGGAATATCCTCCGGCTCATCAGTACTGAACCCATAGGAATAACCGTATTCCGGTAGGGAGGTCTCGTTGAGATGTCCCAATCGACTTGGTTGCTTCCTTGTTACAGCCACAGGCTTCGGCAGCTCGCCACCTACAGGATCCTTTTTTCGTAACTGAAGTAAACTGTCACTTTTGCCGAATTGTGATCTTGTAGACGCATACTTTGCCTCTGCAAAGAGATCTGTGACGGTGTACAGACCGCAGCCTACACGACCAAGCCCGCCTTTGACGTGATGGCCTTCGTCGAGCTCAGGGTCAATTGGCCACAGCGACCTGGAGCGTCCATCTTGGTCGCGTCGACGAACCGTACTACAATAACACAACTTGCGGCTAATCTCTGGCGTCAAGGCCGTTGGAAGGCAGCACTCTTTGTATTTCTTGACAAAGCGCGTCTGGCCATAATGTGTCGCTCGGTAACAGCTTTCGCATATCACAATGTTTTCGTCGCTGGTGTCCTGAAAGGTACATCCCCGAATTGTCGCCTTGCACTCGGAGCAGAGCTGTGGGACGAATACCGGCTGGTGTAAATCGTCATATGACCAGAGCCGTATTTGAGCGGAGGCAGGTCTTTTCCAGAACGATAGTGCTTTTTCAGGTTCGCGATACTCCATAATTTTGTCGATGTCAAGGAATTGCGCTGATTGAAGAAGCATGCGGGCTCTCCGTCTAGCTGGGTCCAGTAGTTTGCGCTCGCTAAGGGAGGTTCTTATACAGCCCTTGATGCTGTTACTCTTTATGTCGGCGAAGATATCCCAGCCACGGTCTCGTAGAACTTCATCGTATGAAGGTGGCGCTTTTGTGTCTTTTTTCGCTTTCTTCTCTGGACGTTTTGATCGTTGGTTTCTCTTATTGCGTTCATGAAATTGGCGAGAAATGTCGGAAACTGAATCGAGAAACGTATCATAACCGTAAATGAAGTCATCCTCTTCCTCTGGGAGAAAATCCGATGTGTCTGGACGTGATTGCCAGCGCCTGAATGTCAGCAGTAAATGAGGCAGCTCGCGCTCGACTCCTTCCCAGTACATTCTGAATAGCTCATTCTCAAGCAGATCAGCTGCAGGACCCAGTCGGGTACTGGGAATCACAGGGGCATCAGTGATCCCACCGCTGTTGCCACTGGACACTGGCACCGAACGAGACAGAAACGCGGGGAGCGAGGGCATCTTGCGATGAGTCTATTCACCAAGCGTTACATGATGAAGGTTCATGGAGCGACAAGAGGTTTTCGAATTGGCAACTGTCATCTCAATCAGGCGGGCAGAACGCCTTGCATGAAGCCTGCCGTCTTCAGTGTCTCGCTCACTGTAACCAGGCGCTGAGGTGGGGAAGCGGAATCACAGCGCTGCACCTTCGGCATCCCGCATGGATTTGCATTGAACAAGGCATACTCGGCTTCCACATCGACCAGGCTGAGATGATCATCGTTTGTGGTTGAGGCGCACTGCTTTGACAGTCAGGAATGATCACATTTGCATCCAGAAAGCCATGATATATGTGTAAACTCAATACAAGCTTACCTGCTCCTAAATCTCTGGACCCTGCCGATAAATTGCCTGATGAAGAATGGAGCTTGGCGGGGTGGAATGCCTGCTGTAATGGATCTCTCACTCGATACCCGATCCGGCGCCGTAAATCCGGGAATCGGAGCTTACAGTCTCCCGGTTCTGGCATGTTAAATTGGATAGAACAAGCCTCATGAGCTTGTTTGTTGATGAGATCGATGTTAGTGCAGATCTTGTGGCTTTCGGAGAATTGAGGCTTCTTGTCTGAAGATGACGACGTAAGCCATAATGAGTCTTATAAATATTGGCGGCGCATGGGACCTTTTCAGATCGTCAGATGAGGATTTTGTCGACCCGATAAACTGACATATCCAACATTTTAAGTCGCTGACGCTTCCCGAAGTGAAAAAGATACAGGAAAACGTCTCAAACATCATCGTCGAAATGAAGGTCGTCATCGCAGGCTCAACAGGGTTCATTGGGAAGGAAGTCGTCCGCCAGGCGCTCCTGCACCCTCAGATCACCTCAGTCGTCACATTATCGCGTCACGACCACGATCTCTCAGAAGACCTACAAACACCAGAAATCGAGTCCAAGCTCACGTCTGTCACCTGTTCCGACTTTAAAAACTACCCGCAATATGTCAAGGATGAAATCTCTGGGGCAGACGCTTGCATATGGTGTGTCCGGCCGGCTTCTCAATGTGACACAACTAACCGCGCAGGCTTATCGGGGTAACGCCTGGCAAATTGAAGCAGTACAATTGGGATCAAGTTCGCATGATCTGCTATGAGTATGCGCTCTATGCAGCCGACACGTTTGCGAAGCTTCCGCGCGAGGGTAACCCGGACCCGTTGCGATTCATCTACGTGAGCGGTTGCAACGCCGAGCGAGACCCTGCAAAGAAGCCATGGATTCTCGGAGACTATTGTCTTCTTCGTGTACGTATTCAGCGCGTCGCTGCCGTATCATTGCCAATAACGCTTCCAGGGCCAGGTTGAGAAACAGATCATCGAGCGTGCGCATTTGTCGGACGGGAGAATGCAGGTCCTCGTTACCAAGTCAGGCATGGTCAACGATCCGGATATGGGTTTCTTAAAACAAGGGCTGCGTTGGTTCTCGCATGCTGTCATCAACATCCCGAATATTGGGAGGACGGAATTGGTGGCCGGTTTACTTGACCAGTCGATCACTGGGTTTGGCAAGGATACTTTGTCCAATGCAGAAATGGTAGAAATTGGAAACAAGGCATTGGAGAAGAATGAGATTTTGGAAGCGAAGGCCTAATTGATTGTAGCTATTATAGTCTTTGCTCGTTAATAATGTCAAGATACCAGAATTACTTCCGCTCCTTGATGATGACGCGTTGTTGGTGTGACTATGCACTTGCAATCTCGGAAAATACGCGACAGAAGGGATTTTGGGGCCGACTTTCAACGGAAATACATAATCTAAAGTAACCATTCATCTATTGGGAGGGTGATTTCGATGAATGCGCGTCCTTGTTGAGACGCGATGCCTTGGTGGGGACGAAAACTACTTGTGACTTCAGTATCGTCAGTTCAGGCACTTCTCGTTGACACTTACAAACAACCAAATGAGGGAAAATAGCATAAGTCACATTGACTCAGACATACAGCAGTCTACCCCGATCAATATTGAACGTCCAAAATCCAGTTATTTAAGTTTATTAATTATATTGCTACAAATACATTAATAACCGTTATTTACCGCGTTAAAATTGAAGTGAACTCGTGTCATACGTTCTCCTACCCTAGGCTTCGAGCATCGTCAAATTACGGACGCGACCGACGTCAGACAGAAATGAGTAATCATGCACTCAACCAGACCAACACAAATGCACGCCACGACCTTCGCCGACCAGATTTGAAACCTCGCGGAGGAAAAGCTCCTCAATTGCGCTACTTCTTGGCTTTGTATGATGCACCTGCAGTAGTCGCTGTCGTGTTAAATGGATCAATATGACGCCGTGATGCGCGACGCGGCGGAATTGCCATCCTGACATCATGCGCTAAGGATCTTAGCTACCTGGGGTCAAGCCTCGCCGTATGAGCTTATTTCCAGTTTTCGTATTTACTGCGGAAATGTTTCAATTGTTACTTGAGGAAGAATTCATGCATTATGGATCAAAATGCACAACAAACGAGGCACATTGCTGCCAACCTTGAGCACGGAGCTGATGGCAGTACAACCCTTCACACCAGTGTTCAGCATGAGCCTTTGCGTCATGGTCCAGCGGAGAAAATACAGGAGGATGTTGTCGCCAATTCAGTAGAAGTTAAGGACGTAGGCTGGGACGATGATCAGATACGGCCCGAGGACTATGCCTTCGATGGCATAAAGAACAAAGATATCTGGCTTCTCATCCGAAGGTTCAATAAAGTGAGTTGACCACTCAGCTTGTATGAGCATTAGCTGACCAGAAACAGCGTGTCTTCCATCTCAAACATGCCCCAAATCACCCAGAAGATGAGATGGATTTCAACGTTGCTGAAGAGGAGCAATTCTCTCCAAACAAGCTGCGTGCACAAATCGAAAGACTTTACATAGGGGCGGTAGGTGTTTCAGTCCAGGTCTGGTAGGGTAATGCTCACGGCTATAGATACTTGGCTTTATTATGCTCAGGCAACACCTCTCGAGACTCCAGTCCTGGAGGGAACCAAGGCGAACATCATGTTTCTGTCTAGTAGGCCAATCAGTTTCTCGTGCAAAGAACACCTCTTCTAACTATTAAGGTTTACCTCGCTGCATGGTATTTGGACGGCCTTATGCCAACACTGTTGACAGGTTTGATGGCCATTTTGCTCTCCCCCAAAATTCGAAATGCCTTATTCCCGCCTTGCCCGCCTGCACTAGTCCATTACCAAGACGGCCACTTAATAAAGCCGGCCGCAGGTATTCTAGGAACGGTCGATACAGCTACAGGCGCTCCAGAGAGCCTCAAGGGTGAAACCCTGGAGAGGGAAGCCAGCAACTTTGCAACAGGTCTTGTAGCTCTGTCCATAAATGTCTTTGTCGACAAGGATCCGCAGCACGATGAGTCACAACGAGGAGGCGGAAAGACTGTTAACCTTCCGGATCCAAGATCCTTAGCTACCAGGATAGCAACCGCGAAGGATAAGGCAGCTGGAATCGAGAAGCCGTCCTGGGACAAGAGCAAATCGCCTATGCAGGAGCTAATGTGGAGTCAAATGAGACCCTTGATGCACTGGGTATGTCGCTTCTGCGATGTGTGGGAGAGGAGTGCGAAGTAAGTATTCATCTTTCAGACTATGATGTCCTGTCATGTTGTTGAAAACAGGTTCTAACTTATGACTAGTCTGCTTGATCCAACTGCGCCTTTTCCAAGAGACACTGCTCGCCATCGGATCGTACAACTAATCCTCCCGATTGTGGTATTGTCGGCTTTCACATCCTGTTACATGTTTTACAGAATTGTTACTTTGTGTATGGGGATTGGGTTCTTTGGTAGCATCTTCTTGAGAAACTCTTATGGTTGGCTAAAGCATAATATGGAAAGGTGCGAAGCTTGTTCAAATTCCATCTCAATCTCGCTAATCGCTGACCAGAATTGTGTTCCGGGGAATACCGACGGATTCACAGTTGACTATAGCCCTTTTACGACATGGTGAACGAAATAAGGCCCCTCTATCACCGCCACCCGAATCAAAAGGTCCACCTCCTGAAGACCCGCACATTCTGGATGACGATGTCCTGAGTGCATCAAACGGCGATCGCCCAGGAGGAGCGCCACCCGAAGAGATTCGAAAGGCTGTTCAAGAAGAGCCTGGGGTTGTCCAAGACACTGGCGGCGATGACCATGAGTACCCTGACCATGAAACCGGCGGAAAAAGACGCGGCAAGCTTTTGGCCATCGTCAAGCCTGTTGCCCAGGCAGCAGCAAAGACTGTCATAGGCGTCAACAAAGTCCGAGCGAAGACTGGAACTGTATCTGCTAAGAACCGGGTTGGAGCAGCATCGACCAGGGAGATACCTACTATTGCTGGGCCGGTCGAGTTCACATGTCGGTGGCAGGGCGAGAAGGGTTTTGCATATCTCACAACCGATACTTCATCCCCTTGTCTTTGTTTTTCTAGAAGATCTACGGGAGATTTGGATGGTTCTGGCTATCATGTGATTCATCCTATATGGATGATCCCCGTCAAGGACATCACTACACTGAACAAGTATTCTGGGTACGGGGCCAAAGCGAAACTCCTTGCTGGATGGGCATTGGAAGCTGAGATCATGGATGGCTTGGAGATAGTTGATAGTGGAGGGAAGTCTAGGTTGCTCACAGCGATGGCTCGTAGAGATCAGCTGTTCAACCGACTTTGTGCCATTGGTGATCAGAAATGGGAAATCTGGTAGAGTAATTCATCAGGCTAAATTGGAATAAATCACTTCACTCCTCCACTTCTCCTTTGTTATTGTAACCGAAGCTTGATTGTTGCTCCTCGGCCTTGTCGATTGACTTGATGGATTTTCAGTCCTACAGATTTGTGAACCACCCACGTTAGATTATACCCAGTGGAGGCAAGGCAACTTAGGACCTGCATCCTGATTCCTAAACTGACTTAAGCGAGTTTAGTATAACTTAGTAAGTATTGAAATTAGTGATCTTAGGTACTTCAGTTCGATCAGAAGTTTTCTTGTCCCTTGGGGTATGCTGGGCAGCGGGGGGTTTAGCAAATGCCTCCTTCATTCTTCTTAACAACCGTTTAGCATGCCATTAATTGATTGACTCCCCGGACTTGAATGTGATTTGATACAAACGAGGATAAGGCAAAGCTCTCATATGTCTATTGTTACACATATCCTTCAGCGATTGCTCATGGGTGCACAAAGAGATATGTGTGTGCATTAAGGAGACCAAGGCATATCTTTTCAACAATTACAAATACCATCGACATTCTCGCCAGTTTTGAGCGGTGTCATGTTGAGAAAGCACCTCACTTAAGGCCTCTTCCACGTGACTGTGGGATTGCCTCCCCCAATGACCAAGCTCGTTGCTCTAGCCTCGCTTCACTTCTTTTTGCGACCAGGCCCATACGATCGCTCTTTTTTCTTTCACTCCCACCTTATCAAACCTCTGCCAAAACCAACCCTTCCAAGTTACTGTAACCACATGACGGACCCAAGCAGGCAAAGCCTCATTTTATTGTTACACACGCAGTAAAGAATTCAAGGTTAGGAAACTCTTGGGCGGCAAATAGCCAAAGCTAACACTTCGCTAGCATACAGAAGCAAACAAGCCGCTCCTCCTTTCAAATCCCGCCTCAACAGAGCTCGTCTTCAACTGACGATGCCCCGTTCTGATGATGTCGAAAACGGAACGTGGTACACTGATAACAACCCAGAGAACCTGACTACGACGCTCAGGATACACCCTGGTATCAAAATCCATATATATTATATCTTATGTACACGATGAGGACTTCGACTAAGTTCTCTGTGGTGATACAAGCTCTCAGACACAAGTCTCAACTGCAAATAACACATCTGGTTCACAACTATTCTGATCAAACGCGCGAAGGATTTTATGAACCATCAAACCTTCGCAAATCTTGAGGATTTGAATACGACACCTTTCGACTAAGGCGGTGAGGTTTGCGAGTACGCCCATAGATGGTGTCATACAGCATGCCCTCCCACATCGTTCCCGGGGCACAATCCAAGTGTGGTACTCGACCAAATTAAACAAGAAGGGTTGAAGAAGTCAGACATTAGGGCCCGGTAGGACATCAAGACTATATGAAAATAAAGTAGAAATTTAGGCAAAAAAAAGATGAAAAAGATCAAGTGGTGTAGTAGACAAATAAACAATGTGATAATTGCGATGTTGTATAATAAAAGGGTTGACATTGAAGCTGTGAGATTTATCGGGCTGAAAATCGTTAGCTTCGGCAGCCTCCTTGGGGCCTATGCGGGGGTCCTTGTGTTGCTTGCAGAAGCTCTTATCATTATAGAAATTAACCTCTTGTCTTTGATTATAGTCTGAAGATGTATTCATTGTTTTAATTGCCATTAATTATATAGTAATTTGGCTGTGAAAGGTTAGGAATTGAAGCTTTGAGATAAAATGGGGCGGGGTACGGAATTGGAGCCTTATGAGCTCTTGGGAGATTGTAGGGAAGGCCATTTCTCGAGAGAGACTCACGTTCCCCATGGATGCATAGCATCAAACTGGCAGCTTTCATGAAGTGACTTTGCAAAACTGGCTTCGCTGATTTTGAACAGTGGTAGGCTGAGAGAGCCCATGATGAGGATCCGGCGTTTGTTCTTCTAAGTCCTGAAAGATCAAAGAGTTCAATGTCATCAGGTGAGACCTAGTCGATGTCAATGCTCAATGTTTTGGTAAAACCCTTTTAAAAAAAACTTGAGATATCTAAATATATATATATACGGTCATCCTCAATTGTTATTCTATGTTAACCCCGACGGTCTCGATTCGGCATTATGTTAACGGATAACGGCCGAGTTAGACAAGGGGGTCAATATCCGCCGTCGGACGTTGGGCGGAGACTATCCCTTAACCCTAACCTCGGAAACAACTCTTTACATTGTCGACGAACTATGAAATAACGTTTCCCGTGAAATGGTTCGAGACAAGGACGCTAGAACGCACGGTTAAAGGCGATATTTTAAGTTTGGAGGCCTAAGAGTTAGTAGGGGCGATCAACCGAAAAGAACTTTATTATTAAGCTCAACAGCCTTCTGCCATGAAGTCCAGTAAGGATTTGAGGCTCTTTATTAGATTGTGACATAGCTAGTTGTTGAGAATCATTGACTAAAGAGACATGATGTAGATCGAGGGGGTTTCGATCCACTCCCTTGACATGTATGTTATTAAATGGATTAATGTTATCTATTGGCCCTCCCCTATCCGGTAAGGCAGCGAATACAAGACTTTTATTAAGCGGCACTGGCAGAATTTACCGGCTTTTCAACTTCATCGGTCACGTCCTTGACAGACACAATAGTTGTCTTCTTGACAAGTGTGTTGGAGCTCCTCTTTGACGAGATAGATAAAGCTTTCTCAGGCTTTTGAGGAAGCATCGACTCGTCATCTACCTGAATGGGAGTGCTGGTCTCAGAAGCAACCTTGTTCCGTCGGAATAACCCACCCAGTGAAAAGGAGCCTTGCCAGTAGAGGAAAGCTGATGGAATCAAGGCGACGGCACCGATCAGGATATAGAGGGGGTTACCAAAGACTCTCCAGACGAAGAAGCCAATACCAACAAAGACGGCTGTGTACCAGATAACCAGATGACAGATATGGAATGATCTTTGTAAGAAGGACTGTCCGCGCTTGCGCTCAGACGAAGAGCGAGCTGATGTTCCCCAGCCGGTCTGGTTCATAGTGATGAGAGCATAAATTTTGGACGGCAACAAACCGAAGAAGTAGATGAAGCCATAGGCACTGAAGAGGAGCAGCCAAGGATCTTTGCTAATGAGTACGGCCAGAACGGACTTAAAGAGGGCAACACCAAACATGGTGACCAGCCAGATGATAGGTCGCCATGGGCTGGAGTCGGAAGTGTCGAAGAGGAAGTGGAGGACAGTGGCGATCAGGATGAACGGATACAAGGCCTGAACTGTCATCTCGACAAGCATCCAAGGAGATTGGTAGGCAAAACTGGCGGGGAACCAAAAGGACTCTCGGAAGAAGGACTTGCTCCATCGAGTCTGCTGAGCAACCCATCGCACAAAGGAAGTAGGAGACTCGCTATCACACCAGGTTCGGTGCGTGTAGCGTGTCCTGAGACCATGAGCAAGCAGTTGGTTGGTCAGGTGTCGGTCATCTCCAAAGGTGGTCTCTTTGCCTCCAAACGTCTGCAAGTTCCATGGGCCGAGGATGGTCTCGAGGTCAGAAGCGCGGTACATACTCATGGGACCCGAGAGACAACCGACGCAGCGCCACAGTGACTGACAAGCGCGCTCGATGTTGAAAGCAAACCAGTAACGAGCAGCGCACATGCGGGCGAGCAGGGACTCAGCGCGGTTCCAGATCTTAACGTCTGCTGTAACACCGCCGATCTGGGGTGAGGAGCGGAGGAGGGTCAGCATCTCATCCAGGCCGTTGCTTTGAACAAGGGTGTCGGAGTCGGTGGTGAATATAGCGTCCCGGGTGCGGAAGGCATATAGACTCATAGCAAAGGCCGTGAACATGGCGGTACGTTTGTGACCATGGGGTTGGGCAAAGCAGACAGCCTTGAGGCTGCTGATGTTCCACTTCTCCTCCCACTCGAGCACCTGCTGGACGACTACCTCTCTAGCAGTGGCCAGGGCAGCTTCGTGGCCAGGACGATAACGGCCAACAAGGTAGTGCCAGAACTTGACCAGGAAGAATCGAGTGTCGGCAGGGACGTGGTCGAAGTATGTCCTTCGGTGTAACTCTGAGAGTAAAATGGGCAAGTGGATAAGAGTTGCCTTCTGGTCCTGGAATTCATCGACAAAAGCCTGTGCCATACTCAGATCTGGCTCGTCGTTACCGTCAACAACACCCACGACGCACTTGGGGGCAAGTGTTTGTGTCTGCAGACTGCGAAGACATTGTCTCCATGCCTGTTCATCCTCACGGTAGCCGACAACGGCCATGGAGACATCACCATCAGGGTTGAGGAGGTTATCAGCCGATGGGTTGGAGGCAGACTTTTCGCAGTCGCCGGCCGCCTGTGCGTTGGCTGTCTTCTTCCTGACATTCTTGACGATACGGTCTATATCAAAGCGGTTGAAGATGGCGCAGGTGAGCTGAATGAGGTATTCGGTGATGAGGACCGTTCCATAAAGGCCCACTGAGGTGATGCCGAGATCTAAGACTCGGAGACCGATGATATAACCAGTGATGAGAGCAGCAATGAGCCCAAAGGCGATGATGATGTTGATGGCAGCACTGAAAGGATTAATCCTAAGAGGCTTTCTCACTGGTGTGTCGAAGACTGAAGCTGAGTCAAAGCGGGATGCCTTGATGCTATCCGACGAGGCGCTGGACGACTCAACACCGGCGCTGACCTCAACGGTCGCTTGCTTGCCAGACATCTTGCGACTGGACCGGGGCGTACCACTTGACGTCAAAGTCGAGAGATGATGTGGTTTGGATTAAACGAATGTAGTTGCAGGAGAAGCTGTCTTGAGCCTAACCGATTAAACAAATTACAGTCCCTGCCCAAGCATATCTATTTATCTCGCTACAAAACGCCATCATGTTGGTCATTGTTGAAATTTTCTCCTAAAAAGGCGCCACACGCCGAGCTTTCGGTATCGAGCCAGGTACAGTCTGTGGCCTGGACCTTTTCAGAGCTGAAAAGGGGCCCCCAAAAGGCCCAGACAGTCGGGCTTTGTCATAATCTATACCCCATAAACAAGCAGTCGATACCTGAGAGGGCCCATACAGGGGGGCACTTACAGATTCGAACGGTGAGTGGCCATACAGGTAGGATCCGGGACCAGGGGCATGCCTGTACCAAACATATGCAGGCCCGAGATGGGTTGAGAACAGGGTCTACGCCAGCGCCAAGTACATATGAAGCGGGCCGCTACTATAATCTATTAGACACCATTTTAAAAAGCCCGGTGCTCTAGAGGCGAACCCAGAGCCTCGACCAGCCTGAAGGAGTAGTCTTGTCGTGATATCGAACAATTTGGATGCGTGGTGTGCTTCCAGCCAACCACAAAGGCGGCTTGAGGCCATCCAAACGCGCACATCATACTATTTTTGGCAGCTGAGAGAAGTGTCCGACGCTAAATCTTGCTTTATTTGCAGTAGTCTCACGGTTTATCCGACATGCTGTCTGGCAAGTCCCTCAGATCCAGTTGTAGCCACCTGTGAGCTACACTTTCTGTAGTAGCACAAACGGAACTACCATGACATGAAGCTGAATGTCTTTGCGGCTGTGTCTTAGACATGAATGGTAAGCCGGATTATTACCTGATTGCTACATAAGCTACTTCTCCCCCCTGAGAGGCAAGCTAGCTTCAACGATAATTATAACAATAAAAATGTAAACAATAGAGTTGTGCCTGGCTGCAGTATGCTGGAAACCCCCGTGAGGAAAATCAAATTCTATCTTGCATCTCAGGTAAGTGCTAACAAAATTGAGGAAAAAAGCAGAGAGAAACAACAAGGAATCCATGGTCATGGTAGACGGCAAACAAGTGGCGACATATCCCGGAAATCTGGATCGTCGTCGGCACTACCTCAAAACTCCTAGTTCGCGATCCTAATCGAGCTCCTTGGAATCATCACTTCCTTCAGGATCCTCAGCAAATATACACGATGTTACCTCGTAGGCAAATAGCCCCGAGATTCGACCCACTATACTGCTACCAGGTTTCCACATGACTAGGAATTGAGCGCATCAATACCCAACCATCTTTGCACAGTGACTATACAGCGTATGAAAAGAACAGCACCATGTTTGGGCCTACGGAGGAGCATTATAATGGAAAGTGATCATCTATTTCGCTCATTGCTGACGGAATCTCCCGAGACAATGATACGTAGGGATCTTCCACTCGATTGCAAAATACCAACCTTGCTTACCATTACAAAAGAACTTTGACAGTGATTAGCTAATGAATAAGAAAATTAGATTACTATATGAATGCCAAGAAGATCACCGATGTTGACTCCGCTGACTTGAAAAAAATGCACCGCTCAGACCCAGATGGCCGGTCACTCGTCCATCTCTCGTCACAGGCAGCCCCTACGCCCTGATCGCACCCTAAGCGGCTCAATGAGTTAACAAAAACTCTAGCCAGTTGGTTTACAGATGATAAGGCACGTGTTCAGATGGTATCTCTACAGGTAACGATGCCAATTAAACCAAACAAAGAATAACAAAGTAAAAAGCCAGCCAGACGCTGCTGGACCGGCGAGGTGAGCAGAGTTCTCCAAGATAACTGATGTAGACCCTGAGTCATCATTGTCGCCGTTGTTCCCTGAGGCGGTGATGGATTTGAAGACACCATTTGTGATGGTGCATGCCTCACCCGTCTTTTTACATGCGAGTGGTTTGGCATTTGTGTCGTTGTATACAGCCCAGAGAAAAGTAACGGCGACAGTGCTGTCCTTTGTCGGAGGCCCCAGAGAGTAGTTGGAGTTGCCGTCGGACCATTGACTCAAGGCGAGACGGCCTGGTGCCTTGGGCACATTTGTGGTGATGGACCTCGAGTAGTTATTGTCGAGGCCATAGTGGACAATGTCAGGCAGCCATACGAAGGACCACTCGTGAATATCCTCGTCAAATGAGGTACTTGTATCGTTCCACGACTCTCGTTGGTATGTGCTGTTCAAGGGATTGTTTGTAGGCGAATACAGCTGCGGTTTGACGGTGTAGAGCAACGTGGCCTCCTCCCAGGCACTGACATATTCTATGTCGACCTCTGAAGTGTCACTCTTGTAATTGTAAAAAGCGGTCACCGTCCCAGGCACGGTTCCGACGCGGAATCGTGCATGATAAGAGCCATAGAAATATGACTTTGAACGACTGATGATCTGCGCACAGGGTACCGCCTTTGAACCTGATGGGAGAGGTGAGACAGTGAGCTCAAGTCCTGTTGATGAGAGCTGTACCTGGTCCGGAGAGAAGTCTCTTGTGTATGGAGAGTCGCCTTGAACTACCTCGTACGAGGCGGGAATAAAGAGCTCCGTGAATCTCTTATCTGCAATAGAGCTGAAGTTGACGGCAAAGAAACTGGAAAAGACGCTTTCTGTTGGGTCGCTGGAGTCTGTGAAGCCACAGTCACAGTCCCGGACCTTTGACGCCATTGTTTTTGACAAAATGGATTCGATGGGTCCGGGTTTCCCATATGGATCACGATTCTCATAAGGGGGTTAGATCAGTAACCAAGCGGAGAAGACAAAGAAGAAGACAAGCCTGTTCTGTCGCTGAAACCAGATGATCCGGTGTAGGTGAAGAGCAAAAGTCAGAGAGGCCCTGCGTGGCTTGCAAAGGCTACATAGGCAAGCAAGGACTTACCCTGGCATATCGCTTGAAGCTGCGCTCTTTTTGCCAGTAGCTATCCAATAGCAGTAACAAGTAAAGGTTGATCGGCAAATATTCCCGTAACACACTACTGTGCTGAACTGGGGTTATCTGGCACAGAATGTCACTCAGATGTCACTCGAGCCGAGGATCTGGACCATCTCACGTAGCCCACCCACCCAATATGGATCGGTCAACTCGACATGTCGTTACCGCTGCAAGCGACAGATACCTGACTCGGCAAGATCCTACTCCCACGGAAATCCGCGGCTTGCTGATCACCTAATGCGACACCGTCACTAACCCGCGTGATCAATATTGCCAGGCGGCAAAATTGATTTCGTGATCCTGTCCCTGGTGTTGGAAGGGATCTCGATACCTAGATCCCTTTTACAAGGAGCGACCATTGAGTAAAAAGGAGATGCCCAGCCCCTTAATGAGTCTTGTCTCCTTGGCACAGTTGGGTACCCTGAATCTAGAACAAGTCGTTGCTCTGCAGAGACAGTAGCCTCCCAATACTGGAGACTCGGCGACCCCTTCGAAGCGGCCACATCGTGTCCTGACGACCGAATAACCAGAACTCTTATGGTGGAGGTCTCCTGCAGAATCGCCCCAGTTACGCCGCCACTAATATCTGCTTGATGTCGATCTCACTTTACGATAGTTCAAACGGCTAGTGGTTAATTTGAGGACCATACGGAGATAACACGCCAGCGTTAGAGTCGCAAATAGGGCTTGATCGCAACAGCTTTACCGCTCCCTAAGTGCGGACACGCTGCTAGTAGCTTACACAGTACCCCGCACAATATTCCACAGCAGTGATCCACAAAGTCCTGGTTAGGCAAGCCTTGGGTGGTAACACAAGAAACGGCCGGTACGCACTGCAAATTTAATAGGCAGACCGACCATTTCTTCTATCACCTCGGGGGCAAGCTTACTGGTTGCTATCTTTGCATGCGGCTGAAGACATAGTCTCCACTAACAGCCCCGGTAAAGGTGAATCTTTTCCAGTGAACATAAAACGCGGCTTTGCTTCTGAACGGCGGTAGTTGGAAAAACCGTAAGGGCCCGTGCTTAGGCAGCATCAAAAGATTTAGTAGCCTTGACTATTAAATTAGTCGAAAGCGAATATGACATTACGTGGTAATTTGCTTCTTTAGATGTGCTTCGGCGGCAACTGCCGTAGCACCATTACTCGACTAGGTCTGAAAGGGAAAAGCTTATAAAGGTAGGAGAATATGTTCCTTTACCCTCTGAAAAGTATTAAGCTTAATCACGCCGAAGGAAGTCCCCACAATGCCAGAGGCTAAAGAATTTGCCAAAAAAATAACAATGAGTCAGGGATGCCCTAAGAGACGCCTCGTCTTTACGGCCGGCCAGCCTACAAGATCAACTCTTATAGTCCAGCTTCCCAGCATTGGCCCTCAATCACCGGAGTTACTCATCTCATTGGGACAACCATAGGGAGCCAAACCAGCCTCGCCGCATCGAGGCTTTGCCTCTCTTAAGTATATAGCCAGAGTCCATTAAATAGTACAAAAACTAGGACAGGTGACATCCACCATTAATGCATTCTCTTTTGATCCTGTTTATGTATGGCCTCGCCCCTTTTTATCTTAACACTTAGATCAATAAATAACCTAATTATTTATAAAGACTATAAAAATAGAAAAGGAGATTAGTGTATAATGTAGTTCTATGCAGCTCGGCTTCCTTAAACAGCTACACTAATTCAATCGGAATAATCATAACATCTATGCCTCCTAATCCGGCAACTACGTTCCCCCGCTCCCCTACTTTTAATAACTACCCTTATCAAATCCCTATCTAAGCTCAACAACCAGGAGCTTTACCTCGGCAACAATCGTTTCCCGTGCAATACACAGGAACCATACCTTAGCAGCAAGAAACCTTTCCAGGGCACTATGTGACATATCTGGGGCAAAAGAAAGAGTTATACTACGCATAAATGCCGCCTAGGTAACCCAGATGCTTTACGCAAACTCATAATACAAGACTATAACTCCAATTGCCGCTCTTGGTTAATCTCTTGCCCCCGTAGACTGCCCTGGCTGTGGGCAGCGGGCCTTGACTGCAACCAGCTTTAAAATTCTCTTTTGTTTAGATATGTGTTCTTTACCCTTGTGAAAGGGATCCAAGCCTTTTACCCTGCAACCTTAAATAAACATAGTAGTTGGCAACACTACCCAGCAAGTAAATGTCCTAAAAACATGTCGGCTTAGTTGCTTGTAACTGATGGCCATTAGCGGCTGGGCTACTGCTATTTGCTATCTGTTCTGCTTAAGCTGTGTTCTATATCTTATGAACGACCCCAAGAATGTCAACTATTAATATAGATAGGTCCTAATTTCTCCTTGAACTTGATATCTATGTTTTATCTACCGTGACCCAGTGCGGCATCACACTCGCTGCTTGGCACTGCAGCGAACTAATGAGATTTATTTCTAAGAGTAGCTTGATTGAATGCTTAGTAATATACACCAAGGAAGAAGTATGATGAGACGGCAGTCGAATACAGACATCTCTCATGATATCAGTTCACGCAGGTTAGATAGGAAAGTCAAACCGGAGCCCAAAATAGGGATATGGTCCCAGATCTAGTCCCCGCAAGGGACCCTGACAGAGGCATGCGATCCCAAAAATAGGCCTGCTCAGGGCCTCAGCCTAAACTCCAGGTCCCTCAGCCCAACCTCAGCACCAACTCAGCTTAGAGCGGCAGGAACTCAGCTCTGGAAACGGAAATAGACTTTGGTATGCTTAAGTTTCGTCTCCGAGTTTAGTGGCATTTGTAAGTGAATCGGGATTGATGTTTCTCAGCCTTGTCAATTGACTCGGTGAAATTTCAATCCTACCTACACAGCCACGCAAGGCAGATTTGCGAACCACTCACGTCATATCATGCAAGGGGTTCCAACAAATGCCCTCTTCCGACTCATACTTATCAACACCGCGACAACTTTGCTCGAAACCTCAATTGCAACGTCAACATGGCGGATCCCCTGTCAATTATTGGAACAGCGGGAGCTATTGCGAATATTATCGACGTACTCACCAAAACGATCACAACAGTATGTGACATGCGACAAGCCTGGAAAGTCGCCGACCTCAGCGTGTTCGCGTTCGAAAGCCAGCTCAATCTCCTCAAATTTGCACTTTGTGAAATTCAGAAATGGACCGAGTCCAGATCCAACGATCAATCGCATCAATTGGTGATGCAAGTGGACAGCTGCGTAACGTGCTGTCGGCTTCTCATTGGCAAGATTGATGGCCAAGTGTCACAGTTTCAGAAAACGGTAGCCGGAGATCTAGAGCTTGGTTCCAAGCTTTCTTTTCTGTTCAAGACGAAAGACATGGAGCAGATTCAGCGGATGGTGGATCAACAGACACATACACTAACACTTTTGTTAAGTGCATGCAACTCGTGAGTTTGCCAATCTTTGAACGTTCTTTGACTTACCAACATTACCGCAGAAATGCCTTGGAAGAACAAACTAGAATCTTACAGCAGCCTAAATTCATACAGGCTCTGCAGGACATGGATCGAGACACTGCGTCTCTCATTGTTCATCGAGACTCAGATTCCATAGTCACCGCTACATCCGTAAATTCTTCGAGATGGTCGGTTCAGTTCGCGTTTGATCGGGAGCTTTTTATTACCAAAGTATACGAAAAATGGATTCGGAAGCTTGCAACGGCACGGAGGACCAATAGTCACCGCCCAGAAGATAGCACTCAACAAGACCATCAACAAATGTCAAACAACGAGATTGTCTTCACGAGTGCACCTACTGATGAGGAGCAAAATTCCTTTACACATACGCAAACTGCTAAATCAGAACCACCATCTCGGCCATCGTCAAACTTTGGAGAGCGGATGAATTCTTTGACACGTACCGCCCTAGGTATAGAGCTGCAACCTTTGAAACGTGACCGAACTACGAGCGACTTGAGGCTTCAAACTAAGGAGTCCCGACGTATTGACCAGAGCTTGAAAGATGACTCCAAATTGACCCAAGGAGAGGTCAAAGTAGCCATCCTTGGCTCAAAGACTAGGAAGCGAGTCTTTGAAGAGATGAGGTTATCAGCCGGCCACCCGCAATGCTACACAGTTTCACAACTATGCATATTTCGTCCCATAATCCTTGGAGCAGTTTTTGAAAGTGTTCAGTATTTAGCAAAGAAGCTATTGGTCGACGAGGCCATCAGAGAAGATCCGTTGCGGGCGAGCTTGGAGGACGTGCTGCTCGGCGACAAAGAAGAATTGGATCTTGACAATGGGTTTGAACCGTGGATTGTCTAAATATTCCGCACAATAATGGAGCATCCGGCGACCAAGGCCTTAATGGCGGACGAAACCTTCGTGCTTCCAGAGAATGTTGACTAGTATGTTCTTGTGATAACTCTGACCTGCCCCTGCAGTACTGACGATTTTCTCCCAGCCTTTTAAACCAAATCGAAAGGATCGTGCAAGATGACTATATCCCGACAGACTCAGATGCTATAAGTTGTACAACACCACTGCCCGGCTGCGTGGAGGCTGCGTTCAACATGGGCCAGCTCACTATGCGATTGACAGATCCTGGCAACGCGACAGTCAGCCGGACAAAACTATTTTCTCAACTCGAGACGGCAACAGCCGTCATATATGTTTTCGATCTAAACAGCTCATTTAGCGAAGCCTTGATTCAGTATGAATCAACCGTCAATTCACATTGGTTGAGAAATTCAAGTATCATTGTCATCTTCAACAATCTCAAAGGATTCGCCAAGAGACTCGCAGAAGCGCCACTAAGCGATGGATTCCCAGATTATGCAGTAAGAGATGATGCAATAGGTGCAATGAATTATATTCTCTCCAGGATCAAGCCTTTGACCCAGCCTGATCTCCAGTTCTATGCCCATTTCACAAATGGCGTGTATGATGATGGGGACTTGTTGAAGATATGGCGATGCATCCAGGATGGTATCGTCGACCGTGCGTTGAAATCTTTCTTGCCGAGATAAGGGAACAGTATACCGAAACAGCCCCGTGAGGGATAATCTTTTACGAACCAATATCAATTCGCAGTTTTCCAATTGGCTATCCAGTGGCAAGGTGGCAGAATTTAGTATGGGGAAGTTACCTATAAGAACTGCGATAAACGAATCCGACATACTCCACTACACAATGCCACACGATTCCCAAGGCGCCCCCTTACAAGATTCGCCGCCGGTCAATCGAAAAAGGAAATGTTCCGCCGAAATTTTACTCCAAAAGTCTTGTTGGAGCTAGTGTACTTCTCCAAGAAAGCAACCATGAGTGGGGCCAACTCTAAACTATCGGGGCTAGACCAGGCTTCCCCATGGGGTTGATGCTGGCATAAGGTCAACTTCATTATCCTTGGCCAAGTATTAAAGGCTCATGATTCCTCCAGCCTTGAGATCATCTCAACTCATCAGCCCAACAGCTTTCTTCTATCCATTGGTGCTTCTACGACTTCCAATTCACCATGTCTAAAGAATCTCTCAGCAACTCGCCCAGTCATGTCGAGGAGACTGATCCAACGCCCCAAGCAGAGACTGCCATTGAATATGATAGCAATGGCTTGAGTGGTATCGTTCGATCTCCCTATGTTCTGGGAGCTGCTACTCTGGCTTCACTCGGAGGATTCTCCTTCGGTTATGGTAAGTCTCTAGACGAAATCCTCTTTTCCAGCTAACAGTTTATTAGACCAGGGCGTGATTAGCATCATCCTTACCATGAAGCAATTCCATGACCAATTCCCTGAAACAGCCCCTGGCCATCCTCGGTATGGTTTCAATGTTGGTTTCATGACCGGCATGCTCGAACTTGGCGCCTTTGTTGGATGTCTTTTTCTTCCATACCTCGCCGACCGAATCTCTCGAAAGTGGGCTATGACTGTGGCTACTGTCTTCTTTACCATCGGTGCTATCATTCAGACTGCTGCTCATAACTACGGTACACTCGTCGCTGGAAGAGCTATCGGTGGAATCGGCGTAGGGACTCTAGCCATGGGTGCACCTCTGTATATCTCTGAGATCTCCCCTCCGAACTTGCGAGGTTCGCTCCTGGTCCTTGAAGCTCTTTCGTAAGTCAGCATTTAAGGTCGAGTCCTCAGCAGTCTAACATAATACAGTATTGTCATTGGAGCAATCATTTCTTACTGGATTACCTATGGCACAAAGGATATGGCCAGTGAATGGTCCTTCCGACTGCCATTCCTTCTTCAGATGGTATGTCCGGCTTCCACCGACTAGACGACTAATACTGAATTTACATAATAGCCTCCTGCTCTACTAGTCGGTCTCGGCATTCACTTCTTCCCATACTCTCCGAGATGGCTCGTCATGCGCCAACGAGACGACGACTCTCTTCATGCCCTCGCCCAACTCCGACGTGTACCAGCAACCGACGATCGCGTCCAGGCCGAATGGAAAGGAATTCTCACCGAAGTACGGTTCCAGCAGGAGATCCTTTCTCAGGAACACCCCAATGACAGCGGTATCATTCTGGAGCTGAAGCAGTGGGGTGACCTATTCCGACCAAGATGTCTCAAGCGTACTGCGGTTGCGCTTGGAATTCCCTTCTTCCAACAGTTTTCTGGAATCAATGCCTTCGGTAAGCATAGTCCTGGGTTATCTTGGATTAGAGAGTTCTAACGATATCAGTTTACTATGCTCCCACTTTCTTTAAAGCGCTCGGACAGGATGACAACATGGCACTGATTCTATCTGGAATGGTTAACATTTGTCAGCTGGTGAGTTGATATCTGCTACAGTTGGCCTTGTAGCATGCTGACTTTAGAATCATAGGCCGCTGGCATTCCAACCTTCCTCTACCTCGACAAGATGGGCCGCCGCAAGCTTGCCATCTTCGGTGGTGCTGCTATGGCCGTTCCTCATCTCATCATGTCGGGTGTCGTCGGCAAGTTTGATGGGAAGTGGGAAGCCAATCCCGGAATGGGCTGGTTTGGAGTTGCCCTGATCTGTACGTTTTCTCCAGTCAGATCCTTGACTCAAGACTAACATCTTTAGACATCTATGTCCTCTGCTACGCATGCTCATACGGACCATTGGCTTGGACTCTCCCCGCTGAAGTATTCCCCAGCTCCCGCCGAGCAAAGGGTGTTGGAGCCGCTACTGCTATGGTCTGGCTTGCTAACTTTATTATCGGCGTTGTTGTTCCTGAGATGATCATCAAGATCGGCTGGGGTACTTATCTCTTCTTTGGAATCTTCTGCTCTCTTGCTTCTATTTTTTCTTTCTTTCTTGTTCCCGAAACTGCGAACAAGTCTCTTGAGCAAATTTCTCAGCTGTTTGGAGATCATGCTGTTGCGGATGAGGAGGCTGTCTACGAACGCATTCGGCATCAAGTTTGGGCCGGTCATGCTCATGGTGCTGAGCATGCTGAGGTTAAGCAAAGTATTTGAGGATTTATGATATGTACTTAGCTGCATACACCCAATAGTCAACGTTCTATCAAAGTTTGATTGCCTGTAACTATGGCTCCTTATGTCTTGTTGCAATCCGACTCTCATGTGAACGTGTTGAATTGACCATTATGACTAATCTGCATAACATCCTTATGTATAATCCTTCTTACTTTGAGCTTCCAAAAGATTTACATCAATACTGAGACTTGATACTTGTAGAAATTGAGTCATTGATTTGCCTCCACTTATGTTTAAGAGAGCGTGCGCAGTTACCCAAGAATTCTTGTTAGAACTGCAATTCTTGGTTGCGGAGACCTGCAGTGGATCAATCCACTAACTCGACCCCGTTAGGTCATCGGAGACGCTAGAATGCGGGGAAGCAGTGAACTAAAGTCATCCTTACGCCAATTTCACATCCTTGCCCTCAACTCGGCCTGCTCCCCGAGATTTCATTCTTATGCCAACTCCACGCCATTCTCCCTGCAAACCCGGCGAAATTCTTCCTAATCCGTCTCGTGCTTCTTGTAGCTCATCTTCAAACTTCGAATCATCATGAGTTCGGCGCCTCGCACTCGGACTAAGCCTTGCGATCAATGTCGAGGTCTGTCAAAGCCTGCAAGGATACCCTACCCTGACCAAAGCTGACCACAAACAGACAAACATCTGAAGTGTATGGAAGATATTTCATGTCATGGTACACTAGCAACGTCAGGCTAAATATTACAGGTGACAAGGAGACTCCATGCGCCAACTGCAAAAAAGCATCAATCAACTGCGCTCGCGCCAAGAAGTTCCGCATCAAAAAGCTCATCACGACTGAAAACACATTCAAGTTTGATCCAAACCAGACATGGATAGATACATCGAATCAAGGTAAGCCTGATCAATGTTACTGTTTGCAATTAGTCTCACCTAGTTCAACAGAAAAATCAAACAAAATTTCCTTTGTCGACGAAACAAGCTCCGCCTCTCGCCACTCCCGTACAGCCACCGCTGAATCTCCGTCTTCCGAAGATGGACCTCAATCAGAGAGTTTGGATTTTGCTGCTTCTGTCTTACGGTCTTTATCCAAGGGCAGCCAGGTTTTACCCGACGAACAAGAAGCGCCTCTGGTGCAAGCACTCTCAGGACAGTCCCCAGATATTTTTGAGGCATCCCGAAGTCATGAAGATGGAGGCTGTAGTGCGCCTCGAGATCTCTCTCAACTATCAATTTCTGCATCCCCAACTGGTAGACCAAGTCTTTCTGCTAGTCACTTCGGATCGCCGTCCCTTCCCGTACTCTCAACGCAATGGCAGCACTCCTCACCGGATCAGGATGCAAGAATGTATCTGAATCATGGCGGTACTGGGGAAGTTTCACCATTTGGTACAGGCACATACAACGACAATCACCTCTACCAAGCAGATACTCTTCCGTCAATCATGGACCTGGAACTCCATAACCCTACCTCTTTGTTGAGTGCAAGCTCATCTCAATCGCTGAGCCTGGAGGAAGCCTGCCTGGTTCGCTGTTTCGTCGAGAAACTCGCAAGAGCTGTAAGAAATTCTATGTTGTTGTCAAGAAGCAGGTTTGGCTGACCACTTATAGTTCGATACCACCGACAGAGATCATCATTATATCTCAGTTCTTCCTCTCCGAGCCATACATAGCCCTCTGCTTCTCAATGCTATATGCACCGCCTCAGCACGCTTCCTCACACGTGTCTCCTCACTCCAAGATCCGGACAGAATCATCGAATATGCGGGCGTACAGCTTCCAGACCTCAACATGGAATCAGCTATCCACTACCACAATAAGTGCATCTCACATCTGATGGGAGTGTCAGCAGATCCGATCAACTCTTGTAGTGACGATGCTCTGGCTGCCATTACGATACTGAGATATCATGAGCAAGTTGATAGTACGAGACATCTACCCTTCGCTTGATCAAATCTGACACTACTCTAGCACATTTTACCGGTACCGATAACGAGACTTTCTCCGTTGCTGTTCGTGCCGTTTTCCAAGCATCCCAGAACGACGCAGACGGGCTCCTGCACCTAATTCTTCAACCTCCTCGCGGCTCAGATGTCTATGCAACCTCTCTCTCTTCCCTCATGTTCTCGGCATGCCTCATTGCACTTCGCCAAGAAATTTGGTCTGTCCTTATTCATCGCCGTCCATTCCGACTACCAATCTTGCCTGTTGAGAACTATGGCATCTTTGATGATACCTTGGCCGCCGACGATTATGATTGGACTAACCGCGTTCTCATCTGGTGTGCCCACGTTCTCAAATTCTGCTACCCAGATGATGATGACGAACAGCCAATCGATAATCGAACTCGATCCCAACAATGGGAAGCTATCAAAGACTTCCAGAGAAACTGGGACGAGAAACGGCCACCTCATTTCGCGCCTCTCTACTACCGAGAACGCAACCCATCAGAAGGTCGATATTTTCCAGAATACTGGATTACCAGTCCATGTCAAATGCTAGCCCTCCAACACATCGAACTAGCACGTATAGTTCTTGCAGTGCACGATACAAAGATCCAACTCGGCATTGGCGGCAGAGCTGCCCATAAAGCATTGGAAGAGCTGATGCGAGAAGCAACAAGACGTGTTTGCGGTTTGGCTATGTCACAGAAGTGGTGCCAAGAGGGAATGGTAACTGCTGCTGTGGGACTGTCCATGTGTGGCGAGTATTTCCAAGACCCGGGAGAACAGGCTGCAATTATGGAGTTGGTAACGTTGCTTGAGCGTGATCATGCTTGGCCAACCAGCACTTTGTTGAACAAGCTTTGGGATACTTGATTTCAAGTATCACAAGGAGCGTGAATTGAGTTTCATATCGTTGTTCTCTTTCGAGATTCACGATGGCTGCCTGGTTGGTATGCACGGTTGCGTGATACGAATGAGTCATCAGCAGATAGGCATCCAGACCTAAGGCTCCAACTTTCAATCAACATACTTAACATCAAGGCCAAGATACATTCGACCAAATCGAAGTCAGGAAGCGTCTTCAATATGTCTTTCAAAGCCGTGACTTTGCCGAAGTCTTTGTCCGACCCAAATCAGTGGGACAAACTCGTGGACCATTACAAAGAATTCCGACTCCTCTCTCTGCAACTATCCCCAGAGTCTTTCAGCTCAAACTATGCACGCGAAGCGGAGTTTACGAAGGATGTATGGGAAGCCCGCTTGAGTAACCCACTAGCATCTAGTATCATCATCGTGTCCGATCCAGAGCCCGGTTCAGTTGACGACGTCTCGCTGATTCTGAACCAACCATGGCTCGCATCGCTTGTTCTGTATGGCCCACTCGAAGCCAAGACAGCGGCCAAAACATGGGAAGATCTGCAGAAATTCGAACCCGGAAGCACTTATTTTGGTCCGATTGCGGATGAGATTGAGTCTGCTTACGTCCTCAACGCGATTTACGTTCCTCCATCTCAGAGGCGCAAGGGCTTGGCGAATAAGCTGATCGAGTATGCCAAGGAACTTACAGTCAGACAAAATGAGGGCAAAAAAGCTATGCTGGTTCTTCTTGTCAACTTCGACTCTGTCGCGGCTATGAAATGCTACGAGAAGTCGGGATTCGAAGCAGTGCATGATTACTGGTTCGATGATCCTAATACTTCTGGAACGTCTCGAGGTCATGCAGCTGTCATGAGATTGGATATCGGCGGGAATGATTCCTCAAGCTAGAAGAATTCTTTTCGTGGAGCAGATTGTTCTATTTCCTGAGTAGGATACCTGGAATGAAGCTCCAGTTTGGCTATACGAAGTTGAGGAATGCCGAGATAAATTGAATGAAAGATTCGGCGCTATTGAGAATCGCCAAGTGACAATCAATTTTCTAGCCACGTTGGCTTATTCATAGATTGATTATCCATCGTTTAGCGATCGTGTTCAAATATGCCTCGTGTTGGATTGGCACGCAAGCGGTCAGATTAACCTTCGGTACCGCCGGAACCCAACCAGCCACCGATCGTGGCGCTCTCCTTTGCAACGTTGTACCGCGTTTGTGAAAGCGCGGCCTTGATTGGTATTTTTGGATTTTACTACTGCTAGAATACGGCTGTGCCTTGCGTTGAAATGCATCTATTTTGCGATGCTGAGATAGCTTCAATTGAGCCTTCAGAGGATTGCGGAATTGGCCGTTGAGCTAAGAATGATGATGCTCACTGTTGATGGTCTATTGAACGGGAACAAGCGGGGTTGCAACTTGGAGGGACGGTAGCACGGGTATGATGCCAGGATGACCCCGAGCTATTGATCACTAGACCATGAGGCTGAGAATCACCGCTCAACCCACGAAGTCATCGTGCATTTCCCCTCAGTAGCCTTGTCTCGGTGGAACTTGTGATAACCAACGTCCCATCGCAGCAATTCCCAATCGAATGATTGATGCGCGAGTGAATAATTGGGTTGCATGCATACGTCGTGATATCTTCATCAGGAAGGTCTATGCTGATTAAAGCACGAGAACTGCTTAAATCAGCATGTGGAAGCGGGGAAACGAGAAAGTCGATATACGGTCAGACACCATGTCCTGTCGATGATGCCGGGTCCGAGTGGTGTTGCATGCATCAAGGGCCCTGTTCTCCATGAAGATGCATGGCTCAAGCGGGGTACAGCACCTCATGACGGATCAGCTGAGCTTGGCTGCCCACAATGGAAGCTTACTGAGACTCTCGCTTGGCAGAGTCAATGTTCTCATGATGTCAATTGATCGATCGATGAATGATTGTCTATTCAATGACATCAAATCAGTTGGTTCACTACGAGCTCAAATAAAGATCCGCAAGATCTTCAAGTCTCCGAAACAATAGACCTGCAGATTGTCGTTCATCTGTGGAGAGCTGATAACGGATCAGTGGGGGAGCTTTGACATGTTCTCAGCTTAGGCCTCGGTCTAGAGTGTGCCGGGGTCGACATGCAGAGAAGAATGGAGAAGAAGAAAGTCGGTTAGAGCGGCGGGAAAAAAGAAGAACGGGTCATCGTCATCCCTATCGTAACTCTGTTTTACGGATACAGCGGTTTTGCAGCCTCCCATTTTCTTAGCCGCTGTCCTGATAGCGTCTCGTATTTGGGGAGGCTGGCCGTCTAGCCCGGATCCGAAGCCGTATCCGGGCTTTCGCAGTATCATACGAAAATACCACGAGCGGAGCAGAGACAATTAAAACGATTGTTACAATGAGTCAATTGACTTCTGATGACTGACCTGACGTCAGCACAAGGAATTACTCCTCCGCTGACAGTTTCTGCATGCTTTAGTTCAAAGTCCCTGGACGCATATCGCACACAGCCCGCTCACCCACGATATCGAGCTAAGCAGCCCACCACGATCTAGACTCTTGAAAAATGGCCGGTCGGGAGTTCGTATCAGTGGTTGGTAAGACTCGCAAGCCACCCAACTACTGCACCATCCAACGGATCTGGAAAAGCCTCCTGTCTCATAGCAGTTCCCTCCGGCCGTTTTTTTCACTACAGCAACTCACTCACAAACTCTTGGCAGGGTTTTGTCCGTGCTATTGGTGATCTGATGCAAGGGGTGTGGAGATCCATGCCGTTGTTGGCGTATGCGTGGCTTGCGAGCAGGCCAACCCTGGTTGCTTAGTCGACGCTAGCCCTGCAATACGAGACCTGATCACCCATCGTCTGATCGATATAAACCGAGGTTTTGACAGGGGGAGGTTGGGAGCCCTCTTGAGTGCAGAGCAGCAAACTATTAAACCAGCCTTCACCAATTGCGAATTGACTCGAAAGTCATACTTACTATACCAACGTGCGTGAGAACATTAGAAAAAAAATTCATCCTTATTCTTCAAGTTTTTGTATAATTGTACATTACTGACAAGCCATCTGCTGTACCTTGTTACACGACACTAGCAAGAATGTTCTCCAAAGCCATCGCAGCCCTCGCCCTCGCGGCACCTCTTGTCTCAGCCCAAACATTCACAAAGTGTAACCCCATGACAGCCAGTAAGTCTCACCCCTTGTATCCCAACAACTCGGTACACTTGACTTACACAGCATAGCATGTCCTGCCGACCCTGCTTTTGGAAGAGATACTGTTCACTGTGACTTTACAAAGGGCGCTTGTGAAGCTTTTGCAGAGGATGCCGGTACTGCGCTTGAGCACAACGAAAATGGTGCTGTCTTTACAATTTCAGGTCCCAACCAGGCTCCTACAATTGCGACGGGCAAGTACATCTTTTTTGGCCGCGTGGATGTCGAGGTGCAGGCCTCTACGGGTGTAGGCATCTGCACTAGTGCTGTTCTTCAGTCTGATAACCTTGACGAGGTATGTCCACCACCGACTTGTATAGATCATCAACTAACAACCTCAGATTGACTGGGAATGGTTGGGCGGCGACAACGCACAGGTTCAGTCAAATTACTTTAGCAAGGGCGACGTTTCAACATATGATCGTGGTGAATTCCATCCCGTCGCAAACCCAACAGGCCAATTCCATCTCTACTCCATCGAGTGGACACCCTCCGCCATCAACTGGATGATCGACGACGTTGTCGTCCGAACTCTGCCCTATACCGATGCCACGGGCCCCAATGGCTATCCCCAAACCCCCATGCAGATCAAGCTCGGAACATGGACCGCTGGTTCTCCCGATGCTGCTCCTGGTACCATCGCCTGGGCCGGTGGTCTGGCCGACTACTCCCAGGGTCCCTTCAACGCTTACTACAAGAGCATCTCCATTGTCGACTACGCAGGTACCGATGCTCCCACGACTAGTAGCGTGCGAGAGTACCTCTTTGGCGATCACTCTGGATCTTGGAAGAGCATTCAGCAGATCAAGTAAGACGTGGTGATGATTCAAAATGCATGAAAGAGATGGGACTTTAATGAGGGTTTAATGAAAGAGGGGGGATACCACGGTTTATGAGCATTGCAGCATTTAATAGACGATAAACATAATTACGATCACTTCGAAAACTTCCTAACTTTCTTTATCTTTCCTGTTTCTTGTGACTGTCCTCTGATCATCTGATCATCTATGATCCAGACTGTGCGGAGGATGGCGACCCATCCGTTATGTGGGGCCGATCGAGGCATCATATCTTGACTTTCGAAATCCGAATACTCGAGCTGGGAAGCCAGTTAAATTCTCTACTTCGTTGTTTTATACTGTTACTGGTTTGTTGTCATGGTTTCCAACCTCCATCTCCGAGACTGACGTCCAAGCTCTACCCTGCCAGGGAGGCGAGAAAACTTGGGACCTTACCCTAAATGATGAAAAGACTTAGCTAACCTTAGGCAAGACTCAGTAAACTACAAGCCCAATTACTTTTAACACCTAAGGAGTCAGAAGTTTTCTTGTTCCTTGAGGTTTGCACAACACAACATCAATCATCCGCATATCAGAACGTCAAGTTTTCACGAGAGATTGGAGCTTTTTTACAACTTCCACTGCTTTAAAGGAACTTTATCTGAGATAATGCAAAAAAAGAAATGCTTCTCAGTCGTGCAGAGAGCAAAAGAGTGGTTCCGCCCGGGATCGAACCGGGGACCTTCTCGGTGTTAACGAGATGCCATAACCAACTAGACCACGGAACCGGTCTGTGATTGGATGATTGGTGCAGCGCCAGATGGGTGTCAAGTCACTACCAGTCTCATCTTGGTGGTGTGTTGTTTGAGGGAGCCTCTAACTTCAGGCTCGTGTCCAAGCTCTTGAGTCAGTTTCGTGACTGGTGTTTCTGCGTCTTCTTTAGTTGGTCATAGATAGAATCAAAGTGGCTAAAGAGACGCGAGAGTGATAGGGTCTTCCAGAAAATCAAAACCTTGCTCGTGGATATCAGTTTGTTCAAACACCGAAGCAAGTAGAAAGATATGCAAAGTTCCAACAGTTACTCCTTGGCATCGTGACGACAATGATTTCCATGGAAGCGAACTCGGGTTGATCCTGAGCAACAGGCAGAAGCTAGCCCGATGTCGCTCAACGTCGCTTGTGTAACAATAGGTAGTGGATCTGCTCCGAACCATCGACCCAGCGGCAAAGGGACACGGATTGATGTAATGGTAGAATTGATAGGCTCCCCGAGAGACCATTCATCTGTGTGTGGCCCCACTCGCTTCTACTTCTTCTGATCCACTCACTTATCTTGACGCGCTCTGAATGCTTCATCTTTGCTTTTTACTTGCGTCCTGTGGCACGGAAATCTAACTCTCACTGTTTTCTACCTACCTATGTTCTGTTTTGCTCAACATTCCCTTTGTCAAGTCGTACTATCGCCAAATATTTCTTCCATTCAGTGCAGGCTCTGAGGCAACGCATAGTGTCTGTCGTTGATGACCTGTGGCTGAGAGCATATAATCACCTCACTGAGCTTGTTGGTGAGTCTTATGCGAACTCAATAAGACACCTTGACTGACGTCTTTGGGAGTGTTTTCAGCGAAGCGCCAGTACGGAACAAGAAACTCAGCGTTCGTCTCGCAATTTGTTTGCCTCCATCTCTGAGGATTCGTGCCAATCAAAGCTGCTCGTAACAAAACAAAGATCCTCTCCGACGAAAGACGTAAAGTCTTGCACAAAACACTCCAAAGAAAATGTCTTCGCCCTCTCCAGACCAGCAGGATATAGAGTCCGTCTCCTCCGTCGACAGCTTTGACCCAGCTCCCACTCTGGCCTTCAAGAAAATTACCAGAGAAGAGGCGCTAGAGCAAACCAGCGAGCATATAGGCAAGATGTGCAAGTCGAAGTTTCTCGACAAACTCTTGAAGCCAGCAGTATCGAAGTGGCTGACCGAACCCACTCTTCGCGTTCTGGCTCCATTATTCTGCCAACTATTAATCTATTACTCTGCTAAAGCTCACGTAGTCAAGTTTGTGCTCTATATCGGCATCTGATGCTACAAAGTGACAAGTTCAATACACATGAGAGCGAGACCATAGTACCCAAGGTCAATGTTAATGCTCAATCAAATCACATCACATACCACGGGGACATTCTAAACGATTGAGCCATGTGTCACCTAACCATGGTGTGTATTGTAGTATTAGAAGAAAAAGATAAGACCCCCATCTCACTCCTATTCTTCCTCCACGGGAAGCGCCTCCTCTGAGGCCTCTGTCGCCTTGATCTCTTCCTCCTTGACCTCTTCCTCCTTGCCCTTGCCCCTGTCCTTGATCTTGTTCTTAACGACGACGCGAGCAACCCGGCCGCTATCATGAAGTCCTTTGTAGAACTTGCGCAGCTCAGGGGCCTTGATGATGGCCTTGGCACCACCAATGGTGATGACCTCGAAGGTAGGCTCCTTCTCCTTGCCCTTCTTGCCCTTCTTCTCAACGACCTTGGGAACAGCATCGGCAACATGGATGTTACCGACCAGAACGAGCCCACTCTTTGCTCGGGTGAGCATGACATTGAGTCGTTGCGGGTCAGCCGTGAAGCCAGGACCCGAGGCTTCGTCTGTACCAACAACTGCAACAACGAGGTCGTTCTCTTGGCCCTGGGACGAGTCGATGGTTGCAGCCCTAGGCAGCTTTTCCAAAGCAGTCGCATACTTAGACCGTCTTCGTACCCCGTTGATGAGGTTAACGTTGGCCGGGTATGGGGCGATTACCGAGATGCGGGCGGGATCGATCTTCTTGTCGACGACCAAATCCAGGATGAAGTCCAGGGCAACTTCGACCTGACCAAAGCTCCACTTGGCCCCGGACGTCATGTCCCTGATGACCCTTGCGCCTTCGCAATGGATGAAGATGGGCGTTAGGGTGCCCGATGCTGAAGCGGCGAGGTCTGGGTACCGGGCCCGCGTAAAAGACTCAAGATCATGACCGATCTTGAACTCGGAGAAGGTGATGCTCCGCGACTCGTCGTACACGAACGGGACATCAGGATAAATGACACTTGAGACGGTGTCAAACATGCCCTGGGCCATGCGAAGCTGCATCTTGAGCCGGTATGTTGGTATACCGGAACCTTGGAGGTACTCAAGAGCCGAGATCTTGCCATCAAGGCCAAACCGGTTGATAAACTCCGGCGGGCTGTTCTTGTCCTTCTTGGGCCAGGTATCGTTCAGCATTATGACCGCGGGCGGGAGTTGCTTAGGGTCGCCAAATACGAAACAAGGCGACAGGGTATTGCCCCAGACACAGAGGAGGTCGGCTCTCGTCATATTGGCTGCTTCGTCGACCGCAACAGCGCCTGCCCTCAGCTTGAACCCGTGGACACGCTTATCGTTCTCCGAGGCGGCAGGCGTTGCACAGAGGATATCGGCAACACGTGGGAAGTCCTTGAGATAGCCGTTGGCCGACTCCATACAGTCGCTAAATTCCTTGCTCCTTAAGAAGTCCTTCCAGGACATCTCTCTTGTTGCGACAGCCCGGAGAGCAAAGAGGCCGTCGTCCTTGTCGATAGCCTGCTGCCAGCGATGCAGGATTGCGGCATCGTCTTGATGGAGGGGCCTGACCGCAGGCGAACGAAGCAGGATAAGGAGCCAGTAGGTGCTCGACTGCTGTAGTCTCCAAGGAGACAGACGGCGTCCTTTTAGGACGGGAGCTGCACCATCACCCAGCGAGGTATCCTCCAGAATGGAACGGAAGGCTTCCTCCTCGTGCTTGTCCTTGTAGCAACGAACAACCAGCCGACGACGGACGCGCTCAGTTGGGCCGCCGACCTGCTTGCCTACATTGCATCGCTCGGTAACTGCACGACTTCGTAGGTCGATTCGGACAGCGACGTTGTTGACAGCGACGTTCGTGGGCGCTGAGCAGAAGACTCGGCCGTACTGCGACTGCATTGCAAGGATAGCAGCAGCTCCAGCGGTGGTCTTGCCAAAACCTGGGCCCTAATTGTTACATTAGCTCTCTGACAATGATTGAGTTGATTTGAGCGTAACTACTTACGGCGGTGATGATGCCAAGACCAAGAGGGCGGTTCTCGAGATAATAGCGGAAACGATCTCGATCTTGGGGAAGTGCCTCGTCGACGATGGCGTTGGCATAAGCCTCATCGGCATCCTCCAAGAAGTTGACGACCGGTAGCGAACGCAGAGTTGGCGCAGCGTCCTCAATTGTCATAGCCTCTAGAGCCTCTTCGATCGGCCGAGGAGCAGGCTTGGACATCCACTCGTAGAATCCCTCGCCACGGAGGAGGGCGCGGTGCAAGGCCATCCAGTCGCGCACTTGGGAGAGGACGAACTTCTGCTGGTCTGTCATATCCTTCTCGTCCATCATGGACTTCGTGTTATCGGGATCGCAGGGCAGACCGAACTCAGCGAAGTTGGTAGGATCGGCAGAGGGCAGGAAGAGGTTGGCAGCCATCACCTTTCGCTTATGATCCTTAAGGATCGGGTCAAACTGGATAGTGATGCAATTCTATTGCTTACTGTCCTCCTTGTACGCCTTGTTGGCAGCAGCTCGATCACCGAAACTCTTGATGACATAAGAGGGATCGGCCTCCTTCTCGAAAGGCGGTCGGTAGACACGAACGACCAACTCGAAAGCCTCTGTAGGATGATCATTGAGCTCCGGTATGCCGTTGGGGCGTGACATGATCTTTCCTTCCCTGTGAATTGTAAGTCTTGGGAAGCTGAATGTTGCAATAGGATACATACCAGACATCGTGATGGGCTTCATTCTCCGGCGAGTTGAAGAGGCGGATTTTGGGGAACTCGTCCTTCGACAGACGACGCCATGCAGCGTCGATACTCTTGCGAGTCTCCATGGTCATAGCGATGATGACGAGAAAGGAGGAAGACCTCTCAATGTTACCATTAGGAGGGGTAACGAAGTATGCTGGAAGCCGCATCTCGGCGATCTAATCTCAGGTCAGCATGGAATATCAATCATAGTAAGCAACATACCTCCTCGCGTCTGTCATTGAGCCACATAACATCCTGCGCAGTGCCCTGTACGACAGCCGTGACGTGGCTGAGGTCATTCGGGTGCCTGTACTGCGGTTAGTATGCGGGTAGAATCTGCTGAATTATATACATACCAGAATTGACCCCCGAACTGGCGGCCTTTGATCGACCTCGCCTCCTGACCCAAGCGATTCTCGTCCCAGGACTGATCTTCGCTGTACGGATAGCGGAAGACAGGACCCAACGTCTCAACACCGAAAGCCTCAACAACATCACTTGGTCGCTGTGGCACAAGGAACGTGAATGTGTCCTGGCGGAGGAAACTCTGCAGGTCGACACCGTCGGCGATCGGCATGTTATCGTTGACCCATCCGTTTACCTCAGCATCGGAGCTAAGGAAGGGGACACCAAAGCCGACGATCGTTGCCGCAGTCTTGGTGCTAACCGTGACGAGAGACTGCTTGTGGTTCTTGTTGCGCCCTGGGAATCTCGCGAGAAGCGACTCGGAAGCGTCTTCAGCACTCAACTTCAGGCCATCACGAGGGAATTTGACCCAGATAGAGTGCACATCGGAGGCCACGGGGCGACGATATTGGAAATCAACTGGAAATCCGTTAGTGAATACAAGTAATACGGAATAATTCCTCCATACCAGCGTGTTTGACACCAAAGCCCAGGTTCTCGTTGTCGATTTGGCCCTGACCGATTGGGAAAGTGACTTCAAAGCCAAGCCAACTGCTTTCGTCTTCTCGTCTTACTGCAAAGAACTTGGCGCCGAGCTTGCGCGATGTGCCATATGTCTTATTGCTGCTTGCGATGACAGACCCAAGGAGACCGGAGCTGCTCAGTTTTGTCGTTAGTAAATCAATTAGAACTTCTCATTTATTAGAGTGAGGACTTACAACACGACGCACTCCTTTGAGGAGGAGCGGAGGGGAGCGGGAGCAGGAGTGGGAGAGGGAATGGAAGTCTTTCCCTTCTTCTGGCCTGAGGCCGAAGATCCAACCTTCTGTTGCTGTGACATGGCGACTGATGGTGGTGGTGATGGTGGTGGTGATGGTGGTGGTGATGGTGGTGGTGATGGTGGTGGTGGTGGTGATGGTGGTGGTGGTGATGGTGGAGGAGGTTGATGGTGGTAGTGAAGGTAAGGGAGAGCTTCAGAATGGACAGGACCGAGTACAGAACGGTGCTCTAGGAGCTATCGTGACAAGGAATCCTAAACCAAATCTTCAGTCACCGAAAACCGTTCACTGGCAGCTCTACGCTTGCCGTCCCGGCTTCTTCTACAACAACGGCACTTCGGTTTCAACCTAAGGCGTGTGTACCGAAGCACGACAGAACGGTCCTCTAGGAGCTACCGTCACCAGGGGATCCACGTCAGCGAAGCAGTGCAAAATCCACCGTTCTGACTAGTTTCGAGCTTGACCACGCCGGACGAAAAGAGAGCAGGATGATAGACACAAGGCCTATCGCGAGAAAGAAGCTGGATCGTCGTTGTCACCGCACGCAGTGACTGTCTACAGAAAGGTTGGATGCTGAAGAGAAGAAAAAGAAAAGAGAGAAAACGCGAGAGGCACAGAAGATATATCATGCCAAAGCGGGGTATAGCTTAGCGCGCTTCTATTGTTTACTTTACGTGACTCACGTGTTGTGATTCATGTGTGCATATCTGATATTGTTTGCCGGCTGCCTGGCACTGGCAGCTCGTCAATCAACCTCGCATTGCTTCTGTGTATAGAAACATCCTGTTGCACTGGGGGCCGCTACGCTCTTAGACTCTAGGTTCTTATCTCAGATGGAAATTGTCTCTCGATTTACCACAATCAGGCAAATGCCAAACTCAACTCAGACTTGTTGTGATCAATTAGCTCTTTTCAAATTTAATCGAATTTGAATCAAAAGACACCGAGTTTGCTCGAGTAAATGACAAGATCTTGGAATTTCATTTGACTTTTGCTTGTTGTGTTTGTTTCAGTTTCCCTTAGTTGAAAGCTCAAATCTCAAGCTCTAGTCTCAACCTGAATAGCTAACTCTCTCTTCACAGTATCCGAAATGTGTTTAGTGCTAGAAGGATATGGCTCCAATATTTGTGTCTCATTCCATGTCGATGTTTGGACAAGAGCAAAGTCATGTGATTTAAATCAAGTTCACAAATCTTTCTCAAGTTGCTAGGCCACATTACAGTCACAAGTAATCACTCGGACTGCCATGCGAGTTGTCAGTACTCCTCCCTAGGTGTACTCTGAAGCTATATGGTCAAATCAGTAGCAACACGACAAAATTTGTAAGAAGCAAAAGTAAAAATCAAACACTCCCCAGGACGGGCCTCGCTAGTATCAACGCCACACCCCAGTTCACTCTACAATAGACCTCTCTGCTAAGGGGCTTATAGGTTGTCGGTATGTTGACCCATCACACCAACTGGGGTTTCATTGTTACATACGAGATTGATATGGTATGCTATCTTCCCTGTCTCTCTATGGTCTCATATGCACACAGTCATGGACATTGCACAATCTCACTTCTCTTGCAGCTTCTGATGCTTGGACTATGGAAAAGTATCAGGTTGTTGGAAACGTCAAGAACATTTGTATTTTATCACTATATTGATAATATGTCATTATATCAGGGGCAACGTCTGTCTGCCTATTATATTATGTTCTTGCTTATGTTAACAAATCAATTTGACACTTTATGCGACTTCGCATGGACTGGACCAAAAAAGATGGCATGTTGAGTCGCTAACACAAATTGGTCAGGCTTGGTATAATGTCTAAGTTGCGAGCCAGATGTGTTATTTGCAGTAAGGACTTGTGGCTGAGAGCTTATATCAGCACAGAGAACTTAGAGTTGCAACCACTACAAAACTAGCCTCTACCAGGATTCACTTGCATGCAATCCCAAGACCCGAGGGAGTCATGAATCGTGACCTTCGTGGACTTTGCTCCGGGCTCCATACTAATATCGGTGGTAGGTGGCCGCAGACCAGTCGTTGTAGAGGAGCCTCAACTGTCTATTACTGAGTATTTTGGGCAGGGTTACTTCTCTGCTCTATTCAGTTTGCTCGCTGGATTGATCTTCGTAGGCGAAAGAGCTCCTCGCTTCGACGAGCTCATCGATGTTCGAATGTTGCAAGATACCTTGAACGGCAGGGCCTCGGGATGCTTGAGTCTGTGGATTATCTGGGATGAAGGATGCTTTTATGTCGGGGTCAACTTTGATCATTGCGCTTTGATCTTGAGTCGAAGCAGTAGTCTGGATCAGGTTGTTCTCGTTGCCACTCTGTCGACAGGGACATGTGTTTCAAAGATTCCTGAACCATGGCTCAATGCACAGTCACTGAGCGTGATAACTTAGTGTGCTCCTTCCTCAGCCTTAATGGTGGCCAATTTTGACAAGATCCACTAGTCTACTCTGTCAATGACTCCTCGTTTTGTCAATACCGCGAGAACTCCTCTGACTCATATCAAAGTCAAGACCCTCGGACACCACCTGTTCACAAGGGAAAGCGAGCTCCGCTGTCAGTGGGATGGATGAGCTCTTTTCATAGCTTTGGGACCGAGATACGTAGGATTCAGGTCGCTCTAAAGGAGTGTGGCAGGTAATCGATTTGTCCTGTTGGCCAAGACTTGAAGGCGGTTTGGATGAAGAGAGCTTCGCTATCTCAAATCGGTGGAAAGGATAAACCTTTTCAGATTGCTTTGGGGCAAGGAGGAGCCGGATCCTTGTAAATGAATTTGCCAGGCAATCGATATGCGCTGGCAATGTTAACGTGGGGAAGTGGCTTGCGAAGTCGGTTTGCTCGAGGCTCTTCGGGTGGCTTTGGGACTGGGACGAGGAGCCAGATCGTTGTACAAGAGCTTGTCAGGTAATCGATTTGCACTATAGGCCAAGCTTTTATCTATTCTGCGTTGTTTGATGACAGTGCCTTTCTCGTGTCCGCTTACTCCTTGCCTTCCCTCTTGTATTCATCGGCAGACCATTCAAAGCGTTCATCCTGTCAATATTGCCATCATGACCCAGGGCATGGAGTATAGATAAATTTTAAAGCATCAAAGCAACTCTAAGTGATCAGGCTACACATCTATTTATTTATTGGGGTATAAACTTAAGCGGCTGCCAGTATTTCTGTCGCTTCAGCACCAATTCTCTCATTCCACTGTAGAAAAGACATCTTACCTAAGAATTATCCCAGAAGGAATTCACGAATCAACCAAAAGCGCCACCTATACAAATAAAATTGAATTTAGAGCATAGCAACAGTCGAGAAGTTAATCTCGAGTTGATGTAACATATGAAGACAGCCTTCTGCACTCGATGATTTGGAAGCATCATTCTGGCCAGGCTGTTGACAGACTGGAAAACCTTTTGTTCAGCGTTCTACGTAGGCCAAGTATTACTTCTTGGCTATATCATCTGTGCAAAACGGTTCTCAAAACTCAATTCAGGCAACATATCAGCCGTAGTTACGCGATGCTCGATGATTTTGGCACTTCAGGGGCGCTTGGTTGACTTCATCTAATTGTTGGCATCTTAATGAAGTATGAACCAGGATCTGATTCACGGCTGCAATATGCGACTCATCGTTATCGAAGGAGTAAGTCACGAGGAACTGATACCATTGACCTCCTTAAGCTGCTTCAAGTACTTGCCCTCTCCCAAGAAGTAGTTTACGCCATAATCGTAAGCAAACCTGGGCACCAAGCTCTCCACGCTCCATTGCCTCATCAGCGCTTCATCAGGAAAGGCAACAAGCAAGGTAATGCACAGAACTCTTAGGGGACCGGTTTAAAGGATGCGACCCTGGTTAGGCAAAAGTGGTGCAGCACCAGTAGGAGGAAGACCACCGGCAACATTCTGGTGATAATATCCAGGAGTATCACATCATCGATGATCGGGGCCCAATATGGACACTTGACTACTTCTGGCACCGTTCGCAAGCTTGGTGTCACTCCAACTCGTAGGACATTCGATCTTGGGGCACTTGGTGGTATCCTCATCGCTTGCACCTGTAGGTGTCGCCGTTCTGGTCACTTGAAAAAGAAAAACATCATCCTCGGGGTCTGAAGCCTGAATGTGGAGAATGGCGTTATGGCGGCCTTGATGTAATTGTGCTCGGGCTTGTGGTAGAGAATATCTCACAGGACTTTTGACCAGGGACGGCGAGCAGGGGCGTGCGTGTTGTTAAAGTGCTTTTGGAACTTTCAACCGTTACGAGTAGCAGATATGACAATTTCGAGGTCTAGGCGGCATGTAAAAATCTGCTTTAGCAGAGCCATGAGGATGTCGGTCGCGAGAGTACGTTCATGAGCCTCATTATGAATAATACAGCTGTAGCAAGACATTTCCTGGTCGTGCAGGCCCTGAGTCGGCCAGGGCTCACGGCAGCATCTGGTTGATTTCTCGACTGTCCGTCGAGGTGGTTAGTAATTGAAATCAGGGAAGATATCAACTCTACTTACTCGGATCACACTTGACGAAGCCATTGTCCTTACTCGAAGTAGGAAACGAAAGGTCGATAAAGAACCCGATATATGATTCTTGGTCGGGCGCTCTCATATCGACCAACTGCATGGAGACATTTTCCGAGGAGATGCCTAGATCCTGGCCACCAAAGAAATTATCAACTGCTTCCAGGGCGCAAATTAGTCTGAGTTTGGCGGAGGTTGTCGTTTGAGATATAATATGATGTTTAATGACAAGCAGAGGGGAGGTGATGGAGGGGAGTGGATCGCTTTGAGGCTTTCTACTACCGACCGAACGGGGGTAGGCTGATAAAGTGAGACAGTGCAGGGCCATGAGGATACCGGTAACCGATCGGATGTGAATCGTTGAGGGATACTAGCACAACCGGATAGACATAGTCTCTTGCAGCCGCATGTGGAACTGCCCTTGATGTTGGTGTCGTAGGTATGAGTGCTGCCGAGATCTTCGTCGTTATCGAAGAAGGTGTACTCAAGCTGATCTTCCTCGAGCTCTTCGGTGATGTTGTCGTGGAGCTCCAGGTACATGGACCACTCGGGTAATTCTTCCTTTTTCTCGTTGCTGGCTATATTAAATGGAGTCTCGGTCGCGTTCAGAGAGCGTTTCTGAAGCTGTTAGGAGCTGGGCTTTTGCCGCGATGGTGTCGCTGGTGCTGGTGCTGGTGGGAAAGATGGGGTCTTCAGACTGTCTAGGGACCGGGTGGAAAGATGCGGTCTTCTGATTGTTTAGTTAGTAAACTTTAATAGTAGTATAGTATTCAGAGCGCTCATCTCACTGGTTTCTTGCTCTATGGAGGCTAAGCTTAAAGGTCACCCTAAAATCGGGTATAGGCTGCCGGGACCGAGTGGAGATGGGTGTTGTTGGAGATAAGGGTGGGTGATGATGAAAAGAAGGAGAGCTTTGGCTTGTATCTGGACATGGTTTATGGCTTTGCTGTATGAACGGCGAGGTTATCAAGAGAGGCATAGAGGGACGAATGAGAGAAGTCCAAGATAAAATGTTGATGTTGGGGTGGGGGTGGGGTTAAGAAATACAGGATTCCGGATTGGAGATCCTGTGGCCTGTGTGGATTGACTCAATCTAATCTCTTGCTTGTTCTGCCGATCCTTGCGGGAGGGGGTTCAACTGCTGTCTACTGGCGAGGGGTGAGCAAGTGGCATTTTTGGGTATTTCCCTTTATATTAATTCTCGAGATTCCATTTTGCAGTTAGCATGGTATTGGTAGGAGTGGATTGAGGTAAGGCTAAGTTCTCTGTGCTGATTTAAGCTCTCAGCCACAAGTCTCAATTGCAAATAACACATCTAAGGTAAGGCATGTAATTAAGCATTAACTGTTGGCTATATTAGCTTTAACGTGGAGGGAGGTCTGTTAAATTCCAGGATCGTGCAGCGATTCGAACATCAGCCCCATGGTCTCTACCGTCATCTTTGAGAAGATTGACAGACTGGTGAGTCAAACCGGTTGCATTAGCCACTAGTACTCAGATTTCTCCTGTGGCTCCTATCTCATCGGTGGCCGAGTGCAGGGATACCATCGCATCCCAGAAACCTTCGCCGCGTGGAATACTTTCAAAGTCTCTCGACCAATGCCTCGTGGTCGCGTTTTATTGCTGTTGGGTCGCTCAAGTAGTGTCTTACTCCACTTTTATCAACGACAGGAGACAGGTGAATAACGCCCACAGCCCCCCACTTCAACCTCAGTCTCAAACCCATTCAGAATTTTCTTCCTCTCCTTGCAAATCTCAAAAACATTAACGTTTATAATCGCAATACTATAAGTAATCATTTAATCCAATCCCTCTAAAATTTCTAACCACGCCAGTTATCCATCTCTAGTCGCCAAGCTATCAGCGCCGCCACACAGGCAGGCCTAGAGAAGCATATTAAGCATACTATAAAAAAACTATCACTAAACATAAGACAAAGATAAGAATACTTTAACACCTATAGTCATTATAAGGATATTTAGAAGATTTGCCTTCGGCGCTTAAGAAAGCCCTTATAAGAATAGAGGTTAAGGATATCTTGCACCACGACGACTAGAAATATCTGAGAAACGAAATCACAGACATAAAACTATATACCGCGGTTTTAAAGTAAGCGGGCTTTATAGCAACAACGCGATAACGCGACACGCCGGTGGCCGCATAAGGCAGCGAAGCAAGCGGACTTCATAGCGACAACGCCGATGGCCGCATAAGGCCGTATGAAATGAGAAACAGCGACGGACCAAGCAAGAGGAAGATAGGTGCATGGTTGGCCATATGAAATGTGATACTTATCCTAGATTCCTACCCTCGTGCAGTCTCTTCGTGGTGACATGTAAGCTCTCCAGAACACAGAGCGTCACTTGGAGTTTTCATTCTCCTAGGAGGGGGTGCATCGTGTAGATCCTCCACTAAGATGAACTGAAGTGAAACACAATAAAGACTTTGGTAAAAGCTCCCTCATGTTCTCCTAAGTTCATCTCAAGTTAGAAAAAACCTATCTAACATAGCATAAAGCAGCACTAAAACTAACTTAATTGGGAGGATTCCGTCGTGCTTGTTCTTCTTCTTCTTTTCTTTCTTGCCCTTGCCTGGCTTTCGATTACCATTCTTACCGGTTCCTTCGGTAGTACCGCGTGCCTCAGCTGCATTAGCATCGTTTATAGTATTATTAGATATATACTTCTGAGTTAGTGCATATATAGAATACTTTCGACTTATTAGCAGGGCAACTATAAAATAAGAAGCACCTATAAGGCAAGGCTGTTACTTAGGTACCCCTACTATTGAAGTCAGAAATAAGAACATGCGATTCTTTTAACGTAATAAGGCTTATATTCGTTGCGCTAGATTATTACTTAACTAGCCGGTGTTTTCGGGAAGGTTATTTGCATATATGGTAGGCCTGTCTTTTGAAGTTTGGGTTTCCAGATTAGTATTTGTGTAGGATCAAGGTTTGCGCTAGAGGACTTATGCGCCAAAGCGGAATTAAGAATTATAAGTTCACGGATTTACCATAAAGAACAAGGAAATAATATATAAGTAGAGGTGGCAAGTATTATAAAGAGAGAGGCAAGAAGGGAGAGAAAAGTGCAAAGGCCTGTGTTATTAAGGAAGGAGCTATAGTGCTGTAAATCTTTGCCTTTAGATGTTGGCGACCTGAAGTAAGAGAATATCTAGCTATAGGTTAAAAAAGGGGCCAAGAGTAGAGACTATCTAATCTAAAGGTCTACGAAATCTACACTAGGTTCACATAAGTTTAGATAAAATTTACCTAAGCAATTATATAACTTATAATTAAGGTTAAAAGTATTCTTGCTATCCCCTAACTAGGCAACACGTTGGTATATGTTTTATTTCGAAGCTCTAAAATGCCGTTGGTAGGTCGGGCCGGTTTGATGGTACAGCAGATGCCGCCAAGGACAGGTTGCTCGATTTCAGGAGCATTGTGGCTTCGCAGGCCCTTAGAGTCGTAGTATTCTCTTGCTTCCGACTCTTCCCATGGTCCTATTAACATTGTAACGCTCAAATATTCTTGACACACAAGGCTTCTAACCAAGTGTCAGGCATAGACTCCCTGGGAGGCACTGGATTCGTGGTTGCCGCCTGTTGCGGTCGTTGCATCCGATTATTGCTCAGCTTTCCGTTGTTCCTTGTCCTGTGCCCCAGGCTAAGAATATTGTTATTAGCTGGTGGTGCAGTGCGGCAGGTTTGGGCTGACCTGTCGACTCTCAAGTTGGTAACCGTCTGTCAGGCGATGCATCGCGGCAAGTTCGGCCTCATAAGTGTTGGAAAACGTATCCTATGCAATGAAGATGTTTTTCTGATATGTTTGGTCCAAGGTTAGGCTTTCAAAATTATCGAATGTCGAGGCTGCTTTCATTTGTGACTGACCTGCCAACTCAGATATTCTGGGACATGAGTCATATGATAAGTCTGTTGCTGTTCCCTGGCCCTGTGTCCAGGCGTAGACTCCTTGAGGCTGATTATTGCTCGGTTTCTCACTGTTTTTCATCTTGTACGGCCGCCTAAACCTGCCTCAAGTTAGAAAAATACTCTTCTAAGTTAATAATATCGTAAGGCTAAAACCAACCTAAATGAGGATTCAATCATGCTTCAAAGCTCTCCTGGATTAATGAAGTCCATGAAAGAACTCCTGTCGGAGTAGACCCGTGAAGCTTTCCTCGCAGTTCTAGATTCGTCTTGGTGGAGAAGATGTAGATTTTTGTTGTGAAAGGTATTGACAGTAGGCAAGGAAGTGAAAGATGTGTGTTAAGTGCATGGACATGAGGAAGATGTGATGGAGAAAATGCGTAATGGTCTAGTGTGGGCAGTCGCGAGGAAACTAATGTCAGAGTTAGTGCTGTTATCAATAGAAGGGGCTGATCACCTCCGAATGAAGTCGGATGGCATTACATAAGTGACGTATTGATGGGACCATATCTTCAGCGATCGATTTAGATGTAAAGCATGAAAAGGGATGCAAACTCGATGAAGAGTGGTAGTTGTTGTCTTGGATGCCGATGTAGTAAAATAAAGCTGGAGTACTTGAGAAAAGCGAGGTTGCGGCTAAACCAAGGTAAAATGCGCGCACTTCCCGTGTTGTACAAAGCGCAGATTATTCACAACAAGGGCTGCTCACAGCGGAACGAGGGCTTATGTAGGTAAACTTAGTCTAAGCTTGTGCAAATTTAGTGTAGATTTAGTTGACCTGTCAGTCCATGGCCAGAAGTCCTCCTGCTTCTCGGGTCGCCAACATCTAAAGCGCCGTGGTTCTACAGCAACAGCAACGGCACATCTCATCAGTCGCGACAAGTACGAGCCCCATAAAACTCTCTCTAAGCTTAGGTTAAGATTATTCTAAATTACTCTAAAATCCTCAAATATTAGAAAAGCATTATCTATAACTATAAGAGCAGCATAATATTCTCTTGATTCTGACTGATGCTTTCTGTAGTCAGGGTAAGTGCGAGGATAGGCTGTCCAACACACATTTGCTCATCGCTGACAGCAAGCCTGATCGGAAACCTTGATTCATGAACCTAAGAAAGATAATCTTTAGCTGAGTTTATGATAAACTTCAGGCAATTCTTATATACCTGATCTAAATATTGCATAAGACGTAAACATTCGCGTTGACAGTATAGATGCCTAGATCTTCGATGCCCTCGGTTGATTGGCATTGTTGTGTTTAAGCTGGAAGCAATATCGATAAACCGGACTATTAATCGCTCCCCGTCCCTTGGCCCTTCCCAGAAGGCTAAGACGCAGCTGCTCAGAATAAGGTCTTATCTCAAGCCCTTTCTTCAGGGCATCGCATGCATCGTCACCTTTCACGAAAGGGCAGGTCTAGGTGGGTCAGCCGCCAGAAAAGCCGGTGCGTCGGTGAAGGGTCTCAGGTAGAGCCAGACTTACTCAATAACGTATCCATAGGCGCTAGGTGTTTGCATACTTCCATGCCTCGGATCTTGTGGTTGATCTCAGCGTTGGTGGTCTCAGCCTGGAGAGTGAAAGTCTGTCGGTGAAGGATCTCTGGTAAAGAAATGATTTCATTAATTAGGTTACGCTGGTTAACCCAACTGTCCACAGTCTCATTCACCCTATGAAGGGGAGGACCAAAGTCAAACCTGGCGAGCGTGGTGCTTGGCCCAGCTGTCCAGTCTCATCCATCCTATAAAAGGGGAGATCGAAATCAAACCCGGTGACAAGGGTGCTCGAACCGGAAGCAACACTGATCTGTAGGGCTCTGTATCTGCTGTTCACCTCAGCCAGGTGACTTTGTACATGACTGGACGGTCGCCAAATGGAAGCTTACGGCATTGAAGGTGAAGTAGCGAAGCAGCTCAATTGCGATGTGGTGTAGCGTCGATACGCTTCACATCACTTCCTGTCGACTGATGTAGAAGCAAAGAGAATTGTGATGAAAAAAATGAATCCCTGTGTTGAAGGTCGAAATATCAGAGGGGCGATCGTGAAGAAGAAGGCTAACGATGCTGGGAGGGTTCATGGGAAGCGCTAAAGAAGTAGGCGTGCCAGGTGCAGTAGCCACAAGTAATTCTAAGGCTTCTACCAGCGGCAAGGTCTATTTGCTGTGGTTCAAGTTGACCTTATGGATAAGGTCTAAAAGGCAGATGATATTATGGTTCCCTCGTGCTTGAGAGCTTGCTTGTCGGCAGCCTGACGGGTGTGTGGTGTGCGATAGGAGACACAGATTAGCGATGAACATGAAAGGAGAGAGGTGAAAGACTTCGAGGAGGGCAAGATGGGTGATTATCTCATCGGGGCAGTTCGGTGGAGTCACTTGCAGCTTTTGAGGTGTCTGTGGTTCTCGGAAGCGGCTCGACGATGCAGTGCCGTGAAGTGCGGGCCTGTGCCAACAGAGTCTCTATGAGGGAGAGAAAGTTAACAGCAGTTTGTGATGTTAAGCCTATATCAGTTCAATTAATCTGCATTTCTTTCACCTTCGGGCCCGCAACTGCCGGAGTGGTTAATCTCCTGCTTTGCTTACCGCACCCTTAGGGGGCTGGTTTAACCCCTCGTTCACGAGGGGTAGCACGTGGTGAGTGCGATCAGTCCATCTATCTGCTCGTCTCGTTAGAGTCAGCGAGGGAGTTACAGTTGTATTTTTTTGTTATATTTACCCCTGACTGGGGGTTTCCTTTTTGCATTTCTTGTCATATGACAGACATACTTACATGGGTAGATTATCTGCGCTGGATCTTCTGTTGCATTACATGGTTACCACAAAGGCTCTGATGCTAATACAGATAGATGTTATTTTACTCTAGAGAGTAAGATAAATAACTGCTCGCGCACTTTGAGATAAAGCTCAGAATTTCTTCCTAGAACACCGTTCTGTTGTTATACACGGATTCGCCGGCAAAGGTTGAAAGTTCGAGTCTTTCATCGGGGGTTGGTTTCTCCTCCTGCACTTTTACACAAAGATGTCAATCCTGAGTCTCAACAATTTGACTCGACCCCGGTTGGTGTAATTAGCTAGCACATTTTTCATTGACCGCGAACAACGGTTGTTCTTATAAGCGCCGTTCGTCAAAACTGTCGAAGGCTGTAGGTTCAAGCCCTGCACTGGGGGATTCTCTTTTTGCAGTTCTGGGAAACATCATGCCCCACCATGGTTGCGCAGTGACCATAAACCCAACTGCTGCCATCCCAGCTGCTACGAATGCGGGTATCATGTATATAAAGGTAGCGAAATTCCGTTTTTAAGACGAAAAGCCCCCAGTCCAATTCCTTTAATTCTTTCTTAGGGAGACCTATTTTCTCGTCAGTCTAGCCATTCAGCTCATCGCTTAGCTTAAATACTACTTAATCGGAAGAACATCCCGCTTCAATTACTAATAAATGGCGTTCTGCTATTTGGAGCTCTACTGAGAACAAATCATTTATACACTTCTTTCTAGCATGCCTTGGCTTTCCTTAACAGCTTTTTTAATACCTCTGCGGATAGATAGCAGAACCCTCTGAGTACAAGACTAAGCTCTGCTTCTTTGTTATTAACTAGCTTAAGAAAGCCTTAATAAATCAGCCAGCCGACTTTTTAGGCTATATAAACTGACCAGGCTGACAGACTCATAGTCTTCGTACCTATAACCCATCATATGCCAGTATGCTGTCTTGGTGCACTTTCCAAGGTCCTATGAACCTTATTGCCTGGGTGTAGATAATAATGAGGAGGTATAAATCTGGCCCAGGGTCTAGATTGTAAGCCCACTCAAGAGCCAGGAGCCATATGACCTGCCTGGCCTGCTTTAAACCTTTTTCAAAATATGTATACCTCCACCGTCAATGCATATGAGCGTTAGTGGCAGGATGGCGGTGAATAGGAATTAAGGTTTAAGGTATGCACAAAGGGAGGCCTAAGCGGCTGAGAGTGGGGGTTACTTCAAGGCTGACTACATATGCAGGAACATCAATGTAATGCCTAAGTTTAAGTGGCGCTAAGCTAGCGTGCATGTTGACAGCCCAAGTTCAATGCGTGGAATGTCCTTCCTATGTATTTGTTGTCGAGACTTATTTTCACAGCACTTACTTCGGAACGGGGCTTATTGATCTCCGTTTTTTAACGGTGTGTTTAGCTATGGCAAGCCACTGAGGGCGCTGGCTAAACCGACCTGACCTTTGAACTATGTCCGGTCTAAGAAGCCGAACGGTTGTGGATCTCCGTTTCTGGTTGTTAAGGCTGGAACTTAGAGGCCGTTTGGAGAACTCAGAAGCCGTTTGAAGAAGTTAGAAGCCGTTGGAAGTGTGAACCCTTCATTTCCGCCATGTGATCCTTATTCGATTAGTCGGGGTCAAGCTACCACCTGCAGAAGTTCTTGCCATTCAGCCCAATAGTATACCAAAATATTAGGACTGCGGGATAGTGAGTTGATGATAATAGAGAATGAGAAAAAGTATAAGAAGGCTGTTAAAGACCTCTTTATCCTTCTGTTACCCACAACACATTTTACAATAAAGATCTATTCCTTATCTTAAAGAACTTTTACTTTTATTATACTCTTGGCAACCATCATAACTACAGTATGAAGCTTACCACAGCTCTTTTCGGTCTTACTGGACTTGTTGGTTTAGCCCTTAGCCAGGCGATCATCAAGAACAGTGGGGTCGACTCTGCAGCTGTTGTTCCGGACAGCTACATCGTCATGTACAAGCCCAATATGAAGTCTGGCAGCAAACAGAAGCACGAACATACTATCACTTCCAAGGCCAAGACTAAGGGCAAAGAGGGTGTTATTGAGAATATCAACCTTGGTGGTTTCCAAGGCTACATTGCTGAGATTCCAGCCTCAGAGCTCAAAGATGTTATCAACTCTGATCTAGTAAGCGCTTCTAACCTTGAGTTCTAATGAGATAGATACTAACTCTAGTGACTAGGTCGCTTATATTGAGAAGGATACTGTGGTTAATATCACTGCCGCTGCTGCCTTTCCCCTTGGCCCCCTAACCAAGCGCGCATACACCAGCCAGCAAGGAGCCCCTTGGGGTCTCGCTCGCATCTCACATGCACCTAAACCCCCCGGCTTCGACTCAAGCTACTACTATGACACCACTGCCGGCGCCGGCACGAATGTATATATAATCGACACAGGCATTCGAATCACCCACAAGGAGTTCTCAGATGGCCGCGCCACCTGGGGCGCCAACTTTATCAGCGGCTCTCCCAATACGGACGAATATGGCCATGGCACTCACGTTGCCGGCACTATCGGCGGCAAAACCTACGGCGTGGCCAAGGCCTGTCGAATGCTTGCAGTTAAGGTGCTCGATAAGACTGGCTCTGGCACTATGGCTGGTTTAATCCAAGGCCTGCAGTGGGCTGTCAAAAACGCCAAGGCCCGAGGTGTCGCTCAAAAGGCTGTCATTAATATGTCCCTCGGGGGCTACTATACTGCCGCCGTCAATGATGCCGTTAAGGCTGCTACTGATGCTGGTCTCACCGTTGTTGTCTCTGCTGGCAATTCAAATGACGACGCCACATACTACTCACCTGCTTCTGCTCCATCTGCTATTACTGTCGGTGCTACTGAAGGTTCTAACTACCGCACTGCGTGGTCTAATTATGGCTCCTTAGTCGATATCTTTGCGCCTGGTAGTAGTATTCTCAGTTCGTGGCACCTTAGCGACTCTAGCAGCAGATACCTTTCTGGCACGAGTATGGCCGCGCCCCATGTTGCTGGTCTTGCTGCATATTTTATCTCGAAGGAGGGTATCCGAGGTTCTGCTGCTGTTACTCAACGTATCCTCAAAGCTGCTATTCCCAATGTTGTGTCTGACCCCAATGGCAGTAATAACCGCCTTGCCTATAATGCGGGTGGTGCATAGTCTATAGGCAACACACTCAAGAATAGGTTCCATATAGCAGTGTCAAGCCAGGGCTGCGGCTAGATACTTAATAGTTCAATAAAGCTGTTTGGAAACACAATAGTTGTGCAGGTGCGAACGAGAACTTCAATAACGATCCAGAGATGATAGATTCATGTTGACACTACTGAGACCGTACTGGCCGTCATCGACCTAATCTTCTCATGCAACAATTGGCTTTGCCATTCATGCCGACAGCAGGAAGACCATGTCGAGTTCAAATGATGGGTCAAGGTTTCCGCACTGCTTCTCAAAACCACGCAGCACCTTCAAGATCGGAGGGTGCAACAGGCGCAAGAGGCGGCCCCATTAGGGACGGCCAGGAGGATGAAACACCACATGCAATAGAACTAACAAGACTTATTCCTATTGCATTCTTCGAACCTATTGCTCCGGGGGGGCAGGTGATGTAGGTTTGGATGGTCGAGGGATATGATGTACAGATTCACAAGTAGCTTGTTTGATCCTTTGGATCAAATCAACTATCATCTTAAACGTAGCATTGCATTCTGGACTGATCTGTCGACTCTCAAGCTCCCAGGCCATTCGATCGCTTAAAGATTGGAACTCCGCATCACTCCTCCGAGGCGTTCGAGACTCATGTTGGTGGAATAGGTGTAGATTTGTGCCAAGTGCGTCTTGGGATGGACCCGCGGAACTTTCGATGAGTTTGGATAACAGTGGAAGAAGTACTGCATTCACAGTTTGATTCTCCTTGTGTAACGTTTGAATGCCAAAATGCCACTCCTGAGTTTCAAAAACATCATGCCCCGGTTGGTGCAGTTGGTTAGCACATTGTCTTGGTCGACGGTTACCCCCTGTGGTGCCGTACAAACTACTGCTGTTATGCAAATACAAAGGTCACGAGTTCAAATCTTGTACTGGGGATTTCCTTTTTGCATTTGTTGTCATATGACAGACATACTTTCATGGATAGATACTGTCTGCGCTGGAACTCCTGTTACATTAACTGGCTACCACAAAGACTCCGACGCTAATACAGACAGATGTTATTTTACTTTATAGAATAAGATGAAAAATAACTCGCGTCCTTTGAGACAAAGCTTAGAATTATTTCAATGTGGACGAATGTGAAGCGCCTCAGTGTGGTAGTGCACATCACAAACCGTCAGCGACACCAGTTCATTCCAACAAAAATAGCTTTGCTGTCTCATCCGCCCTTGATGCAGGCGAGTTCATTCTAACATTTGTTAAAGTCAATTTGTGTTTATTTAGTGTCTTTCCACAAACGGTTTGTTGGATTGGAGTCGCTTGAAATATCAATTCTTGCCAACAGCAATTCAGTCACCCGAAGGGAAAAAACAGCTAAAGCTTGGCCACCAAACTCTTCCTTGCTTCCTTTTCTTTGTCTCGCAGCAATCTTCTGAGAATCTTGCCACTGGGACTCTTTGGGATTGTCTCGATAAACTCAACACCACCTCCAAGCCACTTGTATCTTTGCTTATGATCTTCAACATGTTTGCAGATTGCACGAGCAAGCGCTTCGTCAGGTTGTCCGCCACAAGCATCCGACTTGACGATGTATGCCTTGGGTACCTCGCCGGCCTTGTCGTTGGGTGTTTGGATAACAGCGCAGTCTGAGACGTATGGGTGTGAAAGGAGATGAGCTTCGAGCTCTGCTGGGGCAACTTGGTGACCCTGTGTACATATCAGCCGCTGTTTCTGGAACATCCAGTTTGGAAGGGTGGAAGTAGGCTTACGTTGACCTTGATAAGCTCCTTGAGTCTGTCCACCACTACGAGATGTTCGTTCCCAGAAGGCGCTAGCCGAATGAGAACCTCATCGCCGGTCCGAATCCAGCGACCGTCCTTCCTCCAGATGAAAGTCTCAGATGTAGCCCGTTCGTTGTTCATATAACCCAAAACCAACGAAGGTGTCTGCACGAGTAGCTCGCCCGGCTTGTTGTACTCTGTGATCTCTTCGCCCGTCTCGATGTCGATAATCATGGCTTTAGTTGCGGGCACCAAAGAGCCTGAAGATCCAATGTCGATATCGTCTTCGCTCGTGGTACAGACTACTGTACAGGTTTCGGTCAAACCTATGACTGTCAGTTTCGAGTCATGGGGAGGGCTATACCACAGGGTTGAGTACCGTAGCCTTGACCGACACGCCATTTCGGATACTGCCTTTTGACCTCTTCAACTACTTCCGAACCGAGAGGTGCAGCACCAGTATAGAGCCAACGCACGGAGCTCAAGTCGTACTTGGCGCACAGGGCCTGGTTATGGATGATGCGGATGATGATGGGCGGTACCTGCAGTGGTTAGACTGCGAATTGTAGGAGCAGGAGTGACAACTTACGACAAACATATGGGCGATCTTATATGTTTGAACAGCAACCAAAGCCTTCTCCAGATCGAACTCAGGTAGGACGACAACTTCGTCACCTCGGAAAGTGCTTGCAAAAGAAATAATGAGTAGTCCGTAAATATGGCTGAAAGGAAGGGCACCGAGACATGCTTGTGTCTCGATTCCATCTTTCTTTCTCGAAACGCTCTCGTATGTCGTGAGTTGAAGGACGTTGGCGATAACGTTTCTATGGGAGATCATAACTGCTTTCTGCCATCGGTGTGAGTCAGTCAACGTGTAACAGTACTCCTTTGCACTTACTGGAAGTCCAGACGTTCCGCTGGAGTAGCAGAGGAAGGCGACTTGCCTCGCACCTTGGCCTTTAACCCATTTTAGTGGTTCCAACTTTGGTAGGTCTGCGCCCTCTTTCACAAGATCATCAAATGTTGTGAAAGGCAGTTTTGAGTTGTCGTCTGACGTAGCTAGAATGAATATGCGATCTTGAGGAATACCCACAGTCTTGGCTGCTTTGACGGCGATATCAAGACGGCTAGCGCATGTGAAGAGCGCTTTGACCCCAGATGACCGCAGTTGATGTTCCAGGTCTGAAGCAGAGCTCGCGGGTGTAATAATGCCGTTCAGTCGATGAATAGCTTGCGTAACTGTGAAGCTATCGATCTGCAAATCATCAGTTAACCCGTTGACAAAAACAAGCGCTTCTGGCCTACAGTATTGACAGAAAAGATGGAAACGACCTTGTCCCATTCAACACCTTCGTTTGGTGAAAAGTCGAGTCTTTTGGCGAGCGCACAGGCTAGGAAGTCGGCGCGCTGATGAGCTTCGGAAACAGAATATGTCCGTCCCGTGATACCGCAAGTAAATGGGTTTCTTGATTTGGCGATTGGGAGTCGGCCATAGGTCTCGCTTGTCATGAAATCAGATGGAGTCAGGAGGATCTGCCAAAATGAGCACTATTTCTGTAGGAGGGTTTGTTGGTTCATACCAATTGGGAGCTTTGGCACCCACGATGGAGGTGTGAAGACCATTTTCGTGTATTCTATGTATGTGAAACTGAGTTGTAGTGTTGTTTTGGATTCGCATCTCAGTGAGTGGGCCCGGAGGACGGTCTTTATACTAAGGTGCTCGGATCAGAACTCCTTGGGCGAAATATTTGCGGGGCTGCAACGGTAATTGCAAGCGGCAAAGGAATCTGGGGTTATATCTAACTAATATCTGGGGTAAATAATCCTTTGTATGCATTAAAGGTATCTTTTCTAACCAACTGCCGGAGCTGTTGGAGTTCGGGTTTCCTGGATCCGAAGCTCAAAGCCGATCCCTAGACCCGATATGCGATAGCTTCGGATCACAGAATCTCCTGGATGCGGAACATCAAAGTAAAGAATTTAAAAACTTCTAGTTCAAGAAGAGTTGGTTACTTCATTACATGTGAGATTCAGTGATGTTTGATAAAATTCTATCAAGTTCTATTGAGACATGTTCTTGCTTCGTGACTGTTGAGCCGGTTTTTTCGTTTATACACCGAAGTCGAATTGGTTATCCTGTTATCTGTATTACCCTTCACTCTCCATTTACCTTGCTTCTCGATATCATTATTACTGTCTAGCCGTTGAAATACGAACAGTTGTTTCGTTCTTGACCATGATTCCGCCAAAGGGCGAACCAGTGTTGAACTCTTCTGAGCCATGATCATGGGCACGACCAGTGACGGTTGAAACGTTTCCTCGGTATCGATCCATAGCATGACTCTCAAAATCAGACAATGAGCCTCGACCGCCCTGATCGGAATCGGCAAGTTGATGAGTGGAGCTTGACTCGTCGTTGTCTTTGTTGTTGGGAAGGGTTGACAGTCGAATCGTGTTCTTGGTCTGACTACGGCCGTAGCTGGGTCCGTAGCTGTTGGAACCGGAGCCGATGGTCGATGTCGGGTTGGTGCAAGTGAAGAGGTATAGGATGGCGGGACGGACGGTAGGCAGGCAGGCTAAGAAACGTTAGCAACGGCCAAGGGAGCAAGATTCAATACATACTTGATACAGTGACAAGATTCACTTCAACAGAAGCCCAGACTACAATGGTGACCAAGTTCCAGGTTAGATCCTCTGACGTGGCATCGAACTGAGTTGAGGCCACGATGATAACCATGGCTGAAGCGCAAATGCTGCAGGAGTTAGCAAAGATCACGCTGCGGTAGCGTCGTCACTTACACAATACCAAACACAAACATGAGCATGATACCGATCTTCTGAAAGAAAGGCAACTGTAACTTGCGAATCTGAAGAATCGGCAGGGCAATGATTGCTATATCAAGCATAACGTGGACCAGGATAGTACCAAAAAAGAACTTCTTATCCTCAATGGCGCAAGAGCCTCCAGCAGAGGGATCCCAGAAGCGCTGCACGGGGATACAATGGAAGATACCCATGAATGTCTACTAACGTTAGAACCTCTCAAGCATATGGCTTCGGGGCATACTCACTCGAATGATAATCCATATCAGTGAACAGCAGGCCAAGATCTGAATGGGAAGCTTGATGTTGGTGACTCGGAACATGCGCCAGTAAAAGCTCAAGATCGATCCTTTGGCGCAAAAGAGAGCAGTAGCGTAGAACAATTCGGCAACGTATAGGATGAGACTGTTGTGCATCAATATTTCCGCCTTGGTCCCGCGACCATGAATGTCGTTGATGTGAAGTCCAAGTCCGGCATCTTTGATCCCTGGTCGAGGTTAGATTCGGTCGTATCGAATATCGTGATTTGGACGTACAGATAGGAATGATCACTACCCAAGCGATAGCTACAGCCTTGATGAAGTTAGTATAATGCTCAAGAGTTAATGGCATGTAGAGTCGTCGACTTACATAGCAACCAATCGCAAACCAATCATCCCACCAGAACTCAATTCTCGTAAGTCGTCGACTCAATAACCGCAACCCGATAAAAACCGTCGCAGCCCCAAACGTAATGAATTCAGAAATCCATAAATCAATCTGCTTCGACTCCCTCGGCGTCGTCTCCATCTTGTAATGGGCAAATCGATATCGCAACCTCTGTCGTCAAAGATTCAGAAGTCAAAAACCACAAAAGAAGAGAAATAAAAGAGGCGCATCAAATAGATTAGCGAACCGTCCGCTGAGGGGATCGTGCTATGATATACGACCACTGCTCCCGCGGCAAATCATGGATCCAGGATCGACACGTACGTGCATTAGCGGAGGAATCCACAGATGTTTTGGAACGCTATGAACTAGACTTGTGAGATAAGAACTAACTAGGGCAAGATATGTTCTATGCAGATCCAACGGTCGGCGTTATACTAAGAATCGGCATATGACATGCTATCATTCGCTACCTATATAACTGGATGGCAGCTGAGCACACGAGTCGTCGGTTGCCAGCGGTGAACGGCATTTCCTTACCCTGTTTTTTCAAGGATATGGGATTTGGGATTTCTTCAGGGCCGATCTTTTTGTGGGCTTCTTGTTCCCCGAGTGGTGAGATTGTATGTAAATGCCCCTGGCGATAGTTGGGCTTCTCCAAGGATTCATCTGGGAGGGCCTCACGGAAGATGGGGCATCCGGTTGCATCGTGGAGAATACGAGAATGATGAATACAAAGAAATTGTAATTCACTTCTTGAGGACGCTGTTCTAGAATATGTCTGGAAGTTTGAGATAGACATGACATCTACGAGTAAACTAACGGCCGCCACTACGAATCCATTGTCTGTGCAATTCGACGGCATTCAACTCTGTACATCTTTCACTACTCCACATTGGGTGTCGTCAGCTCGAACTAAACAAGGCTGCTTTTAATTTGCGCATCTACGGTTGGTCCGCTGAAACCCGACGGGCACTACGAGTCATTAACGAGACTAGATCTACAGCTACTATTCTGGTGAACCAATCGGATTAATTCTATATCGTCGATCATCTTCAAACAGAGACAGTCCCTCCGAAAGGATGGATATCGATGTGTCTTGACTTTCATCGGTATTTGAATTAGAGTTTGGAAAATGGAGTCTTGAAATGAACGTTGTGGACCTTTATGGAGACGGGGAGAGCGGTTCGCTTCGGGGGTTTAGGGATGATGCTTGAATATGCGGGTTCTCCCTGTTATGAATGCATATTTCTTGGTCTCGAAACATTAGGGCAAAGCTTGGACTTGGGAGTGACCTCCACAACAGCCTTGCTTAGCTTTTTAGTAATAAGTAATTTGGATATTCCAATATGTCATGGATTCGATGCCTTCGTTCTGGCCTAGGTATTAGGTCTTACCGTCAAGCCGTTGGGAACGTTTGGAGATTAGCACATGACTATACGTCTGCTAATTTCCGTCTCCGCGCGAGTAGAGTGACTCTTGAGTACGATGTCGGCGAAACTAGACATTGACTCGGATAGAAAAATGATGAAACACATCCAGTAGATAGAGTTTGACTCGTAACGTCGGCAAATTCTTGAATCGTCTCCAATTCCAGAGTCAAACTCTCCTTCTAGTCCCCGCCGAAGAATCCAGGGATAAGACTCCACCTACTCCTCGTCCGGGCTCCAACTCGCTTATGCCGTCTCGCGCTCCTATAAGACCAACAAGCCCCTTTGTTCTTGCTTAATACGTCGTATCTCTCAATGTAACTGCAGCCTCGTTATGAAACGGGAGTGCTATTTGATCGGCGACAGCGTATCTCAAAAGAATCTCTCCGGCCAAAGATGGTCCAATCGGTTTTTGGTCTAGCTGCCGCGCCCCCTTTATTCGCGACAAGGGGAGGAATCCGAAAATTCACTAGGGTTCGTATTCAAGCGGGTTTGCCGCCGTTGCCGTTGACGTTACAATTAATGAGACTGGGATGGATAGGAAGCAAAGGAGATAGTTGTCAAAGCGTTGATTATAGACAAATATTGTTCTTTCCATCCAAGCGCGAGTTCTGAGATTGGAATTGCTTTGTGTCCGTCTCTTGTCGTCGTGTGTTGCCTCGATATTAAATGTAGTTATGTGTATTAAGAAAGTTTCCTTACTTGTAGCATCCGCTTAACAAATTCGTATTAACTTATAGTCTACATCTAATAAATTCAAATACTCACAGTGGGAAAGTATTCCCCTTTTCTCAGCCATTCATGGCGACGAGTTTGTAATGCAGGACAGGTTTGTTCATATTACTTTTCAATCAATGTGCTGTTGACTTGTTTGTTGGTTTGCTTTCAGTGGACCTGTTGAGCAAGTAAAAGCAAATAATCCTTGTGAAACTGTGTCTCTTAGGTTTTCTTGATGCTAGTCGCTATGTTGTCCTGCGGGTTGTCCCCTGTCACTATTAATTACTCAGTCTCTTTTTGGTATTACCGAACCGCCATAAAAAGCAAAACTACTTTATGTTTCTCAAGTCTACCACTTCCATTTGTACAGAATCTCACCGCAAAGACGACACTTCCTACAAACGCCCAATGATCAGAATGCCAGATGTGTTATTTACAGTTGAGACTTGTGGCTGGGAGCTTAAACCAGCAGAGATAACTTAGAGACCCTGGACTCAATGAGTATGGAGGATGAAAGGTTCGCACGAATGAAGTCATAAAGAATTCACAAACCTGCAGATTCTGAGAGGCGTACTACCATACAGTACAACTGACGAACAGAGCCCCAAGCATTTCGCGGGGGCGAGGTCTATCCTTTTATCAAACCAAGAAAAGGACGTTGATGAGCGAGTCTGGCGGAATTTTCTAGCCTGCTTTTCTAACCTGAACAACGTGTCAACGGCCTGTTTGATGTGAATACCCGTCAACTCAGTATCAGAAACAACATATCAGTGACAGCCAAGGGTCGCGGTCTCTGTATATCAACGAAAGGGCGCTTAGGTTGGGGCTTGCTCTCTACACGTGAAGTTGATGAAGTGTGGATTTTGGAGGGATGCCTGGTTCCTTGTCTGCTACGGCCTACAGCCAATGGACGATATCTCTTGTTGGGAGAAGCGTATGTTCATGGTATCATGTATGGAGAGGCTTTAAAGGGTTTGGATCTCGCCAAACTTGACCCGGTCATTATTGTCTAGTCTAGAAACTCCAGTATACTTTATCAGTTTAATAAGGGCATTTGAACTCAGTGGAACACACTCAGTTGGTTTATCGCGGTGTTTCTGCAGAAGGTCCAAGTCGCTAAATGGTAAAAGTGAGATTGGACAAATGTTGTAGGTTCCTTAGCACTTCATAGGGTGAGGAAATCCATTACTGGCAGGCTATACATTGGACGGCAGATAGATCACATTGCCAAACCGCATATATGGCAATCCAAGCCAATACGAGAAGCTGATCCGAAGCTTGACAATTAGAAACAGTGTCAATCGTCTAGGAAACCACCAAATTGCTCATCTAGAATGTCGAACTCTGGCTCCGAGTCCTCCTGAGTCGTTTCGCCATCATCATCCCATGCCGCATTGCCATCCAGTTTCATTGTTTTGCCAGTCAACACATCTAGCGACCGTGTATCAAATCGTGGAAGGGTTTGAGTCAGAATCCTTATGGTTTTAGGGGATGCCATTCGAGTTACGAGAGCCTCCGCCTGTTCCCGTATGTCCGCTTTCAATTGAGTCCACCCCCCGCCCTGAGAACCGCATTGTTGAGAGTGAGACGCTGACGTTATGCCCGGCAGATCTGGAAGCAGACTCAATTTGACGACCACCGTACTTAACCGTAATTTACTATCGAGATCTTGAGTTTTCAATACCTCAGGGCAGATACTGCGCATCCATAAGTGAAGGGTTCTAAGAGTGGGAAGAAGAGCAGCGATAGATGGGCAAATGTGACGTTCTTCCCCTTGCTCCAGAGAGGTTCCAGATAGATCCAGCACCAAAACGCTCAGATTTTGCACTGAGAGCAAAGCTTGCACCGTAGATAGTGACAGATAACCCTCCGGGGTGGAAAAGGGATGAGTAGATCTCCAGGCCCGTACGCGCAATGTACGCAATCTATGAGACTGCTGGACTATAATGGCAAACTGAGCGAGGTCGTCATTTAGGGTCTTTTTCCAAGTCTCGAGCAAGTTCCTACGGAATCCTGGGGTAGCAGGCTGTAAATCCGACTCCTGCGGTGGAGAGGTGTCGTATTGATATCCTCTTAGATCAAGATCTAGGGTTTCCAGGCTGCTTTCAAGCGGCGAAGCCGTTTTCGTTGCCGTAGAGATGATGAGATTTCGAAGGGCCTCTTGAGAAAGGGTGATGGACTTGAAGCATGCAGGAAGAGCGAAACCGAACCACTCTTTGCAGACTGTGAGGCGGCCTATATCCTCGTGAAAGAAAGACGAATCAAGTTGATCAAAGATCTGTCTTAGAGTCTCGGTGGGCAAGCGTAGGAGTGGCATTGCAAAGTTGAGCAATATGAGTTGAGATAAGTTGCTGCAATGGCGAGACGCACGAGTTGTCGCTTATGTTGTTGGGAGAAAGTCACTCTTGATTGGCTGATCGTTTCAAGCCTCCCCGCATCGTTCGCTGATAAAAAGTAGCGAATCACGACGCGTCTACAGATGAAAGCATTCCCGAGCCTCAGCCGTTCTCCGAGTGAAGTGAACGATGACAGGTCTACACGACTCTCCCTCATTACTTGCGCACAAGGCACCTCCAGCTGAAAAGGCAAGATGGAAAGACCAAGTAGCTCCTGGCAGGGTTTTGACAGTCTGAAACCGGATTCAGAGAAACATAAGAGAATTCACTTCTTGTTCTCTTCGGCAAACTTTGAATATCTGGAGACTTGCGCGATAGAATCGCGGAGGAAGCATCAGCCAGGCTTGTCTCCTGATGTTTCATGTAGCATCGATCTGAATCATTTCACATCCGGGTTCAACAATGTTGTCCTGGAAATTGCATTTTCGGACAACGTGTTCTGGGTCGCTCGGATTCCTCATCAAACACTGAACGACAACGATAAAACATCATTGCTCAGTGAGATTGCCACAATGAGGATAATCCAACAACATACTACCATCCCTATTCCTCGAGTTTTCAACTTTGAGATGTCTACAGACCAACCCTTTGGCTACCCGTACATGTTCATGGAGCATCGTGGTCACTCTCTTCCGAATGGTCTGGCGACAACTATACCTTCCGAACATCATCCCAGAGTAGCGAAGCAGCTCGCAAACGTCTTTACAGAACTTCAAAACCTAACCTTCAGCCGCATTGGGCGTCTTTGTTGTGGGGATACAGCTGATCAACCTGTTGAAGTCATTGCTATGGATTGGCACGCTACGCCAGGGCCTCTGGAAACGTCGTTTGAGTATTTCTACAACCAGAGACAAGCCGAAAATCGTGAATCGATTGAGTTGCATCCAGATGACCCAGACTGGTTGACAGCATGCTGGGTACTGAAATCAGGTCTTACCCACATGATCATCGAGGATAGGATCCGAGGCCCATTTCCTCTATGTCATCTCGATCTACATTTTGGCAATATGCTGTTTGACAAAGAGTACAATTTGACGGGAATTATTGATTGGAGCAGCGCCCAAGCTGCTCCTCTAGAGCAGTTGTCTGTGTGCCCAGAATTCGCCACGTTTCCAGAGATGTCAGAAGAGGAGAATCAGCCCATGGTCGACTTCAAGGATCTTGTTGTGCAATCCATAAGGGAGATAGAGCAGAATCAAGAAAGAAAGCCGCCTCTTGACAACCCAGATTTGGATATTTTAGGGCAATCGAGTCTTACACCCCTTTCCACCTACATGGCTTCCAAAAGTGCAGAGATCACCTATCGTCAGTACATGTCTTCACCCAGAGGAAGCCTCTTTGCTGGTAAGATGGTTGCAGGTCTTATCTTTGGGAAAGGTGTTACTTGGGACCAGCTGAAAGAGGTGTACGGTGTGATGCCACTTTTCTAGCTGCGATTAGCTATTATCTGCTCATATATCTATAACCTTTGCTTCCGAAATCCAACCACTGGCGTGGACGTATATGATGGCACTCTGATGATATAAGGAATTCTATAGATATCTGTGAGGATTCCCAGCACTAGCTCAGCCTATATCAGCCAAAGATGCATAGCTCATTATCAACATACAGACGTCCGCTTTCGCGCAGTGGTGCGCGTACTGCGTTGCTACCCATCCAGGGACCCCTTCGGGAGTCACCTCTCTACAGTAGTAAGGTCCAGGTTCGACTCCTGGGAGCGGAAGAGTATTATTTTTACACTTTCTTCCTCTTTCTTATACAAGCAGTGCATTGCTAATCTCGATACTGTCCTTGTCCATCCTGGATCAACCAAAGATATACACCTCATGATTAACAGTCAGAAGTCCGCTATGGCGCAGTTGGACAGCGCACATCGCACTACCTATCCAGTGACCTCTTAGGGGGTTGCTCTTTACAGCGGTGAGGTCCAAGGTTCGAGTCCTTGTGGTGGAAAAGCTTTGTTTTCGCAGTTTTGCTCTTGTATATGAACTGTGCGTTGTCAATCTCAATACTGCCGGAGAGTAGCATAATGACATTACTGACGCGGCAATGTTGTTATTTCTATGAGTAAATAGCTCTTACTGTATCTTGATTAATACTCTAGAAGCTCTGTCACCTGTATTTGTTATATAAGCAGTCCTCATAATTAAATAGAAGCCATGAACAATAGAGGAGAATCTTATACGAACTTCACAATGTATAGGGACATTCTAACTGCGGCGAAGTGAGGAGTTTACCTGCTAGACGCAGTACAATACATGTCTGCTAAACAATCATTCGTCACAAACAAGAGGTACCCAAGCCGCTTATTTATGGCACCGCAGGGGACCGACAAACGCTGCAGCCAGCCGTTTACAAACGGCATTACCTGCCATCTACCATAAATTCCGAACCCTGCTTGTGTTCTGCCTTTCTTGACCATCTCCAGAACTCTTAGAGTCATCTCGAGTCCCATCAAAGATCTGACGAGAGATCGAGACGCCTCTCACTGCCATACATCATGGCTTCCAACGACGCCCAACTCGCGAATCTGCGAGACAAAGAGCACTTCCCAGCATTCGAAGACCTAGCCTGGGACAATCATCTTGACCCTCACTACTACCGCGAAAGAGAGAACGGTTTCTGGGAGCCTCACAAGCACTGGGTGTTCATCGGCGAGATCGTCGAGGTCGAGATCGATCTCCGCGTTAAGCTCACCGTCAAGGACCGAGATGGTTTAGAGATTCCGGTTGCTATCTACACGGAGGCCCGTGGTGTCGAGATCGGCCCCTCGAACCTTCAAGTCGGAAACACTGTCGCCATCTTCTATGCTGTCAAGCATCTCTTTATGGATATGACCATCGGTATCCGCCACGAAGACCTTCAGTACCTCAAGGTTAATATGTTCTCCCTCAACGTCTTCTTATGCTAATTCTTTTGCAGATCTTCCCGATTTCCCTCGACAACATGATGCAGCTCAGCGACAGAGTCCAAACTCACGCTACCCTCACCGACGGGATGAGAACCTGCCACGCATGCAGCAAGAAGTCGACCAAGCTGATGAAGTGTGCCAAGTGCGGTTTCTTTTGGTACTGCAGCCAGAATTGTCAGCTCCGCGGTTGGAACGAGAAGGGTCACAAGGCGGATTGCAAGATGCTTCGGGATGGCAATTTCAAGGGGCTGTTCTCTATCAAGTGGGGTGAGTTTCACAACCACATCTCTTTCCCGCTGCGCATTTCACAGTGATGAGGCTTAGGTAGACTAGATTTGGTAGCTGAGATCGAGTTGCATGGTTGCATTGTAGACTGGTCTCATCTGGTAAATTGAGTTTGGTACACTTGAGAAATCTTGAGATACTCAGAATAAGGTCCTGCTTCTTTCAACCGGTATAAGATGGCGTTGTTAATACAGATTTCGCGTGACAAAGGATAAACTGCTTCGTCAATGAACTTGGACAAGATATACTAGTCCATTCAAGCCAATCCTTACATCATCGGTAATGTGATCACGCAATAAGGCCGCAGTTGCTGTAAACTTCTTCGGGTGGAGGTAGCACGAAACATGCACCTGCTTCGGAGGCACCCAATTGAAGTAGGCGGAACAGTTAAATCAGGTCCTTCCTAATCAGACATCTGCGAGTATCCTTACAACTACTCCAACTGGCATCGCCCAAACTACTGGCGCTGAATCTCAGCCGCTGTGGTAAGCTTGTACCAACCCATACACCTTATATCCTTCATTCGACCTAAAGTTGAGAGCCCCCTCCAAGTAGAGACTCCAAGGATTTAAAAAGAATCGAAAGCTTGGGCCACCTTCTGCTTCCAACTGGAAAACCCGAATGAGGATATAGACGTTGCCTAAGTCCCCTTCGTACTGGCGCATCTACCAAAGCGTTAGCACAGAGATATATACCATAGCAATCACTGTATTTCAGACCTTGTCAAGTTGATTCTGGGACACGAAACATGGCTCACTGCAAGGACCTAGTGTTGCCTTGACCTCAAGATGAAACTTCGTGTTATGAGTCCATTCGACGATTACGTCCATGCCAGCCTCTCGCAGCACTCCCTTCATTTGTCCAAAACGATCCTGGTATGTAAAGTCGGAAAAGTCCTTTTCGCGCTCAGTGAATCGGGGATGCCCGGCCTCGACTCGCAACTTACTCGTCCAATTCTCATACGTCCAATCCTTGATGCGAGATTGAAACATACGATAAACCTGCAAAACATATATGTCAGGGACTAATAGTTTGATGATTGCCTAGGATGACATACGAAACGCTCCCCAAGGAACCCAATCTCTCTATATCTGTTAGATGGACTTTCAAAGGCTCTAGGAGAATTTTGAGCGGGTCTGGGGCCATTTGAACTGAGGATACTTTGGTAGGACGGAGTCTCTATGGGTGAATAGCGAGGCAAAGAAAGATCTCCCCCGCTAGATGGGTCTTCTGCTGTTTGTGTTAGCAGACGGTAGTCTAGTATAGCACCAAACTGAGCAGTACTTCTCGGAGTTTTCGCAACTGGTGTCTCATCTGCATGAAACACGGCCGGTCCTTGGACAATTCTTTGGCTCCTTGAGTTGTGAGAAGGAGTCACTTCGTGCCGTTGGATAAGTCGAGGCGAGCTTTCTGGAGTGGTGAAAGTTTCATCGTTGCCACCTGCTGCTGGTGAGATTCTAAGATTCCCGAATTCTCTTGCCAAGTCAATAAGCCAGCTTTCGTTTCCGCTCTCCATCGTTTCCTCTCTGTCAGAATCGTTAACTGAGTAGTCTGTGGTTGGATGTATAATCGTCATCGCTTTATCCTCATAGCTGCTTTCTTGATCCTCGCTATTGCTTTCTTGGTCCTCACCGTCGCTTTCTTGATTGCCAGTATCTCCATTGTCCAAATTATCGGGTACTTCGATATTATATCTCTCCAGGATGCCAGAGAGTTGGACAATAGGTTCTTTCAGGAGGAGGGTGACAAGCTTGGTGTGCTCAGCATCAACGTCCAATAGACTAGTGAAATACTCCAGCAATTCAAGATCGACCTTGAACTGCTCGGCCATGACTATATGTTCGCGGATGTATATGTTTGTGACCTCTCCATCATCTCTGATCGTGATTAACCTGTCTTCATTGCTGATCTCAATGCCTCCCAATCGACTTTTAGTTAGGATTGATGACACCGACCACATTTGCAGCGTGATATGCTCGACGAGCGCCGGCTGGTCTGTCGCTAGCCTAGAAATGGTGAGCGCAAACCTATCGCGTAGTATAGTCATACATACGCAATACAGTCAAGTCGAGTCATGAAATCATCTTCCCGGCTCAAGTCACGAATACACGTGCCTCTCGGTTCAGTTGTTTGTTCAACAGCACAAGAGAGAAACCTTTTCTCGCAATCCAGATCCTCAAAGAGGGCACGCAAAGACTCGGCGTCCTTTACAGGCATGCTAAGCATAGAAACCCTGGATCGAAAAGCTTGTTCCAGAAGTATTTGATCTGGAACGTACCAATCACCCTCACATATAGACTGTAGTGTGATATTGGGCTGTTCGTCACTGTTTCCTCCTTCAACCACAATAGGAAATACCGCAGCTTCTCGGATTCTTCGAACCTGATCCCTGCTCAGCTCTTCATGGTCACGACGATAGCGCCCTAGTAGAAAGAACAGCTCACTGAAGCGCTGGGTAGCCATATCGCCTTCATCTGAGACAGAACACAGTTCCTTGACAATATCTCCAGTGCTGGCTTGCTTCACACAGAGAATGGATACGAATAACTGTCTGCATGTGGGGTAGCGATATCTGAGTTTTGTGACCTGCTTCAGAGCACCTGGGCCATCCCAGACGCAGGAGAGATGACTTAACCATCTTGGCTTTGGTTTTTCAACAAACACAAGGGACTCTTCCAGGAAAGCTGTTCTGTGGTGTGTTTAGCATTGACGTTCAGATTGATGTTGTGGTTTTACTTACTTTATCTCCTTCCACTCGGATCGCATGCTTGCGTTCAGTGCTTCGTAGATTTCTTTTATTGCATCCTTATCTACCTTATCTGCTTGCAGCTGTGAAAGCTTCTGAAGCTCTCGTAGAGTTGCTGTTGTATTTCGGGTGGTCAAGACGCCCAGAACTGATAGAAACCCCCAGTTGTACACTTTAGGATTTGGAAGGCTCACAAAATCGAGATGCGGGCATTTTTGTTTCAGCTCCGTAGTCGGGATAGCTAGGCGACCCAGAGGTCTCCAATATCCATCGGAGCCAGGCACTTGAAGTTCTGCCGCAGCCTTGATAATTATGGGGGATAGAATGGCTTTTTTGTCCCATTGTAGCCTGATTGCTTGTAGTAAATCCATCACGTCGTGACTGCGAAGAAAGTGCCACTCGGCGCTCAGTTCGTTATTATATAAAAGTGCCGGGACTGTGGAAAACTCTCGATATGTGGATCCCAGGAGCCACCGTCGAAATGAGTCTGCATCTTCTCGTGGTCGGTCTTTGCACAGCGCAGCCTCATACTTGTCAGATAGCACCACGAGTGGACTTTGCGCAGTATTCTGATATTTTGCTATCAAACTAGGCTTGACATCGGGGTCGACCAAGTAAAGATGACGCTCTCTGCTACAAATGGCCTTTCCACCTTTTACAGCGGCAAATTCAATATTAGGAACTTCGTATCTGAGACACAATCGATGATCAAAAAGATAAAGAGCGTCTGTGACAAGATCCATTTCTGTGCGGGAGGCCCCCGGAGGCAGATCATGGTGAAGTTTGATAATCAGTTCGCAAACTTGGGTGGGACTGTATTCTTGAATTCCCAAGAAACTCAGAAATCTTCTTCTTTCTGGATCTTTAGATACAGAGCGATCCACGAGAAATAGCTCGATACCAGTGGGCACATGCTCTTCGTTTTGCGTAGAAGTAAAAAAGACGCAATCCTGGCGCGCCCTGACCCATGAACCATCCCGAAGAGGGACAATTGGTAAATTTCGGAGCTTCTCTCTTAGTTCTCGTCGGCCGCAGAAGATCGAACTGACCTTTTGGTGCCACTTGATTGGCCGTGTTTTGAGACCGTCGATCCCAACTTCATTGATCCATTGGGAAAATTCTCGCCACAGATCATTGATGTCGAGACTGTCGACCCCAATCAGGGAGAGTTCCGACCTTACACTATCATATTTGAATGACAAGTGCGTTTTCAATAGTGGCGGGAGGTCGAAAAGAGCTCCGTTCTCGAATCTCCAATCTCTGGGTACGTAGTAGAGATCAGTAGGCTTTCGTAGGGTGTCGTCCGCTCCCGACTCAAGCAAAGGTGTCTTACGCAGGGCATTCATCATATTTTGATGGAGGTCATGCCAAAATCCTGAGGTTTCGGGATGGCGAGGGAGGTATTTCGGCCACTTGTAGCAAAGTCCCTCCCCATCCTGGGTAGGGGATAGTGCAACAAGACGACGGATTGATTTCACGAAGGCAGTCTCGATTAGATCCCTGAGAGAATGGTTCCAGAGGCTTGATTCATCGAGACGCTCTCGACTGGCTACAAGTATAAAATCCGCATGGATAAGAAACTAAACCGAGCAAGCCATTAGTGTTATATTCTTGGCTGCCTATGTATATTCGCTCAACTGAAAGGTCACTTACACGGAAGCCAAAGTCATCCACTGGGAGGAAAGCAAACACCTTTTGAGTGATGAATACAGAAGTGGCTTCATTATCAACCGTGAATGCTATCACAACCTCAGAAGAATCAATGCCTTCTCTCTGGGGCACCGGAGGTAAATTTTTGGCAGTATATCGGTGAACGATGTATTCTTTTGAGGTTACGGCGTCGCCCTGAACAGATATCTTTACAGTTTCTCCGTCATATCTCGGGTCTGATCTGTTGATCTTGCGTCGATACTGCTTGTTCAAGCCGCGAATAGATATATGGACCTGGTCGAGATTTCGTAAGAAGAGCAACATATCTGGCTCGATACTGTTTAGCTCCTCCTTGATGACATCGTAGTCGCGTTGACTTTTCAACTCCAGCAGGAACTGCGTATTATCAACTACGCGATCCGCAGTAGGAAATTGTGAGGTAATTGGAAGAATCATTCCGATGCGAGCATTGCGGTCAAGCTTGAACTCGTAAAACCCACTTGCAACGTGGACCACATCAGCTACCTTGAACACGGACTTGAATCCGATGCCCTTTTCGCCGATGCACGACTTCGAATTGTCGATGGTGGCGGCCTTGGTACTTTGACCGACTCGTGTCAGAGCGTCAAGTTGCTTGAATGTGAAGCCAACTTCGTTACAGTCAGACCGGAAATATCTATGACCTCCATTATTGTACAATGCCAGTCGCAGACTGGGCACAATTTCAGAATCATACTGGTTGTCATCCGCATTCTGGATTAACTCGAGAATGAAATGTGTTGAAGCTTTGTAGAGTTGATCGGAAACGCTATTGGTAAGTAGTCAGTACACGATATCATACTCCTGGATAAAAGTACACGCATTTTAAGTGCCTGGTCCAGACTTTGTACAAGAACAGACTCCTCTGGTTGTTCTCTACCAACGCCCCTCTTTTGACGGAGAGTTTCCAGATGAGCATCCGCCTCGGCCTTAGTGGTTGCGACGGAATCCATCAAGTGAGTAAAACGAGGTAAAGAGTGAGTTGTGAGTGCGGATGCTGAATCAAGCAGGCCAACCCATGAGCTTGTATTGTGATACGGTTTACGTGAGGTTTTTACTGCGTCTATCCTTCCCCGCTCTATTTGAAGCAAGTCAACTTGGGCGCGAGTAAACTGACTTCAACGGGGGCCGACTGGCACAATGATGACTAGGGTTATATGCATGTTGGTTGTATCATTTATAAATGCAGGGATTATAGAGCAGCGGTTCGACAGAACAAAGCATGATATGAGGAATCCCCGCTTGCCACGCGTACCGTTGGCTGTCGATGGATTCTGATTTGATAAGAGGCTTTCATACATCGCCTTTACTCTAATATCTTCCCGCGTCTAATCAACGATGCTAAGAAACGAGTTGTCGTGCTATTTCAGTACGGTTGGTTTCTGACGGCCCCACTCGGTGTTGGTGATGCGGGGGAGCTCCGAAAGTCCGGAAAGCCTCATCTGACACAAAGCACAGGAAAAAGTGTGTGCCAGAGAGAGCAACTTATATGCTTAGAAGAGGACAGAATGTGACCGCTCACGTGAACAGTGCGTCTGCTCTAATTTGCTATGATGTGTGGCTAGCTTCCAAGTTTCGTGAGGTTGAGATACCATGATGAGGTTGTCCTGTTACAGATGGGAATGAGTGACCTTGGCGAGCATGAGAACGTGTACTCCGTACTTGAGGTTGGGAAATTGCTGACAGGCATCTGAGGGTGGACAGCAGGAGGGTGGCGAGGCCTGAAGACTCTTCCCTACTAGAACACTACGATCATATTGCAACTTTACAGTTCGCTTGATAACAACTACGATTCGGCTTCATGGTCTAGCGGTATGATTCTCGCTTTGGGTGCGAGAGGTCCCGGGTTCAATCCCCGGTGGAGCCCTGATTGTTTCTTTTTGACGTTGGTAATGCTGGTGAGGCATTTTCGTGTTGTTTTGGTGAGGATCTGAGTTTTGACATCGCCCCACTTTTGCGTTGGCTTGCTCGTGTTGCATCACATGATATCCCGCGGGAAACGCTGCCCCCAGCCTCTATCGCGAGATTTCATTGGCTCCATTCACTTAAGCTTAAGAGCTTGCATTTTTTGAAGATGGAAGGACGTAGCTTAATCGCGACGACATTCCTCAATGATGATGATGAATTGAGGTGGATATTTTATTAAATGGCATATGATAGGCAGTATGCTTACGATTCTTTTTTCCTATTTGCCAACGTGTACATGGATGCTGTTCTCGATTTTGTGTCTTTCCTTGTGCCTGGACTATAAAGCAGACTCAAAGTGAAACGATGTGGCAAGATGAGTAGTGAACACGGCTGTGATAACTCTGATACAGCCCAGGACTAATGACTTGAATTTAGAAAATGGAATTCCGGACAAGGGATAAGGGAGTTGAAGACTGTGATATTGTACAAGTCCAGAGAATAAAGACTGGCTATATTTCTAGGTCCAGGGTATTTTGAGATCTTTAAGAGGTGCACATTTCGGCGTAAGTACCTAGGTAAGACACAACAGTTAAACCCAGTTGAAGATCAAACAAATCGTCATCATTCGTAAGAACGCACTGCTATCATCTACCCTGCTCAGCCTCATTTTATTCTACCCGTCACCTCTCAATACCAACGTCAACCATCATCATGCAAAGGTACCCCGGACCCTTACCTAAGCCGCTCCCATCTCAATGTCATGACCCTTGACGCTCCTCCACTCCACCAACATCGCACCAATGATCGTCGCCGACGCGGTCCCAGCACCAACATAGAAACTTGTCGTCAACGCGTCGTTGTACGCGAGAATCACTCCATCAAGCCACTCCTCTCTGATCACGCTGCGAATATTCGTCGCACCAGTCGCGATGACAAAGTATGGGTCAAGACCGGGCACATGCTCATTGATCTTGTTGATGAGCGTGTTGGTGAAGACAGTGTTACCAGCTGTAACGCAGAGCGCACCGCCAAGAGTTTGAGCAAAGACGATGAGGGCTGTGGCTGTAGGGACGTCGACCATTTCGCAGACGACTTGGACGGCGATAAGGGATTGCTGAAGGCCGACGCCTACGCCAATGCCGGCGATGAGCTGGTAGCCTATCCATTTGGCTGTTGATGTTTCGACTTCAAATGTGGTGATGATGCCGAAGCCGATGGCCATGAGGATTGAGCCGGCGATCATGAAGGGTGTGTAGTAGCCCCAGGCAGTGACGGCAGCACCAGCGGCCATGGCACAGAGAACGATGCCGAGAAGCATCGGAAGGTTTCTCACGCCCGACATGATAGGGCTTTGTCCTTGTACAGCCTGGAACCAAATTGGCAGGAAGTACATGGCTGTGAGGAAACACGCGCCCGTATTGAATGAGAAAAAGGCGCCAGCCCAGACGGTGCGCTTCTTGAAGATACGAGGAGGCACAGTGGCGTTTTCGTCCATCTTGTACTGCACATAAACAAACAAGATGAGAAGAAAGGCAGCGAGCATGAAAAGGGATGTGATGACTGAGTCATCCCAGTCGTAGTCGATACCGCCCCATTGCAGAGCGAGCAATAGGCACACGATGGCGGGCATGAAGATGCCAGTCCCGATAGGATCAAGCTGCCAGAAGCGCACTCGCCATGTCGCAGGCTCGATATCGCGCTCGGGTTCGGGGAAGAAGAAGAGAATGACAACAACGGTAATGGCGCCGATGGGAAGGTTGATGTAGAAACACCAACGCCATGAAACTTTGTCCGTAAAGAGACCACCAAGCAGAGGCCCAGCAACGGAAGAAATGCCCCACATACCACTGACAAGACCAGTATAGATAGGTCTCTTATGAAGAGGTACTGAAAAGGCAAGGATGGTGAGTGCACCAGCAAATATGCCAGCGCCACCGACGCCGGCGATAGCCCGTCCCACGATGAGGGTGACACTGTCGGGGGCGACACCGCAGATGAGGCTACCAACCTCAAAGATAGCAATGGCTGACAGAAAGGTCCACTTGATGCTGCCGTAGGTATACAGCTTACCAAAGAACAGCTGCAGTGCGGCCGTTGTAAGCATGTATGCTGAGCCGTACCACCCCACATCATTGAGACTTTCGAAAGCATCGGTGATTCTTGGAATTGCGGTTGCAATGATGGAGTTGTCTGACGTGTGAGCGAGGTCACTAATGAGATGGTACACTTACCTAGGGCCATGACAAAGACGGCAAGACAGAGAGCGAGGGTGATCAAGGCGAGCTTCACTCCAGTGGGATACTCTTGATCAGGTCCTGTGGGCTCAACGCCGTCCACGGGAGGCGATGACCGAAGCTTCTCAGTACTCTCTGTTGGAGCAGCAGATCGAGGTCTAATCTCGTTGTGACGCACTGAGCCCATCACAGGATGAGGAAAGTCTCTACCATGATACTCCGGCATGCTGTAGTCTGCTGGTAAAGACCGAACGCTAAAGTTGCTTGGGGCAATTGACGAAGGTCGACTTATACCGTTAACATCCTTGGACTCTTTAGATCCTGAACCGTTGGGATGGGTTGTGAGCCACTCATCAGCATCCCGAGCAAGCTTGGCCGTTTCTGAATCGAAGTTAAAGTAGCGAGAAGATTCCCTCAAAGATGAGTAAAGAGTTTCTTTTGGTAGACGTACGCTCAGGTGCGAACGACTCGTCGCAGCCATTGAGTAGTCTGGGGCGGACATAATAGAAGCCATCTTCAGTGAGTTTCAACGAGCACTGTTGGAAATAAACTGGAACGAGAGCCAAGCGTGCGGAAAGACAGGCCTTTTAGCTTCATCAATCACCCACGAGAAGCCTGCAGAGTGATGTAACACGACGGAATCTTTTCAGGAAGTTCATGCTGAGTCGATGAACTTTTCGTCTTACCTCGGGGGCCAGGGAAAAACACAGCAGCAAGACTTCACAAAATATCTTCACCTGCAGTTGTGGCCTGGCACAAAGGTGTGGCATTCCGCCCATGCATATGGGGGCCTGCCATGACTTCAGTGGCCTTGACCAAGAGAAAGCGTGGAACAATAAGATTGTGTAGCGCATTTACTCCTCCAGGCTAGAAATTGCGGCCTAGCGGAAGCCGGAAGCCGTGGGGCTTGAGGATCCTTCGGATTGTCTATAAGCCTCAGATGACTGTCGGGGTTTCCGTTCAGCTTCAGCCGTGGGTAAGCCCATATATCTTGGGATCAATGAGAGTGGCCAATCTCATCTCAGTCGCGATGGCCTTGAGGTGGATGCCTATGTGAACACTTTGATTCTTTGACGAACTCGCATAGATCGACATAAAAGCCACGAATAGTATCAGGTCGGCAGTGATCTCGTTATAGGTTGGGTGCAAATGGGCTACACGATATAAGAGGAGGCTTGAGGATGAGAAGTTGTGCCACCCTAACCAAACCAATTCGATCATTTAGAAGAGAACGAGATGGTCAGAACGGTCCCTACTTTTGAGGTTTCGCAATATGCGGACTTACAATAAACCCCGAGCCCGAACTTATCCTAGCTTTGTAATGAATGAACTTTGGACCGGAGGACGGAGGTCGAATGGCCGACCTCGAATCTTCCACGTTGAGTGAGTCAACATGACGAGACTGGGTGTTACAACTGTCGTACAAGGTGTTATAAGCTGCCAGTAGCCTGCCATTCATATTTCTGTAAAGTCGTTTACATGCAAGGCATTAAGATGGAAGCCCGGAACCTTCGCGAAGCTGATGAATCATCGCATGTTGTATTAACGACAGCCTGTCGAAGGTCAAACTATGCTTGTGCATCTAACCAGCTAGACAACAAATGTTGATATGTGATAAAACATGGGTTAATGCTACATGTAGGACAAGAGCAACAATGTCGGAAACGGTGAGATAACATACCCCTACCATGTCATATGATGCGTTCCGTAATTGACTACAAGGGGACCGCCTAATCCGCTCGTAAGATCAAATGATATCCTCAGCTAGGTTTATCAACTCGTAAGGGCTACCAAAGTGAGGGCTGATATTTTGCTGTTCGTGGTTAAGTGTCTTTGCAGACTCTGGAGTGTTGGTTCGAGCTCTCTTTGTCGCCCTCTCAATAACATCCAAGTTGAAAGACTCCTGTGGACTGTTGCGTTTCGGCGCAAAGATAAGCCTGGCAGGATTTCTTGGAGTTCCTCGGCCGAATTCGGTCGACCCTTGAATCGCAGGACTGTGTAGCTGAGGTTGCACAAATAACATCGGAGCACTGTTCGGCTGGGGGTACATCTGTTGCGATGCATTCTGGGTCTGATCCAACCTAAACGTGGCGTCGGTGAAAATTGGAGAAGTCGGCCATGCTCGTTCGTGGTTTCTACGAGGCTGCACCTCGGAAGCCAACAAATATGGTGACCCTTCTCTTCCTGGCGGGGCGAGAACATAACTCCATGGTGACATTGGCCCGTTTACTGGAGTATTTGGGCATCCAAATGTAGGGTTACCAGAAAATGGCATCGTTCCAAGAGCGGCATCATTAATATGTTCCGGGCCCGCTAGTCCACGACGCGCAAAAAGTGGTGGACGTGAGCTGACATGGGAACTATCGGTAGAAGCTGGTGCAGAAGGTTGGCGTTGACGATTCCACATGGCTGGGTTAGGCCAGGCAATCTGAAGGCCTTCTAAAATGTGTTGGGGTGCATGTTGAAAGGAAAAGACGACTGTCTTGTTGACCTTGCCCGTGAACAAAACACTCGGCGAAGCACTGGAAAAGCTTTGGTTGATGAGGAGTTTGATACGGCCGAGGTTGTCGGCTGGGCTCCAATGACGTTGATAGAGCAGTTCCTGCTGGAAAAAGGGAAACTTGAGGCTCTCGTGACCTTGCCTGTTTATGATCAATGGGAAGCGAATGCTGCCGGTGGCAGAGGTAGATCTGCCATCATTAGCAATGATACCAGCAGCCAAATGGGAAGCATACGCAACAAGAGTTCCATCGATAAAGAGCCTGGTTTCAAGGACCGAATTGTTGATATTGAGGATATGATCACCATTTAAATCCTTTAATGCTTTCCAAGAATGGATAGACAGACGAAAGGGAACTCCAGCGTTGAGGCCAGGAACAAAACACGTAAGGGTGGGAAGAGCAGAGCCCATGGACTCTGCGATGATTAGCTTTGGCGTTGGGCACTCCAAATGTTGACTTACCCGCATGTTGAACGACATGACATATCACCTTAAATTCCCGAGAGGGAATACTAGAGCCCTCCTCGAAAAGAAGGACATCCCAATCCTCGTACCGCATCTTGATCGGATGGGAGATATGGGGGAGTAGAAGCGATGGATGAGAGTCGGAGGAGATGTTATTGACGACATCATGGCTTGTCTTTGCTCTTGCCTAAGATGTTATGTTATGTTTATAGGAAGGCGACGAGGAGCCTGTTGAGCCAATTTTAGGGACTAAACGTGGTCTATAGGGTTGATTCCAGGGACCGTGGCAGGCTTTTAGGACCAAAGGCACCGGTAAGGACAAGACACACTGGTGTAAGTTCGACTCGGTGCAAGCAGGACGGTCTGGGATACTTTTCTAAACAAACAGCAATTAAGGAGCGTTGCCTCGTATCCAACTGTTTCCATTGATTGGCCTCTCATTATACTCAAGTCCCGTGCCACAAACTACACCTTGCACAGTCAAGCCATTTGTTAGCCATATCATGTCAGTTCGTCTCAACCATCAATTGCAATGGTACACAGTCCTAACATCCATTGAACTTAATCCATTGAACCATTCTTTCTTATGTACAAATGAGTATTTTCTCAAGGTTCCTCATCACCCTCCATGCGAGCCTATAACTGTTAGCATACGAATATCCAATACCCTTGACCACTCACCCTTGTAGCTCCAGGGCCACCAAGCTCTCGTTCCAAACCACCCTCAAACTCTCGAGGATAAGCGGGACGATCGGGATAGTTGAGGTAGACAACTCCGGTAACGCTCAAGAAAACGGCGATAAAGGTTCCGACCATAACAGCACCAGGGCCAGTGGTAGTCCAGGTGTACTCCCAGGGAGAAAAGATTCCAAGAACATCGTTATCCTCGTGAATGGGTTCACCAAAGTTTCGTCGCTCCTGAGGATCCCACCAGTTCGCATGAGGGTCACGGAACTGTCGCTTGATTCGGGGAGGGTTGATGTAGCCGCCGTTCTGCGAGATTATCAGTTTCGTTCCACCTCGTATCCATCATCACTGACCATTCCGGGGTCCTCGGCCTCGCTCAAGCTGGGAGGCTCGGGGTACTTCTGGTCAATGACCTTCTTGTCGGTATACTGATCGGGGAGGAAGGTTCGGCGTTGGATCGTGGGAAGTCGTCGAGCAGCTGTCATGGTGCTGCGCAGGGCCGAGGCCCGCACAATTCGTTGAGGGAGCATCTGAGAAGTTAGCGATCAATCGGAAATGTATCAAGTTCCTCCTGACAACATACCTCGGCCGAGTGACAGTGTCGCGGCGACCAATTGCTCTGTGACGTGATGTGATGCTCGTTGAAGCTTTAGCCAATGGAGGCTGTGATGATTCTCAACCGAAAGTTGGGCCTCAGGCATCAACAAGCGCGTTCGGGCCATTTTCGGTTAGCTCATTTGGAGGTCCAGGGGCGTGCATCTTCGATTCTTCCCCAGCTCAAAAGTTTTGCTGACGACATTGGATTTTACCACTAAATTCCACACAGTTCGCCCGCAAGGCATCTGAACATGTGCAAAATTTGTATGAATATCCGCTGAAGCGCTACTATTCTGTAGACATTAATTTCGACCCCGCAAATGATAGCTTCGCAGAGAAAACGCCCCCTGCGTCCACTGTCTCCACGTTGCGACTATGCCCGAGACCGCGTCGCCCGCCAACGTGCTGCCCAAGTCGGACCCTGATGCCATCAAGGACGAGAACGCGCCTGAGGCGCATGTCAATGGGGATGACGCGTTGAACGGGATGACTAATGGTCACGATGAAACGAACGGCGATGCACCGGAATCACAGCCAAACGGTCATGTCCATGACGATGAACGACCTGCAAAAAGACGACGCACACGAGAATCAACACCTCCACGTACGCCAAAAAAGATTAAGCCCGAGTCGCCACCATGGAAGAAGATATCTGCCGACGGGCCGACGTCATTCACGGAAAATGGACGTCGAAAATCGGGCCGCATCAATACACTCCCAATCGAATCAAATACAAAAACTCGAAGCACGAGGCGATCTGGCGCAAATTCCAATGCTTCCAAACCAAAGGCAGAAATTCAGTTGACTAATGGCAACTCGAGAAAGATGCCCAACGGCTCACACAAAGCTAGCCCCGCCACCAAAGCTCCCTCGAAGCAAACACCCGCGCCGACTCCAAAATCTTCAAAAAAGCCTACAGAAACCCGACCTTCCCGATCCACCCGACGTCGAAGCCCTTCTCCCCAAAAAGCCTCGACTAGATCTAGAAGATCCGCACGATTTAGCGACGTCAAAGACGACATTCAAGAATCGAAAAATGTTACCAATCGATCGCCCCGCATTAAGTTACGAGTCGGACGCTCTGGTGATATTCCTCTAGTGCATCCTGATCAAGTCCGAAAGAAACCCAAGATTGGTACGAACTTTGAAGACTTTTGGGCTCGAGCTGGTGACATTCCTGTTGAGGAGGGTGGACTCCAGGCATCTGAAGATGGCCCTCCTTACACTGATGAAATGGCTGTCAAGGACGCGCGCACCATCCTTCGAATTGAACAAGAAGTTGAAGATGGTGGGCTACTCTCCCAAGGGCGCTGCTCAGTATTCCTCCCGGAAGCAGAAGAAGAGCCGCCTAGGCAATGGGCTCGACAAGACCACATGGTGAAGGCTATGACGAACTTTCGAAAATTGATGCTGGCTGAGCAACAACGGCATCGATTGACCGCGAAAAAAGTGGCTGAAGCTTGTCGAGAGGAGTGGTTACGGCGCCAACCAAAGTCAGAAGAAGAGATCGAAGCCGAGCAAAGAGCAATATGGATATCTCGATATCGTGTTGTGATGAAGGCACTTTTCGGTACGTGGGAGAATGTTCGTGTTGAAGTCAATCGTCGAAGGTTGGCCGAATGGGAACAAGAAGAGCAGAAGAGAGTCAAGGCAGCTTTGAATGAAGCTGTTAACCTCTCTGAGCAGAAACTACAAGCCCGGAGAGCAGGGTTGGATTCCGAGCAACTTTCTGAAGAGGAAGAGGATGGATTCGATGGTCTAAGCGACGACATGAGCATGGACGACGACGATGATGACCTTGACTTGGCGTCGGGAGAAGACGGAGATAATGAAGACGACCCCGACAGCGATATAATGTCATCGGATGAGGAAGAGGGTGACGAAGAGGAGGATTTGAAGGATGTTGGTGATGAGAACTTGACACAAGAACAGCTGCGAGCAAAGTATGCCCATATACCAGAACTCGAAAAGCCGGATGCAGAAACACCGATCACCGAACCAAGCCGCGATGACACTGATGCAGTCGATACTGCCCAAGCGACCGCGACAGAAAATGCCGACACGAGCGACGAGTCTGTTGATATGGATGATGATATGGGGTCTACCGATATGGATAGTGATGAGGAGGGAGATGATGAATCGGAAGAAGAGTCTGATGAAGATGCTGGAGGTGGTCTCCTGGGACTTCTTTTCGGCAAGTCGGAGCTGAAGAAGATGAACGATGAAGCTGCGACAGAAGGGCCAACCGAGAATGGGGATACTGAGATGGCTGACGCAGATGAGTCAACGCCAAAGGTCAATGGTGAGGTTCAGGATGAGGGAGCTTCTGTTGAGAAACACAACGCGACAGAAAATGAAGGGGCCGCCGATATTGCACAGAAACAAACCTCAACACCGACCCCAGAGACTAATGCACCCGACGCGGCGACTAAGGCTGTCCCGGTCGATGGTGATACCGTCACTGAGGCACCGGTGGCGGAGGGCTTCACACCACAAGACAATGAGGTTGTCATGACAGAACCCACCCAGGAACAAGAACCCGCACCAACTCTACCCTCGGAAAACAACAGATCAACATCAGAACAACCAACTAATCCTCCCAGTCGTGCTCATAGTATGTCTCCCCCTCCTACATCAGAAACCAAGCCATCTGAGCTGGACACGGCTTCTTCTGGGGAGATGATGGTTGTAGACAAAACTGGACCAAGCCGATCTGCTTCACCCCAGCAATCATCAAATCACAAGATTGATGTACCATTTCTTCTTAGAGGCACACTACGAGAGTATCAGCGCGATGGACTTGACTGGCTGGCAGGTCTTTACGCCAACAGCACCAATGGTATTCTTGCTGATGAAATGGGTCTTGGCAAGACGATTCAAACCATTGCTCTTCTTGCACATCTAGCATGTCAACACGAAGTTTGGGGACCGCATCTTGTTGTAGTCCCTACCAGTGTCATGCTCAATTGGGAAATGGAGTTCAAGAAATGGTGCCCTGGCTTTAAAATTTTGGCATACTACGGATCTCAGGAGGAACGAAAACGCAAGCGACAAGGCTGGAACAACGATGATGTGTGGAATGTTTGTATTACCTCATATCAACTTGTTCTTCAAGATCAACAAGTGTTCAAGCGACGTCGCTGGCATTACATGATCCTTGATGAAGCGCACAACATCAAGAACTTCAAATCTCAAAGATGGCAGACGTTACTTGGCTTCAACACCCAAGCCCGGCTACTACTCACAGGCACACCTCTCCAGAACAACCTCACAGAACTTTGGTCACTCCTCTTCTTCCTCATGCCAGCCGAAAATGGTGTGGGTGGGTTCGCCGACTTGCAAGAGTTTCACGATTGGTTCGCAAAGCCTGAATCGCAAATTCTCGAAAGTGGAAGAGAACAGATGGACGATGAGGCACGAGCTATTATCTCGAAGCTACACAAAGTTCTGCGACCCTATCTACTACGACGATTGAAAGCCGATGTCGAGAAGCAAATGCCCGCCAAGTATGAGCACGTTGAGTTTTGCCGACTCTCAAAACGACAACGTGAGCTCTACGATGGATTCCTCTCACGGAATGACACGAAGGAGACACTAAACTCTGGCAATTATCTGTCCATCATCAATTGTCTGATGCAGCTGCGAAAGGTCTGCAACCACCCAGATCTCTTCGTCGACCGACCAATCATGACATCCTTCCGAATGAGCAAGTCTGTCGTCTCAGACTATGACTTTATCGAGCAAAGGATTCAGAAGCTACTTCTCGACCCCAAACCCATGAAAGACGTCAGCCTCGGCTTCCTCAACCTCATTCCCACACAATCCGAAACCCTCTCCACAACACAGGCTGAACGAATCTCGCAACTTAGCTCTCATCGAATATTAATGGACCTTAAAGAGGCTCAAAGAACCCGAGCACACCAAGCAAACGACCACCTAGATCCTTCAACAGTCGCATCAAATATCGCATACTTGGAGAGTGGCGCAAGGTGGGGACGTTTTGAAGAACTTCAACACTGCGTATATCTTAATGCCCTGCGCCGCCAGAAGAAGCCTATCTATGGCAAGAACTTGGTAGAGTTATTGACTATGGGTACCGACAAGAGGCCATACAAGCCTCGCCCTAAAGTCCCCCGTCTGGTAATGTCTTGGTTCGAAGAGGAATCGAGGCTCATTCAGTCGATGATACCGACCGTCAATCAACGTGCCGACAGCTTCAAGACGACCATTGAGAAGTTCTCATGTGTTACGCCGGCCGTTGTGACCAGAGACATGGATCAATTTGTCCTCGGTCGCAAAGGAATTGAAGCATTTACAGATGAAGACCTCAAACTCTCGAAACCCGTCCGATGGGCACCATTCCTACCTAAAGAAGCGCCACCCGATCCATGGCATGAAGGGCGCATGCGACTCAGCATTCAATTCCCCGACAAGCGTCTATTACAATACGACTGCGGAAAGCTCCAAGTTTTGGACAAGCTACTGCGAAAGCTTCAGACGGGTGGTCATCGCGCCCTCATCTTTACACAAATGACCAAGGTCTTGGACATCCTAGAACAATTCTTGAACATACACGGCCACAAGTATCTCCGTCTGGATGGTGCTACCAAGGTGGAACAGCGACAAATTCTTACCGACCGATTCAACAATGACCCGCGAATTCTATGCTTCATTCTGTCAACTCGATCGGGCGGTCTCGGCATCAACCTTACAGGTGCAGATACCGTCATCTTTTATGACCAAGACTGGAACCCCGCCATGGACAAGCAGTGTCAAGATCGATGCCATCGTATTGGACAAACTCGCGATGTACACATCTATCGTCTAGTCAGTGAACATACCATTGAAGCCAACATTCTTCGCAAAGCTTCCCAGAAGCAAATGCTAGATGATGTGGTCATTCAAGAAGGAGAATTCACGACGGACTACTTCAACAAGCTCTCTGTACGGGATGTCCTCAGTGACAAACTTGACACGAAGAGCGAAGGATTGGATGCTGCAGACGCTGCCTTGGATAGAGTCCTCGGCGGCCCTGACACCAATACTGATCAACGACGAGTCGGTCGAGCGCTTGAACAAGCAGAAGACAGAGAGGATGTAGCAGCAGCCCGTGTCGCAGAGAAGGAAATCCAAGCAGACGATGCTGACTTTACCGAGAAGCCCAGCAACAATGCTTCCGGCACATCAACAGCGCGACAAGGTACCCCCGCCGGCAAGTCTGTTCTCGACGGCGGGCTCGATGATCTCGACACGCCTCAAGTGGAAGAAGAATTGGAGTACAACGCATGGGGCCACAAAATGCACAACATTGACGACTACATGCTCAGCATAATGGCAGAGCAACTTAAAGACACAAAACTCGAACTCCCCAAGGACAAAAAGAAAGGGAAGAAGAAGGGCAAGGACACACGCAAACGATAAGCAAAGCACATAATAGCCACTCACGGCGATACCACGAAAAAGACATTTTTGTATACTAGTAACATCATCATTCGGGCGAAACAAAAAACGGCGCGGCGGCATGACAGAACACGGCAGTTTTTACTACTTTTTTGCTTGTAGAACTTGGGCGGTGGTAGATGGCATTGGAGTTTCGGGGAGAGGAGGGGCGTGTTATACTAGACTTGTAAGACTTTGATGAGAGAGAATGAAAAAAAGCCAATTGCTGCTCCAACTTTGGGGTCTGTTGCCAAGATGTAATGATCAGCTTATGGCCAGCAAGCAGTCAGTAGGTGAGGATCGGTTTGAGGGTGGTGGTGATCTTGCTGCGCCCCGCGCCCCGCACAGCCACGGTAAGGCAGCACAGGACCAACAGAAGTTGGTTAGCCAGGTTAGGTGTATAAAGCACCCGGAAGCCACTCTATTCCAGAAGGTTTTTGGTGTTAAAGCTAGTGACGGCGCGACACCAATACCTATACAACCCCAGCGCAACACATATCATTTTTCATCATTTAGCATCACAACTCAATCTATAAACTCATTTCAAGATGTCTACTTCCAAAGCCACAGAAATACCCGAGAAAACCCCCGATCTTCCCCCATCATTCCAAGAGACCATGGCCTCATCACCACCCGTCTTCAAAACCCAATTCGCTTGCATGACCTTCAACATGTTTGACCGCATTCGTCTCATCAACTTCACAGAAGCAGAAGTATCAGGCATCAAAGAAGTCGTCGCAGCGCGGTGGTCACCTGGTCTCGCACATGTGCAACCATATGGGGAGTCAATGGAATTCAGGCTTCGTGGAAGGCCTTGGTTGCATAGATCTGGTGGGAACGATGATTCGAGGAGATTAATGCTGAGAATTCTGGAGAAATTGTTTGATATGGGGTGGGTGTTGCAAGGATCTATGGAGATCACGCTCAAGTCTGAGAGTAAAGGTAAGACTCTCTTACTCTCCTGTGAACTTGACTGACGTACCAGATTCCCTCATCTTTCGAAAACAAGATCCCATCCCACCGCCCTGCGACTGGATCTGCATATCCTTCGACAACAGTGATAAACTGAAAATCGTAGACTCACCACCCAAAGACCTCACAGACGCAATCCTCCAAACATTTGGTCGTGACATAAGACGTAGTGAAATCACATCTGACCGCGTCAAGGTGCATCTTGCAAACATGCCGTGGAATCCTTCGGGGACAGACACTGTCACGACAAGGATTATACTGCTGAAGTTGATTGAGACGTTGGAGAGATGTGGGTTCACGATTTATGCTACGATTGGGTCGAAGGGGGAGGATGAGGAGGGGGCGCAGGACTTGTTGGTTTGTCAGAGGGTGAAGGGTTGGGTTCCTGGGGCGCCTATATGGCATCGCTAGAAATATGTCATATATGAAGCCAAGACGATGAGAGTGATATCCATGGATGTCATTATCTCATGTCTTAACACAAAAGAGAGCCAGAATATTCAAGAGAGGAAAGAGGTGAGATGAAGCACAGGGCTTATGAAACGAAAACCAGATGATCATTTCCACGGAGAATAAAGATATTCGAAATATTTGTAGATAGTGCACAACTTTCAAGACTCTATGCGATTTGGTGATCCTGAACACGACGAGGCTTTGGTGGGGTAGACCTGGAAGGCAGTGGCGGCCTTCCCCAGATGTAACGCCCCTGATTCAGTACCTCCCAAAGCGCCGCATTCTTTTCAGTTGGGTTAGGGTTAGTTTTCTTCAGAATCCCATATCAAGATTCTTTCCAAGACCAGTTCCAGCATCAGCATCAGCATCTTCCGTCCCACGCCGTTTTCTATTCTTTGACTTAGTCAAATTTCTCGTCTTTTAAAAAAACATATGCCAAAGAAGAAATGGATTCTGCCTCCACCAGTTTGGCCACTAGACGACCAAAACTCACAGCCGCCAGTAAGTCTTCTTTCTTGGTTTCTGCGAACAAACGCGTTGAATGAGGTGTTGAGAGCTAATTTGTATATAGATGTAAAAGCAATGTCGATCAAAGAAATCCTGGCAAGCATCCGCCGCAAAGTCAATGCCACAATTAAGTTGAATAAGATGAATAAGAAGAAATGGAGAAGGGCGAGGCTCGCGGATCGGATGAAGCGAAGGATTCCAACGGATGAGCTTGTTACTGGTGGTCTGGTTGAAAAAATGGACTAGCACAAGTAACTGAAATCTACTCCCAATTTCAAACTTCCTAAGTCTTATGATGATGGTTTGATAAGTTTAGACCAACTCATTTCAAATAGAATACATCAGGCTCAGGCTTCGCAGCAAAGAACGCGGAGTAATTGATCTTCCCAACACCAACCCTCTCAGATACCCCATTCCTCGCCTCTCTAAGCAACAGCACGTTACAAACATCCAAGACACTGGTAGTTCCAAAGCGACGCATATCCCATCTTGGATCTCCTGTCTCATTAACCTTCTCACTACTTGGCTTCACACTCTCGTCAGGTCCCTCAGGTAGGCGACTGCGCTGTAGCCACTCTTCTTGAAGAATCTCGTACTGCATTCTCATCGGATCACCATCCCAGTACATTTCCCAGCCAATGGGGGGAGGTGCAACGTAAGGAAGACTATCACGAGATATGGCCACTAGGATGTACTTCACTGGTGAATTCTGGACCTCTTCAGCTGTTGAGGGGATGTTGAGATGTTCAAGTGAGACGTTGAGACTCAAGCTTCCTGCGCGATAGCCTTGATGGTAGAGGATACGCTGCCACGGTCGACGGTTGTTGGCTGACCGATCTTCATCGTTGACTCCTATCTGGATGAAATTGTCTTGTATAGGCGATGCCAAATACGACTCAGATGGCTTGTCGCATAACCGCACTGATACGGCCTTGGCGCGAAAGTACAAGGTATCTTCAAATGGTAACTCCACGATAGGCTCATCTGGAAGATTAATTGGAAACTCAAATCGCATGCCCAGATATGCCTCGTGTACGAAGAGATGCTGATTCCGATCCTCATTGTGCTCAACAGCCCACCCATGCTCGTAGCAGTCAATATGCAAAAGCGACCAAAGATCAGTCTTGTGCAACAAAAGCCGCGAATTCTCAGCTTGTTGTCTCCTCTCGTCAATTTCTTCCTGCGTTCTCTCCACTTGTACAAAAGTTTCCATGAATTCGTCAACTGTAGCTGACTTCAGCCACATTATCATGCTAGCTGGCGCATAGCACACGGCGTTATGGAAACCTCTGCCACGATATGCGACGTGACCTTGCCAAGCTGCCCAAGACCAACTGGGAAACAATGTCTTTCCATCTGGAGATCGTCTTCGAGAAAGGGGTTCTTTGGGGTACCATAAGAGAGATCGCGTGAGAGCAAACTCGGGCATGGCGTGCCAGAACTTGGTATTTGTCCCACGGCGGATAAGGTCTGCAATACCGATAAAGGCATTCACGGCGTCGGACTGCCACGTCATGTTTCTCTTTGTATAAGCATCAACAGCGTGAGCGTACGCTTCCCAGAGTGTATGCCCCTTGATAAGAGGGGCATCGATCGTATCTGAGCTCGGGATGGCTTTGGATTTGTACAATGGAGCACCATCCTCTGAAGCTTCGCCAGTAGTTGGGTCTTCGCCGACAAAAATCGTCATGTCATCTTCGGTTGCGAAGGCTTTGTTGATATACGCGGCCTGAGTTGGATCTGACCATATACGAATCCACAAGTCGTGGATTCGGGATGTTAGTTGTAGCTGGTCGTTGAAGGGAACGATTGTGTACGAGTTAGGGCCCGAAACAGGAACTGTGTCTTCGAAGCAGGCTCCGTGGGGACAGATGAAACACATTTGCGAGTTGGCAAAATAGACTGATCGTCTTGAGAGTACCCTCTCCTGAAATGTCCATGCTCTGGTGTTCCATAGTCGATCTTCGATATCAGAATACCTCTGTCTGGCATCTTGGAATGCCACTGCTAAGGTGATCCCTTGCAGTTTCTCTATGCTCTGTTCTTGTGATCGAGGGATACCAACTCCAGGCAATCCGTCTGTGGGGTTGATGTTAGAAGAGGCCATTATGGATAGAACAGCATTGGCGTATATAGTCCCCATATTGGAGATGATCCTAGCTTTGTCGTCCTTGTCATCTTGCGTGATGCATAAAGCATCAATCCAGATGTATCGGATACCGAGCTCTTTTGTAACGTTGATAGCATCAAGAATCGTTTGCGGAAGTTCGACGTTCCCCAGACCTCCAGGTTTACTGAGTTGGTCTCTTGTTTTGGTAGTGTATTGTGTCTGACTTCCAGTTCCCCAGACATAAGAAAGACAGATATAATCGCATGGTGTGTCGACCTCCTTCACACAGTTGTCAACCGTGTCGATGACTCGTAGTATGTCCATGAGAGGCTTGAAATATTCAGTAGAGTCAGTTTCTGCTGGTTTATGATCCTTGTTGCATGTCTGGAGCCACCCTCGAAGGCGAGACATATCAGCAGAATCCTTGCGAACCAGAAGACCCTGAAGGGGCATTGATTGACTCTCCACTGGTTCAACTGGATGTATCACCAATCTTGAAACCTTTAAACGATCCAGATCCGAGAATTCCACCTGGAGCCTCAGAGGAAACCCTGACCCATCATCCAAAGTGCTGATGCTCAATCGCATCCCCGGCCAATCATCAGGATGCACATCCGTAAGTATTCCATCATGAATAGCCCTCTTTCGAATGAGTCTGCAGAAGGAACAATGACTATTCTCATCCATGACCTTGGGAATGCCATAAACAGAAATGCGGGACTGTCCTGGTAGTTGATTCCCCGGTAAGCCTCGTTGTGATAGAAGGACTTTGAAGTCAATGTGTCGACACATATCGCACAGATATTCAGGATCTGATTCTTCAAGGACAGGCGGATCAGGGATAAACCACTCTTCATCGCGCCCATTCGAGTCTTGAAATAAACCCCATCTGCGTATAAACTGATGATGCTTGTACTCGTCAAACTTGGCCGTCTCCTCATCTTTCATCTTCTCATCTGAATCTTCTCCAGATTCTTCTTCAACAGAAGAAATATGAATGCTGATTCGACTGAGCTCCTCATCCGTCATACCATCAACATCTGGCTTCTTTTCCTGTATAGCCTTATCATGGTTCTCCAGACTCTGCCTTCCCCTTTTCTGGCCGAGACTCTCCCAGTCGCGGACCATAGCCGCGGTCTCTGGTGATTGCTTCAGGGACTTTCCATCTTTTTCTTCTAGGGCCTTTCTGAGGACCGTTCTTGTGGTATGATCGCGAATGTTTCTGGAAACGACTGATTTTAGATTCGGCGCCATTATGAATGATTTTCGTATCGTTTATATTTTTGATATTGAAGTGAGATAGGGAATGAGGTTAAATAGAATCAAGGGCCTTAGCTCGTCTTATATCTGCCGAGCTCCGTTGGGCTCCATGCTGCGGAGTGTGATCCCTGCTTTTCGGGACGCTTATCTTACTGCGCCACGGACACGGACACGGACTTCAAATACACTAAGGCTTTATGCCATTCGAGAAAAGAAAGCATTTGAGTACATTTTGAAGCTATAGAAATGAAATTGCCCAGCACACAAAGGCCAATCTATTCGAGGTTTTATTATTGATGGGCCTACATCTACTATAATAACGGACTTGATATATTCACAAAGCTCAAGGGATGTAAGATAAACAGTAGTAAATCACAGGGGTCTATCAAGTAAGCAAAGGCCTAGGAACATTTTAAGCAACAAGGCCAGACTAGGACAAGCAACTAAAGTTTGAACTTCCTACATCCCATTAGCTTGCTCTTTGGAACCCAGGCTCAGGAGCTGTCTCTACTCTCACCATGCACCTGTGAATCTTCACATAGACCTATCTTGCCAGTGGTTTCTCATGGTGAGAGGTAGAGCTTATAAATGAGTCACGGGTGAGGCTAACCAGCTTAAATTTGACGAGTGGCTGAGAGGCTTCGTTGTGAGATTTGACTCCGTATCAGCGAGCTTAATTTTAACTCAACAAACACTCCCACTTTCCATTGGCACCTTGTTTGACTTAACGGAAACTACTCTCCAAGTGAGATTCTTTCACATTTGGATCCACCAGTAATATATGGTAAGCTTGCTCAGTAAGGTAGACAAAGATATAAAGCCAAATGGTCTGTCAATAACGATTTGAGTTCCAATAGCATACCAACTTCATCAACGGGGGGCTCATGACCCGAAACTAGGAATATTGACATTCAAATGAATTCGTGTAGTGGTCACAGGGGAGTCTAACAATATAGTCTCTCAAAGATCACTTTGTAAATATGACTGCATTTCCCAATATTCATGGCTCTAAAACTTGCTCCTCAAGTATTCCAACCGATCCCATACCAAGGCTTTCCACGTCTCTCAACTTCAAAGGCAAACATGTGTGAAAATACAATGACACATTTCACCTGTATATGGTGCAAACAGCTCTACGACTCACGCATGGAACAGATCATATGCCACCGTGCCCATGGCTCGTTAGGCGCCTGCGGAAAGATGTCAGGTGCAAATAAATCTGTTTATAACCTCTTTTGTCAAAATTGTCCGTCAGAGAAGTACAAGAAAGGCTCGTACCGCGATCCAAGATGGATTTGTAAGTAGTCGATACTTTCGGAACTGGACAATTGACTAACAGCGTCCCAGCATAAATCCGGACTTTTATGGGCTCGATGCAGTCAGTGCACTTGAACCTTTTCGCAGCAGAGAAACAAAAGTTCGGCTGGGGCAGACACCTGCTTTTCACCAACTTAGCCCCCTTTTCTATCTCATATCTTCTCTATACAATATGTTACAAAGAGCCCTATTCTCAAGTGGCACTTGCATCAACAGGGAAGGAGCTGTTTTCAACCTTTGTTTGCTCCAATTTGGCAACAAAGGAGCGCTATGAAACCTACCTCAAGCAATATTTGTCTATGAAGTGGTTTATCCCTTGATGCTTGGCCAATGACCAAGTGGAATACCTCAACGATCTGCATGGGGCTGATGCTCTATGTTGTTCTACACTTCAGAAGCCCGAGACGATGCATCATACAGAATCTTCTGTCAGCTTCCACAAAATCAGCATCCGCAACTCGCTAGGAAGTCGGAAATTCACAAACTTCATAGCTGCAGCTGCCTAGCTGGAAGGCCATCAAAGCAGCAGGCCAGAATACGACCTGAAACACGAAAGAGG